TCTTAGACTAAAAGTCTTTTAAGACTAGGATTCCCTTATACCTTTCTTAGCTTTCTTCGCTAAAAGGGAACTAGCGTTACTAGAAGACTTTTAAGCTAATCGCTTACGCTTTAAGAGCGAACCCGCCGCTACTTACTCTTATATATAGTATAGGAAATCGGCGTTATAATTCTTTATCCTTTTTAGTATAAAAGGTATTATTATTAATAAATTATTAATAAAAAGTAATATAAAAAGGTATAAGGGATTAATAAAAAAAGGTATAAAACTCTATAATAATTATAAGTAGAAGAGTTAAAGAAAAAAAGAAAATAGAAAAAGTAAGAGATATATATATACGCTCTTTATATTATAGTTACGCGGCTAATATATAAGTAATACTATAATAGTTACTTAGTAGTAACTACTAGTATAATAACTATTAACGTTATAAAGTATAAACTAATATATACTTATATAAGTATATATACGCGATATATAACTAAAACTATCTCTTTTCTTAACTAAATATATATAGTATAGCGAAAGTAATATATATTAAAAATATAGCTAAGACGTTTATATAAAAGGGGAGATAATTATAAGAGCGCTACTAAGAGGTATAGGCTAATAAAGTACTTAGGTATATAGTATTAATATATTAGTAGGGTATTAGTAGGGAATTATACCTACCCTACTTATATATTATAGACCTCTTATTACTCTAGCTAAAAAGGAAAAAATCCCTCTTCTTATAAGCTTTAGTCTTATAATAAGGAGAATATAATATATATAGCGTAGTACCTTTAGCTATCTCTACTACCTAACTAATCGTACCGTAATATATATTCCCTTATAATACTTATATATTATAGACCTCTCGCTACTTTAGCTAAAGAGGAAAAAATCCCTTTTTTTATAAGCTTTAGTCTTATAATAAGGAGAATATAATATATATAGCGTAGTACCTTTAGCTATCTCTACTACCTAACTAATCGTACTATAATATATATTCCCTTATACTTTTATAATACTATTCTTTTAATATATTATTTAGCCCCTTATATACTTATTATAAATTCCGGATAAAAATCCTACCCTATACTCCTTTAACTAATCTTTCCGCTTACGTTATCGATTACCCGATTCTATGCTTATAGCTTATACCTTCTTATATACGTCGACGACTTTCTTATAGTAAGGCCCTTTAAATCTATAATAAAAGAAAGATTATTTAAAGAATTATCTAAATTCCTAGATTTTACTATCTTAAGAGATATAAAAGACTTCTTAGGTCTAAATATTAAAATAAACCGAGAAAATAAAGAGCTATATATATCTTAAGAAAATTATACCTTAAATAAATTAAAGGAATTTAATAAAAAAGGTTTAGGAACTTCGAATTTACCCGCTATAGTAGGCTTTAAGCTTATAAAAGTAAAGGAATTACCTTTTAAGGAAGATATATTATAATTTTAGAAAGAAATAGGATCTCTATTATACTTAGCTTTATTTACTAGGCTAGATATCTTATATTCTATAATTTCCTATATTAGATTCGCGGCTAAGCCCGACTAAATATATTTTAAGGCTTTAAATATAATTTAGAAATATTTAAATAAATTCCCTAGCCTAAAGATTAAATATAATTATAATATCCCTTTTACCTATTTATATATAAAGGGTTTTACTAACTCTAGCTAAGCGTTAGATTTAATAGATAGAAAATCCTTTTCTAGTTACTATTTTTATATATATAATAATATAATAAGCTAGGCTTACTTTAAGTAGAAAGCTATTACCCTTTCTACGTATAAAGTAGAGTATATTAGCCTTATGGAGGTAAATAAAGAAGCTATTTATTTAAATATACTTTTTAAATATATTACTAAGGATCTATCTATTAAGATTCTTAATACTATACCTCCTATTTTAACGGATAATACTACTGCTATTAAATTAGTAGAAAATCCGGAATTTTATAAAAGGTCTAAGCATATAAGATTAGCCTATTACTATACTAGAACTAGTATAAGAGAAGGGGAAATTAGAGTTTTTTATATTAAATTAAAAGATAGTATAGCTAATATTTTTACGAAGGAATTAAGACCTAGATTACTCTATAAATTTAGAGACGGTCTATCCTTAATATAAGTTCCTAAGTAATTAAAAAGGGTTTTTAGATATTTCTTATACTTTCTATATCTTTCCCTTACTAGGTTTTTCCTTTTTTAGGTTTCCTAGAGAAATATTTACTAGGTTTTTATCTATTAAGATTTTCCTAGCAATAATAGGTTTTACCTTATATAAGGTTATCCTATAAATAATTATTATAACTATAGATTTTTCCTACTATAGGTTTTTCTATTAGTATATACTTAAAGATTTTTTTTTCCTAAGAAAGAATAAGTTTTTATATATTATATTATGGTATAAGAATAGTTTTCCTAAATTAAGGTTTTTACCCTATATATATACTACTATAAATAAATTAGTAAAGAGTATATAAATCTACTCTTTAAGGGAGGCTATAAGGAACGGTGTTCCTACTATAAATAAAGTAGCTATAATATACTCTCTTAATTATATAAGCTAATAAGTAGTATATTAATTATAGATAAAATCCTATCTTATAGAGTAAGAATCGCTCGTTATTTTATATATTATTATATATTAAACGGGTTGCCGGTTATTATATAATCGGGAATCGAAGGAATAGAGCTAGCTTAGAATACTAGCTAAGACCTCTTAAGAATACCGGTATAACTAACCTCCTTTAAACACGAATATTAATAGAACTAAGACACTTTAAGATTTACTCGAGGTATCACGGAATTCCTTAGTCTTAGGGCTATACGGCAGCCTAAATCTAGTCCTAAAAGGTTCTTCCGTTTAGCTATAATTGTCTATATAAGATAGTATGTCCGCTCGTAGATAGAGATAGAATTATTAACTTTAATACCTCTTCTATATACTAATATACTACTAATAAATTCCGTTGAAAATCCTACCTTATACTCCTTCTTCCCCTCTATTACGTAGTCTTACGTAATTCCTTAATTTCCTAAAATTCCGCTTTTACTTATATACCTTAAGACTTAGTTAGCGGCTTAAGCGCTTATATAACTATAAATACCTACTTATTACGCTATATGTCGGGAGGTCTGTACTGCAGTAACGCAATGGGTTGTATTCAAGATGTCTTGCTAGGAAGGGAGGAAAGGGAATGAGGGGGCACACTACGTGCCCTTTATACACGGATCCCCGAGGTCCATACACGTGACGCTAAGGGTCACGTGTGCGTGTGTGCGCACCTCCCTTACAATCCTACTATAGCTATATGCTACATTCCCACACTGGCAAATCTTCTTTTATCGCTGCAATCGCAGCAGTAGCAGCAGGTGCGGGAGCGTAGCAGCAACCGCAAGGGTGCGACCGCAAGGGTGCGAAAAGAGTGACGGTTCGAGCGGCAGCTAGCGGGGAGGGCGTTCGACTGATCCTTCTATCCTAATCGTAAGGCTATTCGTATCGACGAGGCGTTCGAGGGCGCGGTTAGGCGATGCCTTTGTCATAGCATCTGCTGGGTTGTCTGCGCCGTTAATCCAGCGGATTTCTGTGATCTCACGCCTTTCGTAGGATTGACGTAGGGCCATGATATCTATCATCAATCGCTTCTCCTTCGTTGTGCCTAGCTTAACGAGGCACTCGTAGAGGGAAAAAGAGTCGGTGCAAACGATTAGGGGGATAGGGGGAAGATTGAGGCGGTCTGTGATCTTCCGTATCGTCGTTGCTAGTGATATCCCAATATCGAATCCGTTGACCATGCCGTAGATCTCTGATGCTAGCACGCTTCGGGTGACCCTCTTACACTTCGTTGAGCTCCAATGGAGGACATTGCCCTTGATCCCGAATTGGTCTTTGGTACGTGCGGTCTCGGTCTCATTGACTAGGGCAATGACGAAGCCTAGCTGTGACGATAGGTCCTTATTGTTCGCAAAGGAACCGTCGGTAAAGACGATAAGCTTGGCATTGGCGAGGTCAATAGGGATATACGTTAGGCCTCGCTGCTGGTGGTCTTTCTGCCATTGAAGCCGCTTGTTGAGGTCGTGCAATCCTCTTCCGTAGGGGTTTGGACCTGGGCAGCAATAGAGATGTCGAATGAGGCCTCTGGTTGACAGATTGAAGCCACATACGCGCCACGGGCACGCTGTTCCACGTACTGTTGGGCTCGATCGTATGCCTTGATGTCGATGGGTTCGATCTTGGCTGCTTGACCCTTTGTTGAAGCAGTAGAGCGTTGTGGAAAGTGGTGTCTTGGAGGTTATCTTTGCACCGTTGAAGTCAATGCTAGTACCCGGGGTCATCGTTGTCTTCGGCTTTGCCCGAAATTGTGCCTTTACGAGTTCCGCTTCCTCTAGCGCGGAAAAACGTTGTGTGCCAAGCATAAGGGTATCGTCAGTCTGCATTCCCACAATCCCAAAGTTATCAGGTCCCTTATTCGTAATTAGGAAGCATAGGTCGTAGGTTGATGTGGACATGTCGAGGTTATCGACATGATGCCCGTGATAGGTTCGAAACCAATGGACTCCGGCCTCCGCAATTCCGTATAGGGCTTAATAACGCGAATGATTGTTCCTTCCGGGTATCTTCCTTCTAATTCGGCGGGAAGATGCGTGAGAATGGTGCGGAATAGTTCGGTCTGCGCCTGGGGATACGCTTGTGTGATGTCACGAAGAGAGAGGGTCATGCCGTGAGAAAGGAGGTCTGGGAGATAGCAGAAATAAGCCGTTGACTGACGCGTTGAATTGTCGGGGATTGCGTCAATAGGGTGGTTTCTCTTGGTCGTTGTGCCCTTGGACCACGAGCCTTGACTTCTCGTATGGTTTGGTTTCTTTGCCTTTAACCTCGCGGACCATGCGGGAGCGGAAGATATGATGGTTCCGTGCTTTGCTTCATTGTAGCGTTCGAAGCTAAACACTCCTCGTACCAATAGATCATCGATCTCCGTGCTATCGGATTCCTCAAAGGGTGCCTGGCGTTGTGATAATGCCTTCGTCCCGTAGCTTGATGGCTAGTTGGTAGGCATCTTCTTCCTTCTTGACTAGGAACGTCGTCTTTGGCTTGTTCTTCGAACCAGGGGGGCGGCCTCGCTTGCGCGGCGCCGGGGGATTAGGAGCAGGAACAGGGGCAGGGGCAGGGGCAGAAACAGGAACAGAATCGCTCGCAGGATCAGAAACAGGAATGTCAGAATCATCCGCAGCAGCAGCAGCGGGGGCAGGGATCGTCGTCTCGTCGCGGAAATAAGGCTGCACAAGGGTGGAACGGAAGGTCTGGGGTCCGTTGATAGTATCAATTGTGACATTGGAGCCATCAATTGCACTAATCTTAAAAGGGCCTTGCCAGCCGAGCTTTCTCTCCACACTCGGACCTCGCTTTGCAGTGGGGCGATAGTATAACGCCTGTTGATGATGGTCCGTTCTTTGTGTGTAAGGCGCCCTGCACTTGCCGCTCTGCTGAGAGCTGACGAAGCATTTTCATCGCCTTCTGGGCTGCGGCAGCCCTTTTCAGGGTCGTAGCAGAAGGGGCGAATCTAACGCCATTCGAGGGTAGGCGCCAAAGACTAGGAGCGTAGGGACAATGCCATTTGGCCCTGCTGTGTCGTTGATGGCTTTGATAGCCATTTGAAGGATCGATTCGGGGGATGTGAAGGTCCCGATTTCTGCGTGGAGGATCTCAAACGCACGGCGGAGAGGGCATGATATCTTTCAACCTTTCCAACGGACCAATGTGCTTCCACAGGGACTTGCTTGCAGGTTATCCCCATAAGCTTTGCCTCGTTACGGAACTCTAGGGAGGCAAAATTGGTCCCTGCGTCGTGCTTGATAGTATCAGGGGGTCCGAGATATGTGTCTATCCAGAGGGCTCGGAGGGCTTCCACGTATCCTTTGCTGACATCGATAGGAGGAACCTGGCTGCTTGGAACGCTGTTGCTGTATCTACCACGTGCAAGACGGGGCGTTGAGGGGTTCCAAGGTAGAGCACATCAGCGACGATTTCGTAGTTGAATTCCTGGTCATCCTTTAGGGTGAATTTGAAGCGTCTTGGAGCTTGAGAGTGCATTTGACAGTGATGACAGAATCTCGAGATGTTCTCTAGGATATCTATCGTCACATCGTTGTGGCCAGCTTGCCGTAGGAGGTTGTGAAGTCTTGGGACCGCTGGGTGCCCGAATCGACGATGAAGAGTGCGGATCTCGCTCTCCGTGAGGAATGCGATAGCGGCCTCGTTGGTCTTAGGTAGGAGGAACCAGGATGTCCCCATTTGCGGATAACCGGGAGGTTGTTCGTCCGACAATGGTGTCTGTAAGGTTGTTGAAATAGATGCCTAGGCGATCCATATCAGCGAGAGAGGAGGAAGGAGTAGGGGTCTTGAGGATATGGAATGTGATCCTTCCGAGAGGTGTTTTAAGGGCGATAGAGCCGAGGATAGAATGGCTTCGCCGTTGCCGAATTTGATAGAAGCTTGGCCTGCTGTAGTCTTATCGAGCGTTATAGCAGGGTCTTCTCGTTGTAGAGCGATGCATTGGTCGTAGCCAGCTGTGGAAACCTTCGCGGCGCCTGTGTCAATTATGATGCCCTGGAATCAGAGTCTTGAGTAGCGCTCCTCTATCATGAATTGGGAAGCAGGTGTAGCGTTGTTTTGAGAGGTGCTATACACGTCTTCCCCTGTGATCAGATGGTTGAAGGCTTGCTGGCAGAGCATTTGGCTTGTGTGCCACTGTTCTGGGTTGTTGTCATTATCTTCATTGTCGTCCTCGTCCCAGGGTCGTTAGCATCATCGTGGGCATCCATCTCGTGACCTTCAAAGTCAAGAACGTAGGCTGTAAGGTCCTGGGAGGGTAATCCCTATGAAGTGACAGTGGGCGACGTATTGGTCTCGGGATCTTTGACGTTCCTCGGCAGTGTGCTTTGTAGACCAACATCCTTCCTTATTGCAGACGAAGCACTTCTTATTCCACGGGTGGTTGTGGCCGTAACGGCCTTGTGGCCGGTTAAAGCGTTGACTATTGAAGCTTCCCCGTGGAGCGTTGTAGCTGCCTCGTTGAGCGTTGCCTCTATACCTTCTATACCCCTTCTGACCAAATCTTCCGCGATTGTTGTTGTATCTTCGATCGAGATAGTAGTGGTCATTGGGATCCATATGATCAGATGGTTCCTCGAGGTCTTGATGGTATTGAGGGCCTCCTTGAAGATAACGAGGCGCTATTCCGCGTGCAAGATGGGTCTCAACGGAAGAGCGAAGATCTGCAAAAGGGCTCGATTCCTTCGGCGGGCTTGAATAAAGCGTATTCAAGTTCAGGAACACCGCGGCATGCATTAATAAGCGTTGTACGCAGTGGAACGTTTCCTGCATACGCGTTGCCAAGAGCTCGTTGGCATAACTGTAGCTTATCAAGGGTAGCTGAAGAACCTCGTGTAGGGATTTCGTAGCATTATCGGCACGGAGCTTGTTAAAGGAAATAGTCGTCCATTCAGTATAGTAGTGAACGTGGTTAACTTCCGTATCGAAATGTTGCTTGATGCTATCGTATGCCTTGCGGAACGTTGAGGTCCAGTTAATGTGGTCAATGTAGTACGTTTGGGCTCGGCCAGTAAGGATTCGAGGAAAAGAGCGTGGAATTGGTCCGGCTTGACCTGAATGTTATAACAGATACTCATAAAGATGCGTAGCTTATCATCGAGAAGGTCATAGGGTTCCCCCGTATAGTTCTTCTCTTTGTCCCAGATCTTGGTGAATTTCTGTTGTGTGTTGGCATCGACGATGCCGTTCGGGATGTCGGCCGGGGGAAGCGTTGTGTACGCTTCGAGGGATGTGGGAGAAGAGGGTTCTGCTAGAACGATGCTCTGTTGCTGGAACTGATAGCTTGTAGGATGTATTGTTCGTTGGGGAAGCGTAGCAGTCGTTGTGGGCGGTTCCGCAATTGTCGTAGCGGGAGGAGCAGGGAGCGTCGGAATAGGGGCTAACGGCATGGATGGCTCCGCCGTGTTGGAGGTGGGAGGGTTCTGCGTTAGTCGTCTCTCTTTTCTTGTATAGGCCTCCGTTCCTTTATCGAATTGGGTTACCATGAATTCGTTGTCGGGCCAGGCTGGTGGGTTATCGATCGTCTGTAGGAAGACGAGCTGTGGGATGATGTGGTCACCTTTTCTCCTGTATAGATACCACGTCTCTTTAAAAGGTAACGTAGCTCCTTCGAAATTCCTTTGGCATCTTTCTCCACGTTGCCTCGGTCCACTGTTGGAAGTGATCCTGGAAGAATTCAAGGATATTAGTGCCATGAAGGTGTACGTTCTCCTCGCATTCTGACATAAATCGTGCGGTATATGTCATAACAGCTATTCTATCTTCCTCTTGGGGCGTGATCTCATCCTCCCATCGGGTCGGATCGATATCCTGATATTGGGTCTTTGGGATCGTGAGATTTTGGACCAATTCCCTTACTTGGTCGAGGAAGGCGTCGTTCCTCGTAGAGGCGGGGTTCGGGGTTGGGGTCGTGCTTGTCATCGTGAGGGTTGTCACGTAGTTGTCGAATCGTGAGGGCTGTCACGTAGTTGTCGAATCGGCGTTGTGGACGCACTTACACTTAATGTAACCGTTAAGTGAAGTTGGAAGGATCTATCAATGGCCTACCGGGAGCTAGTTGGTTGCCGGGTCCGGGTAATCGTAGAGTCCTTGATCTTAGCATAGAAACCTCCTCTAGGTCCAACCAGGGCAATATCGCTAGGAATATGGTAGTTGGGCTTTCGAAGGTTGCGTTCTATCTCTTCTTCCTTGCCAATCTGTGATCGACCAAATCGATCACTGATCAGTGTCGGAGGTCTGTACTGCAGTAACGCAATGGGTTGTATTCAAGATGTCTTGCTAGGAAGGGAGGAAAGGGAATGAGGGGCACACTACGTGCCCTTTATACACGGATCCCCGAGGTCCATACACGTGACGCTAAGGGTCACGTGTGCGTGTGTGCGCACCTCCCTTACAATCCTACTATAGCTATATGCTACATTCCCACACCTACCGTTATCCTTAGCCTAGCTAAGAAGATACTTATTAGTATTTCTAAGATAAAATAAGTATCTAGTAAAGTTATCTTTCTACCGTTTATTATAAGGATAACTACTATTCCTATTCCTTATACCTTAAAAGCTTAGTCTTTAACCTAGACTTTATTATTAGAACCCTACTTAAAGGTTCCTTCTTAAAACTATCTTAGGTTATTAAAGAGGTTAATATCGGCCCTTAAGTCGTATATTAATTTATTAGTAAGTAACGGCGTTCCTTTAATAGCTATATTTACCTTAAATAAAGTAACTATATTAATAGTTTTTCCTAGCCTATTATTACTTTCCTTTAAGGTATAAATTAAGGGTCTAAGCTAGGTATTTTAATTTCTTATTTAGATAGTTTTTTAGCCGTTTTTTAATATTTTATTTAGCTAGATTACTATACTTCTAGCTTAATAAGGGTTTCTTATTATATATTACCTATAGTAAGTAGTAATCTTCTTACTAGCTTATTAAGCTATTAATATACTACTTATAGCTAGCGTATTTAGCTTAGGTATCTACTTTCCTAGAGATTTAATTAGCGCTTCCCTTTTTTATAAGTAGTTATAACTTCTTCTTATAGGTGTTACGGCCAGGCACATACGAGCCTTGACGGCTATAAAGATGTATTGGCACTATGAACAAAGACTCAAAGCTAAGGAGCAAGAAAGGAAGACTAGACTACACGACCGAGCGGGCCCTTATATAGACACGAGGTCGCGCGTGGGCACGTGATGCTGCTTGGGCACGTGACACTGGTGAGGTTCTGCGCTGGCGGCTCTACGCTGGCGCCCAGGGTCGTGACACTGCCCCCCGTCTAAGGCCTTGATATGCGTATCAAGGTAGTCAGTCGTGGCGGCGGGTTCTTGGTTTCACGGCTTTCTCTGCTGTGTCGTCATCGTCTCGTTCCTCGCAGCCCTCCTCCGCTGCAGCACATTCGATCCAGTATTGCAGGTTGACGGGTGGGCCTGCTGCGTCCGGATGTTCATCGTGGAAAATCTTCAATGCCATTGGTGCGTTACGGAAATTCCTAGCCGGGTACCAGGTCTCATCAGGGTCACATCCCTTCCATAAGACCTGGTATTCCAGTCGTCGACTCCTACCGGTTACTCGAGACTGCTGGACTTGATCAACCTCCCACTCGGGTTCTCCGTTGATCTCCTCGGGTGGCGGAGGTGACTGGATCTGCTGGGGCAAGGGGTTATCGGCTGCTTTTCGAAGACGGTCGGCGTGGAATAGGTTCTTCATTTTGTACGACTCGGGCAGCTGCAGTGCGTAGCTATGACCGCGTTCTTCCAGGATTACGAACGGACCTGACCATTGGTTATCTAGCCGAGTAGTCGGAGCGTTCGTGGCGAAGCCTTTCCTGCTGAGAAAAACTCGGTCACCGATGGCAAAGTCGGTTGGTCGTCGTTTCCTATTAGCCTGTTCCTTCTGACGTTCTTGAGCGGCGGTGGCAGCATTCCTGGCGTCTTCCTGGGTTTCCTGGGCGGTCTGCACAAGTTCCCTAGCTCTGGCGGCGGGTCCGGTGGCAGCGGTCTTGTCAGTCGGGGGCAGTGACAGGGGGTTCCGGATATCTCGGCCTAGGGCTACTTTTAACGGTGCCATGTCGATGGAAGAGTGCCAAGACGAGTTATGGGCGAAGTCGAGGGCGGGCAGCAGGGAACTCCAGTTATCTTGATGCTTCGTCACGTAGAATCGTAGCTTTTGATCTAGGTATTGATTTGTGACTTCTACACCCCCTTGGGTCTGAGGGTGTAGGGAGCTTCCATGACGATGCTTCGTTCCCGTGAGCCGGTTAATCTCTGCGAGGAAGGCGAAATAAACTGTCCAGCGTTGTCAGAAATCCATACGAGGGGCATACCGAAGAAACGATAGAGGTAGCGGAAGTAGCGGCTAGCTAAGACTTCTGCCGTATCGTTTTTCTTTCCTGGGAGCGTGGCGATAATCCGGCTTAGCTTGCAGACGAAGGTCCAAACATAGTCATATCCGTAACGGTCTTTCGGCATATCCTTCCCGTCACATTCGACGTGCTCCCAAACAGAGGTCGGTACGGGCAGTGGATGGAGCAGTCCAGGGTCTTGTCTCGAGGGTTTTGTTGCGGCGGCAGTCGTGGCAGTTCCGAATATAACGACGGATATCCTCCTTCATCCTTGGCCAGTAGAAGTCTCGTTGGAGCAGCTTGATCACCTTGTTCTGTCCGGCGTGAGCGAAGATCTGGGGTTCGTGGGCTTCGCGAATGAGCGCGGTCTGAAGAAACGTCTGCTTGTCTGAGGTCTGGGCTGGTACGACCAGGTGTGTTCCATGGGTACCGAGGTCTTGGAGGAGGTTCTCTTGGCGGATCAACGAAACGAGTTCGGCTCCCTTCGGGACCGAGTTCGGGTCTAGTTCTGGGCGGTCTTGATCGGGCGTCTGCTGTATCCTCGGTCTTCTGGGGTCTGTAGGGCACTCGTGGCCCTCAGAACTAATGGTCTAGTAGGCTTAGGTTCGGGACTAAAGTTCTGAGGGCAGGTTGCCGGCGGCCGTAGGGTCTAGAGAGTCGGTCGCGAAGCCTAGCCTTTCCGGAGGGATCAGGGTCACCGTGCGTTCCTCGGCTTCCCGGGCCTTTACGGTAGGGAGCTCCGCTGTCTTCCTGGAGAGGGCATCGGCGACTACGTTCAGTCGACCGGGGCGGTAGAGGAAACGGATGTCGAACTGGGCGAGAAAGTCGGACCATCTGATCTGTCGTACCGAGAGCAGGCGCGTAGAGAAATGGACTAAGGCTTCGTGATCGGTGATCACATCGAACTTCTGGCCTAAGAGCTCTGGGTAGAAGTGCTCTAGACTCTGTACGACGGCGAGGAGCTCTCGATCTTGGATTGGGTAGGCTCGCTCGGCCGGGGTCATGGTCTTAGAGAAGAATCCAACGGGCTTCCAGGTCTGATCAGGCTGTTCCTGCCATAGAACACCAGCTGTGGCATTCCGGGAGGCATCGGTCTCCAGTCGGGTCGGCAGTTCTGGTCTAAAGAAGGCGAGGACCGGGGCTTCGATAGCCAGGCGCTTGAGTTGATCAAATGCTTCGCGTTGCTCCGGGCCCATCACAAAGGCAACATCCTTCTTAAGCAACCGGTTCAAGGGTTCTGCCACTCCAGAGGCGTGGTAGCAGAAAACACGGATGAAGTTGCATAGGCCAACGAATGATCGGATCGCGGTGCGGTCTCGGAGGTCCTCAAACTTCCAGTCTTGTATCGATCGAACTTTCCGAGGGTCGACACTAAGGCCCACACCGGCTTCAAGCAGAACGCCGAGGTAGTCAACCTTGGTCACGTTAAATCTAGACTTCTTGATGTCTCCTGGAGGTTTGCCTGATGGAGTCGCCAGATCACTTCTTGACAGTCTTTCCAGTGGTCTTCTTCTTTATCCGAGTAGATCAGGACGTCATCTGCGTAGGCGCTGGCGCACCGGTCGAGGAGATCGTGAAGCTGCGCGTTGATAAACTGCTGGAACCAGGCGGGACCTACCTTCAGACCGAACGGGAGGACTTTCCAGCGGAAAGTTCCGAAACGGGTGCGAAAGGCGGTCAAATACTCGGAGTCAGGGTCCATGCGGAGACGGTGGAAGGCCTGGATCACATCGATCTTCGTGAAGCGTTGAGCTTCACGGCAACCGAAAGCAGTACCTTCGAGGACGGAGCGGGCGTGATGCGACTTTTAAGATGATCGTTCATCCAACGGTAGTCGATGCAGAAGCGGCGGGCGGTCGTGTTCGGTTTCGGAGCGAAGAGGACAGAAGCGGCGTGCGGACTCGGATCGGGCTCGATGAAGTCTATCTCCCGGAGGTGATCGACAGTCTCTTTCTCTAGAGGCAGATACTTAACGGGCGTGCGGTACGATGGGGGTCCTGTCGGCGAAAGAGGCTTCTCAAGCTCTAGGACTACATCGTGACCGGGTCGGCTCGAAGGTAGGGTGTGGGCCTCTTTCTTCGAGAAGAATCCTCTAGATGGGTGAGCTGGGGCGGTAGACGACTACGGACACAAGCAACATGCTCAGGGTCTTCTCCTGAGGAACGGAATGCTTTGTCCCTGGTAGGTCTTTTGATCCGGGAGACTTTAGCAACGGTTCGAGCACTAGGGACGGTCTGGTCAAGGCCGGAGCTTGGCTCGAGCTGGACTGGATCCCGGGGCATCAACGGTTCGAGTTCGTTCCACTGTTCGAATCTCTCGTGAGACTCTACTTGGCAGACCAGGGCGTTAATCAGGGCTTGATCTTCGGAGGCTTGGATCGAGGCGACGGAGACGAAGTCGGTAGCAGGGGCGGTCGTGAGCTGAAAACGGACAGACTTCTTGGCAGACGGAGACTTGGACTGAAACGACGGAGACGGAGTCGGTAACGGGGTCGGGACAGAGGCCGGAGGAGTTTGATCAGAGCGGCCCCAGTTCTTGTGGAGGATCCGGTAGCGTTTCTCCTCTTTCTCGAGCAGGCGGTTCCGCCTCTCAGCGTCGGCCTGGATCTTAGGGTCGATCCGACCCGAGAGCGGGGCTTGACGAGAGCTGGATCGTCGGGGAGAACTTGGCGAGGGCAGGAAGATCATCTGGCCAGATGATCTGTCGGGCGGCGCAGTCAAGCAGGAGGCGCTTCTCCCGCATCCAGAAAAGACCGATAAAGATATCATGGCCACACTCAGCTATATCAAATGTCTCGTTTGCGAACGAACGGCCATCGATGACGAAAGTGGCGACCAGCTGTTTCTGGATATAGCCGGCTGGCTTTCCACGGAAGTCTTGGATTGTAACCCGACTCGGGAGCTCCTTAATCTGGGCTCCGAGTCTTTGGGCGGCGGACTGGGCGAAGGTTGGGCTAACCAGCAAACGGGTTTCGGCCCGGTATCACAGAGGAGCGGGCAGGTAGGCTCACACCATCCACTTGGACTTGACTTGGCAGAGTGAATGACTTGCTAGACCTACTCGCTGTCTGTGACACCTTAGGGACCATCAAGGAGTCTTGTGATGGTCCTATTCGTTTCCGAATCTTGATCAGAGTCGTTGGCAGGGACAGGGACGGAGGCGACACGGGAGACAGCATGGGTGCGGTCGGGACACTCGCGAGAGAGGTGCCCTGTTTTTCCACAAATAAAGCAGGTGCCATTATCCCAATGGACCCTTTTCTCATCGTCGGTCAAGGCTCTGCCAGCATCACGCGAGGTGATAGGGTCGAGCCGGTCTTGTTCGGAGTCTTGGCGGTAGTCGGAGCAGTCTTAGTCGGCGCGCGGCGAGATCGGTCGGAAGAGCGGGAGTCCTGTGTCTGCCTCATACTCCTCTTCTGGCAGTGGACAGCGTCTTTAATGAACCCACAGAAAACCTCGTAGGTCACGGACTCGTCGCGGGTCTTGGTCAAGAGGCTGTTATCTAGGTTGGCCGGGATGTGCTGCCACAGGGTATGCTTCATCTGGTCCTCGGGCACACGACCGGTCGCAGTTAAGTAGTCAAATTCCGCAAGAAAGTCCACAATGTCGGTCTTCCCATTCACGGTAAACTGGAGGCGTTGCAGGCGGTCAAGAGCCTCGGAAAGCTCATTCGGATTGCCATAGGCGGACTCAAGGGCTTGGATCATCTCTGCCACTCCAGAGAAGGGTCGAGTGTCAGAGGAAGCGGGTTTCAAGTGCTCGGCGGGCTTTCCCTCGAGCAGGTTATACAGACAGACCATCCGGCTGTTCTCAGTCCGGAAGGTTCGCACGTCTTCGTCAAATTTGTTCTTTATGCTCAGGATGAAGGAATGGAACTCGTCCTTCTTCCTGAGAACGTCGCGGAGACCTTGATGCGCGATTTGGCGGCGTCGCTGTACTCGGGGTTCTTGCCCTCTGGGAAGGGGGCAAAAAGGCCAGGCAGCTTTGCCTGTTGGTCGGAAGGCCGGGCCATTTGGGCCGGCAAAAGCAGTCGAGGGCTCCCGGTGCTGTCGATTTGATTCAACAGACGGAGAGCGTTCATTTAGACGGGCCGTTAAGGCCGCAATCTGTTCTCTCATCTCGCGGATGAGAGCGTCTTGGGGCTCAGGGCAGCCATGGCTACTATTTCGGATTCAGTGGCTTGGCCAGCAAGCCGGGTGGAACGGCGAGGCTGATCCGATGGCAGGGCTTCCTCAGATATCATAGTCTCGAGGTCAGAGTCTAGGGTCGGAAATGATACCACGCGGAATCACGGTCAGATGCCTGCACGAGCAGGGACGGTCGGAGGTCAGACGGGACGAATCCCTTGGTCGGAACGGTTGGTCGGACGACTACACACACGCGTAGTCTTGGTCGGAACGGACGTGATCTCAGCCTTGAGGATCACTTGGTCGGTGGTCGGAGTCTTGGTCGGAACGGTCAGAACGGATGCGCTGGATTTACGTCAGGCGCGTGTGACGTGAAAGCTCGGTGCCTATTTGCTTAATCGCTGGCAAGCGATCTTATTGAGCTTTGAGTAGTGTTACGGCCAGGCACATACGAGCCTTGACGGCTATAAAGATGTATTGGCACTATGAACAAAGACTCAAAGCTAAGGAGCAAGAAAGGAAGACTAGACTACACGACCGAGCGGGCCCTTATATAGACACGAGGTCGCGCGTGGGCACGTGATGCTGCTTGGGCACGTGACACTGGTGAGGTTCTGCGCTGGCGGCTCTACGCTGGCGCCCAGGGTCGTGACAATAGGTATATTCTTATTTAAAGTTAGCGATTAGGTTCCTTAAAGGAAGTTAATCTTTACTATATCTTTTATTATAAAGGTCGAGAGCCCTTATTATTATAGACTAATATAGGTCCTACTTATCTACTACTATAAGAAAATCCTATTTAATTCTTATATCGTTAAGTATATCGACCTTAAGGTCTCGTAAATCTATAATAATTTAGTCGAGCTATTCTACCTAAGCTTTCTAGCCTTATATACCTCTTTTATTAATAGAGGTTATATATCTCTCGTAAATTAGCTTTTTCTCTTTTACCCCTAAAAGTAGGGCTTACTTTTTTAATTCCTTAATTTTCTCTCTTAAGCTATTATATATTAAGGTTATCCCCTAAAGCCTTTTACTAATTATTTTCTTAATTAATTCTTTAAGTATAATTAAGGCTTTCTACTAAACCTTATAGCGATTAAATTATAGCTAGAGCCTTTTCTTAAGGTTATAAAAGAAGTCCTTTATATCCTAGTATCGTTTATTATAGCTTATTCGCCTTATAAGGAATATAGCCTTAGTTTTATCTTCTTATTAAAAAGGTCTCCCTTTAAGATTAGTAATAAATTGCTCCTAGTCTAGCTATTAGGGCTATTTAAGCTCCTTTATACCGTCTAGGTTAGTATATTCCTAAATCTTATAAGTCTAAGCCTACGATTTAATCCCCTTAATTTATAGGGTCTAATTAAGGCTTTCCCTTAGTCTTATAATATAATTATCCCCTCTTACTTCCTTTAACGTTATCTTAGGAAAATTAATAATATCCTTCTTTAAGGGATATATAATTTATATATTTCTAGTAGTGCCCCTTAGTATAGCTAGGTCCCTTACCTTAATACTACGATTTAAGCGTTATAATAGCGTTAATAGCTCGTAAATAGCTTTAAAGGTAATATTAGCGGGTAAAAGATAATCTAGCTATATAGACCGGGCTTATAACTCTTAAGTAAGGGCTTAAGAGCATAGTAGAAGAAATAAGGGTATAGAAAGGTAAATTTAGTAATATATATCTTAGTCTATCTATTAAGATAAGGGAGGGGCTTATATAGGTATAGTGACTATATATAGCTAGCTAAAAGAGGGCATTAAGATATTCCTATACCTAAGTTAGGCCTATATAATATCCTTAGGCTAGGGGAGTTATACTAGTTAGGCAGGCTTCCTTATATATAACTATTAGGTCTACTAGGCATGACTGTGGCCTCTTATGCCTACTCTCCTTAATAGGTATACACTGAAAAAGTGGAGTTTGCTGTACAATGTGCAAATAACAATACTATAAAGGGGATTTCAATATCCAGGTATGGAGAACTTCGCTGGTCTTGCGCCTTGATACGTAAGACCGTTGGAGACGGTAAAACTGGCTTCCTTGTGTGCATCAGTTCCGTTGTAACTCGTCTGGTTGATGGTGCGACATAGAGGCTTAGCGTATGCGGTGAAAGTTAGCGGTGCTGAACGCGTCCAATTTCAGCTTCGTAGGTATGAAAAGCCGTTGAATAACGTTTAATAAGTTCAGTTGCGGCCCGAACAACATGATGGTTTCACCAAGTTCTTCCCTAGAGAACAAGCAAAATGAACGAAAGGTGCGGACGAGATAGACCCGAGTCAAATTTCGAAATCAGGTCTCGGAACAGCGGTGATGCACACCTTCGAACTACTTGGGGAAAGATTTGGCCCAATAGCAATGAGACTTGCCCGATTTCTCGTACCCACCCTCAGTCTTAGTCCACTCATTAGCCGTCGTGTCGACCTTGTTTCCTCTGGCGTCTATATAGAACAATTCTCTCGACAATTTGTGTCTCCCGATTGTGGTTTTGATGCGCTTGGCATGCCTTACACGACGGGGGGCTTCGACTCCGGTTTCGGCAGAATCAAGGCTCACGTCAGGATTTACCTGAAATGAAGAACCCGCCTGGCTCGCATCCTCTGGCACAGAGGCTCGAATAGGCAGCACATACTGACCGGGCGACTCGACTTGGCTATCGCCAGCACTGGTGTCGCTGGCAGCTTGCTCTCGCTGCGGTCCTTGCGGGTCGGGTTCTTGTCGGGTGTCTCGCCTGTTCAATGTTTGCTTCTTCCTGCCGGACACATTGTGTATGAAACCCCCCGGGCCGCGGCTGCGCCAAGTGTCGAGTCCTGGATAGGAGTAATCGATGTAGTTATCGCCCCGCTCAGCCATCATTGCCAGGAACCATAACGCCAACTTAACGGTCAGGCGCTCCCCGTGGGCTTGCCAAGGGACAAGAGCATACTCTGGGTCGTGGTAGTCCCAATCAGTTGCGTTGTCATCTAAGTATGACGAATTCGTTGCAGCGATTCCTGAGGTCATGCTCGTGTCCGAAGAGTGCCTGTAGTGACCAGCTGTGTAAGAAGCCAGACTTCGTTGGGGTCGTCCCTGACTGATGCCAGTGCCAATCGGCCTCCGGGTGAGCCTCAGAGGTACCAGATAAGTGTCCGTCAAAATGAAGCCATATCGGACCCCATAATAATCCATGTAGGTCAGAACCTGAGAAACGACTTTGGCCCACTCATCGTAGTATTCGTCATTGCTTAGCATTTCCGGGGCCCATTTTGCACTAAGCTTGGTGTCTCCTGGAAGAAGATTGACGTATGCTCCTAATTCTTCGTGGAGATGTTTATCGGATACAACAGACCAGTCAGGGATATAGTTGCCACCACAGCGGGACCCACGACCGAAATGAGCCTGTCCGGCTTGGCCGGCTAGGGCGTAGTTGACAGTCGGTATCATAAACCTTCGCAAATAGTCGTCAAGAGTCTCCTCGTTGTGCACCGTAACGTCCAAGATCAGTGGTTTAGGGTCCTTTGAACCGGTATATGTTGACTTCAGTTCTTCATGAAATACTTGAGTGAGGGTGGCATAGTTAAAATCTGCCCATGGAACCCAGCTCTCAGGGTGCACCCTCATCTGCACGGTAGTATTGACCCCGGTCGGTACAGGGGAAACGTCGATTCCACCATTTGGCTGCGTCAAAATACTCGAGAGGGTAGGGTTCGTCATTCTGAAATGCAACAGGGTGACCAGGGCGTTAGATCAAGGCGGTGTCGTCTGTGGTTCTTGCGCAAGGGAGAGCTTTAGATGTAAAATTCTGGAGAAATGTGAGAAGAGTGACAACGAAGATGAGTTGGCATTTTATAGTCATTCTCCGTGGATGCTTGGCCGAGCGCGCAACGCGGACCAGTGCCTGGACGCCCAGGAAGGCCTGCCATGACCAGGCAGTCTCAACTGTTAGGTTAGTCCACGAGAGTGACTTTTGCTTCGACAAGGCCTGTTGTTACAATGCATTATGCAGTAAGCCTCGCCCTAAGGACAAGAGTGTTCATCGCACTTAATTTGCTACTTCGCGTGCTGCGCGAGGTATCGATTAACCACTCCTTGCTGCTTGGCGACTTCGCCATGAACAAGGCTGGGCGGGGGGTGTGAGGGAGGGTCAGTTAGCTACTCCGCTGGGTGCCTAGTGCTACTGCTGTTACGAGAGCGATTGGGGCTGCATAGAGAAAATAGGGGTCACACGGTGTAATTCCTGATGCATGCCTAGCTAAGGGGGTCGGCCTTAAGAGCCCTATTTATACCTACCTAGGTAAAAGGGACATCAGGGTACCCCATGAGGCTTGATGCATGTTTCCCTCAGGTCTTCAATGCAAGAGAGATAATCCCTCCCTTGGGGAATGCCTGTGGGCTCCCTGGTGGACCTCCCAGACTCGGTTGCCTAGGTACGTACCGTAGGTAGCTGCATCGCTACTCACCTAGGTAAGTACCTAATTACCTACCTACCTAGTCAAGGTAGGCGGACCACGACACGTGATCGGTATCTGTTTCGCGCCTCCAGCGCCCGTGACGACCGACGCATCATCACCGCAGTAGCCGAAGCAACAGTCCCTCGCGTTCAGATACAAGTCTCTGGCAGCATGTCAAAGATGTCAGCACGCAGACGCGCGAAAGTGGCCGCTCGCGGACTGAGGTCCGACGCCGCCACTTGCAAACCATCAGCTGCTGGCGACATCGAGATGGGCAGTGTGCTTGATCCTTCCCAGGAAGCTTTTGAGCAACCGCAGCTCCGAAGATGCCAGTTCAATTTGTCCCAAGTCGACTGGGAGCGAGCTGTCCGAATTGGCGGCGGACTGGACGGCTATGTTTGGAAGGTGCATTTCGGATCCGAAGGTCCATACGCGCTCAAAGTGGTGAGCCAAGCCCCTGCGCGGTAGTCATTGCCGACAACGTCTCACTCGTCCGCCTAGTTTTATGATACGTTTCCGCCCAACGTGCACTATTATGCTTTCGAGCGAGAGTGTCGAAACGCCGCCCTTCTTCAGCTGATGCAGGCAGCGGTACGGCAAGCCGCCGCCGAGTCGGCCTCGATAGTCGTAAATAGCAAGCCGGCGACGATTGACGATATCCGAAACAATCTCTTAGCATTCTCCAACGAGCGGCGACTGATGTCGCCGGCCATCGTCGGTGAATCGGATGAAGTAGTTTCGGAGATTCCGCCCTTTACCGAATGCTACGGCTGGTTGCAGTTCTCTGGCCAGACCTTTCTCGAGATGCCCTTCAAGCAGACGCCGCCAACTTATAAGGCGGACAAGCTTATACGCTTGTTCGCGCCCGACAGAACGTACTTCGCTATCGTGTATGAGTATATCGCCGACCCTGAAAACAACGACCAAGTTGTGGAAAAGGTGGATCGCTTTCTTCATCGTGCTGGGTTTGGACACACCATGTCCCCGGACGGAAGTAATTGGAGGCATAGCAAGCTCATTGACCACAGCGAATATGTCGATTACAGGGGGTTCGGGTGGTCGCCACGCCTATACAAGCCGAGACCGGCAGCACGAATTCTAGCAGGGCATACCCGCCCGCCCCCGTCGAAGTGACGCCGTTGAAGTAGGTGGTTTGCAACGGGCACGGGCATGGCTGGTTGATTGTTTGCCTTGGTTCAGCAGCTGCGCACTCCCTTGGACGACTTCTGGGACTCAAGCACGCATATGATCGCACGCACCCGCCCTTTCCCGAGAGCTTGCCTGGCACGTCGAAGTAGCCCACGTTTGATGGAAGCGCCCTCGGTCAGCAGACAACGGCGTCCTGCCAGGCTTGCTGAGGGAGGATCCCTGGCCCCAAGGTATTGAAAGCGGCCCACGGGGCAAAGACTGAGAAGTTACACGTCCAGGCGCTCGAGCATCCTGCCTTTTCGACAAGGTGGCTATCGGGGCTCGTGGTACGAAGCAGATGGCCAAGATGTCGCATACCAAGCCCGCCTCGAATGATCCATAACGTGGCGATATTACTACGCAACGCCACTGTTGCCTGCTAGGCAATGGCTACCACATACTCATGCGATTAGTTTCCTAAAGGTCCATACTTAAGGCATAAAAACAATATAGACAGTATTAGATGGTATGGACAGAAAAGCACATGCAAATCTCGTTCTCATCAATATGGCCTACATGTTAAGGTTCTATATAAACATGATTAGCGCGAAGAGGCTTAAAAGAAAGGGGCTTTGGTATTATAGTGTCACGGAGTAGGCAGAGGCAAGGGAGCGCAGGTGCGGTCTGTAAAAAAAGGATAATGAACTATTACGAAGGAGAAAAAAAGAGGAAACAGCGGGCGCCGCGCCCATCGGTATTACACTGGCATTGAAACGATTATTGCCCGACCCCAACGAGATCCCAACCAAGAGACCCAGACTTTCTCCGCGACTTCTACTATAGTCGGGCCTACAATAGTTATAGCTCTGCTAAATCCAACGCTGCTTCCGTTCTATCCCATAAAGACCCCGAATAGTTAGACGCGGACACCAAGCAAAAATAACAGGCCGAAATATAACACTTCCTTTTCCTCTTATGCTCCCTTATACGCAGACGATCAAATTTCCATAATATACTCCCCATCCTATTAACTTATAAGTTATAATACCTATAGGTCTATGAGCTTTCCAGCCGCCTAGACACTGCCCACACCTCTTCAACCCCGTTATCTCTCTAACCCCTGATGCTCTGTCTCGAATTCACTTATGATACCCTACACCCCTTGCCCTATTTCGAACTTGCCTCCGGTATCACCAGCTTTCGTTCTTTAAGGCTTCCTTGTGCAACCCGCGACCGGGTTGCCTCCCCTCGCATCGTCATGACGCGTCAACTGCCCAATCTTCAGCAATGCCGAGTCCCGGCATTGGCCAGCCATTGCCCGTCGGCCGAAAATAACTCTCCCATTACCCCAGTTGCAGTCAGCAGCCAGGAACGAGACCAAGCAGCCCGACTCACTAGGAGGCGTGGGCCTAACTGTCAAGCTGGTAAAATACCGCTACACCATGCAAAATGAGGGCACCCCCGATAGAGGTGTTACTAACGCGTATTATAGGCCCTTTCTTGTCCTGACACTAACACTTCTGACCTCCGTATTCAGGGGCGTGGACCACGAGGCAGCCAACCGGCTGGCCAAAGCCTTAATAGGAGCTACGAAGAGAGAGGTCCGATAGTCACTCCACCACCTCTGTAACAGCCACAGGGGTTAGTTTGCATGAGGATTCGATGGTCCAGGCGGGTAGATACCTATATAGCCCGCAGCTTATGTCCCCTCCGTTTGAGAGGGACATCGCAATCTCGATGCATTTGATCACGCCTATCTTATGCCGCATGACACCTCCGACTTATAAGTGCCGAGCGAGGCGCGGGGCCAGGCCAACATCATAGGCTAGACCCCCCTAACCCCCAGGGCCCCGAGTCGAGACCGAGGCCAGCAAGTCCGTCCACTCGTCATCCTTTGAGCAGATGGGCATTCGTCCGATGATTAATCAGCCTTGCCTCTGGCATCCTCGCCCTCGGGGGCTTGCCCCCACTGCACCCCCAGATGATCCAGAGGCGGTCGATTTGGGCGTGCAGAAGGTAGAGGTCGAGGTCGTTGGGCGAGCTGTAGAAGTCGAAGCCGTCGCCTCCGACGTAGCCGTGGGAGCTCTGGTGGACCGTGTTCTCAAGGAGGAGGCGGAAGCCGTGGACTGAAGTCGTCGAGAGCAGGTCCGCCGTGACGGCGTACGTGAGGTGCTCGCGCTGAGCGCCGGGGAGAAGCTGCGGCATCGTGGGTTGTGCCGGTTCCCGAACGTGTTGTCGGCGATGCCGGCGCACGGCGCGGCCAAGCACCCGGCTATAGGCGACAGGCTACAGGCCATAGTCACATTCTAGAAATCCATGAGGTCTCCTGTAGCCCTTGCTATTGCACCCCGTGCCCCGACGGGTATGGCTCCATGTTATGAAGCTTGCTGCTGTAGCTCCCTAAATATCTTGCCGTGGAAGTCCCGCCAGCCGCTCTCGCACGTGCTCTTGACGATGGCGATGAAGAACCTGGAGCAGTGCATGACAACGTCCTCAACCAGCGCTAAGCTCCCGTCCTCGGCTTCGTGAATCTCCCACACGGTCTTGAGCGTCGTGGTTATGGGGCTGCGTACTGGGACAAAGACTCCACGTTTAACGACGATAAACTCGTAGGTGCTAACAACGTCCGAGTCCCAGAGCCCGGCGGACAGAGCATAGACCATTGTCCGCCACCTGGTAATAGCACTTGGCCGGCGCAATGGCCGTAGCGCCGCAGCCTTAGGGAAGGGTGGGCTTCGGGTCCGACGGAGTGTCGATGCGCTCATGCTTGACGAGGTAAGACATATAGAAAGTTATACATAGTTTAGATATTTATTTCCAGCCTCTTTAGTAGGAAATCCATTTGGTCCCTATATATTATATAAAAATTTGTAGTCACACCTAAAGACCCTTTCTTGAAGCAAGAACAGCACAATTAATTGATATACTCTCTATTAATGCAAGAATCTTATAACTAGTAATAGTATAACCTGCCTATAGTCATTTAAGGCGGCCAAGATACCTATAAATACTAGGGATTAGCGCAATATACATTTATTTTACCCCCCTTTAGGCTGCTATAACATTTATCTTATTATTATCTAGACAAACTGTATGAAAGTGCGTATTATTATAAAATTAAACCATGCTATAGTTTTATGCATTAACTAGATTGTAACTGCATTGACTGTATTGACTTGCATTAAAACTTTATTGTATTCGTGCTGGGCCTGGTAACCGTTGTGTGATGGGCCCCTGGGTCACCTCTATCGCGATACTCGCCCGCCTTTGAGCGGGCCATATAGCGAGCGTCGGCCCTTCCCGATCGTACGGCCAAGCCGTAGCCTAGGGCGCGGGCAACGGCATGACAGGCGGCTTGGTTGTAAACGGAGTCCATTGCGGTAGCAGCATGTATGAAGATAGCCTTACATTTCATGCGACGTTGTAATGTTTATGTTATGCGGGCCGAGTATGCGAAAACCCTACCAAGTACGATGCAAAATTCACGGTATCGACCCTCTCCCACCTTCTATTATATACATGACGTATTTGTAAGGTATTGCGGATTAACCGCCCCTTGTATAATTTCCATGACCATGAATTGTAATAGCAATTCGCACTACGGGAAGGCAAAGGGCAGCTGTTGGCCGGGGACGACAAGTAAGGACTCTGCAAAGACGCAATAGCCATGGCCGCAGCAGTCCCAAGACGCGTAACCATCGACATAATTACGGAGCTGGGAGGGAGCCGGGCGTAGGCAAATAACCGGTGTAATTTTCTAGAGCCGGCTTCTAGGACTGCCAGCCGAGACGAAATCGCAATCCATGTCGTTAAGGGAACAGAGTCGGCGGAGAAATCCGCCGGATAGCGGAGCAAGGTCGTCGTGAAACCGCTTCGAGCTTGGCTAACTGATTTATAGCTCTTGGCTTCGTTAGAGACTATGCGACTTATTTCCCTGTTGTAGCATTCTCCGCATTTGGTCATGGGCACGTGGGCCTGTGCCAACGGCTTGGAGAACGGAATATATATATATAGTAGAGATGTCCACTGAGTATGTCGCATAGATATTATGGGACGAAGATGCGCTGGCCGAAGAGTGGAACCCATTGCTGAACCGACCGTGCTATACTAGAGGGGGGGGGGCTCATTAACAACCACTTTCCGCCCCTGTATAAGAGGAACAAGACTCCAAACATTTACGTGTCTCCCTGACAAGGAAGTAGACATGCATCAATAAGCGAGAGATTGTACCTTCCTGTATTGCTGGTAGAGCTGTCTCCTTTTTGCGGCTATACTCCGAAAGTCGGCAAATATGTAGCTTATTGGTGTCTTGAAGCTGCTAGGATAAGCCTGCTGGCATCGTTTCCTCGGGCTAGAGGGCAGCCTCCTCCCCTACCATTCTAATTCTATTCCATCACGCCAAGCAACAAGAGGAGTAGCCAATGCTAAGGGGGGACTTGGCGCTATATCAGCACATTTCTCTTGTCACGTGGATGGGGTCTGATTGGCTGTCGTCGTACTTGCATATGACCTCCTATTTCGCCAACTCTTAAGCCCTATAAAAGATTGCCTACTTAGGCATTTCGTTAAGCATTCTGCTGCTGCGTACAAAGATGGCAGAAACAAGGGTTTCTGACAGATACCTAGGGCGGCTGCAAGATTTAGTATACGAAAGTTCCCTCCTTTTCTAAGTAGTAAGGAGTAATACTGCGCCTCAATGGTTTAAGCTTCATACTATGGTTGCCCGAGCGGGATGCATTAACAAAGCCAAGGCACGCTCTATGGAAGGGAGAGCTGAGTTTAATTTTATCCTAACAGCCTGGTTCAAATCATCCAAGGGCGGAGACCCTGTATGACTAGCCAGACTTGGCGCCAGGGTTCAGTGCAATGCAGTTTAATCTGAACAAGAGGCTGCTGCAGCATTAATGCCCTCTTCGATCTCACTATACCTGTCAATACTGCCTCAAGCTGGTAGTCTCGAGAGTGACTCCACAACTGTCGTGATCTTTTCTCCGTCCACCTAATACGTAGTTACTGTGTACAGGCACAGTCAATGACATTGCACCAACATAAATAGTCCTTGGGCTGCTTACGCTTTCTGTCCCTTGACACAAAAAGCTATTTCATGTCTGCAAGCCAGCAAGGGACACCAGTCATCTCGGGATTCTGACAAGCCTTTCTACATTCATTATTTCGCCTTGATTCTTGGGGTTGCTATCGAGCCTTTGAGTTTTGGGACCTGGCCCCGCTCCTTCGACCTCTTTCACACGTTACGTGTTAACAATCGCAACAATGAAGAGCCATTTCGTCATGGGCGTTGTGGCTTCTAGCCTTCTAAGCGTAGTGGCTTTGGCCGCTTCTCCCGATGCTCCTCCAGCGCCCAGAACTCATTCGAGCGGCAAAAGGCAGAAGCAGCCAAACTTTGTCTTCATAATGACGGATGACCAAGATCTACACCTTGGTTCCCTCGAATACCAGCCTGTAGTACAGGAGCAATTTCTCAAGAAGGGAACTGCGTTCAAGAAACATTTCTGCACGGTGTCTATTTGTTGTCCTTCGAGAGTCTCGCTCCTTACGGGCAAGGCTGCCCACAATACCAACGTAACTCACGTTATATGGGTAAGTACCCCTATCCGTTGTCTAGATACATAACCGTGCCATGTCCGAGCATCGAGCTAACGTCCAGAATTAGCCATATGGTATGCTCCAGCAAAAGTATATACAGTGCCAAGTTAGACTAACCGTTATTCGTGATAGGCGGCTTTCGCAAATTTGTTGACCAAGGTCTCAATGAGCAATATCTGCCAGTCTGGCTGCAACAATTCGGGTACAATACATACTACGCCGGCAAGCTTATGAACGGCCATAGCGTGGATTACTACGACAAGCCTCGACCTGCGGGGTGGACAAGATCAAACTGTGAGCTGGGACTTGTAGTAGCACTGCCTGATAATTGGCTGACTTGCAATAGTCTTGATCGACCCCAAATCCTATGACTACTGGAATCCTTCCATGGTGCTAGACGATGGCGAGGTTCAAAGTCATGAAGGCAAGTACTCGACCGACTTGGTTGCCAACTCATCCACCGACTTCTTGGACGACGCACTCGCTGCTGGCAAACCCTTCTTCCTCGGCGTCGCACCGATTGGACCACATTCTGGGCCAGGCTTCAGCATGCCATCGCCCGCCGAAAGGCACAAGGATATGTTCCCTGGTGTTAAAGTCCCGAGGAAGGAAAACTTTAACCCCGATCAGGTGAGTCTGCAGCCACAACTTCGCGGCTGTGAGAGGGCGCGTCATACTAACAGCATCCGACTTAAGATCAGATCCAGTGCTGTCAATTATTTCGGCAATCTGCCCAAGATTAGCGATGACCATCTTGAGTACTATGACGAATTTTACCGTGCCAGGCTCCAGTCATTACAGGCAGTCGACGACCTTGTTGCCAGTATTATCTCTAAGCTGGAGGCAAACCCAGAGGTCCTTGAAAACACATATCTCTTTTATACCACCGATAACGGCTACCACATCGGCCAGCATAGGCTGCCTCCGGGTAAAACCTGCAGTATAGAGGAAGATATCAACATCCCTTTTATTGTTCGCGGGCCTGGCATCGCGGCGGGCGAGGTGGCCAAATTTCCAACTTCACACACCGATGTCGTGCCGACATTATTCGACCTGGCTGGTATACCTCTGCACAACGACTTTGATGGTGTGCCGATCCCTGTGACGAAGGAGAATCAGCAGAAGAACAAATTAAAGCCAGAGCATGTGACTGTTGAGTACTGGGGCCCTGGACTCAAAGAGGGAGACAAAATTATAGGGAAGGGTGGGTGTCCGGATAAGACAGGCTGTCCTCCTAGAATGCTAACGTGCGGAACAGAGAAAATTATACACCAAAACACATATAAGGCGTTGCGAGTGATTGGAGACGGCTACGACCTCTCGTATACCGTGTACTGCACCAACGAGCACGAGCTATACGACATTACTGTGGGACCCCAAGTAGAGCTTCGCGTCGTGCCTTAATGCTAACTGGACAAAACACGCAGGACGACCCGTTTCAGATGAACAATCTCTACGTCTCTGAATTGACTAAATCGGGCTTCAAGGTCCCCGAGTTAGTAGCCCGTCTTGACGCCCTGCTAGTTACTCTTAAGAACTGCAAGGGCAGGACGTGCCAGCACCCGTGGGAGACCCTGTTTCCTAACGAAGAGGCGGCTAGCTTGCGAGACGCTATGGATGCCAAGTACGACAGCTTCTTCAAGAAGCAGGAAAAGGTCGAGTTCTTGGGGTGTAACAATGCGTACATACCTGAGCTAGAAGGCCCCCTTGGTTCCCAGCCATTTACTGTTGTAGGCAATGAAGCTAAACAAGCACAAATTGGGGAGGATGTAGACGAAGGAAATCATGGTGAGGGAATCGTCGTGCCCTTTTGAGGGCCACGCTCAGAGGTGGCCCTGGCCCTCATGTTATTTTGCCTTACAGGCGTAGTAATCAGGATCACGCCTACATACGTAGCCCTTGGAGACTAAGTGACCTTTATTTATGATGTACGTGATAAGTGAGCTGGACAGACAAGTAAGCTGGATGCCAACCCACGTGGAACCATGCGTCTATCATCTTTGAAATGTCAATCCTAACGCCTTAAATCAGTCCAAATCAATCATAGCTCTTCCTCCCCCGATCTCCTTCATCTCTCGTTTGCCACCTATTGGCGCCACTCTCCCTGGTCTGAGTATTAGAAAACTAGTTTGTGCATGCGCCTTCAATTATCTTTGCCAGTGCAGAACCGAAATATGACACGAGCTTTGTGACCATGGTCAGGTCCCCGCCGCATAGCGCGTCATCACCACTCACTGCCACTCTGATATATTCACCTCGATGAACGATGACATTGAGGAAGAATCGATGGGGGCACAAGTGGGACGTCTCAAGCTCCTCGATAGTAGAGAATGTGGATGACGACGGCTTAGTGACGGTGAAGTAATCTGAAGCAAGGGGTTCCCTGAGCCTGTGCCTGCTGAGCACCTTCGTTGCGGCCTCGACCTCGTCATCCTCGACCCCTGCGGCATTGTCTCCGGCGTAGAGAATGTTGATGTAGGAGTTGAACCTGGGGCGAAACTGTTGCACACCGTCTGACTGCGCGAATTTGGTGAGCTGTGCTAGATGGTCTTGCACAAAATCCAGCAGATGCTCCTCAGATGACGACAACCCGGGGCTTTGGCTATCCAGGTTCACGCAAAACGGTGTCACGGTCAGAGTCGGCACGCTTTCGGTAGCTAAATCGAGAGTCTGAGCCCCATCTGCGGAAGAAAGGGACCGCGAAGCATGATTCAAGCCGAACGTGGGTTGAGAGCACTTCGTGAAATGCCCCAGCATCCTTGCATAGGCAAGGATGATGGCGGCCGAGGTGCGTGCATTACTCTTGGTTCGCGAAAGCGCGTCGATGGTGCTCTGTGGAACGACAGCAGAATAGCTGGCTTTGAAGTGCGGGCCCAGGGGTGATTTGTATGTGGATGCTGATAATGCATCATCCTTGGCACCCGCGTGCAGGATAGTATCTTGGGCGTGCGCCAGATGATGTTTCCAGTACGAATGCTCGGCATCGAGCTGCCTGATGTCTCTGATTTGATGAACCACGTGTTCTAAAGACGCACGAGTCTGCAGCACCTTGCCAAAGGCCAAGAGCTCATTGAAGTCCTTCTCAATCATCTTGATACTCCATGCGTCGTAAAGCGCGTGGTGGACTCGGAGCACAACTGCTTTCCCGTCCAATGCTTCTACGAACGAGAGACGGACCGGGGGCTCCCTCAAATCTGATGGCTTGCCGTTTTCTTCGCCGACGTGCTCGTCGATCAAGGCTTGGATGGGCTTTGACAAGTCTTTGAGAACCGCAAAGTGTCCCTCTCCCGTCCATTGCTCGCCTAAAGTGACTTGGACCAGTCCTGTGGCGTTGCCTGTCCAGACGAACGTCGTCCGGAGAGCTTCGTGAACTCGGCAAAGCTCAGCCCAGCAGCTCGACACTTTTTGGGCGTCGAGAGAATCATCAACCACTCGGTACACCCATGGAGCCTCAAAGAACCTCTTGCCGTTGTATAGCCATTGCTCCAAGTGCGCACGCTGGCCTGCTAGGGCCGGCAGGACAGACTTGACGTGGTCTTTTGGCAGTCCGAGGGTATTGGCCACCAGTCTCTTCAGCTCATCCTCTTGGGTCAACAACCGTTGTCTCGGTTCCTGTACGACGACCTTTTGTGTCGAAGTCGTACTCTTGACGATGTCATGGACGCTGGCACCCTTGATGATGTCGAAGATGCTCGCACTCATTCCCATCTTCTTCCTCAGGAGCCTTGACAGACGAATGGCCAAGATCGAGTCAAGGCCCACGTTGATCAGCTTCGTGTGGTAGCCGATATCCTTGCCCCTTGTGCCGAGCACCGTCTTGACCAATTCCAAAACAGCATCGGCTGTTGGAGTCAGGCTGTCCATCTTTAAATGATTGGCCGTCTCGTTTGTGGATCTTCCGTTTAGGGCCAAGTTCTGCTTTCCTACCGACTTCATGTGGCTGATATCCAGTGCCGGACTTTGCATTTCACTTGAGACGACACATCTCACCGCAGTCTCGAGTCGGCTTCCCAAAGTTTCCACCTCCTTTGTGGTCATCTTGGCCCTCAGCTTGCCGTGAAGGATGTTGTTCTTGATTTGGAAGCTGACAATCAGAGGATAATCGTCATACGCCGGTCCATCATCCGCGTCTCTCCCTACGCTCTGGGTCTGGGTCTGAGCAGGCCTGAACAACGGTTGTGTTGAGTCGTTGCTATCAGTTTCTGCTGAGGCGATGACCCCATCAAACACGAACAGACTTTGGAAGAGACTCGCGGGGACATGTTCCTGGCCCGGACTTGACGATCTCCACAGCGTCTGGACCGTCCTCAGAGATGCCATTGCGTCCACCCCCCTCGCATCATCACTCAGCTTCTGCACCCGGGCCAAAGCCTCTGCAACGTTGACGGCGATCCCGTGGTCCGCCAGTTTGACCCGCATGGGCACTGTGTTGATGGTAGGGCCAACTATGACAGCGTCACCGTCACCGTCAAATCCGCCACCAGTCGAGACGACCTCGCCGTAGACGACATCGCCTTGTCCGTAGAGAGACTCGCAGAGTACTTTCACCCAGGCCAGCTGAAGCGCCGCCTTGGTCGTCACGCTGAGGGCTCTGCATCTTGTCTGCAGAAGCAACAGCTCCTGTTCGCTCAATGCAAAATGGAAGGCGGATGACGCCTGAAGTGAGTCGCCAGGGAATTCAAGTGGCGTATAGCTGTAGTCTTGAACCAGGTTGGTCCAAAATGCCACTGAAGCTCTTTGCGCCAATGCAACTGTCCTTGCAAAGGGCCTGAACAGATGCCTCGAAGTTTCTTCGCTAACTTGATCATGGCCTTGAAGACGCCTGTGATAGTTCTCGGCCAGGATACGCCACACGGCCCGAATCGAAGTCGCGTCGTACAGAGCATGATGAATCCTCAGCTGTACCCTGCCCGGCAGATCCGACTTCACTGTCTCCCAATGGACAAGGTCGCTCTGTTCAGTAGGAGACACAACACCAACCCATGGTGCCTCGTCATCTTGGGTGAAAATGAAACGGGTCCTCAATATCTCACAGGCTTGCACTGTATCCCTGACAGCGGCGAAGAAGTTGTCGAGGCTGGAAGTGTCTGCTCCGAGAGCATGTCCGGACAATTGGATGGTGTGGACGTAGGTGTAAGCCTTGCCCGCAATGGCCAGCGATGCACTGAGCATGCCCTCCTGAAGCGGTGTCGCCACGAACATGAGGTCCTTGGCCAGTCTCCTCAGAGTCTTGTCGTAAATCTCTTCGTCGTTCATGCCGTTGTCGGCGTTGGCACGTCTGGCTTCTGAATATTGTCTTCTACTGCCATTGACAGTGGCGCCGGCTCTTAACTTCGCCGCCTGGACAAGTCTTGCCGCGCCTCGGATGGTTCGAGCCTTGATGACTGCATCAGAAGTGAGAATGATGCTCTCTGACCTGTTGATAAGTTTGACGAATGAAAGAACGGTGATGGAATCGAGGCCCATCTGGTACAGCGAAGTCTCCTTGTCCGATATGTCAGACGGCTTCAGACGGAGGAGGCGGCAAAGGGTTGCTTCTACGCAGGCCAAGGCATCTTGATATCCTTCATCTGCCAAACCCGGTTCTCGTTCAACGTCGCCGAGGGTGCAATGGCCGTTAGGAGCAACAGAGTTCACGTCGTGGTGCATCGGCACAAAATGCTCGACTCTCGCGCTCTTGTCGGCAGAACTGCACACGATCTTCTCAAACAACCGGCCAACCTCATTCAGCTGTGACTCAGTCAGGGACCCATCCGACGAAAGCGTCAAGACAATCTTGCCATCTGCATGCAGATCGACGTCAATGGCCATGGCCATATCGCTCTTGCTCCGGGTACGTAGAGCGCTCATGCGTCCAGGTTCAGGCTCGCCATTCGTTTCCACGTCCGCGGGGACAATGTTGATGCTAAGCAGACTGTCGAACAGCTTGTCCTCGGATCCAGCCCAACGCTGTACCTTCTCTGCACTGACGAGCGGCATTGTGCCCTGGCAGGCACCAATGTGGGCCTCGTGGACTCTCTGAGCAAGCTCGGGTAAAGTCTCGTTCCCTCTTTGAAGGCTGAGCGTCTGGATCAGGGTGTTGAGGCATGGTCCGACAAATTCATCCACGCCGTCGACGACGTGGTTAATTAGGGGCCGGAGTGACATGACAAAGCCGTAGACGACTGATGTCTGTCGAGTAAGTTGAGCTAGACAGAGGGCGGTCGCCAGCTGGAAAGCAGAAGAGGCTGATATCGACGCGCCGGATTGCTGAGACTGAGCCTGCAGCTTGGCCCTGAGCTGGGGAACTGTGTAGGCAAGACACAGAGTCGATTGAACCATGGTGCCATGTCCGTTGCTGTCGCTGTCGGCCCCGACACGGCACGGCCGCACACCATACAACCTTGCCTGCCACAAGCGTCTTGTGGATTCTATTTGTGCATCCGAGAGGCAGCAGTAAGCAGAGATGTTCGTCAGAACATTGAGACTCTTGTTGACTGAAGCAGGAATGGGGTCTTGTCCGTCGTAGCCCTGCTCCAGCCTCCTCCTGAGCACGTCGATAGCCACGCCGTCGAATAAGGCATGATGTATCTTCAACGAAACGACAGTCTCTTCAGAATTCTCTGTCTCTAGAACCTGCAGCATTATTGGTGGTCGTACGTTCATTCGGGCCACTATGTCCGCCGGACCTCCTTGGCCTTCAAATATCGAGCAAGGAGGCGACTGGAGAACAACCTGGAAGATGCGTCCATCGTCCTCCCGCTGGACGAAACAGGTCCTCAGCATGGCCTCGGATGCGACAGCTAGCTCGGCTGCCTTCTTCCATCTGGCGAAATCCGTGCCGCGGGAAAGACGGTAGTGGAACTGCGCCACGTATGGGACGTCGACTGCTGCTCTGTCCTCATCCTCATCACCATCACCATTGGCGCTCAGCCATACCAGGGACCGAGCGACAAGGGCGGATTGTAGAGGCAGGCAGGGCAGGACGGCTTCGATCTGCAAATTGCTGAGACCGACGGGGACTGGGCCAAGATCCGCCATACTGAGCGCCTTGACCTCTTGCAGCCTGTCTGTCGTCTGCTGATGGGGCGACGTGGATGCGGATGTGATGCTCGTCGGAGCTCTGCTGTCCAAGTCTCGGTCGGCCAATCGAGCCGTGGACCCTACTGTGCACGAGGACGATAGGATGTCGGCCATGTTAAGCTTGGAAAAGCCTCGTTTTCTCAAGAGCGACATCAGGTGAACAGCCGAGAGACTGTCGATGCCCAGGCGATGGATGCTGCTTGTCGCTGTGGCGTTGATTTTGCTGCCCACAGCCTCCTCCACAGCCGCGACGACTACGGACTCTTTGGCGTCCAAAGCGCAACCTGGACCCATGGCGGCAGTGGACGCAGGGCCGTCTTGACCTTGTTGAGAAGCGAAAAAGTCATTAGCCAGCTTGTCCAGGAGCTTAGTATCTACCTTGCCCGACGCGGCCAGGTAGGGGATCCTCGAGACCCAGAGCATTGTGGGAACCATGAAGGCCGGGAGACAAGCCTCGCATTTCTGCTTGATCCTCTCCAGCAACGACGTTAGCGCCTGGCCGTGGTTCTGGAGTAGCTCAACCTCGGCGTCAGCCTCCCCCTTCAGGAGACTCGTCGCTTTACGGGCCACAAAGCCCAACAGGTGCTGCTGCTGGTTCGAGCTGTCATTGCCACTTGCTACAACCGTGGCGGCAAAGTCTAGGTCACCTTCGTTGGCCGCGGCTTCCTTCAAGAAAGACACAACCTCGTCGAGCTCGAGCCTCTGACCCCGGATCTTGGCCTGCTGGTCCACCCGGCCCAGGAACTCGAGGGTGCCATCGTGCATCATCCTCATCATGTCGCCTGTTCTGTACATTCTCTTGTCGCCGTCTCCCAGCAACGAGGTAGCCTGGAAGCTCTTGGCGTTCTCGATAGGTCTGTCCAGATAGCCCATGGCCACCTGCGGACCGGCGATACAGAGCTCGCCCGGCTGTCCTCTCCTGGCAAGGGTTTGTTCATCACCAGTGCCGGGGCACAACAGCAGAGCCTCGAGGCCCTGGAGTGGCAACCCGAGATTGCGAGCGTTGGAATTGCGGTTCACGGCGTGGCCTAGGCAGCCAATTGTGACCTCCGTCGGCCCATAGAAGTTGAAAAGGACAGCTTGCTGTTGTCCCTCTTGGTCAGCGGAATCACACCCCTTCGTCCACGTGTCCAAAAGCTCGCTCGACGCCTTTTCTCCACCGGTCGTCACCACCCTGACCGAGGGCACGTCTTCCGGCCGCAGTCTCAGTTGAGTCAACACAGAGGGCACGGAACCAAAGTGTGTGATGCCCAGCTCGTTGATGACTTGCTGCAAGCTGCCGAGAATAGCTGTTCGGTCCTTGCCGATGACGACGCGGTGGCCCAGGTACCAGGGCACAAAGAGCTGCGTGAGGTGGGGGTCAAAGGCTCGGGACGTGAGGTTGAGATACTTGCCGGCGCCCCCCAGGCTGGCCGTGGCGGGCGAGGAGTCGATCATGCGGGTGCTGAAGGAGGCAATGAAGTGGCATAAGCTGCTGTTGGATACGCGTACGCCCTTGGGACGGCCCGTCGAACCGGACGTGTAGAGAAGGTAACCACCGTGGCTGGCTTCAAACTTTCTCGGAGACACGGACCAAGACAGCATTACGTCGAAATCGTCGTCACCATCCGGGATCAGCAAAGCCGGCGGATCACTGTCGAGGTTCAAGTCCAAGCCCCTGGAGAGCTCTTCCGTGGTGATGATGAGCTTTGCCTTGGCGTCACGGACGAGGAGTCGCTTCCGAGCCGGGGGAAGATCCTCGTCCACGGGAAGGTACACGTAGCCAGCCCGGAAGATGGCCAGGGTTGCCGCGAGCGACTTGATGTCCCTGCCCATATATATAGCAACGATGTCATCGGACTGGAGACGAGCTTCGTGAGATGCTAGCCTAGAAGCGATGACATTGGTGAGCATGTCCAGCTGGGCGTATGTGATGGTCTTGGTGACTATTTTGTCGTCGTCCTCATCCGACTCTTGAAAAGCGAGTTCCTCGGCTGCAATCCATTCGGGATGCTCGGACGCGTGCAGGGAGACTCTTTCAGTTGGGTCAACCGCGCGAACCTTGTCAGCAGCTGCCTCGCCACTGATAGATAGGAGACTGCGGCCCATTCTATTCTGAAGCTGGTCAAGAGGGAGCTGGGGTGACTCCACCATGACCCGGGCCTGGTCGACGATCTGATCCGACATGAGTTCCAGCTGCGCCTGTGAGATGTGGCGCCCGTCGCCGGTGAGTTCCATAGCTCCGTCGACCTCGAAGATGTTCAAGGCAAGGGGATGTTCCACATTGAGCGACAGTGCCTGCTCTACTTCCCGAAACATTTGTTGAACGGTATTGTTTTCGACGTCTTCGGCGCTTTCTGGGGCCGGGTGGTAGACAAAGAGACCCGGAAAGGGGGCGTTACTGCTCCCGCTGCCTTCGTTAAGAATCTTCTTGATGTCCACGGGATGCAGGCTATGTGCATTTTGGAAGAGGCTGGAAGAATCGCGGGCCATGTCGCTCCAGAGCTCCTCGGCTGAAAGGGCATCTGCGCGGACAATCACGGGAAGAGTGGCCATGGCAGGGCCCATGACGCGGGCGAGGTCTGGGTGTAGAGTCCTTTGCGAGACGGTCTGACCAAACACGACGGCCTTGAGCTCCAGGTATGACGCCAGAACGCACCCGAATGCGGACTGGAACAATGTTGGGAGAGCGGGCGACCCAGATGCAGACGTGAAGAATGAAGGAGGGATTGCCTTTCTTGAAAGGAAGATCCTCTGAGGCTGCTTTTGTCGTGACTGTGTCAGGTCGGGAAAAGGGGCGTTCAGGGCGCCTGCTGTCTTCCTGAGGTCGGCTAGACGACTGTTCCACGAGGAGGCGGCCTCGTCCCTCTCGGAAGCGGTGGGCAGCAGACCCAGCTCCATGCCCCTCTCGAGTTGCACCACGCCGTCATGGCCATCTCCGGCTTGCTTCTGATAGAGCTTTGCAACGGTGTCGAGGAGGATTTCCGACGACACGTTGTCGTAGAGCGCGTGATGCATACTCAGCATCACCTTGCCATCTCCCTCGGCAAATGTGACCGACCAAGGGGGCTGGGTTGTTGTTGTCGGCGCCAACTCCATCTGTAGCTTCTCGGCCCACCTGGCTAGATCTTGATCTTCATCACTGGGCAGCCGAGTCCAGCGCACCGTTGGCTCGTCTCGGACTAGCTGAAGGATAGTGGACTGGATCCCTTGTTGGCGGGCCCACATGATGCTATTGTCATGCTCCTCTTTGTGTTCCAGGTCCAGCTGTGTCAGGGGGACGAAGATGGTTCGGAGTATGTCGAATTTCCTGGCAGCCGCGATCCACGCGTTCTTTAAACGATGGCCGTCGACATCGCCCAGGTGGCTCAAGTCAAACACACGATGCGCCCAGTACGCCCGGGGCTCAAGCATCGTCTCTACGACGAGTGACTCCTGAATTGGCGTCGCGGGCAGCACGTACGACGTGTCATGCGGCCGCATGTCGCCGCGGAGCCTCCTGGTCAGCATGTCTTTGGTGGAAGCCACCCATGAATGCTTTGCAGGTGTTTCTGGCGACATCGCACCGCTGGACTGTGGAAGTAGGGCCTTTTGACACGGAAGCTTGGTGAGTACGACGTCGACCAGCTCGCCGAGAAATTGGCACCGCATGAGGTCGAGAACCCCAACCGCGCACTTCAGCTGCCGTCTCAGCGACCACGCCAGCTTGGTAACCTGTAGAGAGCTGAAGCCCAGGCCGGCCAAGCTATCTTCCGGAGAAAGGGGTTCGACTGCCACCTTGAAGATGTCGGCGATGGTCTGAAGAATAGGAAGCTGTTCCTCGGTCCATTGCGACTTCGTCTGCTGACCATCGCCGGGAGACCGCTCGGAGCTATCTCTTCCAGCCAGGGCATTCAGATCCGACCCCCTGTAGATCTCCTGCAGGGCCCTGCGGTCGACCTTGTTAGACGCGGTCCTCGGCATCGTCGTGTCCAGGACGACGACGTGTCCGGGGACCATATACGCAGGCAGCACGTCCCTAGCCCTCTGGAAGACCTGCGTCCTGATCTTGCCCGTGTCAATAATGGCTTTCTTGACAGAGACAAAGGTGACGACGACTTTGTTGTTGTTGTTGTTGTTGTTGTTGTCGGTATCAGCCTCCGGGCGCGGGAGATATAACGTCTCGACGTGCTCGACAGCCGCCTCCTCGTCCTTGACGCTCGCACAGGCCGCGCTGATCTCGCTCAGCTCGATGCGGATGCCGTTGATCTTGACCAGGTCATCGTTTCTGCCGAGAAACTCGAAGCCGTGGTCGTTGAGACGCACCATATCCCCCGTTAGATAGATACGCTCGTCGGCACCGAGGCTTCCCTGGATGAAAGCCTTGGCCGTCTTGGCCTCGTTACCGAGATAGCCCTTGGCTACCTGTGCGCCACCCAGGGCCAGCTCGCCGACTCCATATCGCGGGACGAGCTCCCAGCGCTTCTGCTTGTCTTGTGGCATTTCGACCTCGCGGACGACGTAAGCCGTGCAGTGGTTCAGGGGGAAGCCTACGTTGGCAGCCTTGGCCTGATCCCTGCTCTTGCCGTAGAATCGCCTCAGAGTGGACACGACCGCGTTCTCGGCCGGCCCGTATGTGTTGTACGCGCGGGTGGTGATGCCGGGCGTCGCCCAAGCTTCGGCGACGTCTTCTGTTAGCTTCTCGCCTATGAAGGTCACGTACTGCAGAGTTGACCCCCTGATCTCGTCGACAACGATGCTCGCGCCAAACGACGGGGTGAGGTGAGCGTGTGTGGGACGGGATTTCCAGATGAACTCGACAAACGTTCCCAGGACCAGCTCTCTTGTACCGCTGATGACGCTGCCCGCTAGGCCCCAGGTGTAGAAGAGGTCCTGCACAAAGACGTCGAAGCTGTATGCCGACAGCTGCAGTGTGCGTACCTGCTCGGTCTTCTCATCGTGCTCAACTTGGATTTGCAGGTCGCGCATGGCCTGTGCCGCCGCGGCGTGTTGGATCATGACGCCCTTTGGCTCACCTGTGGTGCCCGAGGTCCACAGAAGGTAAGCCAGATCCTGCCCACCGAGATCGTGTGAAGATAAGATGCCGTGGCGCGGATCAGCTCTCACTGACGTCTTCTGGTTCGCGTACTGGTCGACAAGAATTACGCGCACGCCCTCCAGACTCTCGTGGGTAAGGCAGGGCTCAACCAGCGGTAGCGACTCCGTGGCCGTCAGCAATACCCTGCTTTGTGTCCTGGCGATCAGCGAGGTCCGTCTCTGCACGGGCGAGGTCTCGTCAATAGGACACCAGGCCGAACCGGCTTTCAAGATAGCCAAGACGGCGACGTAGAGTTCGACGCTCCGTTGTAGACAGATGGGGATGATGTCTACGTCTTCCTCGCGCAGGATTTTTGCCAGGCCATTGGCCCTGGCGTCAAGCTCTGCATAGCTCAACTCGGTTGGAGGCGAGTCTAGTGAAGTGTAGAAGCTTAGGGCCAGAAGGTCAGGGGTTGACGCGGCTTGGTTCTCGAACTGGGAGTGTAGAAGCTCAACTCGATCCTGGCTCTGCTGGGTTTTTTCTTCCTTCTTTTCAGTTGGAACCGGAATTGTCCCTTCGGCAGACAGCAAGCTCCTAGGCAGACGTGCCGGCAGCCCCTGGACCATGTCCTCCGGGAGTGAGCCAAGCATGGTTTCCGTAAGTGCTGCAAGTTGCTTTACGATGCATGTCGCCGAGAGCTCTGAGAGGGCATCCTCGCGGTATGTGAGCTTGAACGTCATGTTGTTGAACTGCACATTCCGGTCCGGGGAGTGAGGATCTGTCGGAAAGATCTCGGCGAAGACAGCGAAATCGTAACGTACAGCCGGATTCCGGATTCCGGTCCAGAGGACAGGGACAGTCTCCCCAAGACCGTGTTCAGGCGGAGGATCCGGCGGAGAATATGCTTGTAGGGCCAAGGCAGTGTTGTACGGCAGCGTCTTGAAGATGCCAAAGGATGTATGCCGGTGGCTTTGCGCAAACCTCGAGTGACTTGTAAGGCTGCCGACAAGCTCTCCGATAGTCTGGTTCTCGGGAAGGGCCACGCGACAGGGCACCACGGAGAAGGTGGGCGCGTGTGCGGAGAGACCATGGCCTGATATGACGCTTCCGAAGGTGATGTCTCCCGTGTCTGCCTCAGAGAACAAATGCAGGAGTATGGACCAGGCCGCCTGGAGGATCGACAAGGGGGACGCACCCAGGGCCCTACTCTTGTCCTCCAGGACCTGCCACGGCAGCTCACTCGCGTATTGGACCATTCCATGTCCACAGTCTGTACCAGCAGCAGATGACTTGACATTGTTACCGCTTAACGCACCAAAACTTTCAGTTTCCCAACCTTTCAGCGACTCTCGCCACAGCTTGTCCGTCTCGGGGTCCACGTTCGAGGCCCACTCCAATACCGCCTCGTAGATGCTCTGTCTCGGGAGAGGTTCCAAGCCAGCATACTGCCTGGCTATGTCGCTCATGAGCACCTCGAGTGAGGCACCATCGCAGATGCAGTGGGCAACGCTGATGACCAAGAGACCAGTGCTACCAGCGTTGAACTCGGGATCCGAGTCCGGCTCAATGACCTGTATATGGTACAGCCTCTGCGAATCGAGAGTAATGTTCTCCTCGGCCAAGTCGAGCCACACTTTCGCATCACCAGCAGCACGACTTGCACTTGCTCTCCTGTGTACGACCCGACTCGCGCTGTTGGCCAACCGATGCCATGCCTCAGGCGTCAGGATGACCTGGGCAAAGGGTGATAGGGAATCGTCACATGGAAGCATTGCACATCGATAGATGGCCTGTTTGGATACGACCTTTTCGACGGCCTCCTTCAGTGCCTCGGCCGAGACGTCCGGCTTCAGCCTCAAGACAGAATGGCTGATGTAGTTGCGCCTATCCATAGCGAAGCTCACGGCCAACTGGCTCTGCGTGGATGTTGTGGGCAGAACCATCTCGATGTCAGCCTCGCTGGCGAGATTGAGCTTGTCGAGTGCCTCCGACACGTATCTGGAGGAGAAGTCGGCGAGTTTCCTTCGTATGTCGGCCTCCTTGGCCTCTAGCTTGGCCTCGCCATCGACATTTCGCGTCGAGGGGAAGAAGACGGAGCGGACGCTGGCTCCCGAGTCGAGAAGCAGGGCTAGTGATGGCTGCAGACGCGCATGCTGATGTTGATGTGCTGTAGATCCAGAGCTGGGCCATTGCTTCCTCAGATCGCGCAAAAGTCTCATTGCGCGGAGACTGTCCATGCCAGCCTCTGCAAGTGGCGTGGTGGCCGTGATTGTGATCTTGGTAGTGGCGGAGCTATCACCGAGAATGCCGGACACGATAGAGAGGAGCTCTTCTTCCAGCTTGGCGTCTTCGGGGCCCGACAGGGGTCCGACAGGCTCGGTGGTTTCGTCCTGAGCAGGCTCCGATCGCCGCGGTTGATGTTCTTGTTTCAGTGTCTCCCGCACGTATGCCGAAGCTGCTTTGCGATCGGCCTTCCCGGACGCAGACTTGGGGAGCGTGTCGACTTGTAGGATCTTAAAGGGCCTCATGTAGTCCGGCAGGTGCCGTTGTGCGGCCTCCAGACACCTTTGGTGGACAAGCTCAAAGCCCACGTCGGCATGCGGCTCAAGGACAACAAGACTCACAACCTTCTCCGAGCCGGTCTCGGAAATCTGCTGTTTCCAGACACAAGAGAGCGTCTCCCGTATGCCCTCCACTTTGCTCGCCAGCACACTCTCAATCTCGCCCAGCTCCACGCGTCTTCCGCTCAGCTTGACCTGATCATCGGATATCCTGCCCAAGAATTCAACAATGGGCTCGCCACGGGGGTCCCACACGATTCTGGCTCGGTCGCCGGTTCTGTACGCCCGACCCCATCGCGCATCGTCGACAAAGGCGCACGCCGTCTCGTCGGGACGGTTGAGGTAGCCCGCTCTGCTCACCTGCGGACCAGTGATTACGAGCTCTCCTATCGCGCCCATGGGCACGGGCTCCAAGTTTACCGCCTGGGCCTGGGTCTGAATCCGCTCCTCGACGATGAGGCTGCCGCACGTCGCGAGAGGCGTTCCGAGCACAGAACCTCGCTGTTCTTCCGGGACATGGGCCTGGGCGATGCAGTAGATGGCCGTCTCCGTGGGTCCGTATCCGTTGTAGATTCCGCTGAGCGTATGCCCATGGTTGTCATCGCCTGCAGTAGGGTTGTAGCGTGCAAAGTCTCGCAGGAGGCGTGGACTCAGTGTCTCCCCACCGAGCATCAGACCGCGGATCGACGACGGGTCCAGCAGGCTGGCGAAGCTGGGAGTGATATTGGTTATGTCGGCTTCGAAGGTCGTAACGACCTTGTCAATGTCCTGCAGGGTGAACTCACGCGGGGCGCAACAGAGAGTCGACCCGGTGCTGAGTGTCCAGAAGATCTCGAAGAGGGATATGTCGAAGGTCGGCGCCGCGCCCTGGAACCATCTGATGGGCTCGCTGGATAATGATGATGTTGGCGAGACAAATCCGTAGTGAGCGCTCAGGGCGGAGACGGTGCATGCTGCGGAAATGTGGCTGACGGCTACACCTTTCGGCATGCCAGTGGTTCCTGACGTGTATAGGATGTAGGCCACGTCAGTCTCCGCCGCGGATGATGATGGAAATGAGTGTCTTTCCGATTTGACGTCGCATGCTGCAAGATACGGAGTCACGTTAATCATAGTAGTCGCGGTAGGCCACCACGACGACGCTGACCCGGGCTGCGTTGATGCGGCCACGACAAGAGCAGCTGGCTTCAGATCTGCTATCAGCGCCCCCTTTCTCTCTTCAGGGGCGTCCACGGGAATGGGACAGAAGGCCATGCCGGCCTTAAGAGCAGCCAGATAGCTGATGTACAGCTCTGGGCAGGGTCCCATGAGCACGGCAACGGTCTTGATGGACGGTTGCGACTGTGACCGTGCACATGTGCGAACCAGCTTAGCCGCCAGCGCGTTGGCTGTGTTTTCCACCTGCTGATATGTATACTTGATTCTCTTGCCGCGTTCGAGGCACACGAGAAAGTCCAGGGCCGTCCTATGAGGATTTTCTACCGCGCGTTGCTCAAACCACTGGTGAAGTAAAGCCGGCTCATCCCCATCACTCTCACTCCCTTGGTCCCGCAGGCTGTTTGAGCAGCTCGGCTCCTGGGGGAACAAAGGCAGGGGTCTGGCCTTTGGTGGAAAATTGAGCACAGAAGGTTGCGTCCATTTACCGCCTTTACCTTGATCTTGCTGCAGACCGAGGATGAGGTCGTCCAGCATGCGACCCAGAGCCTCGAGAGCGGCCGAAGGTATGATATTGGCCTGCGCGGTCAACCGTACTTGTTTGGTTATCACATCGATATGAAGCTGCAAGGCCTGAGTTGCGTGTTAGCCACATGAACCGCTACACTTGTGACTCTTCACCTTGGCTCGCTGGCTTCCTCCAGGCCGACTCACCTTTCCCTCACCAATCGAAAAGTCAGTTGGAATGTCATGACCATCCTCGCAGTCAATGAAGCTAAAGGCTCCTTCCTCCTCCTCGTCGGGGCCTGCGCTGACGGAACGAGCTAAGATGAAGCCACCGCGTGCCGAGTCTTGGATACAGTACGCCTCGCCAGGGTCGAGGATCACTATGCGGGAGACGAGCTTTACAAAGGCTTTGATGGTTGTGTCCTCGTCGGGTCTTGGTTTGAGAGGGCTTGGCCGGTGCAGCAGTTGAGGATCATGGTCAAGACGATATTGTACTTCTGACAATGGTGCTTCCAGCTCTTGGTCGGAAGACTGTTGGTGAGAATGCAGTGGCCGGAGCTGCGTGATGGGGGGCCGCGGCATCGATGGTGTGTTCTTCATGTTGCCGCAGGTCTTGTCTGCTTCACCTCATCTGCCTGCGTGTGACTGTATGAGTCTTGAGAGAGTGTGTTCGTGTGTGCAGTGTGTGTGACTACCAGCCAAACTGACTTATATTCTTGGCCCGTATTCGAAGACTGCCAAGGCGAAGCCTCCCAAGGCATGTACAGTAGGTATCACTCGGGCGGCGGTGATGCTGGGCAGTGAAAGCCCTCATGGGCCCCGGGGGGTGCCCCCATGGTCTCCATGGTGCCAAACACCCGATGCCTAGTCCACACGCCCCTGCGTTGGAGCTTGGTGTCAGGCCTCCCACTGGAGCACATGCTTTTTGGGCGGCCGTGTGGGCATCGTCCACCCCGGGAGACGGCACCGTCAGCAGGACGAAGACTTACAATACGCGCAGATAACAGCCTTCTTGGGGTCTTTGGCCCGGTGGAACGCAGCAACCCTGTCCCTGGCTCCGCAGTCTGCCAAGGTGGATTTACTGTACATGATGCTTTCGGAGGGCGTCCAGATGATCTGATTAGATTAAATCCCTCAGATGTCGAATTCGCCCCCCCTGCTCCCCCCCTTAACCCCCTGCTCACCACCACATCGGCCGAATCCTGCAGGACCAGCACTGCCCCTCCCTTTTCCTCGGCCCAATGAGAACTCTTTTCCAACTCCGTCTCCTGCAGGAATAGCCCTGCCTCTTCCTTTTCCTTGGCCCAATGAGACGCCTTCTCCAACTCCGTCTACAGAACTGGTATGCCTGCGTTGCCAGACGGATGGAAATTAGCTCATTGAAAAGCCGGCTTCATGTATTCAGGTGATCTCATGATTACAGCGCTATCCATAAAGGGGAAGTGCTTAACATTGATGGTATGATGTCTATTCGTACTGTCTATACCAGATGCGCCTCTTGGAAGAAGCGATCCCGCTGCAGGGCGAATAGGATGGCCGTCTTGTGCGGCAGGTGGAAGCGCTTCTTCTGCTCCTGCGGCAGGTACTTGTTCTGGATATGGACGTGGGCCAAGTCGGATCGAGGCTCAGCAATCACCTGCTTGGTCCGCGGCTCCCGCAGGAAGCAGCAATGCTTGATGGACGTCGCCACAGCCTGATACCTCTTGCCGCCCCGGAAGTGCTCCTCGCCCACCAGGATGTGCGAGTGCTGGTCGTGCTCGCCCACGACGATATTGCAGTTGGAGCCCAAGAAGCAGGCCGCGTTGTCCTCCTTGACCCATCCCAGCTCCGTGTACCCGGCCAGCTCGCCGTCCCACTCGAATACGCACGACATGCTATGCGCGTCGGCCAGCTGCCCTGCCAGGTACGCCCGGTGGTGCTCGTCCGGCCCGCGCTCCTGCCACGAGGCGTTGACCCGGTCCGAGTTCTGCCACCGCTTGTACGCCTCGAAGTGCACCGGGTCCTCGGCGTCAATGTGCAGGATCCGCAGCTGCTGCCCGAGCTCGACGATGAACCGAGAGTAGATGACGGAGCCGGGCTTGGGCTTGGGCGGCCGCACCGGGTGGACGGTGCACACATTGCCCTTGCGCGTGAACCCCAGCTGGCTGGCGAAAACGCCCAGCGTCCCGTTGAAGCCCGGGAAGCTGGTCACTTCAGGCCGGGATTGGAGCCAGTGCTGCGAGTCTGGCGCGCCTGCGCCCTGCCAGAACGCCTCGCGGTAGAGCCAGTAGATGGCATCTTTGGTTGTTGCTGTTGCTGTTGATGATGATGTTGTTGTTGTTGTCGTCGTCGTCGTCGTCGTTCTTGCACTCGGCGAGAATGGCGACATCACTCCCAAGCCAGTGCATCGCATGTACTCCCCCACACGCTCGCTGTCCACCGAGATGGCCATCACTTCATCGTCTCTGTGGTCGGGATGCAGCCACAATGCGTACACCGAGGCCCACGCCAGCGTGAGGTCCTGGTGCTGGCCGTCAGACCCAAATGGCGAGCGAGGGTCGGCCACATCCAAGCTCAACGGCTGGAGCCGGAAGACTGGGCCGAACTGCGCACGTTCGTCGTTGACCATGGCCGGGGAGACTCTGGTCTGCGTCCCATCCGTCGTCCACCGAGCCAGCGTTGCGACACCAGATCCGACGACATAGGCCGTGCCGGCGGTATCAATCCACACTTCGGTCTCGCCGTCGGGTAGTCTGAAAGATGTCCTGTTAGACATATTCAGCGGCGTTTCGTCGCGAGACTGCGCGTCAACGATGACACTGCCCATTTTTCTTAATTCTACTGCATTACCTGTGGTTCCATTAGCTTCTCTTGCTGACGACACCTACAGCTTCTGATTAAAGTAAGCAAACTTGCTCATTATTAGGTAAGGCACTTACAGAGGGGATCCCACAGATGAGAGTGAGCGTTACACGAAGTCTGAGAGACCAGCTGATGAGATAATATAGGGGACAAAAACGCTTTAAACCGTTATCCGTTTTTGCAAGCTGTCCGGTCTAAGGAAGCACAGATGTGTTCAGCTCGGATGCCCCCGGTCTGCAAGATATAGCCACCGATTGAAGAGTGACGTAGGCACAATCTAACCCATGTTCTTTGTTACAGTCTGGGGCCCCAGCCTCGATGTGTTGTACTGATGAGAGATGCCTCTGTTAGCTACCCATTGGCTGGGCTCTCTGGGAGCCAACTTAGTGCTCGGACATAGCGTGGACAGGCGCACAAGGCGAATATAGGTATCTCTACCAGCAAGGCTAGTAAGAAAGGCACTTCTTTAAGTGCATTTCTCTACACACCCATTTAATTAATATTACAGTATATTTCTGGAACACTGTGCTCGTGTCGGCACCTTGTCGCATCTACCCCGCTCAAGAGTCGTAATAAGTCTCCCTCCTGCAAGCTTCAGTCTGCTGTAGACAGACAGACAGTGAATATACGCAATCTCTTGTACTCAGGCCGGTCTAAAGACTTGACTCGAGTCCCTACATATAACTCACTGTAATTCTCTTCTGTCGGCGCACCCTGTGGTGTTGAACCGGTAGGAATGGTCTCACGCCCACACACACACGCCCGAGGTCGTGACAGGTTACCCCTATGTTTACTAATGCCAAGCCCTACACAAGAACGACTAAAACAGACAATCTTTCTCATACTGTGCGGGTGTACTACCATCCTTTGAGTACATACATGCGCTATATTTGCTGTATCCGCAGTCGGAGAGGTCTTCAGATTCCAAGATCCAAATGTGGCACATGTGGGTGCCCTCTCGGTAAGTGGGTATGTAATTAAAACCAGGCATACATTGGCCAGAGAAAAGGTCACGGCAAGGTGCCCAAGACCTGCTCATCTTGCTGAACTCGACATGATCTGACGAACAACAGGTCCACCCCAATTCATGGCGGCGGTCAACATGAACAGCAATGATGGGAAAGGCTTCGCTCCCCGGAAATGGTACAGAAGGGTACCGTTTCTATCCACGAAGCCTATCGAGAAACGACTGACGGCACGGAACTTGCATTCAACTTCAAGCCCGGGCCACGGGGAGGATGGAGTTGGTGCCGGAATCGAGGACAAGGCCGAGTTGCCAGAGTCGACGGCGAACTGGTTGTCGATTTTGACATTCAACTGGCTGAGCCCCGTTCTAACAACGGGCTACACCAGACCCCTTCAAGTCGATGACCTGTACCACATGCCCGGCAACAGGTTGATCGCGGACTATGCGGATCGACTCGAGAAGTGCTGGTCCGCGAGGCTGGAGAGGAACAGGAGTCGAATGGCTTCATCCGGGCCAGTGGTATGGAAGCCTTTCTGGGCGAGGCACACAACTGACACTACGGTCTTGGCCCTGGCTCTCAACGATGTCTGCTTTCGGTGGTTCTGGCTAGGCGGTCTCTTCAAGCTGGCTGGAGACCTGTCGCAAATGGTCTCGCCGCTGCTCATCAGATTTCTCATCGCCACCCTGTCCGATCCGTCCCAGCAGGCCCTGCGCGCAGGCTTCGGCTACGCGGTGGGCCTTTTTTTCCTGCTCGTCTTCTCCGTCACGTCTAATGTCCACGGCTTCTACCGCTCGTACACGACCGGCATCCTGATACGAGGCGCTCTCATGCACACCATCTACCGCAGGGCGACAATGCAGCTCACCGACAAGGCCAAGCTGAAACACGGCCTCGGCACGGGCAAGCTGATGAGCCTGATGAGCGCGGACGTGACACGCGTGGATTTCTGCTGCGGCTTCTTCCACTCCGCGTGGACCAGCATCCTCCAGGTCCTCCTCTGCTTCGCCCTGACCGTGTGGTCCATGGGCTACAGCGCCCTGCCCGGGTTCGGCCTGCTGGCGCTGCTGTATCCCCTGCAGACCTTCATGATGGGCCGGCTTCTGCGCCTCCGCCGGGCCAGCATGCCCTTCACCGACGCCCGGGTCAAGGCCGTCGTGGAGGCCGTGTCGACCATCCGCCTCGTCAAGACTAACGCGTACGAGAAGAGCCTACTCGCAAAGATCGGAAAGCTGAGGTCCGACGAGGTCGTCTACCTACGCAAGAGGATGCTACTCAGGGCTCTCAACACCGCCGTTTCGTACACGGCTCCCACACTAGCCGCCGTCGTCAGCATCGTCTGCTATGGAGCCACGAATGAGAACGGAATGGAAGCCAGTGTCATCTTCTCTGCGCTCGCCTTGTTCTTGCTGCTGAGGACGCCGCTGCAAGCCCTGCCTATTGCACTCTCGGCCATCGCGGATGCCCGGGCGGCACTCGAGCGCTTGGCGGTCTTTATGCTCGCATCTGACGAGGGTGCTACCAGTAATGCCGGATTGCGCTCGGAGCCTCGCGGGAATGCAGGCGAGAAGTCATCGGCTGATGTGGTGCTTCAAGTTGAGGACGCTATTTTTGCTTATCACGACGATGAGGGACTCATGACAGACGACGCCGATGTGAATGCTCAGGAAGTCAAAACTGCGCACGCAACTGGATTACAAGGCAAGGTGCCCGCGGGCCAGACCCAGAGACTACGCGTCGATTCGCTCGTGGTAAAGAGGAGCCAACTCGTCTGCATCGTGGGCCCCGTGGCATCAGGCAAATCCTCGGTGTTCGGGGCGCTCTTGGGAGACATGCAGCTTATTCGGGCACGCTCATGCCGGCTCAACCTCCAGAACTCGTTATCGTCGTCTCAGCTCGCCTTCGCCCCGCAGACGGCCTGGCTGCTCAGCGAGACGGTACGGGAGAACATTGTCTTCGGCAGGGCCCTGGATATGGCATGGTACGACGAGGTGCTCACCCGGTGCTGTCTGCACCAGGACCTGAAGAGGCTGCCCGAGGGCGATATGACCGTCGTTGGCGAGATGGGCGTATCCCTGTCGGGCGGCCAGAAGCAGCGCATAAGTCTCGCCAGGGCCATCTACGGCAGGAGCCCGCTGCTCTTTCTCGACGACTGCTTCTCCGCCCTGGACGCCCATGTTGGTGCCCGTGTCTTTGACATGGTCGTCAACCAGGCGCGGAGGGACGAGGAGACCACTATTCTTCTGGTGACGCATTCAATGGCTTTAGCTAGGCAGGCGGATCATATTGTCTACATGGAAAAAGGTCGCATTGTGGAACAGGGCTCGTATGAGCTTCTGTCCAGTCGGGATGGCCCCTTTTCTCTCTTTGTGGGGTCCTCGTTGGCCCCGGAATCGACTCATGATGGTGACTCTGGGCAACCGCAATATCAAGAGCCCAAGGTAAAGGAGGCGCAGGAGGAGGGGATGGCCACCCAGAATTCAAGGGGAAGGCAAGAGGGCCGAGGCGACGAGATCATGCAGAGTGAGGAGAGACTTGTTGGTTCTGTCAGCCGCAAGACCTACATCCGCTACTTGCTGATGGGCAACGCCTGGCTCACCGTGCCGCTCTTCGTAACGTCCATCATAGTCTACCAGGGAACGAGCATTGTGTCGCCGCTGTGGCTGAGCTGGTGGCAAGACAACCAATACACGTCCATCTCGGAGGACGCATACATGGGGGGTTACGCGGCGTTCGGCATTGGGCAGTCGCTGGGCCTGTTCTGCATGAGCGCAACTTTTGCCTTCTTCTGCTTCTGGTGCTCGAACAAGCTTCACCGCGCGGCCATGTCAGGTGTACTGGGCGCGCCCGTAGCCTTCTTTGACACGACGCCCCAAGGCCGCATCACGCACCGGTTCAGCAAGGACGTCGACGCCGTGGACAACGTCGTGGGCGAGACGCTGCGGCTCTTCATCTCGACGGCCGTGCAGGCCATAGGCACCATCATCGTGGTGACCATCGTGCTGCCGCCGTTCGTGGCCATCGGCGTCGCCCTCCTCCTCGTCTACACCTGGACTGGCATGTACTACCGGCCCTCGTCGCGCGAGCTGCGCCGCCTCAACAACCTGCTCCGCAGCCGCATCTACGAGCACTTTGGCGAGTCGCTGTCCGGCCTGCCCACGCTCAAGGCCTTTGGCGCCGTGTCACGCTTCCTCGAGGACAACGCCGGCAAGATCGACGCCGAGAACACCGCCTACTGGCTGTCGGTGGCGTGTCAGCGCTGGCTCAATCTCCGCCTGGACCTCTGCGGGGCGGCCCTCGTCCTCGCCGCGGGCCTGCTCGTCGTGGGGCTCCGAGGTACCATCGATCCGTCGTCCGGGGGCGTGGTGCTGTCGTATGTCGTCACGGCACAGGCCGTCTTTGGAAACATGATTCGCCAGAGCGCCGAGATCGAGAACAACATGAATTCGGTCGAGAGAATGCTCCACTATGCGTACAACATCGAGCAGGAGCCTGAGCACGATGTTGACGATGTGGACAAGGGCTTAAAGGCCAGTGAATGGCCGCGTGCTGGCCGCGTGCAGTTTCAGTCGCTGACGCTCAGTCACCGTCCCGGCCTGGAACCGGCACTCAGGGACGTCACGCTGGATATAGAGCCGGGCGAGAAAGTTGGAGTTGTGGGGCGTACTGGTGCTGGAAAGACTACTTGTAAGTATCTAATCCAGTCACTTCTTCTTTTACAACCATACAGACTGCATTCCTTCAGACTCCAGCTTACCATGTATCAGTGGTATCCGCTTTGTTGAGGATCACAGAGCCCACAAGCGGCAAGATCCTTATCGACGGAGTTGACATTCACACGGTCGGTCTACATCTACTCCGGTCAAGCTTGTCTGTCATTAGCCAGGACGCCGTCCTCCTGGCCGGGACCATCCGGTACAACCTGGATCCGTTCCAGCAGTACGGCGACGACTGGCTGCACCAATGTTTGAGAAGGGTTGGACTTGCCGGTGGCCAACCGGACACTAACGGAACAAGTTCAAGTGGGCAAGACGATGAGATTGGGAGTGATTCATGCGAACTCAAGAAGAGCCACGACTCCGGGTCCAGCGGCGGCGGTCCGAGTCTGAATCTAGACTCGGAAGTCAAGGAGAACGGCGCCAACGTTTCCCAGGGCCAACGGTCTCTGATCTCCATCGCCCGCGCCCTTGTGCGGCGGTCCAGGATTGTCATTTTGGACGAGGCCACGGCGTCCATCGACGGCAGGGCTGACACGGCGCTTCAGATCATGTTGAACGAGGTGATGGGGGACGCTACAGTTCTCACTGTGGCTCATCGACTGGATACCATCATTGCTACGTGTGATAGGGTCATCGTGATGGACAGTGGCAGGGTCGCCGAATTTGATTCCATCCCGAAGCTTTTTTCCCGGCCGGACAGTCTGTTTAGGGCACTCTGCAATGCCTCCAAAGTCACTGTCCGGGGGGGATCCGGTGATGGAGGAGAGTCATAACTGTGTGCATACATAACAATATCGATACTCTGTGATACCAGATTGATGCCGCAAGCCTTGAGACTTCTGATCACAGTATCAACTGTACTAGAGACGAAAGAGCACTTAATCAGCAGGCACGAGCCATGCATGACTCTTCATGATAAAGGACTGGGATGATTTGCTCGTATAATAGTTCTGGCTCTTGTAGGTGTCCAGCTGTCAGTTATATGCTCATTTATAGGCAAAGAAAGCTAGTTCTTATTTGACTCAAGTTTATCTATAGAATGAGGCTTAAATACCATCACGACACGCTTTCCAAGTCCTTTATAAGACTTAATAGTAGTTGAGGCTGGCCTATTCCCTACATTAGACCTTAACGGGGCGGTATTATACCAATCTTCGAGCTAAAGAACGCCGTGTCTGGAGGAGGGCCTTTAAAATATACAATTTACGAGTAAAAGAGAAGATAATGTGCCAAGGCCGAAGCAAGCCTCACCAGCGTCCTGAGCAGGGTGAGCAACATTCAGGCGGGGACCTCGTTAAGCGAGGACGCGACGCAGTACGTAATATCATCAAAGATCTAACAGTTCAGTGGTAATTAACTAATAACCTAGAGGGGACACAGCAAGGGGAAATTTCGCGGTCAAGAGAAGGGGAGAGGAGGGGGGGGTGGTGGGGGGAGGGGTGGGACTGACATCCTAGGCCCGCCCCCGGCCGAGGTTAGGCCCATTAAAGTGGATGCACCGTGCTTGGCACTGTAGCTTAGCTTGGCGAGAGCATTGGGAAAGAATCTGATAAGGGGGCCCCAGCCCCATTCGCGTGACTCGTAGCCGAAGCCGACCAGCCATACGCTAGAAAAGCAAATTTTTATCAGATCCTTGCCAAGTACCTCGAGCTGTTATCAGATCTGATCATCCCTGCGTCCTCTCAACACGGTATTTGACCGAGGGTGGTGGTCTTCTCAGGCCTGGCCGATTGGCAGCACGTGGGCCATGGGAGCCAAACTTGTTATATGTACATGTAAAAAGTCGAGCAAACTTCGTCGACATTCCGCTCTCTCACTGTCCTCCGTTTGACCTTACCCCTCTCCTCCTCTGTGTTTTACTGGGACGCAATTCGAAGCCGCCCGACCACAGTCAACATGTCGACGCCAGCTGGAGCGCCAGGCGCTGGTCGGCCTAAGACCAGCGACAGAGACCTGGTAGGCCCATCCCCATCTTCGCCACTGTTGAGCCAAGAAAGGGTTGATGGCGCCGGAAAGGCTGATGACCACTCCAAGGCCGTCCCTTCACAGCGAGATTCGGTCCATGTCGTCTCGGACGCGGATGCCTTGGCCGTGAATGAAGGCCACGCTGAAATTGGGGTCAGCAGAGTCGAGGCCTTCAACAAGGTCCTGTACCAGTCGGGCAAGTCTGGCAAGATACTGCTCTGGCTGCTGGGCATCTCCATCGGCCTGACCATGTTTGCCTATGCGCTCGACCAGGGCATCACCTCCACCATCTTCACTACCATGGCCAGTTCCACCTTCGGACAGCACAGCTCGCTCGCAGCCGTCAGTACCGCCAGTCAGATCATCCGGGCCATCAGCAAGCCTTTCATCGGCAAGCTGGCGGACATCACCTCGCGTCCCACTACCTACGTCGTCGTCCTCGTCTTCTACATCGTTGGCTTTGCCGTCGCCGCCAGCTCGAGCACCTTTGCAGCCTACACGGTGGGCATCTGCTTCACCTCGGTCGGCAAATCCGGGCTCGACCTGTTGAGCGACATCATCGTCGGGGACTTGACACCGCTGCAGTGGCGAGGTTTCTTCGGTGCCGCCCTGTCGATCCCCTTTATCATTACCGTACCCGTCAACGGCTTTATCGCCGAGGCCTTCGTCGACAACTGGCGATGGGGCTTGGGCATGTTTGCCATTATCGTGCCCGTCATGCTTATACCAGCCATCTTCACCCTGTATTCGATGCAGCGGCGAGGAGAAAAGATGGGCATGGTCACCATGGCCGCTTCGAAGCGCCTGAGGACCGGGGTTGTGGGTGACTCTGAGGAGCCTACTAAATCAAAGGGGTTCGCCTACTGGATAAAGCTCCTTCGCGAGGGCCTGATCGACATCGACATCCTCGGACTCATTATCCTCGGAGCATCCTTTTCACTCATCTTGCTGCCCTTCACCCTTGCAAAGGACGCCAATGGCGGTTGGGCCAACGCAGGCATAGTTGTCATGCTCGTCATCGGCTTCGTCCTGCTCATTGCCTTTGTTCTCTTCGAGATGTACCTCGCCCCGAAGCCGCTCATGACAAAGCGCATCCTCAAGAACCGCACCTTCCTCGCCGCGGTCACCATCTACACCTTCAACCAGACGGCCTCGGCAGTCCGCAACACGTACTTCTCCTCGTACATCTACATCATCAAAGACTGGTCGACGTACAACTGGACCATATTCTTGGGTATCACAACCATGGGACTCAGTATCATGGGGCCCATTGTCGGCCTCATCCAGAGGCGCACACACCGATACAAGTCCCTGATGGTCTTTGGCGCTGTGGCGAGATTGATTGGCTACGGCCTGCTGGTCCAAAGCAACGGCAGCATGGTACAAGACACTGCGCGCCTGGTCGCCGCCCAGTTAATCTTCTGCCTGGGCTCCTTCAACGTCGTCGGCGCCCGCGTGGGCAGCCAGGCCTCGGTGCCGCATGAGGACATGGCCTCGATCATCGCTCTTCTCTCGCTGTGGTCTACCTTGGGGTCGTCCATCGGCAGTGCCGTCTCGTCGGCCATCTGGACGAATGAGATGCTCAATCGCATGCACATGGAGATGACCGGGGTCGATGAGGCGACCATCTTGAAGCTCTACGGAAACATAAAAAAGCTACGCACAAGCTACAGCTTCGATAATCCCGCCAGGCAGGGTGCCATCCGTGCGTATGCCTATGTTAACGGCCACATCGCTATTACCGCCCTTCTCCTGGCTTCTGTGTCGTTGCTTGCCACCTTCTTCATGCCCGACTTTTACCTGGGCAGGCAGCAGAACGCCGTCACGAACACGGGTCTCGATGGTGAGAGGGTCGATGTGCCGCAACGACAGTCTGGGAAGCAGGGGGGACTTGCCCATGTCAAAGAGGAGTCGAAGCCGTTCTATCGCCGGTGGCTTGCTGCTTACCACAAGGACGTATAGGTGACGCTACGTCAGATAGGTGTCAGTGGCTGAGTACTACGCATTGAGACGAAAATACACTCTCTCAGTTTACTTACATATACATTCCTGTCTTTATGTCATAGCCTCCTTGCAGCCCATGCGGTGTCCCTTCCTGATTACACCTCCTTATCTGTCGTCTCGCTGTCGTCTCGTTCCAGATATCCACGCCGATGAATAAGCCGCAATGGTATAGCGATATGCAGTCGGCCGTTGGTAGCCTATTCGATGAATTCAGACGGCAGGTTGAGGTTAAAACTCAGGCTCAAGCTGGGTTCTTGGAAGACGAGTCCGAGGAAGTCGATGCTGAAAACGACTAAAGCTCGCTCAGGAAGAGACCGATCAGCTTATTAACTACACAGCGGAAGAAGGTTAAGGCCAGGCTGGGAATACATCGATCTACCAGAGATTCAAGCAGATAGGTGTAGATGGTTAGACACGACCTTTAAAATAGATAAATAGATATAGACTGCATATAGATAGATAGACTGCTTCCTATCTATCGTCCCGATCCCTTGGCTCCCTGTTTATCTAGGGACGATGGAAGGGAATTCAGTCTACAGAAGAGGTGTTGGATCCACCTGTGCACTAGGCACCGATCGCGCACGTATAACTAATCGACCGCGCTAGTCACGTGCGAGTAAGAGGTGAGACACAGGGAGGAAGGTCTTTGCACACAGTTTGTATGGGACACGTTTCCCTAGTTACACAAGATATAACCAATTGAACCAGTTCGAATAACCTCACTGCAGTGAAGAGCCTGTCCACACTGATCAGTGTCGCCCGGCAAAGGTGACACAGAACAGCAAGACGGAAGAGAGCTAACCTATCGTCACGCTCTGCAAAGCGAGCTCCTGACGGTAGGATAGTTGCTACAACGCGCGGATTGCTACGAAGACTCTGCATCAGAGCCCACTCTAGTTATCCAACCGTGCCTAAGCTTTGCTGTCATCAGCGACCCTTAGGCGTGCCCTATCGCACATTGATAACCTCATTGACACCCTGTGCCCTGTTTCTCAGCACACAGCCTGTCAATATGTCTGACAATTCATCTGCCGCACTAGCCCCGGCAACAGCCCAGGATACCCCGGCCAACGTGTCTCTCGAAGACAGGCAACTCGTTGAACGGAACCTGACGATCGTGGAGCTCCCTTCACTCCCGATCAGGCATTTCGACGCGGATTTCCTCAACGAACCTATCACCCAGAGCTCCTCCCTTGTCCACCGCAACAGCTTCTTCTTAGGCTGTGTGGCAACATACACGGTGGATAAACGTAACCACGGAATTGCCCTGCTTGGGGATCTGTATAACGACTTCACGGGATGGAGCTATGATGACTTCGAACTAATCAACCCACGCCTTAGATCAAGACTCCGGACGCTTCTCAGAATTAGGGGGATCTATATGGGCAAGGCCAACTCTAGCATCTCTCGAGCTTTATGTGGCCTTCTAACAAGTAACGAACTTCCTGAATGGGATGAGAACGAGTTGCTTGGTCAAGAGGTTGCTGAAAACACCGTGGCATATAAGGTGAAACAGAAGCTGCTCCAAGGAACTGTTAAAGCGGCTATATCGTCACCGGCACCGGTAGTAATCCAGCAGCCAACTATTACCCGACCGGCGGAACCGGAATCCCCTCAGATCATTGAGACCCATCAACCCGCTCAGCAAGAGCCTCAGCATCAATGGCGCGAATCCCTCGGTATCAGCAGACGCCCCGTACGGACTACCAACTTCCGAGATGCATACACGAGCATTCCACCTGTTCGATTCGAGAACGAGGAAGTTGAGGCCGATCTCACGATTAGATTCATTAAGATATGGGACAAGAAACTAGCCTATACCGGCGAACCATACGATATCTTCGATGACAAGATCCGGAAATTCATGAGCGTGTGCCGTCAAGCAAACATTCCTCCGTCTAAATTCCATGGTGTTTTCCTTCGATTCTGGCCAAGAAGCTCAGTCCTTCTTTCTACACGAAATCAGCACTGATTTAACCTTCGCTGAGATGTATCAGAAGATGAAAGAGCACTTTGACACCGAAATCAACCAGAAGATGTATCATACCCACTGGAGCACCCTCACCTTCAGCCGACTTCGGGCTGAGATGCCCGGTAAGTCATCTGACGAGGTCCTCCAGGCCCTTCTTACGAAATTGCGGCTCTGTAGGAGAGCACTCGGGGATAAGTCTGGCGGCGAAGGTGGCCTGATCGATGCAACGCTCAGGGCGTGCCGTGGTGTGCCTGAATTCCGACTCGCGATATACTCTCCCGCACCTACATTTGAGGGATTGGCATCACAGCTTCGATCATCGCTATCTGCCATGCAAGATGAACGATCTGAACAACCCAGTGGCCAATATCCCCAAGACCTGGATAGAGGACATGATCAGCACTTCGTGGATCGCAAATTTCAGCGAAATTCCGGCGGAACAAGAGGTCAATCACAAAGGCGTCAGCCAAATTGGAAGAAGAAATGCTACGTTTGCGGCAAGGAAGGTTGTTTCTCAACGAGACATCCTGAAAACGAGAGAAAAGCAGCCAAAGAGAAGTATCTACGAGAGAGGCTTCCACGGTCAATCTCGTTCGTATGCTATGTTCTTGGCTGACTATGAAGGGGAATCACAGGATCAGGATGACTCGAGCACCGAGGAATCCGATGATTCTGACTCCTCTGACCCTTATGAATCGTTCTACGCTGCTGCGACCTTTCTGTCCAACGAAGCTTTCCATCATCGGATCTCTCCAGTAGGCATCAAGTTATTCAACAGTGACGAACCCACACAATTCATACTAGATCGTTACTCTCAAGACTCGTTCCAAGGAATCATGCCGGACACAGGTGCGGCATGCATATCGACGGGAGGAATCGAACAACTGCGTGCTCTCCAACGAGAGATGCCCCCAGTCCAATTCCGTGATGATCGCAAGCCCGAACCAGTTAGATTTGGTGCAGGAAGATTGGAAACACCACTTGGCGTGATCACCTTGAACACACCAGTGGGAGAGGTTGATTTTCATATAGTCAACGTGCCAACGCCATTCCTCCTATGCCTAGCTGATATGGATCGGCTCGGCGTATATTTAAATAACGTCACGAACGAGCTCGTTGGCAATGGTGTGAGCGTTCCAGTGATTCGAAGATGGGGTCACGCGTGGTTCTTCTTGCGGAAACAAGAGGCATCAGTGGCATATCTCACGGAGGCTGAATTGCGGCGCCTCCACACGCGTTTTGGTCATCCATCCGTGTATCGGCTGCACAAGCTGCTGAATTCGGCTGGCCATGATGTGGAAATCGAAGCTCTGGAAATGATCAAGAAGTTCTGCCACTACTGTCAGATGAAATCCGACCCGCCACGAAGGTTCAAGTTCAGCTTGAAGGATGATTGTGACTTCAATTACGAAGTCATCGTTGATGTCATGACATTGGGTGGCAGACCAGTCCTCCATGTTGTTGATCAAGCCACTGCCTATCAGGCAGGAGATTCTATCCAACATGACGGCCAAGGAAACGTGGCTCGCGTTGAAACAATGTTGGATGGATACATACCTTGGACCACCCGATGTGATCACTCATGACGCAGGCACGAATTTCGCTGCTGCCGAGTTCCAAGCAGAAGCGAAATTGATGGGAATAACGTGTCATCAGGTGCCTGTGGAAGCACATTGGGCTGTTGGGAAGGTTGAGAAGTATCATGTGCCCGTCCGAAGAGCATATGATATATTAAAGGCAGAGCTGAAGGATACCGTGAGCCCTGATCAAGTCCTTCAAATGGCTTTCAAGGCTGTCAACGACACAGCCGGTCCGGATGGCCTCGTTCCAACCCTCCTCGTCTTCGGTGCTCTGCCTCGAATGACGATGGATTCGCCGCCTACACCTTCCGCAATGGCAAGAGCTAAGGCGGTGTGGCGAACGATGTCAGAGCTGAGGAAGATCAACGCCCAGAGGAAGGTTCAGACCGCGTTAAATACGCGTAATGGGCCTGATACAGCGTTGCGCCTGCCCCTATCCCTGGCGCTAGGAAGCGAAGTTCGCGTATTTCGCGAGAAGCACGGATGGCAAGGCCCATATAAAGTGCTCGAGGTGACGGATACGGAAATCGCAGTTGACCTGGACAACGGACCAGCGAAATTTCGCAGTACATGCGTCCAACCGTACTATCGTCACCCGGAATCGCTCCTTCCTCAGTTGCAACCCGACCCTAGCCCTAGCCGCACAGACCCATCAACACAACAATCACTCCTTCCCTCAACACAATCCGATCAACAACATCCTCTTCAAAACCCTCTTCCTTCCACCCACAACTCAACAACCTCTTCCTCTTCCTACCACAGAAGACCAACCCAAACCTTTCGAATACCCTGAGCCAAAGAGGCCGCGCAGGCGTGGCCGACCTAGGAAGGATGCTGCACAAAATGGCACATCAGAATCCACTATTGTTTGCTCACCCGTTCAATTTATCGTTCATCATGAAGCTAATGCGTTTCTTGTTCGAAAAGAAATGGAACATCTCGGCCTAGCCAAGCGGCTACGAGCTGAAGGAAAGATCACAAGCACCGGTTTCCCATTTGAAGCTTCCGACACACTCGAGCTCACGAACCTCCTCGCCGCTGGGGTCATTGTACCCGAAGAATTCGATGCGAATAAACATGGTGGATATCGTGTCTTCAAATCACGAATGGTCAGAGAGGTTAAGGAAGAAATACTGCAACGCCATACGAGAAATCACGCCTCGTTGTGCAAGGATACAATGATGATGGGAAACGTGGGATCCTCACACAAGCCCCTACCATCAGCCGGCCCGCACAACGCGTGGCCTTGGCCTTAGCACCGTTTCTCTGCACACGGGATATGTTCATCATGATCAGAGACATCACGATGGCATACACACAATCCCAGACCAAGCTGGCCCGTGTCATCCTTGCAGCCCTTCCTCAAGAACTCAAAAGAAGATATCCAGAGGGAACAATCCTGCGAATCGTGAAGCCGCTATATGGCATCGCAGAGGCAGGAGCCCACTGGTTCAACACATATCACGACCATCACTGCCGCAAGCTTAATATGGAAACCTCTTCGTTTGACCCGTGCCTTCTGATCACGGCAAACAACATCGCCGACAAGGACCTGTTTGGCATCGCGGCCTTGCAAACGGATGACACATTCATTGTTGGCACAGATGCATTTCTCAAGATCGAGGAGAAAGAACTCTGCTTTAAGGCCAAGCCAAAGAGATTCTCCAAGAAGGTTCCATCTGCGACTTTAACGGCAGCCGCCTGACCATACAAAATGGCTGTGTCATCGTCAGGCAGAAGGGCCAAGCCAAAACCTCGAGGAGATCAATCTTCAGGCATCAAGTAGGCATCAGGATTATGCTGCTCAACGCGCCCGGGGGGCATATATCGCTTCGATTTGCCAACCCGAAGCAACATACGATTGTTCCGTTGCGGCACAAGCCCAAGAGCCCGTTAATACCGACTTCAAGGCTTTGAACAAGCGGATTGAATGGCAGATCAACAATCCCGACCGTGGCCTATGTTACATACCCATCGATCTCGAGAGCGCGAAGATCTTTGTGTTCACCGATGGATCATTCGCCAACAATAAGGATTTAAGCTCTCAAATCGGCTTTGTGATTATCATCGCCAATGAGACCGCGCAATCAACCGATTCATTTTCCATCCGCGGAAACATTCTTCATTGAGCTCAACTAAATGCAAGCGCGTTACTCGAAGCGTTCTTGCATCAGAGATCTATGGATTGACATCGGGCTTCGATCTCGCATTTGTGATCAAGCAAACGGTCAATACGATCGCACAACGCCTTGATCTGAAGCAAATCCGCTCGTCATTTGCACAGATTCATATAGCCTCTATGAGTGCCTCGTCAAACTTGGCACCACAACAGAGAAGCGACTCATGATAGATATCATGGCGCTGAGGCAGGCATATGAATCAAGGGATATTGCGGAAATCCGTTGGGTCAACGGCGCAGATAACCCTGCCGATGCTATGACGAAGGCATCACCAAACAGCGCCCTCACGCAGTTTATTAGCGACAATCAGCTAAACGTGAGGGTGGAAGGATTCGTTCATCGCAATAACACAACAATTCTCGACGAGATTTAATCGGTTTTTCGTTCCCTTCTTCTGCTTTACCGTCGTTCTTTTATTCCATTCACATTAACGAGGAGATCCTCGTGTCCATATTCCAACGTGGGACCGATGGAATCAGCTAGCGCATCCGGCGCTCGAAATGCGGCCCATGATGGCGTGTGGCAGAACACACCCAGTGTGGGGAGGAGAGCTACAGTCAGAGCACACTATCCAACATAGTGATGCATCGTGGTAGGAGTTTGTTGGTGTTCTTGTTCGTGTTTTTCCTATCTCATCTTAATTCGCTGTGTTTGGTGTGTTTTGGTGGATTGATTAGTGCGCGATCATCGATTTAGAAAGAGGTTCCAGTGTTGGATCCACCTGTGCACTAGGCACCGATCGCGCACGTATAACTAATCGACCGCGCTAGCCACGTGCGAGTAAGAGGTGAGACACAGGGAGGAAGGTCTTTGCACACAGTTTGTATGGGACACGTTTCCCTAGTTACACAAGATATAACCAATTGAACCAGTTCGAATAACCTCACTGCAGTGAAGAGCCTGTCCACAAGAGGTCTCTTTTCCCGCTTAGATAGCTAGTAGATATTATCTTCCCCATTATTTCCTTATTATCTTCTATATATCACTTTCTTCATCTTCTTCCTCAATATACCTTTTCTCCCTGCCCAGTGCTTCCTTTCCATAAGTCTCCCTTCGTTCCTCTCATCCCTCTGCTTCTAGTTTCTGCTATTGCCGTTGGCGCGGGTGTGTCTTTGGGTGTATGCCGCAGCCATCGTCATCCTAGATACTAAAAACCGACGAAACAGGAGATAAAACTGTCTTTTTAATTCTCACAATGTCTCTAACTATCTTTTTTCTATTTTATTTATGCAGTAACTGATGATGTTAATTCGAGACTCAGTAAGAGAAATGGAGCAGATTATCTGTGAGGATGAAGAAAGATGTCTGTGCAAATAGCAAGACTCGAAAATGGCTCGAGGTACGAAAGCGGTGCTGCTGTGGCCACGGGTTGCATTGCCCGGCCTCTACTCGTGAGATGCATGGTACGTCGGCGTATTTTATATACCCAACGCTGATGATTCGGGGACAAGCAAATGCAGCCCGAGGTCGAACCCACGATGCCCTGTATCTAGCCGGGTCTCTACTTCGTACAGGCCTTCACCAGCGGTCTTGGCGTCAGCCACAGCCACCGCGAGCCAAGCCACACACGTGCTGGCAGCTGAGCTTCATCTCTCTCGCTGCTCGGGCGCAGCATCCAGGCAGGCTGACTGACCACCACCACCACCACCACCACCGTTGGCTTGCTTGCCTGCTTCCCATCAAAAACCCGCGCTGCGGCCCAAAGGTCGACCATTGCATGGCGCCTCTCCGAACGCAGCCGTTGCGACAAAAATAACCTCCCTATCCTACCTATCCCCAGCCGAACTGTCTCCCACCCCTACCCGAGCAGTTTCCGACCTATAATTCCACCCGCCCGCCTCGTCTCGTCTCGCGCTTGCGGCCCAGTCGTCGCCTCACCAGGACACGGCCGGCCGCCCCTTCAATCCTCTTGTCTCTGGAACTTGGCCGGCCGAAGGTCTGCGGCATCATGTCTGCCGACGCCGCCGCCGACTCCGGTATGCCTAGCCCTCTCTGCCTACCTCTCTGGCGCGCCTCCTCACGGCCCTGCGAGCCCCTGGCTGACTCTCCTACAGCAGCTGCATCCAACCTCAACTTGACGCCCGAAGAGAAGCGAGTCTACGGCGACCTCTTCAAACAGGCCGATCCCGAGAACCTGCGAGTCGTCACCGGCGACGCCGCCCTCTCCTTTTTCGACAAGACCCGCCTCGATTCCCGCGTCCTCGGAGAAGTGCGTTGGCCCCCGTTTTCGCCCTCGAGCCCCCTGCTGACCTCGCCCGCCTGCTTAGATATGGCAGATTGCAGATAGGGAGAATCGAGGTTTCCTGACTCCCGCCGGCTTCGGCATCGTCTTGCGACTCATAGGCCATGCCCAGGCCGGCCACGAACCCAGAGCAGACCTGGCCTTTCAGCAGGGCCCCTTGCCCCGGTTCGACGGCATCACCCTTGCCGCCTCGACCAGCTCGCCCCCGCCCTCTGGACCCCCCGCCCTGCAGCCGCAGGGCACCGGAGGCGCTGTTCGCTTCCCCCCCCTTACTCCCGACAAGGTCGTCCAATACACGGCCCTCTTCGAACGGCAGTCTCTCCAGGGAAACATGCTATCGGGCGAGCAGGCGCGTCAAATCTTCGACAAGTCGGGCTTGCCAAATGAGGCTCTAGGTAGGATATGGGCTTTGGCAGACACGGAACAGCGTGGCGCCCTCGTCCTCGCCGAGTTTGTCCTCGCGATGCATCTGCTCACCTCCATGAAGACGGGCGCTCTCCGTGCCCTGCCCAACGTCCTGCCCGCCGGTCTCTACGAAGCCGCCACGCAGCGACCGTCTGCCCGCCAGTCCCCTAGCAACACGGGTATGTCTGCCATCCCTCGCCAGCTCAGCGGCTCTACCCAGCCGCGCACCGGAAGCCCCCTGGGACGCCCTCCCCTGGCTCCCCAAACCTCAGGCACCCCTGCCGGCGACTGGGCCGTCTCCCCCGCCGATAAAGAGCGCTTCGACCAGCTCTACGCGACCCTGGACAAGGGCAACAAGGGCTTCATCACCGGAGACCAAGCCGTCCCCTTCTTCAGCCAGTCCAATCTCTCCGAGGACGCCCTGGCCCAAATCTGGGACCTAGCTGATTTCAACAGCCAGGGGACTCTGACGCCAGATGGCTTCGCCGTGGCCATGTACCTCATCAGACAGATGCGAAGCGGCCGCTCCGCGACGTTGCCTGCCACCTTGCCGCCGAACCTGGTGCCGCCTAGCATGCGCAACCAGGCGCGCCCGCCCGCTGCGGCATCCGCCTTCGACCCCCCTCCCATGACACATCCTCCTCCGCCCCAGCCCAAGTCGGCCCTCGAGGACCTCTTTGGCCTCGACTCGTCCGCGCCAAGCCCGGCACCGGCCCAGACGACAATGTCCACCGGAGGATCCGGCGCCAATGATCCGTTTGGAGGCGGCACGAGCGCCATGCCGCCAACGTCGCCCATTAAGCCGGCTGCCACCGGCTCCACTTTTAAGCCCTTTGTTCCTTCGTCCTCATTCGGCAGGGGTTTGACGACACAGCCGTCGACCGATGCCATGGGGACCGCGTTCAAGCAGGCACCCATGGCACAATCGGAAGATCTCCTCGAGGACAACGATCCTGAGGCGAGCAAGAAGATTACGGGAGAGACGACTGAGCTGGCCAATCTGTCGAACCAGATCGGCTCTCTTTCCAAGCAGATGCAAGAGGTGCAGACCAAGAGGACCACGACTCAAAACGAGCTCACCCAGACCAACTCACAGAAACAAAACTTTGAGCACCGGCTAGCACAGCTTCGAACGCTCTACGAGAAGGAGGCGGAGAATACCCGGGCTCTCGAAGAGCAGCTGAGAAAGTCGCGGGCCGACACCCAGAAGCTCCAGGGCGAGTGCATGACCCTCGAGGGAACGCTCCGAGACCACCAAACCCAACACCAGCAGGTCTCGGCGGCGTTGCAGGCAGACCAGCAGGAGAATGCCAGCCTTAGGGAGCGCATCCGCGTCGTCAACGGCGAGATTGCACAACTCAAGCCGCAAGTCGAGAAGCTCAGATCCGAGGCCCGCCAGCAGAAAGGTCTGGCTGCCATCAATAAGAAGCAGCTAGCCACGACGGAAGGCGAGCGCGACAAGCTCAAAACAGAGGCCGAGAACTTGGCAAAGGGGGGCGACGACGTCTCCCGCCAACTCGACAGCGGCTCGCCAGTGTCGGCCCCTGTCCAAGTCACCAGCCCAGCCCTGTCGACGGCAAGTGGTAACAATCCCTTCTTTAAGCGGACGGCGAGCACGGATGTAATGGGGACCTTTCCCTCCCCGCAGACTCGGGGCGTCCAGGACAAGTCCTTTGACGAAGTATTTGGCCCGTCGTTTGCCCCCGGCGCGACCAGTTCGCCGCCGCCGCCGGCAACATTCAAGCAGCAACACACGGGCAACTCTGTCGCCAGCGCGGGCTCCTTCAGCCGTCAGGGGACTCTGGAACCGCCGGCACCGCCGGAGTCGAGGCAGATCAACTCGAGCTTCCTCCCCTTTCCCGACCACACCGAATCGTTCTCTTCGTCTCGCCAGGTCTCGCCCCCGGGTTCTCGCATCGAGGGCTCAGTCGCCAGCTCCTCCAACCCATTTCCCACCGATACTGACGGTGCAGGAGCACCAGCAACCTCCACGAGCGACGATGACGAAAAGAGCCCGACGCCCAGCGCTATTCCCGTCCCCGGTGACGCACAGGGGCTCACCGCCGGCGACTCTGCGGCCAAGGCACCCCATCCAGGTGAATCTGGTGTCGCCGGAGCACCCGGCTCCTTTGGAAACGGCGACGAGGCAAAAGCAAAGGCCGACTTTGATGATGCGTTTGCCGCGTTTGCCGCCTCGAGCAGGAGTCCGGGTCCTGGCGCTCCCGAGGGCTCCAAAGCACAAAACGCTTTCGACGCCGAGTTCCCGCCCATCACGGAACTGGAACACGATGAGGACTCAGACTCAGACAGCGAGCGCGGTGGGTTCGACGACGACTTTGCGCCCGCCTCGCCCCCGAACAAAGCCGGCGAAAAACGGCCAGAGGCAGGAGTCAGCGAGGCGGCATCCGGTGCTATAGATGCCATTTCGAACGTGACGGCCAAAGAGAAGGCAGTCTCCACCGAGTCTCCACACCAGGGGTAGGGCGGTTCTTGAGTGGTGGTCGCGGAGCTTCTGTTTTGCTTACACGGTCGCAGTGCCGAACAGCCGTCGTCGCCCGCTACGATAACAAATTCCAGCGCGGCCGGCCCCAAGCCAACCACTACTGCCGATGACATTTTCGGTTCTGCCGCGCTCGGGCCGTCTCACTCGGCGGCAAAGGGCACACTCGATGACCTGGACGACGATTTCGAGGGTCTCGAGGATGCCAAGGAGGGATCCGCGGATGACGATTTTGCCAACATCTCTCGAGATGACTTTAACCCGGTGTTTGACAGCAGCCCGCCAGCAAGTCAGACCAAGAGCGAGTCGACGGCTTTCGGAAACGAGAGCAGCTTCGATTTTGTGGCCTCAAACCCGACAGGCGGGACCGCGGCTGCGACTGGGGGCAACCAGCAAAAGGCACCCGACAGCCACGACTGGGACGCCATCTTTGCCGGCCTCGACTCCCCGAGCGCCGTCTCTCCCGGGATCAACGACCCGAACACCAGTAACGACGGCAAGAAGGATTTGCGCCCGCAGCCGCCGGGCCGCGCCCTCACGGAGCATGGAGAGCACGATGACCCCATGGTCAAGAACCTGACAAGCATGGGCTACTCGCGGGCCGATGCTGTGACGGCGCTGGAGAAATATGACTACAATTTGGAGAGGGTAAGTCCCCCCATTTGGAGGCAAGTTTTGGTCACACGCTTACATGCTGGGCACGACCAGGCCGCCAACCACTTGGCCAGCCATTCATAGGAACAGGCGGGGGCACGCAAACGTGGTCTTTGGCGGGTGTTGCGCAGCCGACGCTCGATGGCGCGCATGTGTGGTGGAGGGTGAGGAAGCTGAAGAAGTGTGGTTCTTTTGGTTGACGGGTGAGACAATCCCATTCATCGTTGTTGCAGAGGGCGTCGAAGAGCGAACCTACCTAGTTTGTGTGTGTGTATCCTTGTGCAGCCTTAGCTTCTGATTCGTATCCCTTTTCGCCTTTTTGTCAGTCCGTCTTTTGCGCTTTCTGAGCGAAGAATTTATGTCATGATGTGGGTGAAGGGCGGATTGGTCGAAGGCCTGCGTGGATAGGCAGGCTGGAAGATGGTGGCCACGGGAGGGGGTGAGGAGGGCAGAGCAAGGAGGATCTGCTTGTAATACCGCTGCGACGAGGGTTTACCGGCCAAGACGCTGTTTGAGACTTTTCATTGAACGTGGAGAAGAGTAACATCAAGATGAAAAAGAAAAATTCGTTTCGTTCAAACCGTTCCTTGTCCTGCCTGTCTTTACACCTTGCCATGTGTGAGAGAGTGATGGTTTGTAGTATTGTAACAAAGTAGGCGCCGTTCGTTGGTGCCATGTAGATTAGTTGCTTCACGTCTTTGGTCTCCGCGGGCATGTCAAAAAAGACGAGAACCGTCCGGTCCAGCCCTGTTCCGCCCTTTGCAGCCCCTCCTCTTCTGCCCAGAGATGCTCCAGCCCATGGGCCCCTCTCTTCCTGATACGGCAACACCTCCTATACTCATATCCTCGGGCATCAAGCACCAAGGAACCCGCCTCACTTGACCTTGCCCATGATGGTCTCGGGCCCGCGGACAACGTCCATGGTTGCAGCCCTGGCTTTGACGGCGTTGAGCATGCTGCGGTCAAAATCGTCGCGGGCGCGCAGCACAGCCTCGACCCAGCCGATGGAGAGGTCCCAGTAGGCGGCCTTGAAGGCGGCAAATGCGTCGGGGATGGCGTCGCGGTCCGCCGAGACGAGGTTGAGGAAGGGTTCGGTGACGCGCCACGTCTGCTTGATGGCCTGAGCCACATCCTGGGTGGGCAGGCCGCCGAAAAAGTCAAAGGCCGTCGAGACGTCGTCGAAGAGCTTGTCGCGGAAGGGGTCAGCGCGGCGGAAGCGCGCGCCCTTATTGCGGACGGAGCCGAGGTAGCGCACGAGCAGCTCGTCGGCGAAGATCTCGATGAAGATGTCGACGAGCGAGTGGTGCAGCACCTGGCGGTAGTCGCCGACGTATTCGTCAAACGTCACCACCATCTGCTTCATAGCCGTGTTGGCGTACCAGCGGGGCGTGAAGAAGTCGGGCATGACGGCGCCAAAGTCGACGACGAAGATGAGGTGGGCAAACTTTGTGATGCACCAGGTGCTAAAGTCGACGTAGCCGTCGCGCAGCGCCGCCAGCTCCTCATCGGCGCCCTCGAGGTAGGGCGCCGTGACGAGCGGCTCAAACTTTTGCCGGAAGCTCGACAGGTAGCCGAGGCGGCCCTCGTCCTCGTTGTCGTCGATGCAGGCAATCTGGTCGTTTGCCGTGGCCACGAGCCAGTCCTGCAGGGCCTGGAAGCCGTCGAGCTCGGCGCCGGCCGACTCGCAGGCCAGGGCCTCGTCCTCGAGCATGCGCTGCCAGGCCTGCTGGCGGCCGCGCAGGCGCAGGAACATGGCGTCGACGACGCCCTCGACCACGTCGGCGCGCTTCGAGTTGGCGCCGGCGTCAACCTGCTCGCGCAGCATGCGCCACAGAGCAACAAGGTTGCGAGTGCGGAAGTAGCCGTACTCGTCCTGGTCGAGGTTGGAGCCCTCGACGTTACGCTCGGCAAAGTCGCGCTTCTCCTGCTCAAAGATGCGGTCGATCCACTCGTCGAGGAACTTGATGATGAGCTGGCGGAAGTCGCGGACCAGCTCGGCCTCGCGGTTGTCGATGACGTGGGGAGCGAGGTCTTGCTCGCGGAAGCCCATCTTGGCCATTTTCTTGTAGTACTTATCGGGGAAGCCGGCAATCTCGAGCGTGTGGGCCGAGCTGCCCTCCGGGTCGGCCACCATGGCGACGAGGAAGTCGTGCATGAGGCCGTGGTAGATGTCGGCGTACGTCTTGGCGATGGTCCAGCGGCGCGGCATGAGAGGCGTCATGCCCATCTTGACGGCGTTGAGGTCGTTGAAGTACCACTTCATGATCTTGTCGAGGCGCGAGGCGTCGTCGAGAAAGTCCTCGCGGGCCTGCTCGAACTGCTGCTCGGCGCTGATGCGAATGGCCTGGAGGAACTTGTCCTTGTAGCCGCGCACCTTTTTGGCGCCGTCGGTGATGCCCTGGAAGCGGGCGGCCATTTCCTCGTGGTCCTTGAGAGCCTCCTGCAGTGCGAGGACGCGGGCGTCGCTGCGCTCCTCTGCCTCCATGACGACGGCAAAGCGGACGACGAGGCCGTTGTTGTCGTTTACAACGAGGCTGATTAGGTTCATGGCGAGGATGCCGACGTGCTCGTCGAACCAGTCGATGGTATCGTCGAGGCGGGCAAAGTAGTCCTCGAGGGTGGACTCGAGGCCCGGGTCTTCGGCGCGGTGTATCTGCTCCATGGCGTCGTCACGGATGTTGCGCAGCTGGGTGAGCTCGTAGTGGCAGGGCAGCAGATTGGGCATGTTTTCCTTGTCGTCGTCGTCCTGGCGCAGCATGTCGTCGACGTGGGAGAGGCGCTGGTTAAAAGCCTCGAGGTTGCGACGCATGGTCTCGACGGCGCCAAAGTTGCGGTGGGCTTGGGAGACGAGGTTTATGCTGGCAAAATCGTGGATCATGGTCTGGGACTCTGAGCAGAGGCGGTCGATGTTGATCATCTCGTCTTTAATAGCCTGGACCGTCTTTTGGCCGTCACCGAGGCCCGTCATGCCGGCCTGGGTCGTCTCGAGCTGATCGCGCAGGCCGCGGCGCAGTTGGCCGTCGACGGCGCCCTTTTTGCGTGAGAACTCGAGCTTGAGGGCGGGTATCTTGTCGAGGTCGTCCGGGTGCCGCAGCAGCTCCGACAGCTTGGGCGCGGGACCGTCGTCCATTTTGCTGCTGCTGCTGTCGGACGGCAATCAGGGCATGGCTGACGCAGCGCTGAGTGGCCCCGGTCGGGTGAGGCGGCGGCTATGGTGCGGATGGGGGTGATGTCCTGGTCATTGATGGGATGGCTGTCGCGATGATGATGTTGGCGGTGATGGGGGAGGTGCAGTTGGTTGGAGGGGCTGCTGGCGTTGTGGCAGCACTGCGGGGCCTGGGCCGTTGGAGCGCACAGTGCATATCTGCGCTTTCAGGCACTGTCTGAATAGTCGTGCAACCTCACGATGCAATCTTACTTTGAAAGATTCAAAGTTATTCCGCAAGGCAACGGACTTCCTTGCGAGCCTCTTGCACTCAATGCGACCAGGTAATACGCCACGAAAAACGACACGGTAGCTCGCTTCCGATACCTTGAGCTTCTTCGTCTCCAACACTCTGGCTAGACATCTATAAGAATAATAAGACTATAACGGACGACGTCGTAAGATGCATCGTGGAGAGACAACCATACACAACCTATGCGATGTTTGTGCGGCTTTGGATTTTCCGAAATACTTCCAGTCAGCCTTCGACAGCCATGTCGACTCGGCGCCACCTCGCGGGCCGCCAAACTCGGCTTCTTGCACGACATCCATCGCAAAAGCTCCCATTGCGCTTTTTGCCATCTCGTCATCCAGGCAGTCTGCACCAAACGCATTCGCACTTCAATCACTCCCCAGGCACTGATACACATGGATAGAGTCAAGAAAAGGCCGGCCGAGTACTACATATACAGCTACTGTTTTGCACGCCCCTACATTCCAAGCGAGGGCCGGAAAGAAGCGTATCGCATCGGCATCTCTTGTCGGACGACGGATCCAGGACGACGGCTTGATCCCGACAACCACTTGGGCGACATGCAGCTGCTGAGAGATGATGCCCTGGCCCTTTACGGCTCCAAATGCTTCTACGGCCGTCTCCTGGAGCCAAAGAGGATCAGTACCAGCCTCCCCAAGAGCTGGCTGCGCTTCTGTCAGCACAACCATGGACGGATTTGTGAAGAGCCCTCAGGCTCAGACCGCCACAGGCCGGGTCAACTGCTGGTAATCGACGTGTCACGTCGGTGCATCTCTCATTTGCCACCAGACTCAAGCTACCTGGCCCTTAGTTACTGTTGGTCGGCCACAAACACTCTCAAGTTGACGAGGCAAAATATCAACCAACTTTTGCAACCGTCATGTCTGGACGACTTGTCTGGAAAGCTCCCACGAGTAGTTCAAGACGCCATAGACTTTGTTGCGGAGCTTGGCGAGTGCTATCTTTGGGTCGACGCTCTCTGCATCGTTCAAGACAGTCATGAACACAAGCTGTTTCAGCAATCTCAAATGGACAAAATATACGGCTCGGCAACCCTCACCATTGTTTCTGCCGCAGCCACCATGGACGCCCAGAAAATCAGTGTCGGGTTGCCTCGCTTCAACGAGAACGTCAAATGCAGACCACAGAAAGCAGCTCTGGTGCGGAATCGTCGGTTTATCGTCCCCTTTGAGTCCATCATGAGCCTGCTTGACCATAGCAGGTGGAACACCCGCGGCTGGACCTACCAGGAGCTGCTGCTGTCTCGACGCCTCTTGTTCTTTACCGACAGTCAGGTCTACTTCCAATGCAGTGAGAGCGTATTCTCCGAAGACGGAATTGGGGAGACGAGTTTTCGTACGGAATTCATAACCCCAGTGAGCAATTTATGGAACCCAGGTGGCCCATCTGAGGGTGGCCTTCAGCTCGGATCGCTCCATCTCAAACGTTGGCCCTTTCGAGTAGCGAGTGTGCAGTCCAAGAATTCGCTGCGCATGTAGAAGTTTATTCGAGGCGAAACTTGTCGTTTGCCTCCGACATATTGAAAGCCTTCCGCGGCATTCAAAACATACTTTCCGAGTCTATGGAAACCGATTTTTGGTTCGGGATGCCGGAAAGGTTTTTAGATTCCGCCCTCCTCTGGATATCAGATCTGCAGCAGATGAGAAGCACGCAAGGCCGATTTTTCATCCCCAGCTGGTCGTGGGCTGCATGGGATAATGATGTGGATGTGACAACATACTTTCATGGGCACATCAGACGGGAGGTCACTTGGTTCCTTGTTAACGAGAAAATGGAAGCCATCATAATGGAAAGTCAGGATGTTGACCAGGGGAGTCAAGGCGTCGACCGGAGCGCTATAAATCGACATCCGCACATGCTACCCCCGTCGATCAAAAACGTGCTTACCATGGTGCATCGGAAAGACTTTACCCGCAACACCAGCCAAGACCAGAGATGCCGACTATTTCTAGCTTGTTGGACAATGCTGGCAAGCTTTCGGTTGACCGGGTCTATTGCTTCGTTGAGTGGACATGGGATGATTTGGCCAGATGGAGAAAACTTGGCCATATCGAATTACAAAGGACTGTGGATTGGGTCATCATGATGGATCGAAGATGGGTCAGAAGCGCGCTTCTGCAGTTCCCCATCTTTCCTTTCATACTTATGTCGAGATCCGACGGCCTCTCACTACTTTCCTACCCAGAAGTCAAATTCTTCGATGATGAAGTATTTTGCCCAAGACCATGGTGCTATATGAACGTCATGTTGGTACAATTCTATGGGAGAGTGGCCAGACGATTAGGAGTGGGTGTCATTCATGAAGACGCATGGTCAACGGCCGTCTCGATAAAACACCAAATTTTCCTGGAATAATGTAAAATAGCAGGAAGAAAAGGTGCAACTCATGCAAGTCTCTGACGAGGTAACAGTTTCGCATAGATACGCGCCAAACCCCGAGGCCGTGTTGAGCGAGACCGCGGTGGACACATGGGCGATTGATCAGTCTCCGTCTCGGGGTCGGTAATGTCCGAGTCTGCCCCCGTGTCGTTGTTGACTAATATCGGAAGGATTACCGAGCACCTGGCATGCCAAATCGTACGCCCTCGGGTTTCTGGCATAGTCGCCGCCAGGATGGAACCCTTTCACCTTACTGAGCTCACCGGGCTTGAGGTTGGATCCGCGATAGGTAAAGGCCAGCTCGGGCATCTATCGAATCGAGCAATGGGCCGGCACTGCCCTGGCCCAGCCATAAAATCTACGGAGGCGCAGCCGAAACGGCAATGTTTGTCTAGAGCGCAAGACCCATCTTGTAGGGAGAAGTTTGTCAGCTTGGTTTATTTGGATACTGGACGACAAAATCCTCGAGTACTCTTGGACTGGCAGAACAGGGACCTCTTATAAACAGAAGACCGGAGGTTGAACAAGACGTTATGGCCATCTGCCCTTTTCGTGAATCAACAAAGGTCGACTCCCGGTCGTCGCGTTTCCCGGCTATAGTGGAAGCATAGCCATGGGACCGAGTGATTTAGTACAATATCAACATGCTTCGTATGCGTAATGCTAAGTGTTATTATCACGATCAAACGGCTCATGGTCTGTGTCTGGCGTCGGCTAATGCGCCTGCCATAGACCAAAGGCCCCCGTGGAATGGAAAAAGGATGATGAGAATCATGAATGTGCAAGTTGCTATACGCTATATATGTCGGGTAGGCAGTTAATGCAGACTGTCAACTAGTGCTGCCTGATGGGAAAACCTCGCCGTCTCGGCTCACGTATCGTCATCCACTTGGGGGGTATGGGATAGGAACCAGCCTACGCAACGCCTCATCGCGAACAAGAAACCTCATCAATCCGACTCCCCGTCCGTACCAGAAGAGCTCGTACAAGAGCTATCCTCTTCATCATCCCCTCCCCCGCTTTCTGCCCCCTCGACGCCTACGCCCCCCATGTCGTTCTCGTCCTCGCCCTCGCCGCTCCCGTCAACCTCCTCCTCTTCCAGGCCGCCCTCCTCTCGGTCCTGCTTCCTCCGCTTCGCCGAATCCCGACCCCCCTGTGCGTCTGTGCGTGCGGCGCCTCTGCGCTTGGTGCCCAGCTCTGCAGGGACCGTATCCTTGGGCCCGACCACGAATCCCGCGGGCAGCGCCTTGCCGGCCTTGAACACGTATAGCGTGGGGTATTCGAGGAGCCGCGTGTTGGCAAGTATGTCCCTCAAGCAGTCTGTCGGCTCGAGCGCGGCGATTGCCGTCGCGAGATTGGACCCTGTCGGGGGCCCGCCGAGAAAAAACCGAAACTGCCGCCGCTGCGCCTCATCGATTTCTCTCGGCCAGCTATCCCCAATGTCAGCGCCGTCGTAGCATACCCAGTGTCCCGTCAGAGGATCTTGCGCTGAGCTGGCGACGGGGTTCCATTTCGAGTCGGACAGACGCTGTGCTTCCTCCCGCCGCCCGCTTCTCAGCCCCTTCTTCCGCCCAGCCCGAGCCCTGTCATCCTGTACAGCTTGGTAGGCTTGGTATAGCGGCACGTCCTCGAGGACTTTGGACAGGCATCTGGTCATCGGCCCCTTCTCTTGGTCGGTGCCCGGGCCCTGGTCTTCGTCGCCCAGGACCAGCCACTCCACCTGCCAATTGATCCCCCCGGAGCGGCGGTTAAAGGTCGTGTTGTTCTCCCTCTGCCTCGCCATGCCCTGCGGCGCCCGCGTGATCTGGATGTTCAGCTGTCTCAGCCTATGGGCCAAGAACCGCTCGAACCGTCGTTCCCCTGTCTCCTTGGGCGCCTTGGGCGCCACCACCAGCACCTTTTTCTTCCTGCCGTCACGGCCCGTCTTCCACCGCACCTGCTGCACCGTCTGCGGCCGCAGCTCGTCTTGTCGCACGAGCCCCTTGTCGCCGACCAGCATCCTTTCCGCCCGCTCGACCGAGAGGTCCAACTTATGCAGGAAGTTGTAGTCGTGGTTGACGCCGGCGACAGTGCGCAGCTGCGACTGCGGGATAAAGACGGTCGCGTCGCGCTCGCCGCTGCACTCCGACCAGGCTTTGTGCTTCTTGACGCACGCCGCCGAGCACGTCTGCAGCTGACACCGGGGGCATTTGTATTTGGGCGTCGATACGTGGCAGATGGCGCAGAGAGACGTCAGGAGAGGATCGGCCATTGTGCTTTGGCCTGGTGCTGAGGCCCAGCGTCGTGAGTGGGTGCAAGCGAGATGGAGCGAGTCGCGACGTCACTCCAACGTTGAAGCCTCTTTTTTTTTTCGGCGAACCCTGACTACATAGATACCTAGGGCGGTGGGGGCGGGCGGCAGCATGCCATACATCCTGGGCACCTTAGGTAAGCACGATGATGTACGTGACATTCAGATTACTGTACGAGGGCCGACGACTTCCTCCCTCTCCAACCCTCAACCTACCATCCATGTCACACAACAGTTTCAATCTTCTTTGGCCCGGACAGCTGTCCTAGGAAAAGAACTGTTTCATCATGGCTTCGGGTGCACCTCGCTGCATCACGTACTCAATACGATTTCCAAACAGAATCCCAAGCCGGCAACGGTCCAGTCCCAGCTGCATCATCGAGGAGTCCTTCCTCTCTCATAGAATCGAAGATTTTGACATGTCGACAAATGAACGCGCCCGCCAAATATCTTTTACATTTTCTCCCATCGTCAAATTCCTCCGCTACGGCCGCAGTCGAGGTATAATTTGGAGATTGGACACACAGGCCTATGCCATGGAGTGTGACGAGGGTTTGTATTCTCCAGGCCGTAAACTATTGTCGGCTCTCCTGGCCAAGGAAGGGTATTAGGTGATTATCTGAGAGCCTGGCATCATGGTTGGGCTGTTCATCGAGGGCCGCCGAGAGCGCTTATCCTCGCTCCTGAGGGGCGGTGGAGCAATGACTCCGTATGCTTGGCAACGATTCCAGTCTCGTTAGGGACGCCGCTGTTATCGCTTCGGCTTTCCTCAAAAACCTCTTCGTCGTCCTCGACTATCTTGGTCGGAATGTCACCCCCTACCGCGTATTGCAGGCTGGACCGTTCCGGTGTCGTCGTGGCAGATGCAAACGACATTGCAGTGCTGCTGCGATTGGGAATCAGGTCTGGCGTGGGAGGAATGCTGGAAGGGCGACCCGCCTGGAGGCGGTTGTCATCGCCCGCCTCGTTGGTGGACACGGACCGGTCGTCGATGCCGTCATCGCTCTGGGCGGGAGACAGATTGCTCTGCCGACGGAGAGATCGCGTCTCGGCATCCTGGGCGAGCTGGAGGCCCTCGACCGCGGCCTGGCACTGATCGGCGATGTTGCGGACAATGTGGGCGATGGCGTCCGTCTTGTCCTTGAGGTGGCGGTCGGCGACGTCGAAGAAGCCCAGAGAGAGCCGTTTGCTGTTGCGCGAAGTCTTGACCACGCTTTCACTGCCGTCAACCGTCGCGTCGTCGGCATCCCCTTCCTCGGCTTCAAATTCCTGGGCCATCTCTTGCGTAAGCTCGTCGGGCTTCGTCAGAGACCGCACCAGATGCTCCATGTGGTGGCTCTGGCCGCCAATAAGGCTGCGCAGGTGCAGCACGACACGGCGGGCCTCGTCGCGCTGGCGCAGGATCGTGCTGTTGGTGTGGTGAAGCTGAGAAAGCTCCTTCTTGTTCCTCTTGCGCTCACGCTCAAGCTCCTCGGCAATCTCCTGCTGCAGGACGAGGGCCTCGAGGGCATCGTCGCGCTGCTTCTCAGTGCCAGTGAGGCGGACCGACATGCGGGCATTGTCGTCCTTTTGCTGGTCGAGCAGACCCGTCAGGCGACGGTTCTCCCTCTTGTGGTTCTCAATCTTGACCTTAAGGTCTTGAGTCTCCTTGGTGAGCTGCTCGGCAAAAGCTTGGAACTTGAGGAACTGCTGCTTCCAGCTCTCGAGCTCTTCCACAAGGTAGTTGTTTCGCTTGTTGACCTTGCTGAGCTCCGTATCCATGCGGCCCTTGAGATTGATAAAGTCCTGCCAGGCCTCAAGGGCATCACGGGAGTACTGATTCCGCTCGCGGACAATTTCGTTGAGGTGCCGCATTGACACCTTGGTCATCAGAGGCTTCTTGACGGCGCCGCCAAAGACGGCCTTGATACCCGAGTTGCGACCCATCTTCTCGCAGACATGATCCATGACGGCCGTGACCGAGTCCTGATTCCACCACTCCGGGTCCTGGATCGACTCCACCTCGCCACGCATGACGATGATCTGACCAGCCGGAACTAGCTTGCCGCCGCCGTAGGCAGAACGCAGGTGCTGGGGGACACCGGACGGGGTGACGTCACCGTTGAGAGCCTGAGTGAGTCGTGTGACAAACTTGTTTCGCTGACTGGGCGTCAGGGCAGTAGGCGGGCTGGAGGTGAGGACGAAGTTGCGATCCAGATCCACGACCAGGGCATCGGTGGGCGCCGTGAAGAGCGAGCGGCACTCGGCGGTAATACCGAGAATGTACGGACCGGGCTCCTGCACAAGCTCCTGGGCGTGGCGCGCGTGGACCACGGGCACGTACAAGCCGCTCCACTCGTAAACACGCACACAATAGCGTACGGTCTCGGCGGCCACCGTCAGCATGGCCGGATAGTGGCTGACGAAGATTATGCGTCGCGTGGGAGAGATGGCCGCCTCGACAACTCCCACAATGTTGGGGATGGACAAGCAGGTGAAGAGGGGCCACAGGGCGAAGTTCTGGAAGCCGGTGGGCGACGAGGGGAACTGATAGCAGAGGGCGTAGTCCTTCATGTCGATGCGAACGAGGTCGTTGAGACGCGGAGCCGGGAAGCTCAGGATGCGCGACACCTCTTCGGCGTGGAAGAGGTTGGTGGCCTTATTCCAGTGAATCCACATGCCCCTAAGATAGTCGCCCAGAAGATTGTACAGTGGATACCGCGAGAGGAAGGAGAGGCAGTAGGGGATCCAGTACGTCTCGTCGGCGTTGTCGTAGAAGTCGGGCTCGGTTCGCTTTCGCAGGTCGCGGATCGTCTCGGCCCTCTTGTCGTCGGCGCGGGACCAGACGCGCAGACAGATGCCGTAGAGGGTGTGGGAAGAGTCTTGCTGGAGGACAAAGGCATGGTGGACGCAGTGAGGCTGACCCCGGCCCGTGCAAATCTCGACGTCATGGGGGAAGCAGGCCTGCGCGAAGACAAACTTGGTCAGCAAGCAGTACAAGATGAGCGTGGAGACGATGGAGCGGGCGAAACTAAAAACCCACCCTCATGGCGGCATGAAGCGCGCGAGCAATCTCGTTGTCCTGCTCCAGGCGAGGGCTGCTGCCGAGAATCTCAGGCAGCCAAAACTGACCGACGGCGCCCTTCATGTGGCCAATCTTGCCCTGAGAGGGAGCCGGAGCCTTGACCCATTGCGAAGGCTCGCGACCAACACCGCAGACCATGTAGGCATGGGTGAGGGTCTTGGGGGTGCGTTGCTGGGATTTTACGGTGAGGGTCGAGGGGATTGGCTGTGTGATGCGCGAGTGTAGCGACGAGGTGCGGCTGGGGATGAGCATGTTGTCGTTTGCGCCCTGTTCGCGAGTGCCTGGACGGCCGTCGCGGTCTCCCGTCCGAGGGCGAGTCAGGGACGGGTAGGTGCCGAGAGAGGGAGGCATGGCGGGCGAGAGTCGGAAGAGCGGTGGCGAGGCGGAATGGGCGCCGGGCGTGGCTCTGCGTACTATGTCTCGCTCGCAGTTATGTGGCCGGTGTTCTCTCGCTCGAAAAAAGGAGGCGGGAGGGTTTGCTCAACGAGCCATCCGCCAGAGGGTGGTAATGTCAGAGCTTGCTCTTGGGAAAGAAGAGGGCAAGCCGAGGCAAGAAAGGCTCAAAAAGAAAAGAAAAGACGGGCAGAGCGGGTTGCGATTGAGAAGAACGAAACCCAAGCTGGCGCCGAAAGCTAGAGATAGGAGGAGCCAATGCGAGGTTGATGAAGGGATTGGAAACAAACGCTTGCTGGGCACCGAGACGGGGTGGAGGTTAGGCCAAGGCAAGGGGAAACAAGCGCAGGTCCTTGAGTGAGAGAAAGTGAGGGAGAAGCGGGATTCGAGTGGGAGAGAGGGGGGAGGAAAATGGAACGTCTGTTGCAGCTGTCTGAGATTGGGATGGAGATGGATGGAAGGATTTGGGGGGGGGGGACAGAAGGGATGGGGGGATTATTGCAGACGGGGGCAGGGGAGCGACCGCCGCGGAGCTTGGGCCACGACGACGGTGAGGAGCAGCAATCACAACACGGCAGCGCGGCCGGATGAGGAACGGTACGGTAGTTGATCCCATCTGCCTATTCTCGTCCAGGGAGGGAGGGGGAGGCTCCGTGATGCCGGGGTCCCCTGACTCACGAGAGAGACGGCCACCGAGTGGGGGCGGCCTGGTAGGTACAGGTACGGCGAAGCCTGGTCTTCGCACATAGCCGAGGGGCTCCTGCCCGGGTCTTGAGCTTTTTTTTTTGGGTGTTTCAGGCGTCTCTTTTAGGCTTAGAGTTTCTGTACTTGTGGGCTGGAACTTACCCAAGAGGGTACACGGCACATTGTACTCCGTACCGGGCAGGTAATGGGCAAGGCGAAAGTACCGGATAGCTCCTTTGCGCCTTGTTGCATGCTTCAATGTGTGCAATTCTGCCTACTGTACATGTGCATGCATGTGTGTGTGTGTGCGCGCGCGTGTATGAGTGTGTGTGTCCGTGTGTACGCGCGCGCTGCCTTGCCTTGCCGTTGCAACTATTGGCACCGAAGCGACATGGCAATCTCGTGTTGCCCTTCTGTGAGAGCATTGGATGAAGCCGGGTCCATGCGGTGCTGTATTTAACTTTACGGGGCATCTGATGTACCGTACTAACTGGTGCTGTACGGCCGAAGTGTCGGTCAGGTACCTGATCCATGTAAAGTGCCAAGTACCTCCTCCACTGAGATGCGCCCACTCGTCAGTGTACCTGCGCACGGACAGGAGTGCGTCACCGTCTTTCCTTCTCCTCGAATGGCAGGTACCGAATGAGGAGTACTCCGTACGGAGTAGGCAGTTACGGTCGCATTGAGAGAAACATGACAGAAAAACAGGGCAAAAGAGAGGAAGGAAACGCGCAAGCACACACACACACACAGGAAAAGATGGAGGGAGAGTGGGAGGCAAGGAAGGAAGATGCGTCCACACAGCCAGACAGATGTTTTCACTGCCTCCCTTCGTTCCCGAGCGCTGATATTAAGGGGAGGCCATACGACGGACCGCCCGGAGAAATTTTGGTTCGAAACTGGAAGCCAGGCATATATGATAATGAGATACCGAACAAGGCGACGGGCAAACACCCACCACGCGCGCTGGGCAGGACAGGGGGTAGGGGGCAGAGGCTACCGTACTTGCCAAGGATCGAGTGAGTAGTTCTTTCCTTGACTTGACGGCTGTCAAAATTATTGCAAACACAGCTCAGTTGCTCTTTTCCATCCGTGCTCCCCGAGCTGCGGTGGCAAGTAATAGGATGTTTGGTCGGCAATTGGCTTGATCTGGCAGTCACACAAGCTTTCGTTCGTACAGTACATGCGGGAGAAGGCAGCTAAGTAGCCCCGATAGAGGCCGCACATCCCGAGCTCAACGGTCGCTGTCAAGGCACCTTGCTAGCTGAGTAACAGTACTCGAGGGCTGAGGTGCTAAAAGAGGCGGGCAACGCGGGAAACACCGCAGTGTGCCCGTGCGGCACAAGCGCTCAACTCGGTCTGTGAAGAAGAGTCGAACCAGGCCAAAGCACTTTGCTGACTGCCTCTATTTAAGCCCCCGTCTGCCTGGCTGTTTTGATGCCCTGCTGCGTCTTGAAGATTTTTTATTTTTCACCGGAAAGGCCCTGCAGCCTCTTGGACGCAGGCAACGCAGGGCATCTACACGTTCCACTTAGGGGCGCGCATGTATACATGCAATGTACAATCATCCCACGCATGAAGACGCGCTGCGGACTGTGGATCGGTGGTATCCAGTAGCCTTAAGGCGGTGGTGCATCTCAGATGCTGTATCCGTACATGCGCAGCAGGAAGACAGCGGGTAGGCCGCCCGGCAGCGGGAAGAACAGAGATGCCCCGCCCGCCTTCACCGTTTGTGAACAGGTAATTACCCCGATGTACCAGACGGAGCGACCCCCTCGGACATGGCCGGGGCCGGGGCACGGGAGCCGTCTCTCGCTTGCCCGACGCCACCTTGCTTTTCCCATTGCCCTTGTTCCTTTTTCTCTCAACAAATGTGCCCAATTGCAAATGAGGCGCATCGTCGACACCGGTGGTGACGATGACGGTGCAGGAAGCGAATGCGCGTGCACGCCCGCAACATGCAGAGGTGCACAGAAAGGTGAGATGGACGGCACAGAGCTGAGCCCACGCCATATGCACCTGTAGGCCTTGTGCTCCGTTTTTTCTTCTTCTTTTTTACTTTTTCCTGGTTGATATTTCCAGCTCGGCCAACAGCGGGGAGAACAACAATCAACTGTGGCCTGTTGGGACCAGAGAGAGTACTGTACGCTTCGTCGCCGTTGGACATGCCCTACTCCGTGCCGGGCAGGGAGCGGTTGTGCTCACCTCGACTAGCACCTATCTGCACCTAGTGCGAAGAACGAGCGGCACCTGTGACCATCACTCATCGTAGTCCTGCGTTGCTGAGCTTGCATAAGGCGTGCAGCTGCATGTTTGCGCACATGGCGCCTCGGCCCGTGCAGAGTCCATGTTTTCCTGGTCGCTGGAAGCCAATGTCGCAATGGCTACGGATACTCTGCGTACGTACTGTACTGTAACTGACAGTGTCGGTTCGTCGGGGATATGCGCGGGAAATGAGCAATCTGTTGCTTAGCAAGGCAGACGCCGGCCAACCAGAGGAGAGCGTTCGGAGACAGCAACCAACGCCCTCCTGCCTTAATTTGCTATCAAGGTCTTGGTCGGTAGATTGCGGACCGCATCAACAATGGTCCGCCCACCCCGACGCAGCCCACGTGCCTGTCTTTCAACTGCACTCTCTTAAGGATAATAAAGCTTGAAGCCTTGAAACACCTCGGAGAACTTGAGATGGTGGGTGCCCCCTGAACACGTACGACTGATCCGGGGAAACGCAGCTTGGCTACTTCTCGTGGTCTCTTCGCCGCTTCGCGACTGCCAGATTCCCCACACGTGGCCCCCTCCACAATGCGGCTTCAGCTCTGCAGAAGCACGTTTGAAACGTGCAGGTGGACTCGCAAACGGGCCCTTGCCAACGTCCCATGTCGGCCCTGGCCACAAAGCAACCTGCATCATGGTTGGACCCAGTTTAGACGTCTACAAAACTCTCTTACCCCGTCCCGCTGGACCAAGATTCTTCTCGCCTTGACCTTGGTTCGATTTCAAGGCTGGTTTCAAACCCCAGCTCCTGCAGCCCCCCGTTGCCTACTGCACGACTGGTGAGCCCCGGGGGGTCCAGCCCTCACGTGCCCATCTTTCAGTCGTCGTCACGGATAGCTTTCTTGGCTGCACGTTCAACTTTAAAGACATTCGAGGGAAACTGGTTCAGCAGATCGCATGGTTCGTCGACGCAGAGAGGTGTCAGGCTGATCCCGTCTTGATGGCCGTAACACTCATCAAAAGCCCGAGCCATATCCTCGTGAGGCGCATTGAGAGCATTCGTCAGCTCCTGGGTGCGCACATGAGGCGCAGTCAACATGAGGAACCGCTCCAGGTCGGCCACCTCGAGGTCCTTTCCTGCAAAAAGCTGTTGTGGCCAACCCTGGTGGGACTCTTGGACCGTACAGTACGCTGCGGAGAGGCCGGAACACCCATTGTGACCAGAGCTGTCCAGACATAGACTTATGGTGTAGTGGGGAAAGCCGCTGACAACTTTACCGGGAGTGCACACGGCATCGGCAATGTAAAAGCACTCGAAACTAGGAGTCCTGTAGTGGTGTCTTCCTTGGTGCGCCACTAGGAGCTGGGCGAGGGGCAGAGGTGGAAGACATTGGATGACGCAACGCTCAGCTGATGAGGAAGCCACAATCGCCCCTCGAGGCTACTGACATACGACGTGGAGAGATACAGCGCTCCCTCAGCGAGACCGTGGTCTGAGTTAGAGCACGCGGCAAACACATGGTGGTCGGCATGCTCGTCCTCCCGATCTGCTGACTCAAAGGCAGGATCGAGCCGGGCCTGTCCCGTCCAACGGGTCTGGCAGCTTCTGAGGCGTCGCCGGGGTGTTCATGTGTGAGTTCACTGCGGTGGCCTGATCAAACGCTCGACGTTTCAAGGCGGCGCCGGCATCTTCAACAAGGAGGTTCGGATACATGCTCCAGTCGAGGTATGGCCGGCCTCCATAGGCTAGCTCGAGAAGCTCGATATTTGTTCTCGAGCAGCAGCTTTCCACCGCCTCTTGTGGGTCGAGAATTCCCCGTACATCTTGAGAGAAATCCAGAATTATATACAACAAAAGGTAATACAATGAATGCGCAACCGTACAATCTACAACAAGGTGGTTCTACTATTATCCCCGAATCATCCCTGCCATAATCTTCTAGCCAACACAACAAGGTGGTCCAGCACTTTTTCTATTACCATCATAAGCCGGTAGTTCTAACTCACCACCTAGAGAACAGGTTCTTATTTCCGCATCATTATGAACTTAGACATAATACAATTGATAAGTTAGATAATCGGTTTGCTAATGCCTCCACGTAGGTTAGGAGGAATAGAGGTGGTTCCAGGTAATTCGACGTGAGAAGGCTTCTCATCATCGCCCGAGCCCTCTTTTCACGCAGGGACAGGCGGGCCACGTACGAAAGTCTAGTCGGATGGAGAGGCTGAGGCGCTGTTGTGATTCCGAGCCACCGGCCCTTGGGCCACACCTCTTGACGCTAGGCGACAATCTCGAGCGCGTTGCATTCATCCAGCTTTTGTGCTCTCGAAGCTGAAACGCCGAGGGTGTGACTTGCCACGAGTGATTGTGGCTCGATGAGAGAGTATCGGTCCGGCTCGTCTGTCAGGCGGCACTCCTCAGTCTCTTCATCGGACTGCATCCGGGAGCGAGTGTGAAGATATTGCCGGACGGGTCGAAGCATGTGGCTCTCTAGGTTCTCGTCACCGAACCAAGCTATACGTCACGTCATGATGAGCCGTCTTTTCCCCAGGATCAAGGGGAAGAGGTAAACCTGCCGGAAGACCAGACGAAGCCATATCGAGCATGGTCCAAGTCGCTAGCATCCAATACGGCGATGCCTTCCTCGTTCTGCTCCTTGTCGTAAGGCGTGTCTATTGGCTGATAGTCACGGGGAGTGATGTCGCGGCCGCTCAAGTCGTAGCTCGACGCGACGGCAAGACAGGTTGTGATGAGGGGAAGGGGCCCGAGGCTTACTGCGAGTCTGAAGCTGAGGCCGTGGCTGACCCCTCTCAGGGAGCTGTGCTTGGCAAGAAGAGGCCTCACCGCTGTCACCATCACTGTTGTCATCATTTCCACCGTTACCCCCGTCACCACTATCGTCCTCCTCTCCATCCTCATCACCATCCTGATCTGGACCACAGCTCGGGTGAGGACTCTAGGAGGCTGCTGCGAGGCTCCATTATACTGCCTGCCGTGACCTCCCGAATGCCTCCTGACTCAAGGGCACGTCACACTTCACACCCAAGTGAACAGGACAGCTTATCCCGCCCTCTTAACAGCCGGATAGGCCCACTTTCGCCCACGGCACGGGAGGGCCTGTTGAGTGTTTTCAAGCCAGAACCCAGTCACATGGAATGTTGAAATGCGAGGCGTCTCCATTATCGCTTAACAATTTCTTTATCAGTGCATGATAAATGCTGTCTTTCGTTCGGCATTGAATTCGGCCCACGAGGTGTCGGCCCACGAGGTGGAAAGGTCCAGAAAGAACGGAGCACGCTTGCAGATCTTTCGATTTCCCAATTTCATTCTGGGGAGGGTTTCCTCGTCATTGGGCATGTGCTTGGATATTTCTTAATCTTGTTGTGGTCTTGCCCCCCTTTTCTGAACGAAATACCAAGTCAGTGCGCGGCACGAAGTGTCCAATAGACGGCGAGTCGTGGTCTAGTACAGTACATACAAAGCAGCCTCTGACTAGCCAAAGCGTGGGCATAAGGATGAAGATCCATCATGCATAATGTTTACCCATGACACCAATAGCACAAGGCAAATACAAGGCAGTATATATGGGAATGGAAATCTGGTTCCCGAGATGCATTGTGAAACAGACTCCTTAGTAAGTCAGAAAACGGTTCACGCGGTTCTCTTATGACATTGCTCTGAATTCTATCGCAAAGCCGGCTAAATCCCATGTCGCATTGCTGGCAAAGTCATGACTGGAGCGCGAGTTGAGTTTGCAAGCTGAGAAGTGGCAAGTATTGATTCACATCTGCATCTTTCGGGTGAGTAGTCTCGCTGCAATGGTCAATACTGCAGATTACCCGGTACTTTCAAAAAGACTAGTTGCAAAAGATCAGTTGTCATTCTACCACTCTCTTAAAGTTTACTTTGCTATGTGATGCAACAGCACGAGGGCGTGTTCTAGCCCATCTTTAACAAAACGCTTGATACAGAGGTCTCGTTTCCCATATTAATCAGGATAACCCTTGACATATAATGATCACACTTCATAGGCATTGTTCTAAAATGTAGCACTTCAGGCATTTCGATCTGTTCGTGTGGTGGGTGGGTGGTAAGACGGCCCCGGCCTGTAGAGGGCACATGCCAGCTCCTCATATGTGGACGCACAAGAATGCAGTGCAGGCACTCGTATTGAAGAATCAGGTCACAGTCTGCAATTCGCCACTTGCATAACGGCAAGTTTTCGCCAATGTTCACCCACCACCGTTAGTCTCAGTCCTCGTCATCTGCCCGCTCGCATCGGGCACGTTGAGCGCCACCAATAGACCGGCTTGTACGATGCAGCAGACCCAGTTCTGCGACCTATTAGCAGTGACCTCTACATTAAAAGAGGGGCGTGCAGTGAACACTATGGACCAATCTTCGGCTTTGGCCCTGTATATAGAAGGGCCTTTCCCCTCCGTGGTGGACGTGGTCGAACGGCCATTGATTCTCTGGTGAATACATGCCCTACCTCTACGCGTGACCAGAACATCTTACTGCCCTTGGAACCATTCTTGGGGTACTCCTGTTGGCTCACGCTCCGAAACTCTGTGGCTTTATGAATGCCCGATTCGCCTTTGTCGAGACCGCTATTACTGATCGCCCTGACTTTGCGAAAAGCTGTCGCAGTCTGAATACTCAAAATGCCAGTCTATCGAGTAGGTAAGACTATGCCTCAACATAAACAAAGTATTGCAGCAGCAATGAAGGGGCCCAAAGTTGGATATACAAGGAAGGCTAAAAGTCTTGAATCGCCTCAAGCCAGGTATAACGGAGGAACGAAAACAGACTTTTATCAGGCTATCTCAACAACTAAAAGAAGAGATTCCAGGTGCGACGCCGCCTCGGCACTCTTTTGATAAGTAACAATAAAAGCTTTGCAGGCTAAGTTCAGTCTTGTCCGTCTTAGACATCGTATCTCTCGAGCTTGGACCAGACAGAGACATGGCGCGAACAAAGGGATTCGATTTGGGTATTGTTGTTTGCTTTGCAAGTTTTGAACACCATGGCAATTTCATGGCCCATCCTGCTCATCTACGGTGAGAATTGCTCTACTTACCCATTACAAGTCTTTCGACTGCATGTGCCTGTTCTATGCAAAGTCAGCTTCTAATTGTTCATGACAGGATGCGAGATATGCGAGAAGAAATGTGCGAAGACAGTCTTTCCTTTGTCTTTGAGTTCTAGGAGATCGCCTGAGGTCGAGTCCCTTATGGCTCGTCCTTTACCCTCACCTGGTTGTTCATAATCCTCGCTGGCCAGCCAGTCTCACAGAGTTTTATCTCGAGCACTACTATTGCCCAAGATCGAATCTCTATTTGGCCAACGGCGCATGCATCACTCGATATTTCCCAGCGCGCTCAGGCCTCGCCTCATGATTCCTCTGTGCTATTTTCTCCACTTGGTCATGACCCAGAAGACGGCTTGTACGAAGTAGTGCGCGAGGCACAGCATTTGTGAACCTGTGGCTGGATGGGCTTCGGCAACATTCCGCCGCCTTTGAGCCCACCGTCTCCATCATGACCGCGTGTGAACGGGGACCACAGACGTAGAGCACTGAGTCAAAGCCCAGGATGAGGTACCGCATTTATGTTGTTTGCCGTATACCTACCTCCCTGCAGGCGTCGAACAGCATTTTATGGCTGAAACGGGGCGCGTGGGGAGACTCGATGCGGTTGTCCTCGGCCCGTCTCATTGCGTGATTGTCATACGTGATAAACGACGACAGCGGAGATGATGCTCAGAGAAGCGGACGGCCCGTCGCTGCGCTGAGATGGATCGTGTCGTGGTCTGGTTGGCCTGGATCGTGTGGTGTATCACTCGAGATCAGCAAGTAGGATTCAGCCATAGTACACATGCACGAAGGATGAACGAATTATTGCCCTATTAATATTACGTGTGATGTTGCCGCATCCTGTGGAAATCCCGTGGGCTCATTGGCTGAAGATTAGTATTCAGCCAGCCATCATCCATCTTCACGTCAAGCCTCTCTGTCGGGAGGCGCTCCATATTTCGTCTGTTTGTCCTGAAACCATCGCGGTTCATCCGTGTACACCCTACCAGGGAGATGTGTAAAGCTTCGACGACAAACGACTTCTGCCATGACATAAAGGATTCCGAGAAAGCCACATGTTTACCCGTATGCATCATGCTCAGGCAACTGTATGATGCAGGGGTTGGAGATGTGGCATCGTCGTGCTACCTGTGTGCCCTGGGCAGGCTTTCGGGCAATCTGTACCAGGATGATGCTCCGATTCGATCAGGTTTTTGATGTCGTACACCTTTCACCCAACAACCGTTCGAAGACTGGCGCCCCCTTGCTACTCTTCACCACTTTGCCCGGCCTGACTGCGGTCGTGCGTACCCCTGCGATCTCCTCGCTAGGGACTTGGATAAAGATTGTTTGACCCATGTAACAATTCGCTCTTTTGACGCTTCACCTCACCGAAGTGAAGTCGGCAACATGTGCACCAGCGCTCCGATTAAGCTTGATTACACGCTGCGTGACCTGTACGACATCGACAACGAAGACGAATCCTACCCGACCTTGGCCTTCTGTCCTGTAGAGGCCAAGGACTGTGCTGCATTCTCACCGAAAAAGTTCATCTACCACTATGGGCTGCGGACGGCGGAGACAGTCGATAACTCCTGGCTGGCGCTGGCACTCAAGATCCTCCCCCAGCGACATGGGTTCATGGCTGGCAAGATGCCAATGGTCGTACTCGACTTGGAGGTCACCCAAATCGAGCCCGATATCGGCTTCATGAACAAAGTTGACATTAGCCTCACCTTCTCGCGGCTACGGCACGATCAACGGCCCACGGTGAGCTTTACCACAGACCCCAGCCAAGTTCCCCTGAAGCCTGGGAGCCCCGTCGCCATCGCAATGCCTTCCGATTGCGTATCGCATCTGCCCCATCTCATAGACCCGGTTATACACTACGAGATTCTATCGAAGCGCTGGTTAGCCCTTGCCGGACTACCAACGCCGCCTTCAGCGGTCATCGATCCTCTCCTTCAGCCAGATTGCATCCACAACTCTACCCGCCTCGAGTCAGAGATTGCCCATATGACTGCGTCACTCGACACGTACGCAGCATCCTTTGTTGCCAAGCTTCCCCAGACCGTGTCGGGAAAGGGAGTCTTTTTCGTGTCCTCCGAGGACGACCGGGCACATGTGAAGGGGCTGCTCGGCGTCCAGCTCCAGGAGATGCTCGCGGAAATCCACAGCGCCAATCTTCACCTGTATCCATGCTCTCTCGTCTTGCAGGACTACATTCCAGGAGCGGCGGTTGGGCTGTCGATCTTTGTGACGCGCAAGGGGCGTGGAATCTTCATCGCCTGTTGTGAACAGCAGTTTAACAAACGGGGCCATTGGGTCGGAGGCTCCATCTCGTATCAAGGCCAGGCGGCCCTGCAGCAAAAGTTTGACGGGCTCACGGAAGAGGTTGCCCGGTGTCTGCATCGGAAAGGCTACTACGGGCCCGTTGGACTAGACGTCATCACCAACGCCTCCGGCGAGCACTTCATTGTTGACCTCAACGCCCGCGTCATGGGGACTTATCACCTGGGACCCCTCACGAATCACTTTGCGCAACGAGGACTAAGCAAAGCCGCCGTGGTTTTGGAGTACTTTACATGTCCGAGGGCCGCATTTGAAGAGGCCTTTGCCGATGAAATCCGAGATGGCAGCCTGATCATTACTGGCTGGACGCACGGCGAGTCGATGCGGCTCAGCCACGGGTTTCTGACGGTCGGGGGAAGCGACTCGTCGGAGATGGAGAAAATACTTGAAAAGGTTAAGGCTCATGTCATTCAGGAGCAATGACCCATGCCCTAGCAGTGTCAACTAGACACAGAAAGAAGTACGGATAGCCAATGGAGCATTGAATCTATAAAGACAAGCCACATTCAGTCCCCCTGTCTCAAATAATTTTAGCTCAAACGCCGGCAGGAGCCGCGGGACGTATCGACGTTGTAAATACTGTCAAATGTGAACTGTCAGTTCTCATTACTAGATGTCACCGAGGCCTGAGCAGTTGACAGCTCACCATCACACCGATTGGAACACGCAAAAATATATATTGCGGCACACTTCCGATCAACCCTGACAAGTCTTGTTTCGGCACTCCTTTTCGGTATGTCTTCCCAAGCGGGAGAAAAGATGCCGCACGAGAGCGCAGCGAGCTACCCAAACGCTAGCCGTTGCGTGTATTCGGGGCTGCCACGAATAGCTCGGGGATCAAATGCCTCGAGACCTTGGGCAGACATGCACACGCTGTCTGTAAGCCACATTAAGCATGGACACTGCGGTCGCACAGAAGATCGCCATTGAGGAATCGGGTACGACGCATGAGGAAAACCGACTGGGCTTTCGCCTCCGCCGTCAGCCTAACTGCCAAGCCGTGGACAGCTGAAGACGAGTCCGTCAACCCTCAGGCTCGACGCACGATGCTGCGCTTCGGTTTACTCAACAGCTGCAAAGAAGTCTCTAGTTTAATCACATTATGTTTTCAACGGCAATGTGGACAAGCACGCTCGGCATCCGCCGCTCTGTCCATTGGACTTGCCCCCCAGAGCATCCCCCTTCAAGTCGGATTGCTGCTTGCTGCGTAGTTTCTGAAACTTACGTTGCGTACTCGCCGAGTCTAGAAACCTCAATTATATGTATGTAGTGCAAAAGGTCCTGTAACTAGTGCCGCTGGTCTGCATTGCGATGCATTACAAGCTCCAGGTTTACCGGATAGAGAAGACGTCAACGCAATTTAGGATATTCCATGGCACTCATGTGAAAGCCGTGGGAAATCAAAGCAGGCACATGATATCGAAACCAAGGTTTATTCAAGATGCGGCTACAAGAAAACCCTGGTTTCTCTCCTCATCGTTGTCTCCCGCATAATATCAAGCAGTTACCTAGACAACTGCCGAGTGAAACTGGGTCAAGCGTGCTCCAGCTCGAAGACGACCGACAGCGTCAGAGTCTCGATGAGGTGTTTCTTCACACAACGCCATCCACCTTCAGCGAAGACGCCCTCCCACTCCTCCAAGGTGGGTAAGTAGACGCCCATCATGGCGTGGCCGAGCTCGAAGCCAAGGGTGAAGACGGGGATGTTGTCCTCGCTGACGGCATGCTTGGACTGCACGTCGCCGAGCAAGATCCGAGTGGCATCGCCGAGCAGGAAACGGCGGACGCTAGGGAAGGCCTCACGCAGCCGCCTCAGGGTGGCGATACAGTTGTCGCGGGGCCAGAAGTCGTGGCCCATCATGAAGCACGTAAGCAGGTCGACGGGGGCAAACTCGTCGCGGAAGCTCATGTCACGGGCGTCGCCCTCTGCAAAGGAGAGACGGTTGGACAGACCGCGGTCTGCAGCTTCGGCCACGGCGACCTCGATGGCTGGACCGGCGAGGTCGACGCCGATGCCGACGGCGCCGGGGTGGCGGTCGAGGATTTGCATCAGCCGCTCGCCGCTGCCGCACCCAAGGTCGACGACGGCCGAGAAGCGGTAGTCGAGGCCGTCCACGGCGGCCCAAAAGGCCGGATCGAAGTACTGGTGGTTGATGTCGCGGCAGGCGTAGGCAATATCAGCCGGGTCTCGACGATAGAAGTCGCCGGTCCGGTTCTCGTTACGCAGCACCGCCGGCATCTGCGCGAAGAGACCGCCGGAGCCGAGGCTGAGCCAGTGAAAGGTCGACTTGTTCCGGTAGGCCTCGTGCAGTAGCTTTCCCGCCACCACCATGACTGTGTCGTCCTGGCGCCGGACCACGTCGACGGCGGCCAGCGCGGCGACGAGGCCCTCCAACGAGCCTTCATCAAGCCCACGATGGCTTGCAAACTTGGTGATGTGCAGCTTCTTCTGGTCTCGCAGCTCATCCAGCACGCCGAGCTCCCACGCGGCCCCAATGGCGGCGGCTGCAACGGCCGAGTTGAAGACGGACGCAATGGCGCGCTCGGAGTCGAATATGGTGGAAATCATCTTGGCCAACTGAGATGGATTTTGTCCTTCTTTGTACCAAATTCAAACGTGACTTGGATTCAGGAGCATATGATGAGTGAGAACATGGTCAAACGATCTATCGCAACTTGATATATATATATATATATATGTATGTATGTATGTATACTCACCAGGGGGATTCAGGCTTCCTAGGTTACGGACCAGTACCCGGCATATATCTGTTGCGCTTTTACCCAGTGGACCAATATCCTTTTGTGAGCCAGCTAAACGATGATGATCCACTACTCTGAGAGCTGAGGGTGCGTGGCTGAACTATCTCGCTTTGTATTATGACACGGGAAATTTCCGATAGTTGTCCCGCGATGCAGGAGGGGGCGCCTCACCCGGACGTGCTATGCAACAATGCCCGAGCCGATATACGCCAGCCCGTTGGCGGCTTCGAGGTGGCGCGTCAGTGCCTTCATTTCATTGGTTGCTATAAAGGGCACAATCTCTTTCGAGACTTTTCAATCACACGAGAGAGGCTGGGTTTTGCATATAGTGTGCGAGTTGTTGGATTGTCAAAACAAGAAGCGAAATGTCTCTTCGCTCTTCAGCTTGAAGCTTATCCAGTACTTCATCGCACGTAGAGGCGAAGTTTACATGGGACTCGTCCGTATCATGCCCCGTATTGATCCCCCGAGTGACGTATGCAGGTGCTGCAGGAAGCATAAGCCCTGTTCGCTGACCGGTTCGTTTACTCTCGGTGTTAAGAGATCCAAGGATGAGGATCACCCGACTTGGTGTTTTCTAACTGCGTCTTGTCGCAGCATTTGTCAACATCGAACCGGTGGCCGGCCACAAACATAGACGCGGCAGGCGGCGGAGCAATGCTATTTGCGTGCTGTTGTTGGAGCCAGTACACAGACACATGCAGTATCCCGTACTCTATACACGGCATGTCTTCAACCTCTCGGGGCATTGTACCGTGCATGGACGGGCTTCATTCATGCATTTAGCATTGGAACGGAGCAGGCCGGCTGAAAGCCATGGTTCCACAGCGAACGCTCAGGCCTGTAAATAAACAATACAATTGGCCAGCGTTTGCGAAGGACCTGTGTATGCATCGTTGGCGCAGTTTCGGCCATCTGATGGCCCATCATAATTCTACCCTTCTGCAGCGTCCAGGTCCTGCATCCCTCTACCTCTGTTGCAATCCTCGGTCTGCCGTTCGAGTCACTCCGAGATTGTGCCCAACTCCTCAGGATTAGCTGTGAAAACTGCGCCTCTGAGGTCTGAGACTCAGCTTGCAGTTTCTTACGCCTCTATGTTGTTGAATCAGTCACAATTGGGTTGTTGCAGTTGTTGCCGAGCCGTCTTTCTTCTTGGACAACCACTGAGTTATGCCGGCAGCGAAACCCAGAATCTCCACCCTCTCTTTACCGGCCGGCTGCGTCATCGTGCCTGCTGGCTTCGTATTCTCACAAAGTCTTACAGAGAACCCGGCATGTCACAGGTCAGCGCGTTAGCTTCTCCATCCCTTTCTCTGAATAGTACAGGTTGCTACTCGCTAGTCCACTCGAGACTCGCTGCCAGCCAACTGACCTCGACTCATGTTGCATGTTCTACCTCATCAAGCCGTTTTGGATGAGAGTGCCCATGTCGATTGCCCTAAATCAGGAGCTCCCCGACAGGTTCGTTAACCATCATGTTAGCAATTAATCGTGAAACTCTTCTTAAAACTCTTCGTGAATTTTCCTGCAGGAACGAAAGTTTCGTAATGAATTCAGCTTTGCTCAATGGTTTTACTTAAGCTTTCCAAACAATCCCCGATAGTGTTTACGGTGCACTTTGGGCTCCCAGGACTGTTTTCAACGTTCAGAGTTGGCCGGGACTGACGCCTCCTCTACTTGAAAGACGCAGAAGCGCTATGGACATTGCTCACTGAGCTAACATTCTGGAGTCCGTGTGAGGTCTATCCAGGCGGCATATATCTACGGAGGATGACTAGCTCCAAGAGACATGGGCAGAATGGCGAGAAGAAGTCGAAAAATTCCAGGGCCGTCGGAAATTCATGTAGGCCACTCATATGCAATGCATATGACTTTCCCGACCTCTCCGGCCAAGTGGGAGCGCTATCTGCGAGTCACCGAGAATAACTTTGATCTAGCACTTGATTTGGAGTTCTCCAGATTTCCATCAGCCCGGACAGCGCGAAGCTCCCAGAAGTGAGGTCGTCAGCAGACATCCTGTACTCAGGAGGACGATGCGCAGTTTCGAGCCCATGGCGCTTGCTATACTCCTGTAACGTTTTCTCTCTACTAGGACGTTTCACCTTGAGCTCTGCCCTTGAGCGGTGCAGCATTCCAAACTGATAGTTGACAAAATCTTGGCTGAAGCAATTGGTGACTGGCCTCCCCAGCTCAAGGAGGTGCTCGTTCGGTTGGTAAGAGACTGTCCCTCAGATCGTGTCTGTCACGGTGGCAACTCATATCTACCGCATGTCAAGCAATGGCTTTTCAGGGTGTCCTGGCACATACGGCACTTTTCATTCTCCAGTGTGGTCGATGCCCAAGAGCTCATCTGATTAGACGCGGAAGGCCGATTGCCTGCTCCAGCGAAGTATCCGGACAGCGCCACCCCTGGGCTTCTCTGCTCTAATGACCGAGTGCCGAATATATAACCATTGAGTCTCATAAATTGGTCGGTCAAGTCCGAAGTGGCGACGAAGCTGCCGGGCTCCGGAAGTGCCGCGCGGCCGAGTGCGCGATCCGGCGGCCCAGCGGACGGAGGCTTCCGCCGACCCACGGAAGCCGGACAGGTGCACACATTTGCTAAGCCGAACAACATGACTGGGTGATTAACAGCGCAATTATTGAGATGGATTAGAAGTCTAGTCCCATTGGATTGAATGCATGTCCACCAAGCTAATGACCCGCGGGCTATCAGTAGAAGGGTGACTACGGGTCCATCTTCACGGACATCCAGCACCTAGATTCCACGTGTTCCTATCCATCACAAATGACTCCTTTGAATGAAAACTTCGGGGAAAGTGCGGTTGATTGTGCCAAGTCGGTTCTTTTCTCTGTAGAGCGCAAGGTCGAAAAAGCTTGTCAGCACGCCATTCAGCACCTCGTCCAGTCTTTTCGCATTAATCGTGCCCAACTCCTTCTCGACTTCCTGCCTGGCTTTCTCAGGGAGCTTCAGAGTACTCAGGAGGATAGGTCTATCGGAGAAGGAGCCGTGCGCCGTGCCTTTAATGGCCAGTTCCATGCGCCGTCCGTCAAGGTGCGGCCAGAACTCATTCCACGTATGGTCCGTGGTGCTGTGATTTACTCGTCCAGCAAGCAGGAACGGCTTCCGCAATCCCAGGGACTTGATGGGGTCGACCAGCATCCCGTCCAGGTCTACTCCTCCAAGAACCCTATGATCGGACCGTGTTAGGGCGGCGGCGGCAGCGCCACCAAGGGAGTGGCCGAAGACGACGATCTTGCCGAGGTCGATGGTTCCAGGGAAATTGGCGACAAGGTTATCAAGCACTGACTTGTCGTGAAGCTGATCGAGCACAAACGACAAGTCGTCATTGCGGATCTTGGCAGCGCAGCGTGTCAGTTCGATGAGAGCACGATCCCCAATGGTGGGCACGACGGGCCGGTTCAACTCACTTGAACGACTTTTCCGACAGCAATCGGGTCATCGTCCGAGATATTGGCTCCAAGCACCACCCTGCCGTCCGGAAACTCGACTAAATTGGCATCATAGGGATGGTCGACAGTCACGACAACGTAGCCCTGGCTGGCCAATGACCTGGCCATGGCCCCGTATATCAGCCGCGAGTGTCCGAGTCCGGGAGTATATAATACCAAAGGATATGCGCGACCCTCGTTTTGTTGCCGTCCGTAGCCAGGGTTTCTCGCAAGGTCGCAAATCTGGAGCTCAAAGGAGCGGAAAAAGTCGCTGGGAAGGCCAGCCAATACGGCCTCCTTGCCATAGGCAGCCGCCACGGAGGGCGTCATGTACTGGACGGTTTTGATAGGGCACGCATCACCTTGCCGCTCAATCGGAAGAAACATTGAGATGAGCACCCGTCGAGTTTGGGCTTTGCCTGTTGGATCCAGGGAGTCATGCCTGCTCGTGTCAGTAAGGGCCTGAACCCTCATGGCGACGGAAAAGGGGCCTGTTGGTTCCGGGACAAGCAACGCCGTGGCGATGGCTGAGAAGAAAAGAGGAGCTTGCAGCAGCATTGTCGGTGTTTTCTGCAATGAAGATAGAGGGGTATGTAATGATGCGTGGTAAGTTTTGAGGACGGATTAAGACAAGTCGGGGGCGACCGAGTTGTTTTGTTTTATATGACGGCGTTTTGCACGCAACCTCTAGATTGAGACGTCGCCCGGTCTCAATATTGAGAGGCAGACAAAGGATGCTTCTTGGACCAATCACTATTATTTTTTGGAAAATTTGTGTGCATGTAAACCAGCTCACAGGACGGCTGCAGCCGGCCCCCTTCAAGCAGGCAACAGCTTTTGCGGCGCAAATGCCCGTCAGCCACCGGGATGGAATGACAGTTATATTCCGATGGGGACAGCGAAAATGTATGTACATACGGCACCAATACCCCTCGTCGGACTCCGTTTGGAGTACATGAATCTGTCCCAGACTTGGAGATGTAGGCCGTGTCTCAACTCCCACGAGGGCTTGCTTGCAAGACATCAACCTTGCAGGTGCGAAGAGGGCTGCTGCGGTCCAAGGCTCGCGAGAACAAGTCCTTTCATTCGCTGGTGGTCTGTACGGAGTAGTTGTTCTCATATTTGCCTACATCCGTATTACGCCGGGTCATGGTAAGACAGAGTCAGCATGCTGAGCCTCAGCTGACGATTCTTACCGTTTCTGGAGGCGCAATCAATGCTAAGGTACCTTGTTTATTTTATGAAACCGGCCATATTGGTTGTGCTTCAGGACTTAAGAGCAGCAACACGGAATAAGCATTCCGTGCATCAAGATATTGGGCGCAGGCCGACGATGGAGCCATCCGCCCATCCGATTACCAGACCTCGAAGCGGCGCCAGTGGAATACCATTCTCGCCAGGTACGAGCTCAGATCCGCCTAAGAATAGGATAACACAAGTGCCACTCCCCACAGCAATAGAGGAGGTGCGACGGTCCGCTCAGGCTTGGGAGAAACGAGAATCAGTGGCGCCTGAGGGAAAGGAGAACGAGCCGCCGCAATAAGCTACGAGACAGTTAAGAATAGAGAGCCGAAATGCCCTTCCAGGAGCCCTCGCAAGAGGCGGATACACAATGGGAGTATGGGACGAGGTGGAGGCAGAAGTCGAAGAGGAAGGACGGGTCCAGCAGCAATTGTACGAGGAGGGCGTCTGTTAGAGACACACATCTCCTAACACCACTAGGCCGCTTACTTTACCGCTGGCGATAACCTCACTTCCTTGTGTGCGGCTCTTGTGTGCGTTGCGGGTTTTGTAGTCTCTGCGTAGGCGCCGGGTATGTGCGCACTGCGCACCTAAATCTGTAGTATCGGCGCTGCGCCTTGACCAGCCACGCTTACCCGCTCTCTTGTCTATCCACTAGGCATATTGGTTTACTGTTTAGTCAGGGCTTCCCTTCAGTTCCTCTCCCTCTTGCCTTCTTCCTCAAGAAGTCGATAGTTAACTATTCTTCCAAGTCCCTTCTGGTTATCCATATAGGCCTTGCTCGTAACACTACCTCGCCGGTCCCCGCCGACCCCCGTCGGTACGCGCCTCATGCGAAGTACAAGTAGTTATCCACTATCCAAGCAGCTCGGAAAACAGGTTGTTTGAGCCAAGCTGCCTTCGTTCAGGGTATATACTCCTGCACGAATATGTGCGTCCGATCCTTGTTCTCTTCTTCTTTTAGATAATTCTCATCAAATGCCTGATGCAATCTCGGATCCACTTGGGCCAGTTGGCTGGCAATATCACTAGTCAATATCGATATCGTATTAATCGTATTGATCGTATCGATGACCGCCCTCACCCTGGTTGGATATATACCCGGAATCGGAGCTATTGTTAACTTCCGTTGGCCTCTGAAGTAGATTTTCCATTAGGCCGCCATCATCAAATGAAAGTTCGGGGTCTCCGAGGGTAGCAAAAGGAAACACAGAGTTGAAGTCAAAATTAAGCCATGACGCGTCACCCTCTTCACCTGTATGTAGCTCACTGCCCTCTGAATGCAGCGATTGAGGCAGGGGGGGCAGTATAAGTCCGCTTGCTGGGATCTGCGCGGGCCTCTCGCAAGTGACAGCGTGCGTTCTGTACAGACCAACTGGGCGGCGCATTTTCCTGAGTTCTTGGAATGCCTCTTCGAGAAGATTTTTAACGCACTCGCCTGCTTTTCTCCTCAGGCCTTCCTCGACGATGTTGAGGTCTCGGTCCAACTCTCGTCCCAACGCATTCCGAAGACGTTGGGGTAGTTCTCTCAGCATATATGCTTCGCATTCTGCCAAGTAATCTGAGTCGGAACCCTGGGTACTGTCAGGACGCTGAGATGTTTGGCTGTACTCGTAGACTATGATGGTGACTGACATCAGAACTTCAGAAGGCTTGAGTATGCGTGTTTGGTCAATCTCGCAAACCTACATGGAGATGGAATATCGTTGTCCAATACATGTGGGAATAGGATCTTGAAAACTTCTCTCCACTTCTCGGTCTCTGAAAGCTCCGGATTGGTCCGCTTCCGTGACTTGAGACTTCGTTCCTGAGCCGCGTCAAAACCCTCTACATGCTCCATTGCTCGTAATGGGCACGGTTCTGGGGTTCTCGAGTGGTCTAGATAGCCCTGCTCGTCTTTGAAAGGCTGCCAACAGCGTCCGCAGCGGTATCTTGGCTGCCGATGACGTCGGTAGAGATGTTCCCTGGCAATACATCAGAGGGGGACTCGGAATGAAAGATTGATTCATTGGCACATACTTAAGTCGATGGATATCGGACCAGCCTGGGCCTGGACAAATCCTCCAATCTTTATACTTGGCTGGATAGTATTTGAAGTACGGGCAAGCGTACTTGGAGTGTTTGCCTTTTGGGGAAGACTTGCCGTTGTTCTGTTCATCGTCTTGCTGCTCATCCTCATCGTTGTTGTCCGCCTCGTAATCTTCCGTTTGTACCAGTTTCCGCCTCTTTCCGCCTCCAGATTTTCCGGCAGGTGACGTCTTTGCGGTTGAGCCCGAACCCGATGGTTCTCCAGACGGGCTCGATACACCTCGTGAACTGCGGCCGGCCGACTTATAGGCTGCGTCAAACCTTGACCGGAGCCACTGGGTCACATGCAAAACAACCCTGTCGACGATCTGCCTTTTCCGCTTATCGACGTATCTCTCTGTGATGACTGAACTTCCGTCACTCCGAGGCGTCTGAGACAGTTGTTGAGTCGGGGTGGATAGTTCAGCGACGGTTAGGACAGCATCTTCAACTTGTTCCGCTTTGGAAAGTGCGCCGTTGGGTGATTGAGAGTCGGGCATCAGTCGTTGCTCGTCGTCCCTGCTCGCAGGTCGAAGCGGCGGGTCATCAGTATGGACCATTATGCGACACTTTTGTGATGCTGATTCGTCAGTATCCGCATCCATGGCAGACTGCCGATCCCTGGTGTGTTCCACTCTTGTTGGGCTTTCGGCCTTGCATCCCCTGACCAAACAATGCCTCTGTAAGGTGTTAGTTAGCACCACATGGATAACACCAAAGCTACGAAATACCAAAAAGTTGGGTACCTTCAAGGCGTCCTTCCTCGAGAAACTTTTGTTGCATGATTTGCATGGAAACGGCTTCACGTCCAAGTGTATCCCCTTGTGTCTCTTCAGGTCATGGTTTCTGTTGAATGACTGCGTGCACTGGTCGCACCTGTACGGTCGCATGGATTGTGCATAGGGCCGACCCGCTGCTTCCGCGTTCATGATGTACGGATATGGTTTGAGACCATGTTCGTGCCCAATGAGAAACTGTTGTGCGCGATACTGTCCGTGAGATGCTGGATGCGCCGTGCCTGACCATGACGAGGTCTGTGGCAAGAGAGGTGGCGATTGCCTTTCTCCAGATGATGCGCTCCAGTTGAAAGCGAACGGCGCCGGATTGTTCTGTGAGTGTGTGGCATCTGATAAAAAGACTGACGATGCTGAAGAATAGGGACAAGAATACGTTGACGATTCTGCAGAGAGGTTTGAGGAATGTACGCTTGCCGGTCCAGAGCTCGAACTACCCTTGACGCTGAACGCGCTCCAGTTGACAACGAACGGTGCCAGATTGTTCTGTGAGCAGATGGACGATGTTGAAGAAAGGGGAGCAGAAAACGTTGGCCGTTCTGTAAAGGGGTTTGAGGGACGTAGGCTTGCCGGTCCAGAGCTCGGACTACCCTTGGCGCCGCGGCTTCTATTCCGGACGTCCAAGGCGTGAGAAATGTCTGGTGGCGGAGGCAGCGAGAGTGCAGGGACGGTTCCGGCCCCAGGTGCCAGCCAGCTGGTTGTGGAGACTGGGTTAGGGTCCATGGTGGCAGTTCCGGAGGCGGGATTTTTGTCAGGGTTGCGCGTGAGAGCGTGCTTCGTGGGGACCGCGAGCTGGAATGGGCCATGTCGAGGGTCACGTGGCTGGCCAATGATTGATGGGATCGTCTTGCGTTTTGCGCAGTTGCGCCGAACGAGGTCAGGCTGGCATGAGTTGTCGCCAGAAGCAACAGCCAGTACACTTACTGCCTGTTGCGAGGCCATGGCATTTCCCACAAAATGCTCAGTTACGTTATAAACACATTGTGGGATCACGATGATGGCTCTAGCGTCAACTTGTCAAGTACGAGGAGTCTGTCAGCAGCCACCAGCACCTCCATGGCATATACATATAGGGTCCCCTTCCGGGTCACTTGCTGTCAACTCTTGCCTACACAACACAGTGGTTTCCCGACAGAGTCCTATATAGTATCTACTCTTTCAACTGTTGCTTCCCCCTTGGCATTACCACAATTACCTACCATCAGTTGACTTGCGGCGAATTGAGCATCGTTATGGCATCTGCTTCCGACTTGCCGTCAGAAACAAAAAGTAACTCAGCGCAGTCTTATAATCTTATTGTTAGTTTGGATAGCAGAGTCCCGGCTCCCACGCAGCACAGGCCCAATACATATATGTTGACGGATAGCTAGCTAACCTGGTCACGACTCACGCCCGTCAGCACTGAAAACCACAAACTGCCCATCATGCTCGAACGCTTTCTCGCCCAGCAACCCGCTGCGACCGAAGCTCTTGCGATGGGTGACAAGGGCAACACAAGAGAGGATCGTGTGGCTGCTGCCAAGAGACGAGTCAGCGACTTCGATAGACAATGGAGCAAGTTGTCGCGGGAGGGGCCAAGTAGTATAGGGCCCGCAAATGGCGGCTGTCAGCCGATCGGGAAATAATTATAATAGCCCTAGGAAACCTCCTTTCCAACGCCTTGACCAGCCACACTACCCACTTTTTAGTCTATTCTGTACTAGATAGTGAGGAGCATGTACTGTAGGTACGGATTCTGGGTAATGAACTGAAAGCCAATTGATATTGCCACGTAAACATCGTCAAACAGACCCGCCTTCTTGCTCATCGACGGGAGTGCCCCAGACGGAAGCCGGGTGCGCAGCCCGCTGCTCCGGGAGATGAGAGCAATACAGAGCCCGGCGAGGAGACAGTCAGGTCGCCGGCTTCGGACATGTTGTGTGTTCTCCGTGCTCTGACTTTGAGGCCTAAAAAAGGTTCGAGTGAGTAGCAGTCGGATGTTGGTTCCTTGTCTTTCACGGACGGCTTAATCACATATTACACCACTAACACAAACATATGGACCAGTGGGGGTGTAATGACTATTCCGTACAGTATATACGGCAAGAGCCTTGTAGAACGACGGCGAAATAACAATCAATTTTGCCCTTGTGCCTCTTCTGGGTGCTCCTTGATCCATTCCTCGTACGCCTTTTTTGAGTACTCATCAATCAGCTTCTGGGTTGCCGCATCTATGTGGATCTTGGTGGCGGCCTCGTTTGTGCCGTTTTGAAATCCCGCCGCAAAATGCCACCCGTCGGGAACTTGGCTTTTCTGTAATGCAACAAGGCCCTTGCACGGTCCGGACTCGGTTGTGGGCCGTAGTGAGCCCCTTTCGGCGTCTTTGGATGTGGGGATACTAAATGTAACCTCCGTCCTGGGCAAGGCTTCGCAGTTCTGCCCCGATCCTTCGACATTCCAGTGGTAATACTCGACAAAGCCCGATCCCCCTTTGCCACGGATCTTCCCAGCGCGGGAAGGTAACGTCCACACGCCGATTTCATGGCTTTCGTTCGTAGCAGTATTGATCAAGAGTCCTCTCCACGTAGTTGATTCAACGCGTTCAACGTCGAGAGTATATGTTTGGTTATAGTCCCCACTAATATCAATAGCGCAACTAATACCGGGTCCGCCATCAGCACCTTCGGTGCAGTTCTTGTTGGAAGTCGTTGTGCCGTTTTGAAACGACGAAAATGCTGCGTGGATCATGCTCACGCTGTTGTTGTCCTTTCTCGGCTGTAGGCCAATATAACCTATGTCTGTGATGTCTTCGAAATTGAACTGCTGCGCAAAGTAGAAGCCGTCGTCGTGATTCGCATTAGCCATGTTCATGGGAAACGAGACTTGTTCAAGCCCGTCGGCTATAAATTGATCAAATGACCAGGAGAAATGAGCAGCCCAGCCCCTTTCCGGCGACTCAGCCGAGTCCTGAGCCAGACCAAGTGCCGTCAGATAGATTGCGATTGTTGCCAACGTGACCTTCATTGTGCTCCTTGTTGCGTAGTTGGAGTATAAGATTGCACTGCGCATCTAAAGATCTTCGGAGAAATGGTTGCACAAGTGATCATTTAACATGGTCAGCGGGTGAAGCCTCCCCTTTATGATTTATATATCGTCCACTCGAGCAAGCTGAGGTGCATGCTCGGGATTCTTGCATGACTCTAGGGCATTCAATTCGCATAAATCTCGCATATCGAGTTTCTAGGACCATGACCTGTCATAGAGAAGAATATCCCACTACGCATTGATTTTAGCTACCGTATTGCTCGCGAAGTCGGTCACGTTGTATCTATTTATTGTCCAGAGCAGACAGAAAAGAGGCCATTTGCACCATTCTGATACATTTGAACTGGGTTTGGCCTTTTACAAGACGAAACAAATTATGCAAGGAAACAAAATACGCAAGGGCCACACCCACTTCCCTTCTATTAATGATGGCCCTGTCGTACGAATATGGTTATTAACTTGCGCGGATAGGATCCGCAGGCACAGGTTTATCATTCAACCAGCACCAACCTGGCCCATCTCTGCTTAGAGTTAAAGAAGGCAATGCAGGTCCAGAACTGGGTGTGTGTCACGAGTAAGCCAGGTTGGGTTTCCATACGTGTGGATCATGTAAATCCTCGTTCATGAATATTTGCCTGCTAAACGGTGATCTCTTATGGATTCGTAACGGAAGGCAAATCAGTTTGCCGAGAAGCGCCGAAACGCATCTTCCGCCGTGATCCCCGCAGGCGGGTGGACGCATCCTAGTACAGCAGAATAGGCCACAATGCCCACTTGCGCAGCACTTATCCGAGTGCACTGCACTCACTTTCGCCCGTCTGCATAAGGCTTGAATCAAGTCGCGCGGGATAGCCAGCAGAAACGCTTGACAAGGGCCGCCCTAAGCTGACTACAGTGGGATAACTGTCACATCATTTTGCTAGCCAAACGTAGAGTGCACACTCCAGCAGATGGTGCTGCAGGTGCCTGCTATAATTGACTGTTTTTACCATGACAATAACGTTAAAATCCCTTGTAGTGGAGTGTAAACCCCGTCTCCACCCCACTCGAGCAGCCGGTGGGTGGATTGTTTGGAGTGGCCTTTCATTATTATAACTCTGCTTCTACTTATAGCCGAGTGACGGTGGGCTGTCCGAAGGATTAGAAAGCGGTTTCCATCCAGGCTTTCTAACCATACACGTATATTAATCTGCAAGTTTCAGAAATGCGTACGGTATACGTCTTGACTGAGACGGAATAGCGTCCAGGTACGTGCGGCATCTGTCCATATAGCTTAACCTCGGTTGCCCGAAATCAGTAGGATGCACGGAATGAAGGCGGCTAGATTGCGGCCACGTTGATGTTACATGGACGGCAGTTGCTGCAGCGCAGCGTGGCGCCGGGGTCCTCGTTGTGACTGGCATGCGGCGAGAACCTGGGCAAGGGACCGGTTCGCGTCACTGCGAGTTCTGTTGACCAATATGTCAGCCGTCGGAACTGGCGAGCAGGGCTCGAATTGCCGTTGAGAAATATTGACGGAGGACGAAACGGGTCGAAACGCCTGAAAGCGGACGATGCATGTGATCGTGCAGACCATCATGGTTCGGAGCTCCCGTTGTGTGCAAGCACTGGCGTTTGCATTGGGCCAAGAGCCCTGGAAACCCCTCGATTTTCCCCTTAGCTTGCCCTTACATGTACTTTCTATCCATCTTTCCCATCCAGATAGAGGTACCCGGCCACTTCAGGCTCAGAAGCCCGCACAACCACGCACCTCCGGCACTGACGGGAACTCGGGTCGTCCAGCAGGTTACACGTCCTTTGTAGGGGTCACAATAATACTCTTCCGTGCCGTAGGCTGAGTAATGACTTTGTTCCGGTCGTTGAACGGCTCCCGGCATCATGCCACCCCCCCTTCCGGGTATTGGATGTTATGGATTTGGATAGCGGGCTACCCGCAGTCAGCGGCAAGCGTGGGATGGACCGGTCGGCGAGGTGCGGGTGGCATCGGAGCAAGATCATCGTACAAACGCATCACAAGGCTCACCCTTACGCACCATTTCCCCACGTAGTGCTCGAGATCCTCGTCCTGGCGACTGATATAGTAAGCTCGTGGGATACATGTAAGGCCGATTTCTATCCGTAGAGTATACGAGACCACAACTTGAAGAGAGGGGAGTTGTGATCCGCCATCGACCATGGATGGAGGCCCTGAGTTCGTCATGCTCAAGTACCAGGCGTGGTTGGAGACGGCCGATTTCGAGGGCAAGCTGCTCGGCGCCATTGTCAAGGAATACCTCAATCCGACCAGCTTCCGCGAGCCTGATAACCCTCTTCAGTACAACCACGAGCCCTTCGCCGAAGGCGCCTTCACTGACTTCGCCGTGAGCACCGCCACCACCGCCGGGCGGTTTGGCGTGGCATCGCTCAAGTCCCTCGCCGACTTCAGCTTCTTCGGCAGGACCAGCGACGAGGTCCACCTCAAAGGCAAGAGGATCCGCTGGAAGCGGCTGCAGCGCCTTGACCGGTTCTGGGAGGCGCTGTCTCGGGACGCCGCCGTCCGGGCCAGGGTGCCCCGTTGGATCAAGTTCGGCACCACGTGGTCGGTGTGCCTCGTCGTCGGCATCATGATATGCGAAGACGTTGACGTGTCTGTCGAGAATAATCGGGCCAGGGGCACCAAGGGCACGGTCGAGATTCCTGCGCGTCAAGCCGTTGACGCTCCTTTGATTCCCGCAGGGAATGCAGGCACTCCACGAATCACCATTGGGGAAGAGGGCAAGGCTTCGCTGATCTTCAGTGGCAAGTCCGAGGGAAGCAAGATATTTGCCCTAGAACTCAAGCGGGTTACTACCAGGTGGCTCAGTTTCCAGACGCTTAAGCTCAAGAGCGCTGGGCCTAGGCCGAAAGGCAGGCTTCTCAGCAAAGCTGAATATCAGGCTCCCGAGGAAGGGCAGGAATCAGTCCATATCGAGGACATGATGCTGGAGAAAATCAGCGGCGAGGAACTGGCAGTCATTGGAGAATGCATGTAGCAACCCCTGGAAGGGCCATGATATCAATTGCAGCACCGCATATCTCAAGCTCGGGTCCATGACATGAACTTTTGACCGTTTTTGTTGCTGTGAGGAAACCACTGTGTTGTGCAGGCAAAAATGAAGTGACACTCCAACAGATGACCTGGAAGTGGACCCTATTTGCCATGGAGGTGCTGGTGGCAGCTGACAGTTACGCATGACAATAGCAGGAGAATATGTACGATACACCATCTTGAAAACAGCTTCCATGAATGAGCCTGGCACACCTGTTTGTTAACGCCGGGCCGTGCCGCTCAATATTCATAAACCAAACTCATCTGTTCAGCACATGACTTATATCCGCCTTGATCTTGTCCTGTCCATACTGTTGAAAGTACAATTGCGGGCTTATCCAGAGACAATGATCCCTCGGTTCCTCTGCAGCCATGAGTTTGAAGATTCTCGTCATTCCTTCGCAGCTTCTTGGTCGTACTATCCAGTCCCGGTGAGACAGAGGCTTGGGTACGTTCCTATCGATATAACCAAGCATGAATGCCGCAATTGACACTGCCACGGGCGTGGCGAACGACGTGCCGGACATGTATTTTTTGACCTGGCCATCACGGGACGGCCACGATGACTCGAGACATTCGCCTACTGTCACAAACTCCACATCTTTCGCACTGCGAACGCAGTTATGCCTCTTGCCAGCGGATGCCGAGTGAATACTGAGGATTTGTCCGTGGGCAGCCGGGTATGTCGCGGGAGAATTTGCGCAGTCGTTGGACGCTGCGGCGAAAATGATGATGCTGTCGCAGATGCATTTGTCGAGCTCGACTTTGATCCTCTCGACCGGTTTCTCGAAGCCAAAGGAAAGCGACATCATGTTGACTTTCCATTTCGTCCTTGCATAGTCGATTGCCTGCAACACGATTATTAGGGACGAGGTCCTGAAGAGTGCTGGAAAGAAGAGGATTCAATGTTCGGCGGGAAAACGAAGAGCTGGACAAATGCCCTACTTACCGTTGCAATTTTTTCTACCTGGCTCTCCAGACGGTCCCGCGATGTCGTGATTTTGGCAATGTAAAGGTCAACGTTCTGGGTAAGCTCAAGGATCAGACCAGCAATATGGGTGCCATGGCCGTCGGTATCGTCAACGTTGCCACCGACCCAGCTCTTGGTCTTCTTTATTCGGTCTTCCTGAGCAAATCCTGGGTGGTTGAGGTCTATGCCCGAATCCAGAATGGCAACTTTGAGCCGCTGCTCGGCTCGAACTTGACCAGGACGATATTCGGCGAGGAGCTCTTTGAGTCGGAGTTTCCAGTGGTCCGCTTCCTTGCATTCGATCCTGTGCTCGACTCTGATTGTTAGTCGCAGCTCTCAAGCGTCTGTGGGTGGTTGGCCTAGCCTTACGGAGTTTGGCTTTGAGTGGAATGAAGAGCCGTTCCATCGTGCTTTTCGCGAGACTTCCTTTGCGTGTGCGCTGGCTCGACCTCCGAGTTATTTGGGGTCCGAGGACCCTCGGCGCTCAAAGTGTCCCATACGCCCTGAGGAATCTCTGCCCCTGAGATCGAGGTTATGTAGGTGAATCGAGGTCCTCGGGCCATTGAACGAGTAATATTATCGACGTCGCTCTCGCCAGTGACCTGATCGATACCATAGCCACTGTCATCCAAATCTGGAAACCCAGTCCCTCCCATGACGCCAAGGTGGTGAGTGTGGAGAGAACTCACTTCTCCCACGTTGAAGGCCGGTTGGATGATGATTTGTATCGAGTTTAGGAGGAATCGTGCATCTCATGCCTGGCTTGAGATCGGCGACTGTCACCGGTCGAGGCTTCTCGCCCACTTCCACCCTCGCGAGACCGAACACGTAGCCAGCTGAGCACGGGATACCAGTACTGGTATAGACTCAAAAGCTCCTTCTTGAAGCTCTTTCGAGTTGCAACCTTCCAATCCCGAGATAATCTATGCCGACGTCGGTCATCATATCATATCCAGCGTCGTCCCTTTCAGAACCCGCTTTGACGAATTCCGTAGAATGGATAGGCACGCTGCAGTTCTCACTGCGGTGCCAAGAGCCAATCATCAGTCACTTCGGTTAGAGCTTGATGTGGAGTCGTGTTTGTGACACAACTGCAGACGCGCTGTCACAATGTTTTGGTGCTTAGCCGGCGTCACGGCCTGGTCGCCTCCAATCATAGGCCTCGTGTCGAGTCGGGTGACTAGTTTTGACGATAATGAAGCGCCTCTCCGGTCGGAGGGAAATGTCGTGGAGTGCAGATTCGTGTGACGGGATGCGGTTAGCCAGCTGCCGTTGTCTGCTGCAGTCACGCAGTGAACGCTTCACTTTGGGCAGCAATGGATCCTTACGGCCCGGGCCGGACATCTGCATCGCCATCTTGCCAACGGATGGCTACCTCTCATAGCTTTCATGGATGTGTTTCCCGCCATGTCGTTTCATCTGGTTAATGACCCTGGCCGTATAAACCCAAAGCAGCGATGAGTAGTCGCAGCCGAAGCTCGGCCCGTGTATTACGTGTTGCAAAGGCGCCTGATCTGCAAAATTCACAGTTTCCAGGCCCTAGACGGGATGGACGTCTGACGGCCAATATCAGCCAGAATCAAATCTTTAGCATGTCGCGGCGAGAAGGTTGAGTCCGCAATCAGCTTGCTCGTCACATAGCCCGGGACGCCTATAAACTCAACATTCCATTAAAAGGGTGGAGTGGACAGCATATAGGGCCGGGTGGGTCGACATTGGCGACGTTCAGACCGTCCGGGATACCCGTGTTGATGACTACGGCAACGTAGTAGTTTTCCATTGTCACTTCTCAAACAATCCCTATTCCGTTGCCTCCAGGTCAAAAGGCTGCATACCGTCAACGGTGGGCGGAATCGTGCGTGACCACTGACCAGGAGCTTCCGAGCCTTGATGCATTTTCGGCCGCCATCGCTCGAGCTTTGTGCTACAATGGTGACCCTATCCGATTCGGATCGAGTCACCTTTGCGGCGGTCGTCCGATAGAGAATGCTTCTCCAGCCAAAGTTACCAGCAGTGCGCCTGTAGAGCTCGTATATGCCTTCCACGGGGGTGGTGTAGCCGGAAGAACGGCGTCGACATGCGGAATACCAAAGAGCTGCAGCATTCCAAGCAGGGGTTCGTATTTGACTCCTAATCGTTTCGTATAACGCCTCGAGAGCTGATGAGCTGGTCATCGAAGACTCTCTCAATGCCGTAGTTTATGAAGCTGCCGTCTGGAAAGTATCTAGTTTTCTGTATGCCCTCCAAATTGACTGCCTTGTTCAGTTACGACGACACTTTGCCTTTGGTCATGAAGCCGAATGGCAGCGTACGTTCCGGTGCTGCCCCCTCGCAGCAAGTGTCGAGCTGGCGAGACAGTCATAGGGGGGTTGGTTGCATGATCTTGTCGACCTTCATCCTCGGTGCGCTCGATACGTCAATGCCAGTTGCTTTGAAGCGAGACTGAACGATGAGCGTGCGTGGATGAGCCTGCCACTTGTCTCCCGATCAGTTCCTGTCCACGACTCTTTTTCCGCGCCAGGGGTTCTTAGTGTCTGCCGGTTAGACCCCGATTCATAGCTCCCGGTGAATAGGCATCAAGCGCCCCAAGTCGATTGGCATTGGCGACTTGGCGAGGTCGATTTGGTCTCTCAAGAGCCTCTCTCCAGCCACTTTCGCCTTTTCGACTGCCTTGGCCAGATACTGAAAATGGGCAGTGTCGCCAGCCACACAGGCAAGGCACTCGCCCGCTGCGAGACAATAACAATCCAGGCATATTTGAGAGTAGAGGCTTGTTCTGACGGCATGTTCCGTGTATAGGCTTGGTCTCGTTACGTTGAGAGCAAGGATCACTTGATATCGGAGTGAACGGCATTACTCTAAACCACGGGACCTTGAGTCAATACCAAGGTGAATATCAACCCAGTTTTAAGCGACTGGGGTTGTTACTGACAGGCACCCACGGTATGGGAGGAAGATATGACCCTGGTGATGCTTGCTCGGGCAAAGGGGCGGCTCTTTGTCCCAAAAGGGAGGAAAGGTAAGAAAACGACCATGCATGGTCCGAGTCAGTGTGAAAAGTCAGTCAAGTCTTTTCTTTTCCGATAACAGAATCGATGGGGAGAAATCGCTAGCGAGCAATAGTGAGCGTTTGGCAAGGTTGCATTCACAGACCCCATTGTGGTGATGCCAAGACATCCGGCCTCTCTCGGCTCTTTTTCCCGGCCGGAACGATGAGACTCGGCGGTTGGAAGCCGGGGAATAACGCAAGATCCTTCGTAGCCTCTGGGGTAAATGCCCGAATGCTACCCCAAGCATCGACATCGCGTTGCAATATTTCTAGAAGAAATCATTGATCCACATAGATCCGAGAACCCTTATCTCGTGTTCTCAAAATCGACACCAAACATGTTCCCGGTTGAATCTACTGTCGATAACAACCCTTCCCCCTGGTAAAGGGGGTACACAGCCCTTGGGGGGGTGTCAATTTGAACAGATTGCCGAATGCTTCTATATACCGCGATGCTAAGCGAGACCTTCCGAGAGGCCAGAGTGGAAGCTCAATACGCAAGAGGACATTTTGAAAGAACAGGAAAATGCTGCGGAACCTGGCTATTAAGGGCGTGTTACAACGTAGGAATGAGGCATTGAACTACGACAAGAAATTTGACCTCGGCTATATACCCGGAGACGATGCGATGGACAAGGAACAGTTCAGCCACTTCGACCCTGAAAAGCCGACCTGGAAATATGCCCCAAAGAGTTCATGGACTCAATCGGAGCGGGCCAGGGCTGATCTGACAAGTTCCCGCTCTTCCAAAAGCCTATTTATGTGGCCGCTATTAAAGAACAAGAACAAGAGGCGGCAAGACTGAAAGAGGGGGGAGAAGGCACCTCACCAGACGTTGCCACCGCCGCCGAGTCCTTCTCTGGCGTCAGTGCCCAAGATATCCTGTACGAAAGGTCAGCTGTGAAGCCCTTCGACGACTCGGTCGATGCCATCCGGCGCGACGGGGAAGTATCCGTCGGCGAGTGGCTCAACATTCTTGGCGGCGTCGGCCTGGAGATTCTCGCCTGAGTCCCGACCCCTGCGCCCGTTGGGGTGCGCGCTCTGAGATTAGCGAGGGCTGGATACAAGGCGTCCCAGGCTATCAAGATGGGCGTGAAAGGGGCAGAGGGTGTTAATCAAGTGGTGAAGTAGGCCGGACGAGTCAGAGGGGTGGTCCAGAAAGCCGACTGCGTCTCTACCGCTCTCGATACCAAGCTCAACACCATGGAGGTTAAGGTTCCATCCTCGGCCTCGGCGCCCATGATGGCTGATGACAGTGCGCCGCCCGTCGAGCAACCGATGGGCAAGATCACCAAGATTGCCGGCAACGAAAAAGTCAGCAAAGCTGCGCCAGCTGGCCAAGGCGGATAGAGCACTTCGGCCCTGAGCCCGGAGGCGCTTGACAAAATGCTCAAGCAGCTCGAGGAAATCCAAGCTCCCAACAGGCCTGTGGCGCCTGTCATGATGCAATTCGTCAAGGAGGCGGGCAAGAAGGTCAAGAAGCCGAGTCCACGCTTGCTGAGCGCATTTCCGGCTCCGAGGATTCTCCCGCCGACGCCCAACTCGCGCTCACTCTTTGCGTGATTCCACAGTCAGTGGAATCTTTGGGACCGCCGAGACACAAGTGGCACAACACCAACCTTGAGCACCAGCACGACACAGCCTGTTTTCCCAAAAGATCCACGTTGCTCTTCCGATAAGTATATCGTGTCGCCTCATATTTCCCGATCCAAGCGTGTTCCGCACCTTTAAAGCTGAAAGCGGCTGGGTAACAAAGAAGCTGGACCAACCAAAACGGAACTATTCTATACATGTCGACGCCAAAGCGCAAGATTGCTTGGATGTACTGGTGCCCATCGAGGGCCTATCGTTGAAACCGTCAATGGCGTGGTCATCCCATACCCAGCTTTTCAGCAGCCTGGAGTCGCGCCAAAGCTTATAGACCACCCTCTCAACTCGAATACGACGAAAAGCTTCCTGGAGCACAAACTGACGAGGGAAGACGAGGATGTGGTGGCTATTGCTGTGAGCCCGGATATGGCGATGAATATCATCGAGATGGCCCGGGTGATTCCGTTTTGCAAGCGTCGTTGCTGCGGCAAAGAATGGTTTGTCTTACCAAGGAAAGTTGGTCGTTGGGGTTGAGCCTCTACTTTCCCCTTTGGGTGGTCACGATGGCTTCATTTTACTTTTACTTACCCGGTACGATGAACTGTCCCCATCGTGGAAGAAAAGATGTGCTGTCCATCAGTGCAATGGTTGGCGCTGCGTTGAAGAGCGTTTTCAGAGTACTCTATATTTATGGGAGACATTCCATCAACTTGATTGCACAGTCTGCAATAGATCTGGGCGCAGAAGCGCGGAGCTTGAAATGGCCTCTCTTTGACTCCAACAGCCAGCAGCCAATTTCTTGGGCCTCGACTCTCCGCGCCGATTATTAACCAGGTTACGTGCCGCCGCAGCCCCGCTACCTGCGCCCATAACCATCACGTGACCATCTGCCGACGTCTTGGGTCAAACTTCGACAGTCTCCTCCCACCTCATGAGCTGTCCAGCAGGCCTGATGGAATTGTGCCCCAACTCCGGCACCCGGCTCTGTAAAGGATGTTCTGACAGCTGGCATTTAATGCCAGGTACTCACTCCTTTTTCATGCGTTCTTTGTCTCGATTTTCCTTATCTTGACCTCCAGCCCCCTCCGCTCCTCAGATGCAGTTTGCCCATGCCGTGAGGCGGAATCGGACGAAAACCTGCCAGCTCCTCCAATGGCAGCAATCAGCATCGATGGCACCCTGTTCCTACACCCAAAACTTCGTTGAGCCCTGGGACATGGTCGGGCAAGCTCCGGAGGGAGTGGCTGCGCTCCCAAGGCTCGCAAATGGCTCCATGCACATGACCCCTGGCATATCGTCAACCGTTGGCTAACAGCTCAGTGCAGAGAAGAAAAGATGGACACTCATCTTCACTTCACTCGGTCCGTGATCAGCGCCAGCTAAATGGACGGAATCTGGAGCTTGCCATCGATTTGGTACATTGTATCGCCGCGCCTCAAAAAGAGTTGAAGTTCTCTGTCTGCAATACCCGATACCCAGGCCGTGGCATGAAGTGCGCGCCGCAAAGGCCCTCTTATTGTCCTTGCGCGTCGTGTGGCGCAGCGTCGGTCGCAGAAGCTCACAGGCCGCGGGGCTTGTGAACTAGGCGAGTGCACAGTCGGCGCAAGACACCCGGGGGCCTGAACAGCACTTGGTCCAGCACCGAGCCTGAACCGCACCGTCCTGGTCCCCCGAGCAACGCGTCTGTCCTTATATACCAGAATATTCCTTCCAATCTCCAACAGGGAAGGACTCCGATCAGGTTGGCCTGATCGGTGACACCCCCACACCCCTTCCCCCCCTTCATCCCTTGGCCGCGAGCTCGCATGTTCGAATCGCGGCCTTGGGGTGCCGGAGCCGGGTTTATGCCACACGGTGGTGACAAGGCGAAGATCCTTCTAGGGGAGCCTTCCAGGGGATGACGCATCCTCGGGTCCTGGGGGTTGGGCTGGGGGGCCTTCCTTGTTTTTTTGCCATTTCTTTGGGTTTTGCGCTTCATGGTGAGGTGGTGCATCGCGGCATGTTCGCATCGCGCGGCGGTCCTTTTTGGGGCGTCTGGTCACTCTTGACGTGCTCATCGCTAATCGAGCTTCGGAATAGCTGTGCATGTTTCCCCCTCTTTTCTGCTTCTTGGCCAACCTGTGAGCACGCGAGCGACATTGTTCTCACGTTGATGCAGCGGGTGATGGAGCGTGCCAGCGATGGACGTAGTGAGGTTTTTGGCGATTTCGGCCCGCGCTTTTCCTTGGTCTCTGGCTGCACCAGCACCTCGCTTGCCTCGTAATAGCGGATCAGCGACGATGAACCAGAGATGTTGGAAGCACAAGGACGCCCTTGAAGAGGTCGCTCGGAAATATCAAAACGTGGGCGCCCCATACCGTGGCAGCTACAGTACAAAATTTATGCCCGGACAGTGTTTGGCTGGCCGGAGAAGGATGCAAACCACGTCACACCCAACCGGCCGTGCAGCGCCGCGCGGACGACGGCCGGGACGGGACAGGAAGCTCTCCTCAAGCCATGTACGCTGCATGTATGTACGTAGTTTGAACGGCGCAACCACAACCGCGCTCGAAGCCAGCATCGTCTGACGCGACCGTCTCTCCCTGCAGCAGCAGCTCCGCTCCGGCCGTCTTCACTTGTTCACACCCCCATGGCAGCAGTCGGTAGAGCAAAGGTAGAAGCCCATTCGCAGCAAAGCTGTTCTCGTAGCCGCTGACTATGGGAAGGGGGAAAAAAGGACAGCTTTGTCCAGAGACTGGAGAGCACAGAAGCGCACCAGGAGCCAAGGAACTGCTTTGAGAGACGAGACACGTACCCGACGTCGCATTGCAGAGAGGGCGCCGTGGGCCCGATGCGATTGGCTGGACCAACTGAGAGGGATTAGGAAAAGCAAAAGAAACAGTCTACGGGGGCGATGCGCGCCAAAAGTCTGTTCGTGGGATGTATGCGCGCATGTATGGACGTTGTGCTCGATGGCCCAGGCGGCAGGGGGCATGCGAATCCACATTTCCGAGGGCCAAGCGAGAAACTAGGGGGATGGTCAATACGGCGTCTGCCCGAATTTGGCCGGAAGGTGATATGAGCCAGTCTGTTGGGAGGCGCCGGAGTGAAGCCCTGGCGCGAGAATCGGGGCACGACGAAGCCGTGGGGACGAGATCCGATACGAATACATACATAGAGCGCATATATACTTCCGACATGCCTACATACTGTACCACTGCAATCTCCGTACATCCAGTGAGCCAAAAAAAAAAGGTCCCCTGCTTCCTGATGCCCACGATGGGCTGACGAAAAAAAAGGCGGCGGGAGGGCAGACGAGGCACATGTCGGGGGGCCCGAGTCAGGAACCCGGTCCCCGTCACCTCACCTCATCAGGCCGTCACGCGCCGACTCTTGCGACGACGGAATGACTATCACGTGCAAGTGCAGTCTCGAGTGTGCGTGTCGGTGCAAAGTCATGACTCTGTCCGCGGCCGAGGTTTTCCTCGCTCGCTCTCCGGCCCCGATGGAAAAGTCTCTCGCGCGGCTGGCCATATTACCGACCTCGCGTCCGGCCATTGCCCCGTGTCTGCTTGCCTTTTACTGTACTTTCATCGTGTCCGTCCGTGCCTACTTACCTACTTACTTACATACATACATACATGCATGCGTATACACACGGCACAAGGACCATCGATCCACGCCCCGCCCGCATGTAGTCGAGGGCGGGTTCTCGCACATTGGCACCGCAGAGTAATACTACGGTACGGTATACGGCACGGCAAGGGGACAGGTGAGACACACCTTCAACGGGAGGCCCCTTTGCTCCATCAAGTAAGGCATTCTCTGCTCATGCAGGAACCGCGACGCCACCCCAACGCAACGCAACGACGGAACCCGCTGCCGCTTCCCCAACCGCGCAGACACGACGCAATGGGGTATCGAGTGCGAGGAGACGGCGATGTCTAGGGTCCATGGACCCGTATGTACATGTCGAGATGGCGAGTCGCGGGCTTGTTGATATCTCGCCGCAGGTTGGACCCGGCGGGCATACGGATACATACACATGCCCGCTCCGCCGCTCGCGGCCGACGACGCTTGGGGCCCCCATGAAGCCGCGGCTGCCCTCGGGGGACGAGGCGCCAGCTTGAGCCGCCGCTTACAAGCTGCCCGTCGGGCCGTGCAGGCTTCGCTTCCCGTGGCGCTGCTCACTCGGGCCCTTCGCTCGCCGTTGCGCGCGGCCGAGATGCAGGCTGGACCCGGGCGCTCGCCAAGAGCTCTCTGCATACATACATGCACGATAACAAGGTCCCCCGGACGTCCGGCTCCGAGCCAGAATACGAGTCGGCGTGCGAGTTCTGCACCTGTAGGATAGAGCAACGACCATGACTCACCGCGAGATGCACCCATCGTCACCGCTGCCGACAATGGGGCATCAGACACGGACGCAATGGATTGCCACGAAGGGCTGACGCAGCCAATGGGGGGTTGCGCGCCCCCTCTCTCCCCCTCCCCGCGGCGGGCGTGACTGGCTGTTTTACAGTGCGTGTGCTGCAACGGACGATGATGATATGATGAAGATGACGATGCAGGTCACGAGCGCGTTGCTTCTGCTTGGGTTTTTTCCGCGACGCCTGGCCAGCGTTTGGCGCTCGCCGTCTTGCGTCATTTTGACATGTGAAAGTGGCTGGAGCACGGCAATGAGTGGGGCGGGCTAGGGTGCCCTGTGCTCCGTTGTAGTGAGTGACAGGTACCGGTGGGTATCGTGTACTTTGCACTCTTGCTGCGCTGCACTCTTGCCGCGCTGCACTCTGCTGCACTGCTGCCCCGCCGTCCGTCTTCGTGCAGCTCGTCGTCTGCGGAGCACAGCAGGCTCGGCGGCGGCGTCTCGGAGGCGGGTTTGCCTCAAGGACCCGAGGCCCGGGAGACGGGAAGGCGGACGGGTCCAGCGCACCGCGGATTGCATGTAGGGAAAAAAAAAAAAGTGACACGCAGTCGGCAGGCCAGTCGAGAGGCCGGTAGAGAGAGAGAGAGGAGAGAGACTTCGGTCACGACGGCTTCTCTCCCCTGGACCATGTGCACGTAATTCACGTCCTCGATCCCCCGGACAGAGTTCGAGGGCCCGGCGGCGACCAGAGGCCGACGGCCCTCGTACCAGAGGGCAAAGCCAAAGGGCAAGCTTGTCTGTCGTCCGTCTCTCTCTTGCTCCCTCCCCATGACACTGCGAGTGGGACCCGGCGGCCCATGTACCAGAATGCCGGCGCGCCCGCCTGCATCGGAGACGGGCTTTCCCCTCTGCTGTGCGCCTGCTGATTCATCCATGCCTTGGGGTCGCATCGCGATGCCTTTTCTGCCTCTCCTCCTGCCTCTCCTTCTCTCGCCAGGGAGACGCAGCAACAGCCCACACAGCGTCAGCGTCGACATCCACCCCCAACGCCTGGAATTGACTCGTCTCTCGGGGCCACATGTCAGAGCTCGGACAGCGGCTGCTGGGCCCGGTGGAATGGAGAGAGGCCGCGCGATAAGGGAAAAAAAAGACGCTTTCATGTGCCAGGTACCTCGCCGCCCTGTCGCAGCACCGCTAGTACCTGGTGCGCGCGCGCTTCCGAGCCGGCAGCCAACACCGGAGCGCATGCGGCCGACGCTTCCAGCTCCCGGCTGTCTTGGAGTCTTGGACATGTACTGTAGAATGGGCATCTGATATTATCCTCGCGAGGAGAAAAAAAGACGTGAGCTTCCACGACATGTGGTGGTGAGCGCACATGCCTGCCCGCTCTTTGCCGTGCCCGATACCTACCTCGTACCCCCAACTACCCCCCCAGCTGGTGATGAGCACAAGCAGGCCTTTCACATGTCAACCGGAGGCCAGACGAGAATGAATCGTGGCTGATGGGGGGAAACAGACGGGCGTAGGAGACAGCTCCAGACAGCCAATGGCCTGTCCACTACGCCGCATGCTGCTTCCAGGTTGTCCCCCGTCTCCATCTCGACACGCACACTTTCACATGCTTTCTTCACCACCCACCCCCTTCTCCTTCCAACGCCCGGTCCTCTCTATGCTTGCACTTTTTCCTGCCTTGGTCCGTCATGCGAGAGCAGAATGGCGAAACACAGAGGACATGTCGGGGAAATGGCATCTGAAAAGGAAATTACAATCGAGGAGTGTTGGTAGGAAAAAAGGGCGGCCTGATGATGATGGCGGGGGGACGACGTTACGGCGCTTCTTCTTTTTGCCACTCCCCCTCTCCCCAAAGCAAGTATATAAACATCCAGAGTACGTTTGCGCCTGCTGCATGCCTGCGTCTTCATGTATGCCGCATGTACTGCTCTATCCCATCCTGTGGCGTATCAACATCCAGCAGACATTCTAAGGTTCTTTTTTAGCCTCGACCTCCCGCACGCCAAACCTTGCCGGCCCTCCCCCCTTCTCCTCTTCCTCCTCCCTCCCTCCTCCCCCCTCTCTCTCTCTCTCTCTCTCTCTCTTTCTTTCTTCCTCCCTCTCTCCCTCACACCCTCCCCCCTTCTCTAGTCTCCTCAACCGTTTTCGCCCACCCAACCACCTCGCACTCTTCCTTCTCAGAGCCTGCCTCGACAAGCAATCGTCTTCTTCTCGCAATGGCTATCCCTCAGGTCAACGGCGACACCTCGAGCCTGGCTCACAACTCGGCCTTTATCCAGGTGCGTTTCCGCCCCTCGCCGCGCCTGCCTTGCCGACGTGGCTGCTGACACTGGCACAGCATCTGCTCAACTACCCCCTCATCAGCGACGGCATCCACACCTTCAAGTCCAACGAGTATGGCCAGCGCTCCATCAAGCTCGGCGACTCGGCCTACCAGACCTTTGCCCGCCCCGTCATCCCCTGGTTCGCCAAGCCCTACCAGTACATCTCGCCCTACGTCCAAAAGGCAGACTCCATCGGCGACAAGACGCTCGACCGCTTCGACGAGCACTTCCCCGTCGTCCGGAAGCCCACCAGCGAGCTCTACAGGGACACGCGTAGCCTGATCCTCCTGCCCCTCAACAAGGGTCTCGAGGGCCGCGACCACGTCTTCAAGGTCTACGCCGCAGAGGTCAAGAAGACGGAGCAGCAGGGCATCGTCGCCCAGGGCAAGGCCGCCGTCTCCACCGCCATCGTCGTCAGCAACGAGACCCTGTGCTGGCTCGGCAGCCTGCTCTCCGCCAAGAAGGCCGAGGCCACAAAGGCCGTCAACGACAAGGTCCAGCAGTAGACGGTCCTCGACGGCCGTCGTACGCTCCTCGCGGCGGAGCCACGTCTCGCCTGCGCCGTGGGACTCGAGAATCTTTTTTTTTAGGCGTTGAAATCTGCTCACCCGCCATGTCCTGCCCTCCTCACTCTCCCCATGTCGAACAGAGCTCTTTACGGCTCGGCCTCATGCGACGGCCCGTCTGGTAGGGTCGGGGGCAAGGCAGCAGCGCTGAAGCTGGCGGTGACGGGAAGGACGGATTGTGTTATACCTTGGACTGTTGAGCATGTTGCATTTCTTGTTACATTAAGTCTCTGATGCTACACGCTGCGGTTTTTTCAGCCGCGATTTTCCGTGCCATCGTTCGTCAGTCGAGCCTGGCACTGTAAAGGTCGGATGTTTTCGGCTCGGCTTGTTGGCACACGACATTCTCGCAAGGCGGCCATTGTGCCTTGGGGCTGGAAGTGGTGGCGATGGAAGGGAGGGCAAGTCGCCAAGGAAACAAAGGGATGATCTCGTCTCCATTTTTCATTTGTATCCAACGCTGCGGGTGAAAAAGGGGGTGCCAGTTCGATGTCAGTATCAAGAGCGAATAGATGGCGTGCCGCTGCACACAATCGACGGTGCCTGGGCACTCGGTTTCACGTGAAAGACGGCGTGCAGCCTGCATCGCCATGGCCAATCCTCTGTCGTCCTCGCAGCCCATGGAGAGAGAGGTCGACGCCGGCCCAGCAAGGCAATCTCGTCCCTCGGCCAAGAGGGCACTGACATGAGCTTAGCTTAGCCCCGCACCACGACCCGCAAGGGCCCGCGTCTGTCATGGCTGACGCAACCGTGACTAATCCCAGCTCAGTCATGCATCCCCATCCAACGTCCCCAGAGCTTCCTAAACGGGAGACACGTGTTTCCACGCCTGCCACGCACGGTATCCGGCGGTATCGTTTGCTAAGCAGCAGCAGCAGCCAACTGGGGAGGCATTAGTAAACCACCAAACGACAAGACGCCCTCCACGTACAGACAGACAGACAGACAGACGCGCACCTCCTGCGATATGTAGACAGTATTTCTTGCTGTCAAAGCAATCACGCAAGCATTACAGCATCTTCCTCGGCCTTCTACATACTGGCCTCGCCCGCTGCCACCTCCGCCATGCGCCCTCGCCGCGCATCGTCGGCGTCTATAATAAACCGCCTCCACGACTCACCTCCTCGTCGTCTTCCACGTCCGCAAAAGCTCACAGCAACACGAGCACCAAGTCCGCGAAAGCTCACAGCGACACAAGCACCACCGCCGCGAAAATGTCCACGCCCCGCGCCATCCGCACCGTCATCCACGCCGCCGAGCAAGCCGAGGGCGCCGGTGCCCGCGTCCGCCGCTCCATCGGCACCCCTCGCCTGCGCAACCTGACGCCCTTTCTCATGCTCGACCACTTCAACGTCGAGCCCGGCGCCGGGTTCCCGGACCAGTTGCGTTGTCCCCCTTTCCCGTCGTCGACCTAGCCTTGCCGTGCTCTGGGCTCCGCGCTGACACGGATGCTTTGCTGCGTCTTTCTCGCCAGCCCCCACCGTGGACAGGAGACCATCACCTACATCCTCGAGGGCGCCGTCGACCACGAGGACTTTGCCGGGAACCGCGGCACCCTCGGCCCCGGCGACCTGCAGTTCATGACGGCCGGCCGCGGCATCGTCCACGCCGAGATGCCCCGCAACGACCCGCACGGCACCCCCAACGTCGGCCTCCAGCTCTGGGTCGACCTGCCCCGCCACCTCAAGGCCTGCGAGCCGCGCTACCGTGACCTCCGCGCCGCCGAGATCCCCGCCGTCGACGTCGACGCCGGCCGCGCAACCGTCAAGGTCATCTCGGGCCGCAGTCACGGCATCGACTCTGTCAAGGACCTCGCCTACACCCCCGTCTGGATCCTCGACGTCGTCCTCCGGCCCGCCGCCACCGTCTCCCAGCCCCTGCCGCCCGGCTGGAATGCCTTTGCCTACGTCCTCGAGGGCGAAGTCTGGTTCGGCGAGGGCGACGCGCGCACAAAGGTCGAGCAGTACCACAACGCCGTTTTCGAGCCCGACGGCGATCTCATCCACGTCGAGGCCGATGCACAAGCCACCAAGCCCAGCCGTCTAGGTAACGCAGTTCCCCCAGACCTTTGCTTCCTTATTGCTAACAGGCGCAAGTCATCGTCGCCGGCACTCCCCTCGACCAGCCCATCGTCCAGTACGGCCCCTTTGTTGTTGACTCAAAGGACGCCGTCTACCAAGCCATCTCCGACTTCCAGACCTGCACCAACGGCTTCGAGCGCGCGAGGGACTGGAAGAGCCAGATTGGCCAGTCCATGGGCTCTTGATTGGCCGGCCGCTTCTCTTGTCTGGGGGACGACGTTTGACTGCTCGAATGACTCAAGAGAAGGCCTAAGGATAGATTGGAGTGAGGGCGCATGCGAGATTTGAGCTGGCAAGCTTTGTACATATCAAGTTGAATGTTCGCTTCATATAGACCTGGCTAATCATACAATCATCTGCTGTTGATGTGTTAAGTAATACGGAGCATTTGAACAAGTCAGATCGCGTCTTTACATCGACCTCACTGATCGGAACATCCTCTGTTGCCTATGTTATGTGTTCGATAGTACAGAGCATTTGAACAGGACAAAATGAGACTTCACATCAGCCTCACTGATCGTACCAGCACCTGCTGTTCATGTATTTGAACAAAATCTGCCTTCCATACTTGGACGACATAGCAGGCTGCCTTTTCGTCGAGCAGACAAATTTGCCTTCATCTATGCAAATATGGCATGACAGGTTGCTTCTTCGTCGAGCAGACATCACATCACACGCATGTATACGCGAGTTCACACTACCAAAAGTGATGGCATTAATATTTGCCTGAATGAGAGCAAGAAAGCCAACCCCTTCCTCGCACACGAAACCGCGCCAGAGTTCTGGGGTATCATTAAATCGAAAGACCTCGCCCGGGCGACCGTCGCCTCGGCTTCCGACAAACGTCAGATGCTCAGCTGGGCCTCTCCGCCTGTCCATCTCACCCATTCTTCATCAAAGCTCATTGCATTCCATATTCCTCGAGTCCACTCCACTCAATGAATGCACTCAATTACCACACTGTTCAGAGAGAGATAGGCCGTAAGGCCTGTGGACCTGCGAAACCTGCTTGTCCCTTGTCCAGTCCGCTTGCCTAACTTTCCATGTCCGCAAAGATCATTCCTGAGCGCCGTTTGCGCCGGCTTGTTTGTTGAGATGGCGTCCTGGCAGGGACAATTATAGACGGGTATTATGTATCAGACATGTGCAACCGAATCATCAAAATAGAAAGCGACCTGCTCCGCTTGTCTAGATCAAGAGGGCGGCAATACCGGCGACGGCAAAGAGGCCGGCGGCAGGTGCAGCTGTCACCTGGGGAGCCTGTGAGATTTGTTAACGTGGACTCGGTGTGCTCGGAATTCGCAAGGGCTAAGCAGTCACTTACGGCGAAACCAGCGCTCGAAGAGGAGCTGGCGCTGCTGCCAGTCGGAGAAGCACCGCTTCCGCCGTTGCCGCTGCTAGGGCTGCCGGTGGTGGGAGAGGTGTTGTCACTCTGGGTGGTAGAGGCCGAGCTGGCCGTGTTGGTAGCGGGGGCGCCACCAGACCCAGAAGAGCCACCAGGCGACATCGCGGTGATGGTGCTGACGATCTCAGAGCCGTTGGAGGTGATGGTGGTCACGATGGCACCTCCGGCGCCGCCGGGGCCGCCAGCGGAGTTACTGTCACCGCCGCCATCACCATCGTCACCCACGGTTTGCGTGGCAATGGGGGTGCTCAAGACGGTGCCATCAGACATCATGGTGCTGTAGATGGTCTGGACCGTAGCCTGCGTGTTGGGGTCAGAAACGTGGGCAATGGCAATTCTGGGAGCGTGAACATACCTGTCCGCCGCTGGGACTGGATTCGCCACCGGTCGACTGATTCATCATGAGCACTTGCGCCATTAGGCGTTTGAGAGTCGAAGAAACCTACAGAGGCACCGCCGCTACCGCCGCTACCGCCAGGGGCAATGACAACACCGGCATCTGCAATCGGCTGTCAGTCGAGCTGGGGCATACAGAATTGACTCGATGAACTCACCGCGGCAACTCTTCACGGCCATGTCGATGAGCTGCTTGCCGTCGTCCTGGGTGCAGGCCTGGGCAGCGCAGTCGCGGTAGCCGTACATGAACCCGGGCTTGGAGCAGAGGCACTTCAAGTCGTCCTTGGTGCAGCTAAGTTCCTGGGCCTTGACGGCGCTCCTCATCCTATTGGAGCAACCTTGCTATGTCGGTGTCAGGAGGCTGTTGCTCGTCATGGTGTGCTGTAGGTGAAGACCTACAAGGCACGGGGTGAGGGAGTTCTGGGCAGCGACACCCGCCACAAGGGCGCTGAGAGCGAAGACCGCGGACTTCATCTTGACGAATTTTTTTGGTTTAAAACGACTAGACGATGGGTTAGCAAGGGTAGCCGACAAGATATCTCTTCAAAGACCCGACGGGAACGGTGAGGCGCGCGAGAAAACGTAATGATTTGACCGTCCAGGTTGGGTAGAAGGCGGAGATGAGGGTTGGAAAAAAACAGCGGCGCCTCAAATAAATGCTTGAACATCATGGCTCGAGAGCGTAGATGGACAAGGGCTCGCTAACGTGCAGCCTGTGACCAGACGGCACGAGCGTGATTGTGTGCAACGAAACAAACAAGGAGAAGAGGCGGTGTGACGAGAGATGAAATATGTGGCGAGGTGAAGTGCAGGCAGTGAGGCACTCTGTCGCCGCACCGCAGGGCCAGCGAGGAGCTCAAGAGTGGTTGATGAAAGGCTCGAGGCTTGGATAATGGGCCACGGAAGACTCTCTCGCGTGCACACGCGTCGAAGCGGGTGGGGGAAGAGGCAATCGTGGGGTGGTTTCGAGCGCGAGGCGAGCAGAGGAAGATGAGGCAGATTGGACTAACCTGGTGTTGCTGATGAGGAAACTCGAGGTCGTTCGAGGAAGAGAGAGAGAGTATGTTTGCTTTGCTTGACGAGGCAAGGGTGAGGTGAGGGCTGGTGAGAGTAGGTGAATGGACCAAGGATCAGAGGAGGGAGGAGGAGGAGAAAAAAACAACAAGAGAGCGGCGGAGGATGGAAGAGATTTATCTCGCGAAGCAAGGCAGGTGCGCATCATCGGGCTGCTGCCAGTTGCCAGGCAGTGCGACTTGCATCCAGCTTGGTTGCGGAAAGGTACGTACCGGCAAGCTCCCGCCCCTCTTGCCCAATTCTAGCGCGCACCCACCCAGCTTGTCAGCGCCCCGCCACACCGAACAAGAACAAGCTTCTTCTCCTTGGCCGCTCTCATCTGATGAACAGGCTGTGGGTCCCGCTTTGGGCACGCCGGACAGGGATCGCTTGGGGAGGTACCGACGCTGTACTTGGGCGAGGGCGAGTCCTGCATGCGGACGCACAGCTCCTTGTCTGGGCACCGAGAGAGCGTCCGCCCGAATCGCGGGCTGCTGGCGGCGGGAGCCTTGAATTCGGTTCGAGCTGACTGGAATTGGTGTCTTTGCCCGTCACGTACGTACATGTAATCGCATGCAATTGCAGAAGAGCTGGGCGCGTCGTGCAAATGTTTTCCGTGCGCGAGTAAATGCCGGATCTATCCGACAGCCAGCTCAGCTAGCTACCGCAGTCGGCGGCAGCTCCAGCCAAGGTACGGGATAGTAAGTAGATAGCGGTACCTCGGGCGCCGCTAGGCTCGAGAGTGCAGACTCGGGGCCCAGATCAATAGAGGTTCCATGCTCGGCTCCGGATTGCCGCGAGGTTCCTTCCTGCTAACCTGTTCCGTACAGCACAGCACGCAGCGATGAGGTCAGAGGTGACGGCAAGCCACAGGGCATGCAACCTCTGCCGAGCCACACCTGGCCAAGCGGCTGTGTGCGCTGTACAATCAATCCTCAATAACACCTACCTTGGCACAGAGCCCGAGCAGAAACACATACAGTGCTGTAGAACATGACGGCCAAAAGACTCGGGGTGAGCCGATGACCTTTCTGCACCACCACCTTAGGTATGTAGGTAGTTTGGACGGACAGACGTAGGCAGGTACCTAGGTATTGCCGAGGTACCCTGGATGCCGCTGTACATGTACTCTGCAATGTGCTTGGCTGTGGCGGCTGCTCAATGATGCAGTCATGATGCTGGGCAGAAGCCCATGGCACGAATCAGGCTCGGGATACATGCCCTGTTCAAACCCTTTGGAGCAAGAAGCACCAACAGGCCAAGCCGCCATGGGTGGACAACACGGCCGGTTGGCCGCCATCTACGTACGTCTGTTAATCTGCCCGCCTCCACCTCTCCCACCCAACCTCGAGCACCAGGCCAAACCTCTTCTCAAGTACGGAGTAGCTTGCAAGTACCGTATGTCTGAGTCTTGGCCGGTGGGGGCCGACCGACCGTCTTCGTGGGTCGTGAACGTCTTGTCCTTTTCCTGAGGAAACCCGAGAACAAACGTCTCAATTTATTTTCAATGGTTGTTTTTTGGATGCATCGCTAGCCAGACTGGCAGGGCCGAGTCTGGAATACTGTACACCCTCACGCACACGACAGACCAGCCGGGGGCGGGCGGGCGCGCAGCGGGGCCTAAAGCAAGGTAGTGGCAAGAAAAAGGAAGCCCGTTGGGACCATGGTTGCAGGGGCCCATTGGGGATTGATCGATTGGGAACCCGGCCACCAGCCATCTCGTGCCTGTTTATTTGACTTGGACAATGGAGGTGCCACGGGGGGCTGCATCATAGGGCGGACAAACTGCACATGATTAGCCTTTTCCGAATTGCATGGGCGAAACGAGGTCATCGTCTTCATCCTGTCCCAAATAGCCGCTGTACATGTGGCTTGGGCACGTTGAGCATTGTCTTGGGATCGACATACTCCGTAGAATGCTTCCACGGCTATCGCTCGCACAGCTCATGTCCAGCCGGGGCTAGCGAGCCAGCAAAGACGCCGTTTCCGGGAGGCCGCCCGCCAAGACAACGATGACGGTTTGATGGGCGAGAGCCGGTGGGAAGCCTCCACGGATGGCGTTGGTGAGCGAGGAGCGTACGGAGCACGGAATATCCGTAGCTGTGAATGCGATCCGATCTGGAAAAGGCAGCTGACGACGATGCCCGGACAGGTTGACCAGGTTGCGCCACATGGCCGTTGCTCAGCCACACTCAAACCTTGGGGGCGGGTCTCTCGGCATGCCCTGCCTGGCCGGTGCACCCGGCAAAGAGAGAGGGCAAAGGGCAGCCCAGTGAAGCTGCCTGGCAACTGGCTGCAGTACAGTACAGTCGAGAGTTGGTGGCTGGCTGGCCGCGGCCTTCCAGGGGGTCCCTGGGCACCCGGCAGGGGTGGGATTCCTTGGTGCGCCCTCCCGGCCCCAAGTGTGGCGCTTGCTCTGTCGCTATAGAGTCAGATGATGGAAAAGAACAACAACAAAAAAGTCATTCCACGATCCCAGTCGAAAATACTGTCGATAATACACCACAGCGATGGTTAACGTTAACACCGACCGCACATTGCAGGGCCGCAAGGGTGGCTACAGTGTAGGCATGGGCACACAGTAATGGCGCACTGTACCATATCCCCCACAAACAACCGCCTTCCCGCCCCTCCAATCTCTCACTGCGTCCACACACGATTTACCGATTGAACCTCGTCTCCACCTGGGCCAAGCCCGCCATCGAACAAACGGCCCCCCTGTCGAGCTGGATCAAATGAACGGCTTGCGCCCGCCCAATCCATTACCCGCCCCAAGAGGAGCAAGAGCAGCTAGAGGAGAGGGGCCCGCTCGTGTTGGAGAAATCTCGTCAAAGAAATTGTCACAGCTTCCTCGTGTGTCTGTTGGAAGTCACTGTATCAGCGCCCATCTTGCGCGAAAAAAGAAAAAAAAGGAAGAAGAGCAACATGTCTCGCTCCCTTGATCTTCCTGAGGAAAACATCGGCTTCATCCTCCTCCGGCGGCTAATCGTCCGACTTGCTTTTGAGGATCGGTTTACCTCCATTAGGCGAGCCCCGTCGGGCGAGGCGACCAGTGGAGGGGGAAATTCGAGATTCGAGATTCGAGAGAAAAAGACCAGCCCTTCCCGCTTCCGTCACAGCTTCCGTCACAGCTTCCTGTTGCTTTGCTTCTCGGCCAGTCTGTGCCTCACGCTTCCCGGGGGTTAGAATCGCTCTTGAAGCTGTGCATCGACCAACCGCGAAGCTTTTTTACCTCATCTGTATTCGCGGCTTCGTGGGTTTCGCCTCCCCATTTCAATTCTTTACAGTATTCACCTCATGACCCTGCCGCTTCTTTGTCCGCGCGGCCCGACCGCTGAGACATAAACCCGGCATTGGTGGCGGCCTCCGACCAACCGGGCGAGACAGAGCCTAGGTGACGTCATTGCAAAGTACAGTACAAATCGATACTCCGCTGCAAGGCGCTGCAAGGCACTGCAAGGCACTGCACTCCATGGGCTGCAATAGCGTCGCATCCGTGCACGTAGATCGACAGCCACCTCTCCCCTCCTCCTCTCCCCTCCTCCTCTCCTCCTCTCCTCCTCTCCTATCTCCTCCCCTCCTCCCCTCCTCTCCCCGCCACGTCCGTCGCCCTTCAGCTGCCGACTACCCGGCGAGTCCTTTCTTTTCCACCCTTTCCCCTCTCGGTTGGCCTTGGCCGTGCTTGGCCGTGCTTGGCCCGGGAAACACAAACGTCAACATTTTTTTAGCAGCACACATGGTTCGAGCCTCTCTTCTCAGCTCGCCACGTGCAACCTCCCTCCCCTCCCTCAGGCGTCATGACGGCCGAGTCCGAGAGCACCTGTATCCGTGCAACAGTCACCTGCCCCCGTGCTACTGTCAGAGGTCGTCGTACAAGTCCATGTCTTACAATTTACGCCCGCCTTGCCGAGACGAGAGCCAACTCGCTTCTTGTTCCTGCTTCTGCTCTTATCGCACAACACCCACCTTGCTCGCCAAGATGCTCAATTCCTTGGCCACCGCCACGTCTCTGTGCAAGGCAGTTTGGCTTCCCAAAGACGAAGCGACTCGTACGCAGTGTCACCCGCCCATCGTCGTCCTTCATCGTGACAAGACCTATCGATTAATCACTGTAGCAATACCATCTACTCCGTCGTCCCAAATCCAGCATCTAGCCGGCAGCGAGTCGCTACCCTGTCGTCAACCCAACCGTGAAAAGGTTCAAAAGAAAAACGCAAAAGAGACCCAAGTCATGCCGCAACGTCCGCAAACCAATATACAATGCTCATTGTGCGCAAAGTCATCCATGACCCAGCTCGGGCAGCCAGCCTCGACCATCACCCTTTAATTTCCACACATCAGCCGTCATTATACACGCTCGCTTCCCGTCGTCAGAGTGCACATCGTCTCCCGCTCATCTAACCGCTGCACATGACGCACGATTCTGGGTTCTCGATGCTGCCTGTTGAGAAAACCTTATTAGCGCCTCCTTCAGTTTCGCCAATGGCGTCATTGCTTACAAGCCAATACAGCTTCCGAGTAAATGTCTCGCTCGCGCTCCTCGCTGTCCTGGTCCTTGTCTTCCGACTGGCCCTCGACACGTCCGCTGCCGGGCTCGGCTAGCTCCTCGTCCTTGATCTCCTCCGTCGGCTCCGTCGGCAGAACCTTGGGGCTGTCGCCCTCTTCCGCGTCGGCCTTGATGGCCGCCGGCTTGCTGGGCGATGCGATGGGCCGAGGTTTGGCGTCAACCGTCGAGGCCGGCGGCGGCGGCGTCGTGCTGGGAGTCGGGATGCCGTTGGTGCCGACCGAGTCGACCGAGTCGACCGCCTCCTCCTTCGGGTACGTGGCGCGGGGGACGGCCGACGACGACATGTAGCTCGTGCCCGCGGGGGCCGTGCGCTTCTTGGGCAGCCTGTCCCGGCCGACGTTGGCGTCGGCCACCTTGAGCGCCTGCTGGTCGACCGTGAACTGGATGGGCGCGGCGGCCGCCTGCGTGCGCAGATAGTACATGCCCGTCTTGAGGCCCAGCTTCCAGCCGGCAAAGTGCATGCTGGTGATTTTTCCCATGGTGGGATCCTTCATGTGGATGTTGAGCGACTGAGACTGGTCGATAAAGGCACCGCGGTCGGCCGCCATCTGCACCACCTGCCGCTGCGAAATCTCCCAGACCGTTTTGTAGAGCGACTTGATGTCGGCGGGGATGTTGGGGATGTTCTGGATGGAGCCGTTCTCGGAAATGATGCGATTCTTCATCGCGTCCGACCACAGGCCCATGTCGACGAGATCCTTGAGCAGCCAGGGGTTGACCACCTGGAACTCGCCCGCAAGCACTCGTCGCTGGTAAATGTTGGACGTGTACGGCTCGAAGCACTCGTTGTTGCCCAGGATCTGCGACGTGCTGGCCGTGGGCATCGGCGCCACGAGCAGGCTGTTGCGGATGCCGTGCTCCATGACCTGCTCCCTCAGTTCCTCCCACTCCCAGAGGTCCGAGGGCTTGACGTTCCACATGTCGAACTGCAGGATGCCCTCGGACGCCGGGGAGCCCTTGAAGGACGAGTAGGGGCCCTGCTCCTTGGCCAGCTCCATCGAGGCAGTCAAGGCGGCGTGGTAGATGGTCTCAAAGACCTGCTTGTTCAGCTCGCGAGCCTCGGGGGATTCAAACGGCATGCGCAGCGCGAGGAAGGCATCCGCCAGCCCCTGCACGCCGACGCCGATGGGGCGGTGGCGCATGTTGCTGTTGCGGGCCTCCTGCACGGGGTAGTGGTTGACGTCGATGATCTTGTTGAGGTTGCGGACAACCACCATAGTAACCTCGTGGAGCTTCTTGAAGTCGTAGCGGCCCTCGCTGTAGTCGACAAAGGCGGGCAGGGCCAGCGACGCCAGGTTGCACACAGCCACCTCGTCAGGGGCCGAGTACTCGATGATCTCGGTGCACAGGTTTGAGCTGCGGATGGTGCCGAGGTTCTTTTGGTTGCTCTTGCGGTTGCAGTGGTCCTTATAGAGCATGAAGGGATTGCCCGTCTCTGTCTGGGCCTCGAGGATCGAGTACCAGAGCTTCTGGGCGCGGATGGTCTTGCGGCCACGGCCCTCGCGCTCGTACTTTTCGTACAGAGCCTCAAACTCGTCGCCATAGCAGTCGGCCAGGCCAGGGCACTCATTGGGGCACATGAGGGTCCAGTCGCCGTTCTTCTCCACGCGCTTCATGAAGAGATCGGGGATCCACAGCGCGAGGAACAGGTCGCGAGCGCGAACCTCCTCTTTGCCGTGGTTCTTGCGCAAATCGAGGAACTCAAAGACATCGGCATGCCACGGCTCTAGGTAGATGGCAAAGGCGCCTGGCCGCTTGTTTCCGCCCTGGTCGACGTAGCGGGCCGTGTTGTTGAAGACACGCAGCATGGGAACCACGCCGTTGGAAGTGCCGTTGGTGCCGGCAATGTAGGATCCGGTGGCGCGGATGCGGTGGACGTTGAGGCCGATGCCACCGGCCATCTTGGAGATCATGGCGCACGTCTTGAGGGTGTCGTAGATGCCCTCGATGCTGTCGTCCTTCATGTCGACGAGGAAGCAAGACGACAGCTGAGCCTGAGGAGTGCCGGCGTTGAAGAGGGTGGGCGAGGCGTGGGTGAAAAACTTGCTCGACATGAGGTTGTAGGTCTCAACGACGCGCTCAATGTCGTCTCCCCAGATGCCGACGGCAACGCGCATAATCATGTGCTGCGGCCGCTCGACAATCTTGCCGTTGAGCTTGAGCAGGTAGGAACGCTCCAGGGTCTTGAAGCCAAAGTACTGGTAGTTGAAGTCGCGGTCATAGACAATGGCCGAATCCAGGTCGTCCTTGTGCCTCATGACGCAGTCGTACGTCTCTTGCGAGATCATGGGCGATGCCCGGTCATTCCTGGGGTTGACGTAGTGGTACAGGTCGCTGATGACTGAAGACCACTGCTTCTTGGTCTGCTTGTGTAGGTTGGAGACGGCGATGCGGGCCGCCAGGATGGCATAGTCGGGGTGGGTAACGGTCATGTAGGCAGCGGTCTCAGCAGCCTGTGCGTGGTTTCTCGGTCAGCGGCGATTCGCCAGCATCGGGAAGGGCTTTACTCACGAGATCATCGAGCTGGACAGTCGTCACGCCGCCGTAGACACCGGAGATGACCTTTTGAGTGATGGCAACAGGGTCGACGTGCTCCGTGTCGAGGCCGTAACACAGCCGAGAGACACGGGCGGTGATTTTGTCGAACTGGACGCGCTCCTGACGTCCATCTGGCAGGGGAAGAGTCAGCTGAAAGGCTTCTCTGCCTCAAAGACAGACGACACATACCGCGCTTTCTGACAAACATGACGGCGACGGCACGGCGGCCGAGGCGAGGATGAGGAGAGAGGGAAAGAGAAGAGTAGTTGTCGCGGCAGGCGTGCAAGGAAGCTCAAGCAGCTGCCACAGATTAGATGAAGGATTGAACCTGGGATAGGTTTGTCTTGTTGCGGGTGAGGATGGTGGAAGAGTCGAGAGGATGGAGGGAGCGTGTCGATGGCGGGACCAAGTTTTTAAGTGCGGCGCGTCTTGGGGGTACGCGACGCCAACCACTTAGCGCGACAACAATCCATTAAACCAGGCCCCTCCCCACCGCGCCCTGATTATGTACCTCTTTATCTCGTCGACACCAGCCACCACACATGTATCTGTTGGCAGATACCCGTGCCGAGACGAGATTGAGGCCCATGCTGAGGCACAAATAAAGCAGCAGCCGAGCCAACGCGTTTACTGAGCTCCATCCCTCGGAGACCGCTCGGTGCTTCGGATACTCTGAAGCCATCGACGACACGACACGCAGTGGACTGTACTGTACTACAAGACAGGGAGACACGTCATCGAATTGTCCATCCTCCTTGTCAATCCAGCTCCTTCGCCCCTCTCCCTGATCACTTTGATGAGCTGCTGCTCAAGGCCGGCGCGCAGTCACGTGCCAAGGGCGCCTGCGACTAAATTGTTAATTAAGCCTTCCACGTGACCCTACAGATCCGCGCTTTTCACGCGACCCTTTCTTAGTTCCTCGATGCCGGGCGAGCTAGAATCGGTTCCGGGCCGGCTTCTCTCGTTATGCATCGCTGGCTTTGGAGTGCATGTACCCCATGTTCCTAAGCAGGCTCAGCTGCCGTTTTCCGTGTCTCGGGCCCGCCGCCGTCTCTCGCTTCTCCTCCACCTCCGCCTCTGCCATGGCTGCTGCTCAACTCAAGCCCGGGCGGCCGCCGTACGTGCCCAGATATGTCGATGTATGCACGCAGGTCCTCGAAGCAACGTCCCGTGCCGCTGACGCAGCGTCATAGTAGATTGGCATCAACCTAGCCGATCCCATCTTCAGGGGTGTCCATCGTGGCACCCAGCGACACCCCGACGACCTCGATGCCGTCGTCCGTCGAGCTCGAGAGGTTGGATGCTCCAAGCTCATGGTGACGGGCTCCGACTTTAAGAGCGCCCGGGACGCCCTCAAGCTGGCCGACGAGTACCGTTGGTGCCTCCTCACTCTGTCTGCTGCCAGGCTTCCCGGGATCCTCGCTGATGGTTCCTAGCTGGCATTGTCTACGCTACCGCTGGCATTCACCCGTGCAGCAGCTCGGTATTCACCTCGGACGCACCCGGACCCGAGGACGAGCATACACCCCCTTGCGAGTCGGATCCTTCGGCGCCGATTCCCGCGCACCAGAAGCCAGACCCGGCCAGGTCCGTTGACATCATTGCCGAGTTCACCGCCCTGCTAGCCGAGGCGACGTCGTCTAGTCACAAACACCTCGTAGCCGTAGGCGAGTTCGGCCTCGACTATGATCGGCTGCATTATTGCAACAAGGCTGTCCAACTGCACTCCTTTGCGTGCCAGCTCGACGTCGCCGCCTCTCTCTCGCCTCAGCTGCCCCTCTTCCTGCACTGCAGGGCCGCGCACGCCGACTTTGTCTCCCTGCTGAAAGCTTCGTTTGGCGACGGGTTGGAAAGACTGGAAAGGGGGGCTGTCGTGCACAGCTTCACGGGGACTGCGGAGGAGATGGCCGAGCTGATGGACCTCGGCCTCTACATTGGCATCAACGGCTGCAGCCTCAAGACAGAGGAGAACTGCGCCGTCGTCAAGGCCGTCCGCCTCGACCGCATCATGCTCGAGACAGACGGGCCTTGGTGCGAGGTGCGACCCAGCTACGAGGGATGGAGGTATCTGACACCCGACAAGCCCGCCCAGGAACTGGCAGAAAGCAACGCAAGCAGCAGCTTGACGCGGGAGCAACAAGAGCCCCAGAAGCAACCCAAGAAGGGCCAAAAGAAGGAGCCCCAAGTGCCCGAACGATACAAGGTTGTCAAGAAGGAGAAGTGGGAAGAAGGCGCCATGGTCAAGGGCCGCAACGAGCCGTGCACCATCGAGCGCGTGGCGAAAATTGTGGCAGCCGTCAAAGGGGTCAGCGTTGAAGAGCTCTGTGAGGCGGCATGGGGCAACTCGATCAAGGTATTTGGACTTGGAGAAAAGGGATAGATTTCCGCGAATCGTCCTTTTCTCCACTCGTCGCGTCATGGGTATCATCGATAGAGCTGGCTTGCTTGGATATCAGGACCGAAATAGACGTCTCATAACCCTGAACCTTTGTGCCCTCGTATACGGCCATGCCTGAGCGCGCCGGTGGTGACCCCCTCCTCTCCAGTCATCCACCCAGGCATCCGTTCGCCATCCACAATGCCAGCCTCGACAAGCTGCCGTAGGCCCGCGAAGACGTGCGACCCTTGAAAGCAAAGCCTAACTGCAGGCGTCCACCGAGACGCATCCGCTTCGTCCTCGATGTCTTCTACGTCGGCCTGAGCCTGGCGAAGCGCAGCGTCGAGCTTGCTTCGCCTCCGATCCTGAGGCTGCTGCTCATCATCGGCGTCATCCAGTCCTTGGGGCTCTGCCACATTGGACGCAGGGAAAGGGTCCTGCACCAATATTTCAACCTTCTCGACACCCTTTCCATCTGTAACGATTGCAGAATCGCCGAAGCGAGCCTTGGCTACGAGTCTAGCCCGCTTTCCCTCGCGAGGACCAGTCGCCAATGATCCGTGTCTCTTTCGACTACGATCGGCATTTAACGATTTTTTGGCAATTGGCGCGCCGGGGAGGACAGGGTCGAGGGGTGACTTTTGGGCTTTCTCATCAGCGTAGATGCTCCAGCCCCCGCCGGCAGCGTTAGCACGGCCCGAGCCCCTCTTGTCCAGCAATGCATCCAAGTTTTTGCTGCTCAAATTCGTTGACTTGAGGGTGAAGCGCTCGCGCGGTCGTGACAACGCCTTGGGCACCCCGTTGACGATGAGGCTACGAAGGCTCTTGGATTCACCAAGGCTCACGGGACCGGTGGCCTGCGACTTGGTAATGTAGAGCGACGGGGAGCCGTCCGGGAAGGCCAGGTACACAGTGCGGGAGGAGCTGAAGTTGGCGGCCGGCCCGGCATCGGTCAGCGCCAAGTTTGTGTTGTAGGGCGAGTCTATGACGAAGACGCGCAGCAGCAGGACGGGGAAGTGCTTTGGGCGGTAGAAGTGGTAGTGGGCCTTGACGTCGGGGAGAAGCTGCTGCTGAAAGTTTTGGAGAAAGGTTGAGGGGTGAAAGCGTGGTATCGTCAGGCTCTTCTCATCGGCCTTGAGCCCTTGCTCGTTGGCATCCTTGGAGGGGGGCTTCAAGGGCAGAATGGCATAGGCGGTCCATTTTTGAGATGTGGGATGGTGGTCGAGATGCTGGAAGTCCACCATGGCGAGCTGATAGAGGGTCAAGCCGTGACGCCAGTCTCCTTCTAGTATGCGGGTGACGACGTCGCGTTTTGCGCCCTTTTGGGTCTGCATGTCGGTGTAAAGCGCCCGCAGGTCATCGAGGGAGCGGCACGGCGGGTAGAGATCGTCGGGGTCGTCATTATCTGAGTCAGGCTCGCCATGGTCGTTTCGCCTTTGTACAAGATACGGCACCGCATTGGGCAGCGAGCTCTCGTCAAGCCAGTCGAGGGCAAGAGAGATGAGAGAGCTGCGGGAGAGGCGGCCGAGGCTCTTGATGACGGCCGGATTGGAGGACTCGACGCGGAGCGAAGAGGGAAGTTTGGCCTTTGTGGGAACAGACAGGCGAGCCATGCCTACGCCGAGAGAAGAGCGATGGCAGGAGGTGCGCGCGACGAGATAGATGCTGGGCTAAAGCTGCCACTCATTGTCGAGACGCGTTCCCTCAGTCGCCACTAACTACACCGAACTTCGAAGCCGATGTCGCGACTAGTGGCGCTGACTCAGCAGAGACTAGTAGGGTGCAAGGGCGCGCAGTCACGTGATTCCTGTTTTACGCGCTCTCGGTTCCTACAGTTCCAAAGACCCGGCCGTTTTCGGCGACGGGTGACTCGTTGGGGCTCGCTCGCCTCCGGTTTCCGCAACATGTGAAAGCTGCCGGAGATCTGCTGTCGGGTAAACGGGGAGCACGTGCGATTTGGCCCCCTAACAAGATCGACCCCAAACTTGAATAGGTTCGGGTGCGAACCAACATCGCACATCAAGCCCGGCGGCCAACCGCATAGCTGGAGCGCCACCAGAATGAGGCCTAGGTAACAGTCACGATGGTGAGTGGTTTAGATCCAGCATTGTTCACGACGCCGTTATCCGTGGTATATGTGGCTTCAAAAGGCCGGCGCAAGACCGAGCGAGATCCACCGTTGTTGCAGCCGTCGCCGCATGCTCACGTAAGTTCTCCGCAAAGTCCGCCTAAGTGAGGACTGTCGGACCTCGGACCGGTCTGTCCAGCGGTCGGACCTTGATGCATGTGTGCCTGTCTTCCCGGTGATGAGCGAGAATGGGCGAGCCGGGACAAGATTGGGAACCACTTCTGCTTGGGTTGGTCGCGATGGTTTTGTAGCAAAGTCGAGGGTGTCATCTGAACAGCCACGAGTTGTCGCCGGAAGCGCGCATTAAAGACAATAATGCGTGAACATGGAGGGCGGGACGCGATAGCGACGCTGTGGGCCGGATCGGCAGCTCACTGGCTGTGTGGGTGGTGAGGGGCGCGCGCTGGCGGAGGGGTGGGTGCGCTGAGCCGATTGCTAAGCAGCCTGGAATCACCGGCCCGATGAATGCGGCGGCTGGCTGCCCCTCGCTCGGCTTGCCGATTCGGCCTGGCTGGCCCAAAAAACTCGCACCACCCACGCACCAGCCCTCGTCGGTACGGCTTCCATCTCCATCTTGCATCATCCACAAGCAATTCATCCACGCCTGTCCAGCGTCGCCTGCCTGGCGCGACTCGTCCCACCAACCAAGTCTGGATCAGCGCCATCAACTCGCTGCTGGTCGACGAACAATTCCACCGCACGCTCCCCTGCCGCGCGCCGCCACGTCTTATCGCGGACCGCATTGAGCTTTGGTTCGGCTTGAACCTCGCCTCTCCCCCTCGTCCCCGCCATTTATGAGCAAACGCTCTTGATCTTCGACTTTGCTTCAACGACAAGCGCTTCCATCATGTCGACGTACAACGGCCGGCACGGTGCCAACGTGTCGCACTACCTGCGGGACCTCAACACCATCAACCCCCAGGACACGACAGCCGACGATGGCTTCAACATCGAAGACGACCTCGCTCTCTTCACCAACACACAATTCTTCGACTTTGACTCGGGCCAAAACTTGGACTTCCAGGCCCAACCCGTCAAGCCCGATGTCGAGGCCGCTGCCCAAACCAACTCGAGCCCGTCTGAGGACGTGTCTTCGGCGCCTTCTGTCATGAGCGATATGCCCAACCTTGACTTTATATCAGGTTAGTCGAAATGTTCCTTTCGTCTCGTTTCTCGTTGCCTTTATTCCCGATTCTTGTTGCTTTTGTCATGCTGGTATTTATTACGCTTCCTTCGGTCCTGTCTATCAACTCCAGCCTGTTATTCACTTCGCTGCGGGCGGTCCCGCAACTGCGCCGGCCACTTCATACGCAAGAAGCGGCAAATCAGATGACCCTTTCTCTATCCCCCGCTTCCACAGCACCAACTGCCTGTCCACCACCCGTGGTTTTCTCCAGGGAGTCTTCCATACACATGTCCATCTGTGGGTGTGAAGTGGGGCGGCTGTGACCAGCATGGGGTCGCTGACAAATGGTTGGCGATGGTGCAATATCCCGTGACTTTCTGCAATTCGGATGCTTGGCGCCCGACTGTGCTGGAGAGGCAGCCTGCATCAGCCCCCCCCGGATGTCATTGGTTCTAGCAATTGGCACTTGTTTCCTTGTTCACGCCTGAGAAGGCCCTGCTGTCGATTTCTCCCTCTTAGTGCTTTCCTTCTCTTGACATGGCGCGCTGTTACAATCATGGGCTTCTCCCCGCTAACCACGGCCCTGGATAGGCGACTTCAACTTTCCCGACTTCAACAATGCCTACACAGCCACACCCATCAACTCATTTGCAGATAGTGCCCAGAACTTTCAGCCCCTGCAGCCAAGCAATACCCCCGCACAAGTCACCCAACAGCAGACGCAGTTCTTACAGACCGATCCCCGGCCTGCCGACAAGCGCAAGGCCGATGCCATGTCCGGGCCCGGCCAAGAGGTGGCTTACGAGGAGCCGACGCGCGTGGCCGCCGAGGAGGACAAGCGGAGGCGCAACACGGCCGCCAGCGCCCGCTTCCGGATCAAGAAGAAGCAGCGAGAGCAAGCCCTCGAGAAGTCGGCCAAGGAGATGACGGAGAAGATCAATGGCCTGGAGTCCAAGGTGTCCCAGCTGGAGACGGAGAACAAGTGGCTCAAGAATCTGCTTGTAGAGAAGAACGAGGGCAGCGACGACATCACGGCGCTCTGGAAAGATTTTACAAAGCACGCGAGCGAAAAAAGAAAGGCGGCATCTGCCAAAGCGTCGGGCCCTGCGGCCGCCAAAGAGGACCGGTGATGGGAGTCGCATGAGCGTTTGAAATGGGTGGGCGGCTTCTTGATTCGGGCACAATGGGATGCTCCCGGGGCGTTGTTGTGGAACTGGGCGTTGAGGGTGTTTTTTTGAAAATGGGGGCGAGGCGGTGATGTGCCGGATACACGACCGAGGCCTAGTCGATGGTGTGGCGAGGCTGATGGCAACAATGGGCTCGATCCATGGTGACCATGTATGATGATGCAATATTGAGAATACGTAGCAGCCGCGTGAAACAGGTTTCTTGCAATATACCATGGCGTTTTCACCTTGGGTCGCTTGCTGGGACTGGGCTCATTGTCGCGGGAACTGTCGGAGGGCGGGCCCCAGTCGTCTTGACGGTGAAGAAGCGTTTTGGTCGTCGTAGTAGCTGCTTGGTCCCAGGCCGAGGACGAGTGAGACGGCGCGGGGAGGCCTGGCGAGGGCGGTGGCATGGCGCCCGCCAGGAGCCGCGTCGACGTCTTGTCTTGCGAGGGTGGGAGCTGGAGTCGAGGCGGCGGAGACGGGACTGCTCCGACAAAGCATGTAAATGGGATTGAAGTGCCCTGGCTGTCAACTGGCAGACGGTGAGGGAAGAACGGGATGCGTACAGTAGGCGACGGCGGGCAAACGAGGGTGTAGTAGGTTGACCAGTCCGGCCACCGTCGCGATACTTGGATGGGCTGTTACGCCGAAAAGCCACCAGTCATGGTAGGGAGGGAGCTGGGGGACACGAAAGCTTGCGATGGCTGCGATGGAAGAAGGCATGGAGGACGCGAGAAAATACGGCTGCACCTCTCGAGTGGCTTCTCGAGTGGCTGCCGCCTTTCCGTTTGCCTGACGTGGACCTGCAGCGTCACTATACTGTGTAGCATGAGCCCCTGCAGTTGTCACTTCAGCACACGCCCGTATATCGACAATCGGGTAATTAGTGACCCGCTCGAGCTTGGATGGCGATGACGCGCAGCAGGGGGAGGGGTTTTTTCCTCCTTGTCTTTTTTCCCCTCCCTGTCTTGCTTTCTTTCTTTCTTTCTTTCTTTCTTTGGGGGGGAGGGGGACGGGGGGGGTAGCATGTCTCGGATGTCGCTTGCTCAACGGCCCCCAAGGACGGAACGCCGGCGATGGGCGGCTGCGGACACGTCGTTGGCTCGGCTGGGCCTCGAGACGGACAGCATATGGAGCATGCCCTCTGGGATTGCTGTCTGTTTTGGGGAAACACAGGGCAACAACAGTCGTGTCATGGCCGTTGACGAGACGGATAGTAGATTGGGGGGTTGCACCTCGGCAGATGCCAAGAGTCGACACGGTTTGTTCCCCTTTCCCACGGCTTTGATGCATGTCGAGATGCAACATTCATCAGGGTGCATTTCGTAGATACAATCCGTACTGTACAGAGTAGTCGTGAGACACCCGATCCAAGTCTCAGCCGTGCCGCTTCTTCCGACCCGGCGTCTCACGCAGGGGGCTCTTGAGAGACAGGATGACGACTGGCAGGACGCAGGTATCCGTACTGGCGCAGTTGAAGGCCGCAGAAACGGCCAAACCTTACAGGCACTGTAGAGGCTCCACGACTAGCAGCAAGCTCTCGGGGCCAATCAGCGTGCTGCCCCTGTATCCGTCGTTGCCTACCTCTCTCTCTGAGTGCCGACAGGGGTGAGAGTGTCAGCTCCTTCGTACAAGCAACAAGAGGGATTTTTTTTTAAAAAGGATTGACCTTGAATTGTCCTCCGGGACACGAGAGGCACCACCTGCATACCTTGCTCCCGACGTCGACCTGCGGCGAGCAAACAAAAAGACAAGCCACTTCCAGAGGCCTACCACACTTATCCATCACGGCCCAACCGTCATCGTCCTGCCAGCCTGCTCAGTCTCCTCTGCTTCTTCTTCTTCTTCTTCTTCTCTCCACCACATCGGCACGTCTTTGGCCTCTATACCTACTCGTCCTCTGCAAGGCCCGCTCTGCCGCCCTTGCTCTCTTGCTCCTGACCCATCGATTGCGTGTGTGCGCAACAAGAAAGGCACCATGTTCGGCGGACGCAAGTTCTCCATCAACCGCCATACCGGCGTGCCCAAGCCCCTCTTGCGGCGCTTCAGCAACGTCGAGTCGTCGATGAACGGTCAGTCCAATGCACGTTTGCCGAGTCCACTGCCGCTGCAACGCGGCACTGGGATCGACCCCTCCAACACCACGGCGGCGTCATCACCACCCAATTTGCTTGCCCCTCCCCCGCACTTGAGGAAAAACCGCGCAAAACCCAGGCTCGCCGATTGCGGCTGACCCGCGCGTCTGCCTCCAGAGATCCAGTCCAAGGTCCATCGCCAGTTCCGAAATGCCCACGAGGGCCACATGCCCCACGCCGGCCTCGACGCCAGCCGCTCGTCGACGGGCGTCGTCTGGTGCACCGAGCGCGCCTCCGAGTTTGGCTTCTCCGAGGAGCCCGACGCCTGGGCAAACCTCGGCCAGGGCGCCCCCGAGGTCGAGGACGACATTGCCGGCTGCTTCAAGCGGCCCGAGACCATCTCCATCTCGGTCAATGCCCGCGAGTACGGCCCGACGGCCGGCATCCGGCCCCTGCGCGAGGCCGTGGCCAAGCTCTACAACGAGATGCACCGCGAGGGCAAGGACAGCCTCTACACGTGGGAGAACGTGGCCATTGTCCCCGGCGGCCGCGCGGGCCTCATCCGCATTGCCGCTGTCCTGGGCAGCGCCTACCTGAGCTTCTTCCTGCCCGACTACACGGCCTACAACGAGATGCTGAGTCTCTTCAAGAACGTGCGTGCCCCTTGCGTCTCGGGAACGACGAGCTGACACGCCCGCCTCCAGTTTGCCGCCATCCCAGTGCCCCTGTCGGAGGAGGACGGCTATCACATCCACCCCGACAAGATTGCCGAGGAAATCGCCCGCGGCACGTCGGTCATCCTGACGTCGAACCCCCGCAACCCGACGGGCCGCGTCGTCGCCAACCCCGAGCTGGCCGAGATCCAGGACATCTGCCGCGGCCGCGCCACCTTTATCAGCGACGAGTTCTACTCGGGCTACAACTACACGAGCGACTGCGACGGCACCACCATCTCGGCCGCCGCCAACGTCGAGGACGTCGACGAGGACGACGTCTTGATCATTGACGGCCTGACCAAGCGCTTCAGGCTGCCCGGCTGGCGCATCGCCTGGATCCTGGGCCCCAAGGAATACATCAGCGCGTGCGTAGACGAGACGTGTGTGCTTGCGCGCAGTGCGGCTAACAGGCTCGCAGGATCGGGTCGTGCGGGAGCTACCTCGACGGCGGTGCCTGCCACGCCTTCCAAGAAGCCGCCATTCCCATGCTGGAGCCAACGCTGGTGCAAAACGAAATGGTGCACCTGCAGCGTCACTTTCGGGTTCGTCAATGGCCCGCGCTCGCCGTGAGCGACCCGCAGCTGACGGACTCGACACAGGACAAGCGCGATTTCGTGGTGAAGCGGCTGCGAGAGATGGGCTTCGCCATCAAATACGTGCCCGACTCTACCTTTTACCTGTACGTTGGTCGGCTCGACGCTGCGAACGGTGCGGATGCTAATGCCGGGCATGCTAGCTGGCTCAACCTCGAGGGCCTGCCCGAGACCATTTCCGACGGGCTCAACTTCTTCCAGGCCTGCCTGGAGGAAAAGGTGATTGTGGTGCCGGGCATCTTCTTCGACCTCAACCCGTCTCGCCGGCGCGATCTGTTTGACAGCCCGTGCCACCACTTTGTGCGCTTCTCGTACGGGCCGCGCATGGACGTGCTGCGCATGGGGCTGGACGGCATCGAGCGCGTCGTCAACAAGTACGTGGCGATGCAGGCGCTGTTGGGATGGTGGGCTGACTGGACGAATCTAGGCACCGAAAGACGGAGTAGAGGGCATCGAGGCAGACGGCGGCGATGGCTGTGTGGGTGTCGGGTCCGAGACGGAAAGGGGTGCTCGCGTCTCTGGGCAGACGGAGAGAAGAAAAGTCGGTTCAGGGCATTTGCCCGTGACTGCGTTGCAAACAGGTTGTTAGGCGACGTGCATGCATCCAACGGCGGTCCGATGGCTGTGGTGAAGCGGCCCTCTGCAGCCGCCGTGTTGGGCGAGATACGGGATGAATGCGCCTTTCGTTCAGCTGCGTGGTTGAGAGACGTGGAAGACGAAGTGATTGTCTCCTGGCTGCACATGCTGCGCACGGCCGTTGGAATGCACTGGTCTCTCTCCTCTGCTCGGCCACGTGTCTGCCATCCTTTCCTGCGCCGGGTCACGTCTGCCTCGCGCCCCACGCTGGGGGACGAGCGAGGGTCTTCTGGCCGTGTGCCGCGTCTGCGTCGCCCGCGGCACGGCGCGTGTCGAGAACGGCGGCAGGACAGGCGTGCCCGGGTCTCGGGGGCGTGCTGATGCTGCTTGCTCCCGCGCGGCTCTTGGTGGTTCGGCGTATATCATATATAGATGGGGAGGCGGTTGTCGAGCCGCAGCGGCCGGCTGCTTTCCTCACGCGGGTTTTCAAACCGCAAGGCAAAAGCATCTCGTCCTCCCCCCGAGCGTGCGCGCGTTGCCGGTTGATGCTCGATACATCTCCATGTCCAGCCTGTCCGGCAGCCCCCCCGCCGCGGCGCCGCCCCACAGCGGCAGCGGCGGCCCGCACCTCGAGCTCTTCGACACGGCGGCGCCGATGGACGACTCGGCCGACATGGCCGGGCCGCACCGGATCTACGCGCTGCGGCGCATCGTGGCCAGCACGCCGCCGTGCCCGTGCAACGGCGTCGACGTCTACTTCGTCAACCACACCGAGCCGCCGGCCCTGCGCCGCGCCCACCCGCGCCCCCCGGCCGGGCCAGCGGCCCCGCCCACCGCCCCCGGGACCCGCCGCGCCGTTCGACGAGGCCGTGCTGCGCGCCCCCGCCGCGCTGGGGAGCGCCGCCACGCCGCTGTGCGCCCGCGTCCGGCACATCGCCGACGCCCGCCGGCCCGTCGCCGTCACCGCCGACGCCCTCGCCGCCATTCACGACCCGGGCTGCCGCCACCCGTGCCACCCGTGCCACCGCGACCTCGTCGCCGGCTGCTATTTCCGCCACCGCCTGCTCCCGCCCCTCTGCCTCGACATCGTCCTGCATGGCCTCCGCGTCGCCTGGCATCGGCGCCGCCGCCCTGACCGAGGCTCGCCACGGCGGGGGTCGCCTGTAGGAGGCTCCGTTGCCTCGGCCACTGACCCCTTGACATGACCAGTCAGCCCGGGTACAGACCTATACTCCTACAGTGCGAGCGGTATAGACCTATAGTTAGAGTAGGACAAGCAGTCACCACGCCTTGCACGTCTCATCAACGTTGTGAAATACGAATGTGAATTAGCCCCGCGACTCTCTGCCCCGTGTCTCTCATTACCAGTCTCCCTTGGCCTCCCGACGTGCACGTCATCTCCTCCTTCCTCCGCCGCGTGAGTCTGCGACGCCGCCCGTGCTAAGAATTAGGCGCCCCTCGAGCCCCTTCTCTCGACCACTGGCTGCCATGGCCTCAAGGCCCCAAGCAAAATCAAAAGGTGAAAAAGAAAGGAATTCAAAGCGAGCAGCTCTCCGCCGCCGCCGTCGACCCCGGTAATGCAGCCGGCTGATACCCGCGCCACCCAGCGTCCACCGCTTGCCCGTCGTTGATTCCTGAATAACCAGGAGTAAGAGAGAAAGAAGAACCATTCTTGTTCCACCATCCAAGGGAATGTAGAAAGGGAAGCCGGAGGAATGATATACCCACGACCCATCAGGAAAGGGTGGGGGAATATAAAGAGAAGAAGGGAACAGAGCAAAGGAAAAAAGGGGCGTATCGGGAGACCGTCAACCTTGGACAGCGCCTTGAGCCGCCCTCACTGCATGCAAAGCACGTCGGCCAGCGAGACCGAGTGCGCCGAGATGTTGCCCCCCGTGTCGTTGCGGCAGGTAATGGCCGGCGTCGTGACAAAGGCCACGCGCCAGTGCTTGGCCTGTAGGTCAGCCGGGTCCATGCGAGGCCAGATGGGCAGCATCGACTGCGACGAGAAGCGCGCGCCAATCTCGGGGAAGCGAAAGTCAAACGTCAGCCGCGAGCTGAGTGTGAAAGGCCTCTAGTGAGTTGATACAACTAACTAGTCCCTATGCTGTTTACTATCAAGATAGAGAAGAAAGAAAGAAAGAAAGAGAATCTACTACATGAGAGCACAATAGCATTTTATAGCTTCGAGCCAATGGAAGGTTCTAGAAGCTAGGCGGCGCAGCCGCCGTTAAAGCAACTTGCCCGTTACATTACCTCCCTCCCTTCCAACGTTTCCTCTTCCGGGGGGTCGTGGCAATCTGTGGCAAGATGACTTGAGAAGGTGACACTCCTTTTATGCTTCTTCCATTGCTTCCATGCATCGGTGTGTCGAATAGTAGTAAGGGGTTCCCACGTAGGCTGCGAGTAATCATGCCATTTTACGAGCACCTTCTTATGCGTACCTTCCATTCTTTCATCCAGAATTCTTTCAACAAGGTACATCTTTTCGCCGTCCACCAGCACCGGTGGGGCACTCTCTTGATCGAGTTTCTGCGAAGGCAATGGGTCTCCGGGGACTGGCCGGAGTAGGTCGACGTGAAAGACTGGATGGATGCGCCCAGGCACATCCAACCTGTAGGCATGTGGGCTAACTTCCGCGAGCACTTGATATTTGGCATGTAGCCAATCGAGCTTCTTGCAGGGTCGCGATGTTTTGACATTTCTCAAGTTGAGGTATACCCAATCCCCAGGCTCGTATCTCGGTGCGGCTGTCCTGTGCTTGTTGGCTTGCGCTTGCTGTATTTCCTGGGCCATAGCTATCGCTGCTTGCGCAAACTCCGTGGCGTCCTGTAGTCTCTGAATAAAATCCTCCGCTGTCGCTTCCCCCTGCGTCGTGTCTTCCGTTCTTCGATGCTCAACTAATTGGATTGGCTCGTTGTGGTAGCCGTGCATGAAGAAGAACGGACTCAGTCCGGTGGAGGTTGCTTCCTCTCGTTAATAGTCGCCATCGCGATTGGAAGCAAGTCTAACCAGTTCTCCTGCAGATAATTCGTCCATATCCGAAGAATCCTCTCTACCTCTTGGTTCATTCGTTCTGTTGCACCGTCGGTTTGTGGATGGTACGCCGTCGACAACCGCTGCTCGATCCCTAGCATCTGACAGAAACTTTTCCACATACCACTGACAAACTGGGGACCCCGATCACTGGTTATAGCCGTTGGGATGCCATGGACAGGGTAGTGTCGTTCGAAGAGTCTTCTTGCAACCGCTTCTGTGGAAATATCGTTCAATCCTTCGAGTTCGACGCCTTTGGTGAGTCGGTCCGTGACCACCATGCAGTTCGTCGCGCCATCTTTCCCCGACGGTGGGAGGTCAGTAATAAAGTCAATGGTAATTTCGCTCCATATGCGTTGCGGAATAGGGAGCGGCTTTAGGAGTCCTTTCTTTGTATCCCTCCAGATGGTGTTTCGTCCGCAAACCTCGCAGTTGCGCACAAACCGACGTACATCGCTAGCGGCACCCGGCCAGAAGAAGCGTCTCGACAGAGTCGAGTACGTGAGGTCCCTTCCAGGATGTCCGGTGATATGAGAGTCGTGAGTTTCCTGGATGATCTTTGTACGTAGCGGCTCCGAACCGGGTATCCAGACGCGTTCTCTAAAGCACAGCAGGCCTCTATTGTCTAATGAGCATTCTGAAATGCTGACAACCTTCTCCTTCTGTAAGTCTGTTGGCACACTCTTCGCTCCATCTGCTACCAGCTTCGTGAGTTCTTGATAAAGCTTGTCTTCTTGCCGTGCGGCGTGCCACAGCTGCTGTAACTCCTCATCTTCAAATATCCTGATCTCTTTTCCGAAGTTGATTTCCTGGGCACCCTCGGTGTTGGTAGACAATGTCGATATTGGGACCCTTCTAAGGTGATCATTTTGGAATAGCCTCATAATGCGTCCCTTTAGTCGTTCATCGGAGTAGTTGGCCGGCATATCCTGGTCCCGTCGAGAGAGTGCGTCAGGCAATCCGCCCTTGCGGCCCGGCCTCCATTCGAGCTCGAATTGGAACCTGGACAGGAACTCCGACCACCGCACTTGTCTCTCTGTCAACCTCCTTTCCGAGTAGAAGTACCTCAGGTTCTTGTGGTCCGTTAGGATCTTGAAGTGCTCTACTGCCCGTAGCTCTGGTTCCCACTGCTCCAAACATCTGAGAATGGCGAGTAGCTCCTTGTCATGGATAGCGTAGTTCGCTTCGGCTGCCGAATGTTTCTTCGAGAAGTATGCGACAGGTCGTACCAGTCCATCCTTATCATCTCTCTGCAAGAGCACGCCTCCCGACGCGAATCCTGAAGCGTCTGCTTCCACGATAGTCTCCCTTTCTGGATGGAAGTGTGCAGGATCGGGGCCGTGATCAACAAGTCCTTGAGCTTCTCGAAGGCTTCTTCGCACAATTCATCCCAACGGAATGGCACGTCCTTCTTCGTTAGCCGCGTTAGCGCTCCGCTATCACCGAGAACTCTGGCATAAACATCCTGTAGAAGTTCGCGAATCCAATAAAACTCCTCACGGACTTAACATTCGTCGGGGTTGCCCATTCCTTCACAGCCTCAACCTTCTCAGGGTCGACTCGGATCCCACACTCCGCCTCGATGATAAACCCAAGGTATTTCACAGCCTTGACTTCGAATTCACTCTTGTTGATATCCAGTTGCAGCCCGGCGTCCATCAGTCGTTGGAGGACCTTGCCGACCTTGTCGCGGTGGTCTTGCAGGCTTCCAGAGGAGAAGATCAGGACATCGTCGATATATGCTGACACAAAATCGTCTAGGTAATCCTGGAGCGCGCTGTTAATGTACCGCTGAAAGGCTGCTGGTGCGCCTGTCAGGCCGAATGGAACTACCAGCCATTCGAAGGATCCATAGCGCGTTCTGAAAGTTGTCTTTCCTCGTCGCCGGGGCGACCCTGATCTTATGGAACGCTGCTATAACATCTACCTTGGTGAACCACCTTGCCTTGGCTATCGTTCGCAAGGTCTCGCTCAGTAAGGGCAAGGGATAGCGGTCCCTCTTCGTTATATGGTTCAAACCTCTGTAATCCACGCAGAAGCGGATGCCTCCGCCGGGCTTCTTCACCATAAGGACTGGTGCCGCGGCTGGCGAGCTGCTGACTCTAATAAATCCCTTGTCGAGTAGTTCTGTGAGAGTCTTCCGTAGTACCAATAGCTCCTCGCGGGACATGCTGTAAAGCGGTCCCCAGGGTAGGGCTTCTCTCGGCCATGCTCGTCTTTCAGCACTTCGATCTTCAGGTCCACACCTGGCCGATGAGGGGCAGCTGGTCGGCCAGTTGCTGAGAAAGCTCGAGACCACTTGTGGTACTGTGGTGGCAGCTTCTCCATTACGTCAGTCTTCGGTTTCGGTCTTAGGGCCTTGTCAATATCCGCCATCGTGACCGAGTGAACTCCAATGCCGCCTTTGCGTTTGTCACGGCGTGCTTCTGCTAAAAGGTTGCGGCCATGACATTAGAGACATCTAGCTGTGGAGGCTGGTAACGTCGTCGGTCTCGTACTTGAACTCCATTGGACCCGATCTCGAGATATCCTTCCTTCGCATGGATGTGAACATCCTGGTCTTCCATCCATCGTTTACCCAGGATCATATCCCAGTTCAGATCGTCGATGACGTACATGAAAACACGATGCTGCTGATGTCCATCGAGGTCGATCGACACATACGTGATCTTGTCGATTTTGACCTCCTTGCCGTCTCCGCTGCATTCTCCAAGATGCGCGGCTGGACGCGTATATGTGGCAACTGGAGAGAGTGAAATGTGCGCTTGCTAACCGCGCCGTAGCAGAGGCAGCCATAGTCGACAAGAGATGGCACGAAGTCTGTGCCGTTCACCCTGACGTCTGCTATGAACGGTTCTCCGTCCATTTTTGCTTTTCCGCTCACATCCCATTCTCTCACAGCCGCCGCGTGTCCCTAGTCTGAATCTTCATCGTTATGAGAAGAAGTATCGTCTTCGGCGACCTCGGCTTTAGTGACCGCTGGTCGTGACGGGGTCACGGCATTGACCTGAGTGCGTCGGGTCGTGTTTGCGGGTCGGATAGGCGCAGCCAATGGACAGCGCTCGATTCTGCAGTTGTCTCTTCCACAACGGAGGCAACGCCCTTCACGGTAACGGGCGTCCATCTCGGCCTGGTCGACCCACTTGGCACGCTTGCCCAACAGCGCTTGGTCTTCTGGTCGCTTGGATTGGTAACCATATGTGTTCTTATCACTGCGGGTGCGCGCAGCGTTCACTTTCGCGGATGCTTGTAGAGTTGGTTCCCATTCCATCATATCCTCTCGTCTAACTTCGGTTTTCTGGCCAGGCTGTTTCTGGGCAGCCTGGCCTCCATGATTCTGGTGGTTGTCATAGTTGTCCGAACTCTTTGTGTTGCCTCGAGGCCTTTTCCACTGACCCAACAATTCCATCTGGCTGCTCAGCGAATCGCACCTCCTCGCCAGCCCAACATAGCTGCTGATGGCAGAGGGTCAGAGCCTATGAGGGCTGCTTTCATTTTATCGTTTAGTGCCTCCTGGAGGTAGGAAATCTTGCTGTCATCTGGCCAATACTCGGCGTTGGCATTGGCGATCTCCTCTCAAAGCGGGGTAAAGGACGTGAACGGTTCATTCTCTCCTTGCTTAATCGAATGCAGGTTGCGTGTAGCTCTCTGCTTGCGATCCCTCTCCCGTACAGCAATTCGAGGCGGTTGAGTAGTTCAGCAACATTGAACGTTTTCTTCTCGGTTTGCATCTCCACAAATGTGGTCACGTTGTCTTTAGCCTTGCCTTCTAGGCTCATGAAGATGTACATAAAGTGGCCTTCTGCATCTCCAAGGGCTTCTTTGTCGACTCGTAGCTTTCCTTCGGTTTCTAGTTTCCAGCTTCGCCACTGGGCCTTGTCGCCGCCGAATTTCGGTATGTCTCGTAATTTGGGGCGCTTGGTTGGGTGAGGGTTGTGAGTGGCGACCACACGAGTGTCCTCAATGGGGACAGCCGGGGTGACAGATGGCGTTGGCTCTAGGAGTTCAGACGAACGGGCTTGCTGGTGTTGTTGGAGTTCCAGGGCAATAAAACGTTCTTCAAACTGGGTGTTTCTTCGGGAACTCTCTTCTCTCAGACTTCGTATCTCGGCAACCAGGGCGCTGAGGACGTCCGGCTGCATGTTGTTGTTATCTTCGGCCATCGCGACTTCGCTGAACGCTAATAGTTCGACGGGACTCAGTTTGGTGTCTTCAGTGTCTTCGGTGTCTTCGGTGTCTTCAGTGTCTTCGGTGTCTTCAGTGTCTTCAATGTCTTCAGTGATCTTGATAGTATGTGAAAGGCCTCTAGTGAGTTGATACAACTAACTAGTCCCTATGCTGTTTACTATCAAGATAGAGAAGAAAGAAAGAAAGAAAGAGAATCTACTACATGAGAGCACAATAGCATTTTATAGCTTCGAGCCAATGGAAGGTTCTAGAAGCTAGGCGGCGCAGCCGCCGTTAAAGCGGCTTGCCCGTTACACTGAGCATCTTGGACGACAGCTCCCACGCCAGCTCGGCCACGTGCTCGAGGTCGCGATACGCCTCGGCCTGGCTGGCAAACTTGTTGAGCAGCGGCTGCACCGTCGTCTGCAGCATGCGCGCAATGTCGTCGATCTTGTGCTTGTGCCATGCCGTCCCCTGCTCGTTCTTCATGATGTATCCAATGATGGACGCCTGCTGGTTGAGCAGCGGCTGCCGCGCCGCCGAGGGTTGACCTGTTCGCCCACGTGTGTGAGCGTGGGATACATTAGACGCAGTAGGGCAGGGGGGGGGGGCATACCTTGGGTCGCCTCAAAGTCACGCTGCAAGTCAATCAAGTCATATGTCGTCTTGCTGTCCGACCCGGTCCAGGCACCGGGCACCCACACGCGGTTGACAGCGTAGTCGACAATGACACGCGTCACGACACACGCCTTGGAGTTCTCGCTGCGGAGGTGAAAGCCGAGGTACGACGCCGCATCCGACTCGGACAGCGGGTGGTGCATGGCCAGCATGACGGGCCACAGGCTGCCGTGGCTGACTTGCGCCATGTCGTGCTCAGGCTCGCTGGCGTGCCGCGCGACAAAGTGGCGGATGGTGCTGTAAAAGTCCATAATCTGCGCGTTCCACGCCACAATGGCCCGTTCCGTCAGATGGATCGGTGGACCCGTGAAGCTGCCGCGGTTGACCATGGCCGACGACGACGACGGAGGAGGGCCGCCAAACTCCATGGCCCCGGGTGGAGGAGGAACAGGCGTGTCGGCAAAGCGGCCATATCTGTTGCGCCCGGCCGAGGTCGGCGTCGACGGGTAGTATTCGCGTCGGTGACCAAACGAGCTGGCGGGCCGACTGCATTCCTGGGGCGTCCCGAAGCCCGAGTAGAGGTGATACTCGCCGCTGCCGTTGGGCCTGTAGCGCGGGAGCGGCTGGAACCCGCCCTTGCGCGGGGGGTTGCTAAAGGCTGAGCTGCTCATGAAGCCGCCGTTGGCGCCCGTCGAACAGGGGCGGCCTTGGCCGGCCCAGGATCCCTGGAAGCGGCGCTCGTGAGACATGGCAGCTGGGGCTCGGGGCGGCCCGGCCTGGAGCGGCCCAAACTTGGGAGGCGCAGCCGTCGGAGTCCGGGCCATGGACTGAAAGGCCGGGGAGATGCGGACCGGGCCCGAGGCCGCATCGGCGAGCGAGGAGCGACCCATGTCCTCTCTGCTGCCAGCATGGGCCACCAGGGAATCGCCGCCGCCACCACCCTCGACGGGCGTCTTGGCAGCTTCAGGAAGCGTCTTCTGCTGGACAACTTGCTTATCCTCCTGATTGCTCTCAGCAGTCCGAGCCTCGCGCTGCTCGTTGACCCAAGCGGGAGCCGTGCTGAGCATACGCTTGTTCATCTGTCGCAAGTTCTCCGCGAGGCTCTGGGCCCTCTTGTTAGCCTGAGGCGATCCCTGGCGACATGCGGACTCGCCAACCTTGACCAGGTCATCGGGCGAGGTAGTCTCTACTCGCTCCCGGACCATGTCTTCTTTCACTCTTTTGAGCTCCTCGCCCACGGTCTCGAACCTCTGCAAGGCCTGCTTGGCCTGGGCCTCGACCCTCTCACGCTTCTCCCTCTCGGCCTTGACCTCTGCGCGGAGGTCGCTGATGGTCTGAGCCTGGTCATCAGTCCTAGCCTGCGCCAGGTTTGCGTCAATGCTCATTCTCGCAATGGCCTTGTCTGTCTCCTCCTGATCGAGAGTCACATTCATCAGGGCGTCGACAAGCTGGGTCGTCTCCTGGTTGATGATTTGCCCTACTTCCTGCAACTGAGCCACGAGTTCGTTGGCTTCTTGCCCCGAAACGCCAGGCATGCGACGAAGGGCGTGCTGCGCCCTGACCAGAATCTCTTGCGTATGGCGTGATTTTTCAAAAGCAAGCTGTTGGCCAGAAGTCAGCATGAGGGGAAAGGATACTAGGGGAGAACCGTCGGCGGGCTCTAACAACTCACGTGGTTATGGGCCATCTGCTTAATCCTCTCCATGCGAGCAGCTCCGGCAAGTGGAGTCGAAAAATCGACAGACAACATGGCCGAACTTGAGCTCAGGGCCCCTTGCGGGGTGTGAGGATCAGTGAGTGACGGTTCCGCAAAGGAAAGACTCTCTCGAAGCAGCTTGCTGGAAGACCCGGTTCCCGAGTCGGTCATTTTGCTCACGCAAGCCGTGAGAAGACCTGTGCAGGCTAGGCTACGACAGTCAACGGGTGATGCCCGGATTTTGGGTTGAAGTAGGCCTGACCTCTCCTGACTAGAAGCCCCGGTGTACAGTATGTCACCAGCGACGACTCTCTTCTCTCGGATCCGCCTCTGGCTACTGGCCGCGTTCAGTGTCAGTGACTGTCTTTCAAACGATGCGTCGACAGAAGGGTAGAGCGAAGCAAGATGACTTGCGGACGGCACGGCTGGCAAGCAAATAAATGACGAGAAGAAGGATAGAAAAGAAACTCACACAAACTCTCGGTGGCCGACCGCAGTTGATGTCCGCCGCCCGACCTAGAGGTGAATCTGGGGCACGGCCAAGCCGTGAGCAAGTCCTAAATGGCTCAAGGGAGCGAAAAGGAACTGCAGTTCTCAGAAGCGCGAAGAAGGCAAGGCCAAGCACTTGCGTTTGTTGTGAAAACCGCCTGAGAAGATGCTGCCGTCAGCAAGTCTGGCGCAGCCGAGGTCGAAGTCAACGCCTGGGCGGGTCGTGGGAAGAAAATGCGCAAGTTGCAGCGTGGTGAAGAGTTGAAGAGAAGAGAAAGAGGCGTCGTCTTGACCTGGGCAAAGTGATGCCTGAGTGTTGACGAATGTGAGGGTAAGCCTGCGTGGAAACCTGAAAAATAAGGGGGGCACAGGTTTGCCTGGGCAACGGGGGCCAGCCACCTCCCTTATTCACAGCGAAAAGAGCTCACAAGAACTTCCCTAACCGCACAAGGCCGAGGTTACCACCCCGAAAAATCAATAAAAGAGTACACCGAGAAAGTAAATGTAGGATGTATGATGTCAGGGGATAGTCCAAAGATACATAGATTAAGGGGGAAGAGGTTCAACTTCAACGCTTTACTATAGCAGAGAAAAAAAGACACAAGGCGGAGCTCCTTGAAATAAAAGACTGGTCAAGACTCGCTGGAAACCGACAACTCACGGCTGGATGTATGCTGCCGAGGAAATGTCGTCTCGGTCGAGTCGTGCCGAACGCAGCCAAGAGCCTCGAGTTGCTTAAGGCCTCAGGTCAAATCCGGCGCGATTGACGAGTGAGCAAGATTAAATGCACCATGAAAATCACTGGCCAGGTGCATTTGAGAATGGAGGCCAAGGCCCTGGTCGAGCATCAGCCACGCACCCGTGACGATTTGCCGTGGCCACTTGGGGGTGCAACGCCTGGCGAGCACACGTACCAAGCGGAAGAAGATGTGCAAAGGCTCTCGTAGAACAAGGACCTGCACTCGGGTGAATTCCAGGCACTCACCATGTCGCCGTGAATTCCGGCTCCAAGGCTCGCCGTTGTCCGTGCAACCTGTCCCGTCTCGGCACAGCTCGAGGCCAATCTGTGACAGCACTCTTGTGGCAGATCCGACCTCGCCATGGACTGACAAGGGCCCATCTTCACTCACGCTTGAAGCTCATGTTAGTCTTTGATTGCCACGTAGAAGAGCGCAGAAGCCGGGGTTCCAACCTGTAGCGGCAGATATCAACGGCCGACTCGTGCCCGAACCCCGTATCCCCAATAAACAGCCAACGAGCTTGGTACAAGCACATCACTTCGGCTCCCACTCAAGCATGTGCAATTGTGTGTGCATTCGTACAATTATGTCCGCAGAAAGAACATTGATGAACCCTGGAAACAACCCTAGCCTACAGCTCCGTTGCTACCCTGGAAACAAAATCCCTTGCATGACCACTAGCGGACCAATAGAGGACGTCATATCTCCCTGAACGTATTCGTGCAGGCGTCAAGATGGCGAGGCCGTGGCCTAAGCCGCAGCTTGACCGATCGAGTCGCTTGGGCGATGCTGTTTTGAGGCGATGATTTCGACGGGCAGCGCCCCGAGAGACAACCTGAGACAAGAAAACTAGCCATTTAGTACTTCATCATGACGTGGGCGTGAAGCCATTGCATCTGGGAAAAATGTTAAGACTCGGCCACGGACGATGGGTTGTTGGCGGGTGAGAAAGCGGACGAACGAAGAGTGGCACACATGGCAGATGCGAAAAGCAAGCACGAACAGAGCGTCGGGGCGTGCTGATGAGCGCCGCAGAACTTAGCAACCGGTTCAAGCGTCATGGATTGGACCCTACAAACCTGCCGAAAACCTAGATAGAGCCTTCTCAGGCATAGCGCAAGTCAACCAGCATAGTCAAGGTTAGATGGCGCGGGTTCGCGAGAAGAGGCTGCTGTAGACGGCGTCCACAACGGGAGACGCGTTGATCATGCGCCCGCCAAAGTATCTGCCGTTGAGGCCTTTGATGGCATTCTCGCCGCCCTGGACCTTGTCAAACTTGAGGTAGACGTCGCCTTTGGAGTTGGCATCGACGGCAATGTGCACGACATGGCCATACTGCTTCTCGGCTTCCGTTCGAATGTCTTCCTCGAGCTCCTTGACCCAGGCTTCGCCCTCCTCCCTTTACAAAGGTGTCAGCCCTGCGCGTGTGCATGGTCAAGCGACGGGAAGGCATCAACTTACTGCTCGGGGTCAAACATGTTGCGGAGGATGACACAGCGGCTCGCCATGTTGACATTGGCGGGAAGTGGCTTGGCCTCGGCCTTCGCCTTGAAAACCTGTGCGTCAACTTTGCCAGTGGAGGCGTCGTCGGTCCTGGCAAGCTTTCTCATCAACGCATCGCGACTGTAGTTATTGAAGTTCACCCCAGCTACGTCGGAGTCGTCCAACGCGCCCCCTCCGCCATTTCGCTCGTTGTCTCTTCCGGCTCGGTCAAATGCAGAGGAATGGCCTCGACCACCTGCGCCAGAGAAGGCGGAGCCCTGAAAGCTGGCGTTTGGTCCGTGGCCTCGGTTGTTGGCCCCATCGGAGCCGGAGCGATCGTTGCCCAGTCCAACGCGAATAGGACGACCAGCAAGCTCGAAGCCGTTCATCTTCTCCAGTGCGTCTCGGGCCTTGGAAGCTTCCTTGTACCTTGAATTATCAACGTTAGCATGCTGAAGCCGGAGGAGGGAAGAGCACGCGAGTCCTTACTGAACAAAGCCAAAGCCTTTGCTGCGCTTATTCTCGTCCATTTGGAGCTGAGCAAACTCGAGTTCGCCGAAAGGCTCGAATACAGACACGAGGTCAGACTGAGTCACGTTGAAGTGAATGTTGCCGATGTAGAGGCGGTGGAATGGAGCAGAGCTGTTCTGGTCGCCAGACTCCTCCGTCTTGCGGACTTGTCGATTCTTTTCCGCCTCAGTGACTCTAACAATGATCGGAATGCCCTCGAGAGGTCTGCCGGTGAGCTGAAGAGCCTTCTGGACCGACTCCTCGTCTTTGAACTCAACGTAGCCAACACTGGCAGGGTGTTAGCACTGTGATCTAGTAAGCAGGAAGAGTGTTCGGAGACTGACCCCTTGGACCTGCCACTAATGCGGTCCTTGACGATCTGGGCTTCGTTGACGGGCCCGACGTTGTCCTCAAAGAACTTCTTCAACGTCTCGGTGCGGAGACGATTGGCGAGCTGCTGGACGAAGACGGTGTGTCGATCACGTTCATCTTCGTTGCGAGTGGGGGTGCGGTCTCTGTTGGGCCGACCCTGGTCCATGGAGCGACGCTCTCGGCGACGGTCGCGGTCATCACGAGGATGACGGCGGCGAGGAGATCGCGAGCGGGTGCGAGAGCGTCCGCGCCCGCCACGGTAGAAGTCACCGTCCCTGCGGTGGCGGCGGCTGTGGCCACGGCGGTGGTCATGGCTGCCGCGGCGTCCCGTGCCACGGCTACTGTTGCTACCAGTGTCGCTGCGGTGGGTGTCGTCGCGGTGCGAGTCGCTCTGTCGTCCGGAGCGGTGCTCCGCCTGCTTGGCCTGGTGCTGGTCGTTGGCCTGTTTCTCTGTAGCCTCGAGCAAGGCCTCGACATCCAGGCTGGCCATGGTTGCCGGCTCTCCGAGGATATCGTCTGCCTCAGCGCTCTACAGAGAGGTCTACAGTGGGCTAAACGTGCCGAATGTGAGGCTGTGGAGGCTGCAGGGCTTAGCTGATGGCTGGTCGAGCTCTTGGGGATGAGGCTGTTGGGAAAATGGGTCGTTGCGCGATGGGAAACTGGGGAAGCCTGAGTTGCTCCGAAATGGTTGGAGGACGGAGTTTGGGTGACGGCGGGCCCGCCAAAAGTGGGCTTTCTTTGGGCTTGTGCGCCAGTTGGCACGTCACGTGGGGCACGGCCGCCAGCTGTCGGGCTACGCGTCCCGTTCACATTCAGTAGCGCGACCGCGTTATGGGTGAGACGTGAATTGGCGCAAGAAAGGGTTTCAAAATTAACAGTATCTCATCCCCGCAACTAATGTACAATGAGAGACAAGCCTGCCAGTCTGCCGAGCTCTCAAACGTCGGCGTTGCATCCTTTTTTTAGAACAGGAACACTGCCCGCTACTGATGATCCAAGAGTGAGGTGTGCCGGCATCGAGTGACATGCTCGTTGTCAACACGCCATCCTAGACGTGGCCAGATTATATAGAGACCCAAACTCCGTGCTGTACCAAATCATCAACATGAAGTGTAGAGGCGCAAGAACTGAAGAAAGCAATACTCGGCTCGGTATGCTGCGACCCTGCCTTCACCCAGACCAAGTCAAGTAGTCTTGATGAGGGGCTGCAGCTCTGTGCCAAAAATCTTGTCCCAGAACTTGCTAGTGACGCCGAAACCAAGCTCGTAGTCGAGGAAGTGATGCTGGAGATGGTACTTCTTCAGCTGTTTGTACCACAGGGGAAGGTTCTCGTGGTGTAGGAAGTAGTGAGTCAAGTCGTAGCAGATGTAGCCAAAGATGCCACCGCAAAAGACAGCCGTCGCCGCGTGCCAGCTGAAGTAGAAGACGGCGTGGGCCAGATACCAAAAAGGGGTCGCAAGGATGACGAACATCGTTGGCGGCATAACCAGGCGGTACTTGTCCATAGGAAGGTAGTGGTGGATGCCGTGGAGCAGGAAGTGCGCCGTGATGCCAACTCGATTGTCAGGTAGATAGCTGCATCCAGGGTCAGTTCACGGCCGCGAGTAAGGATGAGGACCAGGGTTCGACGTACTCGTCCAGATGAAAGAGAAAGCGGTGAAGACAGTACTCGACAAAGGTCCACAAGAACAGTCCAAACGCCCAGTAGGAGGCAGTGGCGCTAGGCTTGAGGCCTTGGTGGGCAAGGTAGATGCCGTACGCGACGCAGGGCAGCCACAAACTGGGGACCGCCCACCACGGCGTCTTGCTGAGCGGCTCCAAGAAGTTGCCAAACAGGGGCGCCGAGACGCCTCCCCTGTAGTGTCGGGGGCGGTGTACTTGGTCCAGGTAGAAGTCCTTGCTAAATCCCCCATTCCAAATTTGGGGGAAGAGGGGCCGGCCGAGGTCTAGGAACTTGTGCTTCTTGTAGTCCTGGCTATAGTCCGTCTCCTTGCTCAAGTCCTCTTCGCACGACATGCCGGTGCGAGGATGAGTAGGGACCGAGTCGGGCCCCATCTTTGCGGACCCGTTGACGAAGCCGGTGGCGTCGCCGTTCAGATGGATTGAGGACCCGTTGGTGGCGACAGCCTTAACGGGAGCCACAAAGCCGACCAGGGAGTCGTCGAGAACCTCGTACGCCGCCTCGGAATGGGGGTGCGAGGCGACGTCCTTGAGGATATCCTCGACATCTTTGCCGGCGTATTCGAGGATAAGGTCACTGCCACCGGGATGGTCTTGCACAAAATCGGTGACATCGTACACCTTTGTGCCGATGGTGACATAGCACGATGCAGAAGAGTCGTGCGACGCGACCTCGGCTCGAGTAAATGTCGGCAGCGTCCTGGAAGGCATCGTGGTGGCGGTCATAAGATGGGGTAGAAATCGGTTCGATACCGGCGTGTAAGGGGTTCCCGAAGTCGGTCCCGGCAAAGCGGAGGGTAAGGTTGAGGGCACGGCAGCGGCCGGCTAGATGAAACTGGAACAAAGTGTTGAGGGAATCATAGGGTCGAGGGTGTGTCGAGGGGACGGGGTCGAGGGCCTCTTGTGGTTTTTATTGGGGGGAGGCAAAACAGGGAGAGGGCACTGTACGGAGTACCTACTAGCAGTAGGGTGGTTCGAGTGCTTGGTCGGAAGCCGAAGGGACGGAGTGGGCTCACCTCAGTTCCTGACCAGCCCACTGGGCTTTCTCCACTCCGGGTCATTCATCCACGTGAACCGCGTGTTATTTGTTTAGTAAGCATGTGCAATCAAATCGAAATGAAATGAAATGGTGCTGACTCCCCTATCGATACCCTTAGGCCGCCGTGGGGCTTAAGGTGTTATGCATTAATGTATTGAAATGTCAGTAGCTTTTACGTCTAGGCCCTATAGGAGAAATCCTCCGGGTGAAATACACATACATACCCTTAGGCCGTGGGTAAATCTCTCCGTGGCGCCGTTGGCGGAACTCTAGGTTGACGCCGCCACCCGGGCCAGGCCGAAGCTTCAATCCGCTGAGCCCGCTGGACTTGTAGAGCTGGTCCGTCACTGTGCGTCCAGGTAGCTAGCTACCCTATCGTACCACCTTAGGTGCTGCGTACCTTGAGTAGGTAACCCTTCCCTGCATTTTTACTTTCTTGGCACGCAAGTGTTAAGGAAGTAGCCTATCCATACAGCTTTTCGCTTAACAGTGCTCTTGAAAATTCCGCAACAGCGCCGCGCAAAGCGCCGGCAGCGGCCATGGCACCAGCCTCAGGTTCGCGCGCCGCCCTGTGCTGTCGACATACAATCGCCACCTGATCTAGCAGCCCGTGCATCTCAGCACCTACTGTCCTCTCCGGCGGAGGCTCGCCCAAATGTCTCAACCCTGGCGGCTCAGCAGCTCCTCGACCGACGTCTCCCAGCGACACGCCCAACGCTGCCGTCGCGGAAGGAACGCAGCCGGAAATAATCCCGAATGGCCCTGGTTCGACCGGGTCCACGGAAAATGCACCTGTCTCCATCATCGAAGCGGCTACAAAGATCGCTCGCGACCAAACGGCAGCCCATGATGCCAAGCTGGCAGTCTTTCGGGCCTTTAGCGAATCATTCGAACAGACAGCCAAACAATTCACGTCCGGCTCCCACAATAGCATCGCAAAGCAAGTTGCCACCAAGTTTCTGAACCTCTGGACTCAATCGCTCGCCGACCTTGAGGAACCACCGAAACCTACGTACAGCAGCGTTCTCGCATCCGGCAAAACGACACAAGGACAGCTGGCCATTACGGCCTCCGCCCCACCACAGCGAAAACAGCAAACCACCACTCGTCTCCAAGGACGACCGCCCGTGGTCCCACCAAGGAAGACCTGCGTGTCTTTGTCCGACTTGACGCCGATGCTCCGGCCCGAAACCATGAAAGATACGCTATCCGGGCCCACATCGCCGCTAGAGTCGGCATCGACCTACGCCGCATCCCGGCAGCCTTCCCGGTAAACACGGGTTGGGCCATCCTGGCATCGGATGTGGCCACGCGCGAACTACTCGTGCAGCGACAGGCGGATTGGGCCGTAGATCTGGACGCGACGGCCGTAGAGATTAGCCAGAAATGGCATTCGTATGCCGTAGCCGATTGCCCCGTAGGCTCACGGACCTACGCGGCGTTGAGATCAACTTCGATGAGGCGGTCAAAGAAGAAATTGCCTGCCAAACCGGACTGAAGCCCATCAGCATACGGACCTCGCGACACGACTCGGGCGATATGCCTACCAAGACCCTTATTGTATCCTTCCTGGAACCCACGCAGAGACCCTGGCGACTGTTCGGCGCCAGCCGGTTCGCCCGCTATATCGACAAGCCCAGCATTCCTAGCCAATGTGACAAGTGCTGGGATTTCCACGCTCGACACAGCTGCGATCGAACGGCGCGCTGCAGGCGTTGTGGCAAAACCGGCCATCGTAGCCAAGAATGCACCGCCCTCGAGCAGTGTGCAAACTGCCTTGGACCCCATTGCGCGGATGACCCCAAATGCCCTGCCCGCCCCAAGCGCGTTCACGGCATGGTCCGGCGCCTGACGAAGGAGGAGAAGAGCCTGGTACGGCAGATGGGAGTTCAGCTCTCTGCGCAGCAGAAGCGGCAGACTCAAAGGCCAGAGTGTCCGACCAGTCTGATCAGAGCCCTGGCAGGCCGCAGATACTTTCCTTGGAGTCAACGGCGCCGCGGGCAGCTGGAGGAGATGGAAGCTCCGACATGGGCGCCATTTACGAGCCAGCCGCGCCGTCAACCCCATGCATCGTTGTGGCCACAACGCCGCCGCATGTAAGGGACGGCGACCAGTTCCTCCCTGTCGTCCCATCGAAGAAACGACGCACTAGTCCTGTGACGCTACCCTAATGCCTCGCTGTTTTCCACGCAATCGAAGCGATAGGAGGATCTTGCGAATCTTCCAAGCCAACGTAGGCAAGATTCCGCCGGCACACGATTGTGCCCTTGCGTTGGCCGACTCGGAACAATACGACATTATTTTGTTGCAGGAGCCATGGACAGGACTGAAAGATGGCCGATGCCTCACTAAGACGCATCAGGCCTACGACACCTTCTCACCCGTCAACGACTGGGACGGCCGCGACACTCGCCCGAGAGTCATGACATACGTCCGGCGTTCCGCAGGTCTCGTCGCTGATCAAAAGAGACCTGCGGCGACTCGTGACATCCTTTGGCTCACCGTCAACGGCATAACAGTCGTCAACTTCTATCGGCAGCCGTACCACGACGGAGCCCTTGAAATCTTGCTTCAGTGGACCGTACCGGACAAGTGTCTTGTTGCTGGTGATTTCAATGCCAAACATCCCAGCTGGCAGGCCGGTCGACGAGAGGACCGCGGCGAAGAAATAGCGTTTTGGGCAATGGACAATCGACTCGGCTTACTGAATCCTGTCGATGTCCCGACCAACGCACACGGCAATACGGTTGATCTCGCCTTCTGCAACATACCTCTGGCCGACGCTGTTGTCGAGGATCATCTAGCAACCGGCTCCGATCATTTTACCCTTAGTATCACGCTGCCAGGACAAGTTCTGGCACCCCTTCCAATAGGAAAGATCCATCTCAACTCCGACGAGGAATTGAAGCGATTCATTGAATTAGTGGAGGCCGGTGCCGCCTTCATCCCGATCACCACGGCATCTCCTTCCGAGCTCGACAGCTTTGCGTCGGCGCTCGTGAACCTTCTTGGTTGTGCAGCCAGAGCTGCCGGTCGACCTGCCCGTAAGACTACGCATGGTGCGCGGTGGTGGACTGAAGAATGCGCAAAGGCGGCGGCCAATTACCGCGCGTGGAGGAGAGTTCACTCTCTCGGCTTCGACCGAGAAGTACAGCTAGCCAAGAGGAGCTCCATAGCGTGGTGCGCCGGGCCAAGCGCCTTTACTGGCGTAACTTGATTGACAGCTTCACCGATAGCGCCTCCGTCTTCAGGGCGGTCCGCTGGCTGAAGTCTCCAGGTCCGTTTCAAGCTCCTCCCCTGCAAATTGACGACCGAGTGTATGAGACGCAGCTGGAAAGGCCCCCGCCTTGCGACAAGCCACTCTGGAACGGCGCACGGCGAACGACGACATCCCAGATCCGTGGATCTCCGTGAACACAGATAGGACGATACCCTTCACCGACCGAGTCTCCGGAGGAGACCCGCGACGCCACGCTACGCACCGGGAATACGTCCCTGGTCCCGACAATATTACGGTGCGGATGCTCCGCGCTGTCTGGCATGCGATCGGAAGTCTCGTCCACCAGCTATATCAAGGCTGCCTCAGGATTGGCCACCATCCGAAGCCCTTCCGAGAAGCAGAAGTGGTCATGATTGCCAAGCCGGGGCGCAGGGATCTCTACACCCCGCGCTTGGCGCCCCATCTCCTTTTGTCCTGTCTCGGCAAGGGCCTCGAGCGGCTCATCGCACGGCGTCAGCGTGGGCCTCGGTCCATTTCGGCGTACTACACCCACAACAAGCCGGCGCGCTCCGAAGAGATCGGCCGTGGATCTCGTTGCTGCCTTGATTCATGACATCGAGGAGGCATTTGCCTGCAAGCAGGTTGCAACATTGGTGACTTTGGACATTCAGGGCGCCTTCGACACAGTCCTCCGCAACAGATTGATCCTTCGCCTACGGGAGCAAGGGTGGCCACCGAACCTCGCGCGATGGGTCGGCTCGTTTATGCAAGACAGGTCGGCACGCATCCGCTATCAAGATATCGCAACGAATTCATCGCCTCCAGTGCGGGCTGCCACAGGATCGCCAGTCTCGCCGATCCTCTTCCTACTGTATACGGAACCAATCTACCGCTTGGGCAGCTCAAAAGGGCGTTTCGGCTATGCGGACGACACTGCCATCCTTTGCGTCGGCGATAGCCTGGATGAGACGTCCGCCGAAGCATCTCATCATGTGCGTGAGCTTGTATCGTGGGGCGCCGCCAACGGGATCTCCTTCGACCCTGAGAAGACAGAAGTGATGCACTTCTCTCGAACGACGCCCAAGACGGCGCCGCCAGTGCTCCATGGCGAATTTGAGAAACGGCCGGGCCGGGCGATGCGTTGGCTCGGCGTCTGGCTCGACAGCACTCTGTCTTTCAAGACTCATGTCGAGAAATGGACGGCCAAAGCGCAAGCAGTCGCCTTCCATCTCAGGAGACTGACAAACACCAGGCATGGTCCTCTACCGAGCGCTGTGCGACGAGCGGTCTGCGCTTGCGTCATTCCAGTGCTGCTCTACGCGGCGGAGGTCTGGTATCCTGGTTCTACGCGCCCGCGCTGGACCAAGCCGGGCAAGGAAGGACCGTCCAGGATCGGACACCTCGTAAAGAAGATGAGCAAGGCACTCTACACATCTCTTCGGGCTATCCTGCCAGTGTGGAGAACTACACCAACGAATGTTCTGCACCGGGAGGCAGGGATACCGCCGGTCCCTCTGCTGCTCGAGGCGCGCCGGACTGCATTTGCTGCGCGTCTCAAATCCCTGGACGAAGCTCATCCGCTCGTGAAGCGCACGTCGAGGCCAAAAGCCCCTATACTGAATGAAATGATCAAGCTGAAGTACCAAAAGCAGCCAAAACCCTTCCGGACTAGGCTGCGGCGCTCCGACGAATTGCTACCAAGCTGCCCAAGGCCTGCCTTGCTGCAGCGCGGATTTGTCGAAGAGCAGACTGCGCCTCTGCAGAGTGCATCGAAAAATGAGACGGCGAAGAAATTTCGCGATTGGCTCCAGGCACTATCGCCCCGAACTCTGGTCGTCTATTCCGACGGGTCCCGTTCTACCGAAGGCCACGCCGGATATGGCTATGTTGTTCATCGGGACGGATCCACCGTCTTGCGCGACAAGGGCCGTCTCGGGCCCGCCGAGATTTTCGACGCTGAGGCGAAAGGTGCGTTGGAGGGGTTGAAGGCTGCGGTGAGCCTTCCAGAAACTGACCGCATCTTTGTCTGCCTCGACAACCTCGCGACCGCAACATGCTTACGGGGCACACCGAGCGACTCCTCGCAAGAGGTCTTCCTTGAGTTTCAATCTTTGGCGCGAAAATACGGAGCTGTGGAGGTCCATTGGATCCCCGGCCATGCTGACATCCCAGGCAACGAGGAGGCTGATGCTCTGGCAAAGGCGGGAGCATCACTGCCAGAACCCGCTGATAACGTCCCGACGCTAGCGCACCTGCGAAAGATTGCCCGACAGCAGCCGGAAGAGGCTTTCAAGGCCTGGTGGGAAGCCTCTGCGCCGGAGCGATACAGAGACCTGAGGCTTAAAGCCACAACCAGCTGCCCGTCAGAATTGGCGCTCTCTCGGCCCTGCTTCGTAACTTGCTTGCAGCAAGAACCCACCATGGGGATTTTGCTGACTACCACGAAAGGTTTGGTCACGACAATGCGCGACTGACGTGCTCGTGCGGAAGACGAAAGAGCCAGCACACATCTTTTACTGCAGAAAGGTTGCGCCACGGCATCGTATGCGGCTTGCACCTTGGCCGGCTGCAGCCATCAACCGCGCAATCGGCAAGGACTTTGACAAATTCGTCAGGCTGGCGAAAGCGAGCTTCTTCTTCGGAGGATCTGCCCACGCCACTAGACGGTCATCATTCTCCTCTCTCACCCTACCTTTCCTCTCAATCCTTTCTGTTACCTGCTCCGATCTCGGCGGCGTCAAGGTCTCGCGACCATGCGATCGCCGAGGTCATCAAGGGCTGCAAGGCCCCAGAAGCAAATTGGCTGATCTGACCACGGGACAGCTTTCTCTTCATGCCTGGACGTCCCGCTGACGGGCAACAGGTTTGTCATGAGCGCCGTTGAGCCGATGAAATGCTGGATAGTGGGTGAAGTGTACGATATGTAGCATGTAGACACCTGCTAGCTCAGCACGTCCTGTGCTCCCCTGCGGAGACCTGAGCGACCAAAAGTTGCTGGACGGAAAATACACTAAACTAAACTAAACTAAACTAAAGTACCTTGAGTAGGTACAAGCTTGGTAGATTGGTACCTACCTAATGTATGTATGTACTCCGTACGATTACGGAATACTGGCTGCGTACAGTGCCCCGAGTTAGTCATCGGAACTGGCTTCGCAGCCTAAATTTCCAATCCATAGCTGGTGCCTCTATTGCCGCTGCGCGGACGCTCCGAAGGCTACCTCGTCATCTGGAATCCAAGTCCGGGGTGCGATCTCGTGTGTTATCTACAGGGCCATGAAAGTCACCTGGACCACTGACAAATCAAAGTGAGGTTGGCTCATCAAGGACGGCTCTCTCCGGATGGCCGCATTTGATCATGCACTGTGCCCCTCCTCCCAACATACGCCTTTCGGGATACCTCTCAGCGCCAACGTCGTGGGTAGCAAACTAAAGTGCTCCGTGCGGAAGCGCGCACACTTCTTACTGTATCACGCGGCTTTTGCGGCAACACCACGATTAAACGGAACTTTGCTCTGTGTCGCTGTAGAACTCAGAGCTCCATCCCCTCGTTCCCAGTCATTGACTGTGTGATATTCCGCCTCCCTTCCACTGTCTCGGCGACGCATTTCTCCTCCCCCACCTCTCGGCCGTCTTCCCCGCGACAGGGCTACGTCATGCCATCATTCCCTCGGCCGCCGCGGGGCACTTGGCTCCTCATTTTCGCCACACTCCTGGTCTTGCTGCCAGGCAAGGCTGCCGCTTTCGGTGCAGGAAACATTCCCTCAATCGCACAGGTGGGTGCTGCTAAATTCATCTACAGACTTTGCGAGGTTGCTGATGCGTTGAGCGCCGTAGGTCGAAGGCCTCAACTGGCGCCATGGAGGTGAGCTTGCCTAAGTCCAAAATCAACCGTGAACAACTTTCTGACGTCTTGCAGACATCGAGGACATGCTCGCGGGCCTTGCTTTCCTGCATGGAAAAAAATGGACATCTATGCTCATCAAGAGAACCTACTTTGGCAATTGGTTGCGCGATTACTCGCAAGCTGTCGACGTCGGTAGCTTGAAGGGCGTCAATGCCGCCACCATTCGCATCCTGGTCAGCAGCCCCAGCCCAAGACCCCGGGCGGCCCACCACTAACCACTCTCAAGGTCTGGGTCCTCTCCTTCATGTCCTTTGGATATGCCACCGAGGAGTTTGAGGTCACCGAGGAGCGCCTCGGCTGCTACCGCCCGGAAGAGCACATCGACAACCCCAAGGGCTACGCCGACGGCCTCGATGCCCGCAAGTTTGACCCCCGCCTGCGCGGTCCAGTTGATCCCGCAGAAATCGAGATAGATCCCAGGACCGGCATGAAGAACTATATCGCCAACGAGACGGGACGGTGGGCGACCAGCGCCGGCTATCTGAGGTACAGCTTCGCCCGAAGCATCCACTTCGGCCGACTTTACACGAGCGGTGCCGAGGGTAGAGGCACGGACGAGACTCTATGCGAGGCGCTCCGGTGCCTGGGACAGGCTTTGCATTGCATGGAGGATTTCGGTGCCCACAGCAACTACTGCGAGCTGGCCCTCCGTGAACTTGGATACCACAATGTCTTTCCCCATTGCGGGACGCAGGCCGAGGTCAACATTCACGGCAGGAGACTTTACCCCATTGTTACCGGCACATTCGGCGCCGTCGACTTCTTGCACTCCGTCATTGGCGAGGCCAACGATCACTTCACTCAGTCCGAGGTGGACGAGGTCGATATTGCGCTCAAGAACGCAGAGGCCTCCAAAAGTGGCGGCGGCAGCGGATCCAGTTCGAGGGGTCTTTTCGATGGGTCCGGCTCGACCGACTTCATTTCTCTGCTCTCCAAACTGCCAGATGTGGGCGACGGCTTCGCAGATCAGGCCCGCAGCCTCAAGGCCGAGGCCGAGGCAAAGGAGCGGGAAAACGAATCTCGCAGTCGGGCTGGAGAAAATGCCAACGTGGTCCCCGGCATGAGCCCTAACTTCGACCCTGTCAAGGTTGCCGGCCAGATCTACCCCATTCTCCAATTCCGAGACAAGATCGTCAAGGCCATCAGCCGCGGCATCGCCAAAATACCTGGCCTCGAGAAGCTCATTGAGCACATTAGCGAGACGTTGACGGCATTCGTCCTCGGCCTCCTTGCCCCCTTTATTCGACCAATCATCAACCAAGTCTCCAAGGTTTTGAAGGATGGGTCCTCCGGGGTCATCAGCGCCAGCTCCAACTCCCAACTCGAGCCATGGGAGAGCCCTCGCTGTGATGATCCGACTCATTCGATGCTGTCAAAGGACCACTTTACAAATATCCTCAACTCTTGTGCTGGGCGAGTCGCGACCACGATTCTCCAATATACCGTACCGTGAGTTACTCCGCCTCCTATTCTGTCCCTCCCCGCTTCCTTAATTTTTCGGGGTTTGAAAAACCACGCCTCTAACGGCTTCAAGGCGTGTCCTCTTTGCGTGGGAGAACACCAATGTTCCCGTGGACGAGGTCGTCAATGATGTCATCCGGGCATTTCACCACCCTGCCCTCCGCAACGATAGCATTGAGATTCAGAAAGACATGTTCAGGACCGTCAAGTCATGGGCAGACGAGCATCCACGCCGCCACCAGCTCGACCAACTGCTGTCTTCCGAGTCGGTGAAGAAGGGCAAGAACCACGTCTTGGGCCAGCAGTCAAAGAGCGTCGGCGATCACTCCCACGGCCCCATGGAGTCCCTTAGTCAACTGGGCCATGGGAAAGTCGCCGGATCTCTCTGGTCCCAGGTTCGCACGCGCGATCTCAACTCGATGGAAGGTCGCGATGGAGACGCATCGGCGAACTACATGTCCAGCTCTCCTGCCCCTCCGTCGAGCCAGGGCGCGCGCTACGAATACGGACAGAACGCGTCATACTACTCGCAGGGCAGCGGCTTGCAGGCGGGACCGCCAGGCGGCTACAGCGGCCCTTCGCCACAGCCCGGCGCCTACTACTCTGGCTACAGCCAGTCGTCTCCCCCGCAGCCCCAGTCAGGATATGGAGGCCCAGCACCACCCGGAGGGCAATGGGGACCGCAAGGCCCGCCTCATCCACATCAAGGGTATGGGGCTCCCGGCTACGGCGCGCCTTCACAGCAGTATCCTCCTTACCAGCAAGGACAACCCCCATCCTGGAACTCCTACCCCGGCCCACCTCATGGCTACTGATAGCTGAGCAACCGGCGCAATTTGGAGTGGCGAGCGTGGTACGAGCTGGCGTGTCGGCTGTATTTTGAAGGTAGAGGAGCCGCGTATTATCAAGCAAAAGTGTTTTTTCTCGGTGGCAAGAGATAGAACGAACAGAGCTGCTGGACGTTCCTATCTATCGTCACCCACTTGATTTGTCATTTTGATTTAAATGTGTCTTCGGTGCATATCATGAAGCCAAGAACTCGGCTTTTCATTTCTAGAATCAGAAAGGCCCATAGCCTGACGAAACTCCTTGCCCCATGCTGTCCGGGGCCACGCAAAGGTCGGGGGCTCATCCCATTCCCCAACCCTGCCTTGGGCTTTGGAAAACGCCTCGACACCGGGTAGCAAGGGCCGGTTGGCCGTTGGCCAGCCCCCCTTTCGCTCCTTTGACTCTCCTTGGCCTGCAAAGATGGCGGCCTCCAGTGACTTTCAGCGCTTCCCACGGCGCGGGTCCTGGGCCTCGGCCCTCCGGGCATCGCGGATCTCCTTAGTACCCAAGCTGCCCAGGCCGCCCTCGGACCTGCGCTCCCAGCCGCCGAGGCGGACTACCTGGCAGGTGGCGTTGTCGCCGTCGGCCGAGACCTCAGTGGCGTACTCGACGACGCTGCGGGCGCCCTGCTCGGGGGTCCTAGCCTCCTTGACCACGTCGACAATCTCCTGGTCGCTGAGGGTGCCCGAGACGCCATCGCTCATGAGGACGAGGAACGAGTACTGGGCGGGGCCGAGCTCGACGCGCGTCGTCTCGGGCTCGGCCGACACGCCGATGCGCTTGCTTCGGATGTCGCCAAAGGCGCGGCTGTTGGCGAGGCCGGCAATGCGCTCCTCACCGAAGCTATCGCCCGTCACCATGGACCCGGCCGGTGCGTAGCGGCGAAGGCGCCTGCTCTCCGTTGGCGTGGTTGGGTGGTGGTCCGACGTCAGGGGCTGCGCGCGGCCCGTGGCCGTCTCGCAGAGGAGGATGCGGCTGTCGCCCACGTGCGCCACAAGGAGCGTCGACTGCGCGCCGGGATGCCAAAACGGCGCGGGTGTCGGCGTCGAGATGAGAGCCACCGACGCCGTGGAGCCACCCTTGAAGCGCGTTGTGCCGCCGATGCCGTGGCCAGAAGGGGTGGCGTGGGGCGCGCCGAGAATCTCGTCATGGTTGAGCGGCATGTCGGAATCGTCAGGGTCCGACTTTCTCGCCTGCGCGGACACGAAGTCTAGGTCAGCACGCAGAAATGCATAGGTGAGGCTCGATTCAATCGTAGACGCAGGCTGCTCGCTTGCGTCTTGGTCGTTGAAGTTCTCGGGGCTAAATCGCCTAAAGTAGCCGCCGATGGCATCTCCGTAGGCCTTGACTAGGTCCTTCTGCAGCTGCAATGCTCGCGTGTGACTGTGAGCCTCGGCGGGAACTGGAAAAGTGCTGGGCGACGCAGCGCCGCTCGTTGGCTGCTTGTCCGAGCCAGCTCCGCCGTCGTGAGGAGGGGCATTCGCCTTGTCCTTGGATTCGCCTGATTCTTTCATGTTGGCTGAGCCGCGAGCTGGTGTCTCGGTCTCGATCTCACTCGGCGGCGGCGAGGGAGAACGGTGGACGTCACGTCCGGGCTTCTTCTTGCGCAGGGTGCTCTGCAAGTCGAATTCAGAAGCAGCCTCTTCGATGTAGCCGTACAACTCGTCACGCAAGAAATGGGAGCACTGGGACCCTCCGTGGCCATCAAAGACGGCGAAGTAAAAGACCTGGGGGTCACCCGAGGCACTGTCCGCGGGAGTCGCCTCGCCCGGCTTCTGCTTGACGCTCATGGGCGCCCTTCTGGCAAATGCTGGGATGTTTACGATGCCGGCCTGGTCCGCATCCTCATTGTAGGGCCGACTTCCTCTGGAGGTGCATGAGCCAAAATGATGCTTGGCTCGCCTCAACGGTATCCTTACCACAGTGAGGTCTCGGCCCGGCATGTTGGGCAGAGCGACGGCCGGAGCAGATCCAGGAGGGCCCGGCGTGTGGGGAGTCGAGGCATCGCGAGGCATTTTGTGGCTGGGGCCCCAAGAGGTGGACGAATCGGGGTGAAGGGACGAGGACGGTAGGTGGGTGACGAAGTAGGTGTGAAAGCTCCGTCGACCGAGAGCATGTGCTTTGAAGTGGTCTTTGGAGAATATGATGGTGCGCGGCGTGCCTACAAGCCGAGAGCCCGAGCCCGAGCGTCGAGGTTTGGCGGAGCGAGCGAGCAGCTGCATTTCGACGGTGCCAGCTGCGAGGACTTTCGGCCGAGCCGGCAGTGCTTCAGCTCTCCATATAAGCAGCGGTTCGATGTGAAGGGCCAAGAGCGAGGGCGAGGCTGGTAGTATGGATGAGGGATGGACGAGGAGGCGAGCGGCGGAGCTCCTCGAGCTCTGGGCGACGGCCGCCATGGGGGCTGGGGCTGGGGGCGAGGAGCTCGAGGAATAGCGCGCCGGAGCGTCAAAAGCTCTCGCGCAGTCGCAGCAGTGTACGCTGAGTGCGTGTCAGGTCCATGGGATTGGCCGTCTGGCTAGCAAGCTGTGCCCAAAGGCGATCGGGGAAGCTGAGGCAGCGTGGTGATGAGTATTCGATAATGAGCGGCTCGAGAGGGAGGGGCAGCGGTCGAGTGAGGGGTTAGAGGAAGACGGGGACAAAGAGGTTCGAGGTGCTCGCGCGCGGCAGGGAAACGAAAGGCCGACAGTCGGAGCTGTGGAAAACCAAGCCGAAGATGTTGTTCGGTTCAAAGAAAGGCTGCACTAGCAGGCCGGGGCCGAGACATGGTCCATCGTTGTTGTTGGGTTGCACCACAGTGAACGCATCAACGCATTCGGGATCAGGGGGTCTAACAAGCGCTTGCCAGCTGGCGGTAGCTGGGCGTTTGAGCTACTTTACGGTCCACCTATATTGCCGGGCGATTTTGGTATATGAACCCTCGTGTCATAGATACGATACGTGAAGTACCCGCCGCAGTGTTAAAGCTTTGGTTTGAGCCACCCTGGCTGCCAGGTTCTCAGACTCCAGGGACCAGATCAATAAGTACCTACACGGTACGGTGGGGGAGCTGCGCCTTGGCTGTGCCTTGCAGTGGACAGGGACAAGTAAGAAACGGTTGAGCTTGCTTCTCCACGAACACGAGCAACTCGGTCGGCTCCGACAACAGGCCTGCTACCTAACTTACCCAAGTATCCAGTTCAAGCGCCTACTAGGATGTTGGCCAGGGGCGAGGACGGGATGCAGTGGGTCGGGCCAAAGCAACTACCTACGTCAAGCACTCATCACTCATCCCATCAAATTCGAGCGGCGGCAACTCGGCCTCTGCACAACTCCAGCGTCCAACTTTCCCACGAATCGAGAGCCCCGGCCTGCACTTTCAGCCTGCTCCATCCCCATTGCGACCCACGCCGCCCCTGTGTCACGCCGCCCCCGTGTCACGCCGCGGCCTCGGCCCATGTCTCCAGAGCCGCCTCTGCTCGCTGGCGAGGACGCGTCCCAGACCACCAGCCGCCAGCAAGGCCATGTTGTCGAGGTTGATGAGTCCGGCGACATTGTCCTCGACGTGACCTTTGAGACGTCCCATGCCGTTCTCAAGAAGAGCCGCAAGGCACTGCCCCCGGCTGACCGCACACTCAAACCCCGGCCACCAGCAACGACAAAGGTGGCCTACAGGGTGCGCATAGCGGCTTTGAAGGGAAACTCGCGATACTTTGCCCATCTGTTCTCCAACCCCCAGTTCAGCGAGGCAAGGCTCGTCGCAGAGACGCACGATGGCCTTATGGCCAGGGGGGTCAACCCTTCTGAGGCAGGCGCTCGAGACCTGCCCTTCATTGCTCTTGTCGACGATGACGAGGCGACTCAAGCAGCTGGCCGAGAGCTCGTCTTCGAAGACATGCTGCGCATCCTTCATCGGAAACCCATCAAGACAGCCAAGGTAGTCATGCCGTATGCTGTGACTCTGGCCATCGTTGCTGACCGCTTCGATTGTGTTGATACTGTTGCTCGCACTCTCAACGGACATCACAAGTTCAAATGGCCCATAATCAACAGCAGGCCCCTCACCATTGACGACCGGGGGCGCATGGCAGAAGTCGAACAAACTATGCGCCAAAAGGTCCTCGTCTCCTGGCTGCTGGGTCAGCCATTACGCCTGCAGCAAGCTACGCGGGAGCTCATCGTTCGCGGCTCCAGTCTCTGGAGTGCCTTTCACGACGCCGATGCAAATACCGAGCGAGCGGCTGCTTGGTGGAACTTACCCCAAGGTCTCGAACGTAAGTCGATTGGTCTCCACCCGATTGCCCGACAGGGAACTGATTGGTTTCTAGGCGAACTCCAGCATAGGCGCGAGTGTATTCTCAATGCTGTTGCCTCGGTACAGCGCCATTTCTTCAAGCTGTACGCCTCGCGCGACAGACAGTGTAAGCTGGGCTACGATTCCAGCGCCGCGTGTGACTCCTTCCAACTCGGGCAAATGCTCAAATTCCTCACGTCCAAGGAGCTGCTGTATCTCGTCGACTTCAGTCCGGGATCGCTGGATTCGGTTCCTGACACCTCGCGACTCGACCTCGAAGAACTCGTCACCACGCTGAAGCAATTCCCAAACTATCAGGTTGACAGGCACCACATAAACTGCGGTCCCCAGATTCGCATCAAGCCCATCATGGACTACCTCCGCACCATGCTATCCGCAAACGTCATCAGCATCTCGCATGCCGACTGGACTAGACGTCGAGCTGACGTCTCTTGGGCTGAGCGCAAGGACAGCAATGGGGCGGGCGACAGCGGCCACACATTTGCCTTTACGAGAGCCATTGCAAACGACCAGAGATTACATCACGAAGGAACCTTTCACGCGGACCGCATAGCTAAGTCATTATTCACGGCAGACTCGTGGGACTGGACCCCAGAGGCATGATTATTTACAACTGTCGCTTTCAAGCGAGCCAGCGACTCTGTCAATGCAAGGCATCAAGCGCAGGGCTTCTAGATCGCTCAACCCGCACACCAATCCTGACATCCGATTCATCATGTAACAACGCAAGGTTCTGCTTTTCACGACAAGAATAGAGAAAGCCGACTATACATGGAAATGCGGTCGCCAGAGGGTATCATTGGATATCCAAGTCAGACCTTGTCGGCACTCGGCTCACGCGTTGACGGTTGTCGCAGTCTCCCGCGCTGCGGCCTTGGTGTCGAGGACGCCACCCTGGCGGCCTTCGCTTTCACTCCCGCTCTCAGCACGCGATGGCTGGTGAGGCTTTGCCTTCATGAATGGCCAGCGACCTTTGGTCTCGTGGAATCGCATGACGATGAAGCCTATGATGACGGCGATCCAGTAGACGTTGTAGGAAATGACGGAGCCGTATGTCGCCGAGTTGGTCCAGCCAAGGATGGCATTGAAGATGCTCCAACCACCGGCATTGGGGCCGGTCGGCTGACAGCACTGTCGGGCGCGTCATTAGAGAAATGAGAGGCCAGGGCCTTGAAGAGCAGCCACTTACGTTGACGTGCCAGACACTCTTGTCAATGTCATAGGAGCCTGGACCAGCGCCGGTTTCCGCGGCATCGCCGCCTACGGCATCATTCCACTTCTGTGCCTCCAGGTGCCAGACGCCTCGGGAAAAGAGGCCAGCAGCGACGAGATATAGCAGACAGGTCGAGACGACGAGGAAAAGGTGCATCCGAGCCGTCGATCCACCTCTGATTAGGCAGGTGGCTGGTTAGAACAAGACTCTAGGGCCCAAGGTCGAGCGAGGGGTGGGAAATGCCTACTTGTACAGGACCCATCCGATGAGGATTCCGACGAAAAGGCCTACCACGACGGGCAGCGGCACGGCCGTTGCGGGTGCCGTGAAAGAGACGCCGGCGGTGAAGACGACGGCCTCGATGCCCTCGCGGAGGACGGTGATGAAGGGGAGAAAGAACATGGCATATTTCTCGATGAAACGGGCCCACCAGTGTCGGGTATCGGTGCTGAGCGGCGCCTCGACGGCCTTTGCGAGCTTGAGACGCCACTTGTCCTGCATCCTGCCGATGCGGAGGAGGGCAGCACCCATGATGGTAATGATGACGGACGCAAGAAGACAGAAGGCGCCCTCGTAGTAGTTTTCATTGGCCTCCCACGAGTTGCGCCGCACGGTGTAGTAGACGCCGATGATGGCACCGGCAACTATCATGCAGACGAGGAAGCCGGCGCCGACGCCGACCCAGATCTTTGAGAGCGTCAGCAGCTGAGGGCGTCACGGCAGTGCCGAGCGCGAGGGAAGCAGGGAATACCTGTCGCCTGAGGTACTTGTACACCTGGGCATTTCCATTGGGACCGTCGAGAGTCTGCTTGAGAAAGGCGAGCAGGACCGAGACGATGATGACGGTTTCAAGCGTCTCGCGAAAGACGATGAGGAAGACGGGAACGGAGAAGACGTCTGTGGTCATGTTGGACGCGGCGTACGGGGCAAACAACAGCACGTGCAAGCGAGCGCCTGTCAGGGGCTTTTTGTGTGTTTGCGCGAGGTCGGTCGCCTCGGGGAATCGTCGTCACTCGGGGCGACAACAAGTTAACAGCAACAGAAGAAGAGCTTCAGACGCATACCGAGGGCCAAGCGATACGGGGCTGATCATGCACGGCTGCTATACATGCGAAAGTTCGCTATAGCAGTGGACCGAGAGACCGGGATGGCTGGGCGATGGTTTCTGATCTGGTCCTGGCCGGACCCTGATGCAACTCAAGTGCGGGCAACTTGCTTGGACATTTCTTGCCGGCCCAGTTTGTTTGCTTCCGGGACGTCAGCGGCACTTTCTGGCCGGAGACACCAACTCATGGCGGGCAAAGAGGGTCTCGACCTGGACCGGGCTGGAACTCGACACTGGACAGTACCTACGTGCGGCAAGCTCGGATCAGGCCACGACGGGCGTCTAATGTCGAGGAAATCGAAATTTTCTTCCGCTAAAGCGGGGGCCAGAGGACAAGAAGGGAGTCTAGAAGAAAAAAAACCGGAGAGTCGAGGAAGCACACGTGATGGGTGATCGGCTTCATCCGGAAAAGGCAAAACAGGACGTGACACGACTCGGGGCTCGCTCCACCCCGTCAGCGCTCCCTTGTTTGGTGGGAGACGAGGCGGCACGCGATGGCCCGACTTATCAGATGGGACTTGGCCGGGCGGTTGGTTATCAATCAGTCGAGCCCCGTCGCGCCCAATCACAGCCCACCGGCTGTCGCTCATCCTTGCTTCTGGCTGTTGGATCCCTGTCCCTGCATCACGAACGCACGTCCAGTAATTACTCCGTGCGCGAGTTTGGGCTACCCACACCGACAAGGGAGTCGAGCTTTCGAGACGACTGCCGCTTGACTACGCCAACGTGCGTGTGCCAAGCTGAAGAGCCCTTGGCACATGGGAAAACGGGTGGCCCAAAAGACATACATGGGCGAGGTCCATGGGCGAGGTCCATGGGCCTTGTTCATCACCATCCCAACCGACAATAGCACCGCTTTTGCCCCTGCAGCCGTGTCGACGATGGATTGCGGCTGTTGATTAATGGCGCATCGGGTCCAGACTTTTGACATTGGTCCAAATTCTCTACCGCGAGCTCAAACAATCCTCGCCCGTCGTCCGCCTACTCGATCCAGCATATACACCGAGGCCCCCTTTCTCCCAGGCGTGCCGCCTCCCCTCGCCGTCACAGCAATCCTCCCTCTCGCTCTGGCGCAGGCACATGGCCGTCTTGACCAAGCTGGCGGCCCTCGCGGCGTCGGCCACCCTCGCGGCCGCCGCCACCATCACCCACAACTTCAACATCACCTGGGTGAGGGCCAACCCGGACGGCGCCTTTGAGCGGCCCGTCATCGGCATCAACGGCCAGTGGCCCATCCCGCGCATCGACGCCGACGTCGGCGACCGCCTCGTCATCAACGTCGACAACCAGCTCGGCAACCAGACCACGTCGCTGCACTTTCATGGCCTCTTCATGAGCGGCACCGCCCACATGGACGGCCCGGCCGGCGTCACCCAGTGTCCCATCCCGCCTGGCGCCTCGTTTACCTACAACTTCACCGTAGGCTCCTCTTGACAAGGTCGTGACGGCCCGGGAGACTGACGCGTTCGACAGATTGACCAGCCGGGGACCTACTGGTATCACTCCCACACCCACGCCCAGTACCCCGACGGCCTGCGCGGCCCCCTCGTCGTCCACGACCCCGACTTCCCCTACCGAAAAGAGGTGGACGAGGAGCTGGTCCTGACCCTGTCCGACTGGTACCACGACGAGATGCAGACCCTCATCCCGCGCTTCATGAGCAAGAGCAACCCGACGGGCGCCGAACCCGTGCCCAACGCCGCACTCATGAACGAGACGCAGAATATGACCGTCGCCGTCCAGCCCGGCAAGACGTACCTGTTCCGCATCGTCAATATTGGCGCCTTTGCCGCGCAATACTTTTGGATCGAGGGCCACAAGATGCGCATCGTCGAGGTCGACGGCGTCTACACGAGGGATGCCGAGGCCGACATGGTATACATCTCTGCTGCGCAACGCGTCAGCGTGCTTGTCGAGACCAAGGCTGATGTCGCGGCCAACTTTCCTATTGTCGCCTGCATGGACAAGGTACGCTCCTCTCCACTTACGCCTACCGCCGGAGCAGAATCTGGAAGAAAACCAGGGCACACGGAGGACAAGAGAAGAGTCTGAAGCCGAGGTCTGGGACACTGTGCTGAATTCCCCTCGCAGGAGCTTTTCGACGTGCTCCCCCCTGAGCTCAACTACAACTCGACGGGCTGGCTCGTCTACGACGACGCCAAGGTCAAGCCCGCGGCCGCCATCGTCGCCGAGCTCGACGCCTTTGACGACATGACGCTGGTGCCCTACGACAACATGACGCTGCTGCCCGAGCCCGACCGCGTCGTGACGCTTGACGTGCACATGGAAAACCTGGGCGACGGCGCCAACTACGCCTTCTTCAACAACGTCTCGTACGTCGAGCCCAAGGTGCCGACCCTCTACAGCGCCCTCTCGGCCGGCGACCAGGCCGTCAACCCGGCCGTCTACGGCGAGTACTCGCAGCCCTTTGTGCTCGAGAGGGGCCAGGTGGTGCAGATTGTCCTCAACAACCTCGACCCGGGCCGTCACCCCTTTCACCTGCACGGGCACAACTTCCAGGCCATTTACCGCTCGGACGAGGAGGCCGGCACGTTTGGGGACGTTGACCCGGCCGATGCGAAGTTTCCAAGCGTGCCCATGCGCAGGGACACGCTCGTCGTCTGGCCCAACGGCAACATTGTGCTGCGCTTCAGGGCCGACAACCCAGGTACGACTCTCCTCGACTCTTTTTGACATCTGCTAGCCCCCCCCCCCCCCGGGGGAAGGGCCATGGCATATCGTGTGCTGACGAACACGTTGCTTTGGCTCCAGGCGTCTGGCTCTTCCACTGCCACATCGAGTGGCACGTCGTCTCGGGTCTCATCGCCACCTTTGTCGAGGCCCCCGCCGAGCTGCAGAAGCAGATACTCGCCCTCCCCGAGGACCACCTCGACGTCTGCAGGCGCGCCGACGTGCCCACCGTCGGCAACGCCGCCGGCAACACGGTCGACCTACTCGACCTGAGCGGCCAGAACGAGCCCCCCGCTCCTCTGCCCGAAGGGTAAGCGCCCCCCCCCCCCCCCCCCTCTCCCTTTTGCCTCTCTATATTGCTTTTCGCACGGCCCAGGGAACAGTTGATGTGAGAGAGGTTGGCTAATCCCGAATGTGGTTTGTCTCGTTCGTTGCAGCTTCACCGCCCGCGGAATCGTCGCCCTCGTTTTCAGCTGTCTGGCGGGCATACTCGGTATCTGCGTCATAGCGTGGTACGGCCTGGCCAAGCCCGTCGACTCGATCCCGCGCAGTTGACGGCTCGCGCTGCTGTCGCCCGACCACCGCCCGATTTCTTCCTTGTTTTAATTGACCCCCATTATCGCCTAGACCGCGTCGTGTAGACGCGCGAGGAGAAGGTCCCCGGATGCTCATCTGTTGCTTTGCGACCCCTTTCCCTGTCGTGTCACAACACGGGGCATCCCACGGCACGAGCTTGAATATTTACCATCAGCATATCATTGAAACACTCGTAATGGCAAAGATATCCCACCAAAGACATCCCCAGTGTTTTTAATCCCTCTTCAATCTCGTCCCTCACATTCTCGTGAGGTGGTTCCTGGTACACAGTACATCTAGCGCGGACAGAAAGACCCCCAATAAAGACAAGAACGGAACTGGCTCCGTCTAGATAGAGACCGTGTTCTCCCAGACCCCATTATCTATACAAAGCGAGGTCTCCCCAGCCGTGGGTAAAACTAGAAGGGGGGCCTGATCGTTGGGTAGATCGCATCCAAGATTGTTTCTCCCCGTGCCCCCTTACTTTAGAGAGGGGCCCCGGCTGCTCCTGTTGACAAGCATGAGAGAACAATGAGAAAGGGTCTGTCCAGACAAACCAAAAGCAACCCAACCAGCATCAAACAAGCACCGGCAATCTGCCGGTGCCCGCAACCTTGTCCAGTCCAGACCCGTTCCCTTTGCGCCGAACCATGCAGATACAAGGTGACCCATCTCCCAAATGAACATTGCAAAAATAGTTGTCGAGTTGGTGACCATTTCAATGTGGGCGTCCCGGAAAGCAGGGAGCTTATGCGCCCTAGATAGCACTGGACTGGTTGCTCAACGCAGGTCGTCAGTGCTGTGGCGCCCAGCACCCTTGCCGGGCCATGGTCGGTCCATTGGAGCCACGTGTTCCCCAACCTCAGAAGGCAGTCAGCCGGTCTTGACCTTGACCTCTCTGGGGAGACCCTTGGCCCTGCGATCCTTGATGTCGGCCTCGGCCAGCGACTTGCTCGCTTTGACGAGCTGGACAACGTTGATGAACTGCTTCATGGCCATGACGGGGAAGCTGATTCCGGCCAAGATCCAAGGGCCGTTGGAGTCCATCTTATTGGCACGGGCCATCTCTAGGGCCGCGGCGCTGAAGGGGTCCGGGAACATCTGCCTCAAGAGGGAAGCGTTGACGGGCGCACCGGGCTGGACGATGCCGCCGCTCGACTCCTCGACGCTCTTGATCAAGTTGGGCGACAGGAGAGGCGACGAGAAGGACAGGAGGTAGAGGGCAATGAAGAAGAGCTCGTTGAGGGTGCAGAATATGAACAAGACAATCTGCCAAGGTGCCAGTTAGCTGCCGCTCCACGACCAGGTGAAGAGCTTGGCGGATTGTGCGGCCCCTCACGCACCTTGTTGGAGTAGTATAGATTCAACAAGCGGCTTTGGCTCTTGTCGATGTTCTTGTGGCTCGAATCGGCGCCTCCGACGACGAGGGTGGCGTACATGTGCATGTAGTGGCTGGCAAAGTCGAGCGATATGAGACACTGGAAGAGGATGGCCCATCGGGGAAAAGCAGAGGACAAGAAGACGAGCAAGCACGACGTGGTGCAGCGGTCCGTCACCATGTCGAGGACGGCGCCGAAGCGGGTCGACTGCTCGAAGATGCGGGCAGCGTAGCCATCAAGGGCGTCGAGCAGGCCGGAAATGCTGTAGAGAACGGAACAGGTTCGGGGATGCAACGGCATGTAGTAGAGGGAGGCAATGGCGAGGATGATTCGGAAATAACCTGTCGGAGCGGCGCGAGGTCAGTGAGGGGTCCTCGTTGGCGTTTGGTTTCAAGAGCTGGACATGATGCATACCGACGATGTTGGGCCAGAAGAGGAAGATGTTCTCGCCAGAGACAGAGGCGCGGTCGCCCGAGGCAGCCATGGCCGAGCCATTGCCGTTGACGGAGGCATCGTAGCTATCCTCTTCGGACGAGGCGTGCGCGTCGCGGGCTTTGGGGGACTTTTTGCGGCTCTGGCGGGAAGGCATAGCGAGTCACCGGGGGGGTTGTGTCTCGAGGCGGCGGAAACGGGTAGTTCGATGGCGAGAATGAGAGCGGCGGAGGAGGCGACGATGGCGAGGTCGAATGGTTCGCGCAAGGCGAAGGAGAAGTGAGCGACCTCTTGACTTCCGAAGGATCCGAGGAAGCTGTACTCGGTTGGCCAACAGGAGGATGGAGAAGGAGAACAAGCGGCGCCAACAAGGGGAGAAGAAGTAAAGAAGGGCAAAGGCCTGTCTGGGGAGGGGCAAAGGAGCGGACGCGAAGAAGAAATGACGAGGCGAGTTGGAAAGGAGAGAGATTCTGTCCCAAGAGACGCCGTCGGCCAACAAGAGGTACTCGAAACACGCGGTCCGAGGATTCAGGGTGCAGCCAAGGATGCAGGGTCAGGTACATGTACTTGCTTGGGTAAAGCCCGTCAGGCCATGGTCCGGACCCGAAGCTGGCTGTTGGTGGTGGATGGGCGGGAGTCTCGGGCTGATTACTAAGGTACTTCACTCCCTGGTGAGCTCAGAGGCTCCCAGTGCAAGCTCGCCTAGCGTTGACGGACTCGCGGAGCTCGCAACATTGAAACGCCGAGCTCGGAATATTTCACAAGATGGTGCCGCCCACACGTCACCATCATGGCTTGTTCTCTGACGATGAGGCCATCGTGGCGCAACGAGGACTACACTCGAGTCCCACGTCTTGCCTTCTGCGAGACAAGGAGGAGCGCGAGCCACAAACATGCAAGCTCCTTTGCTCTTCCGTGCAGGCTATGCCCGAGGCTGAGTGTTGCCTTCCAGCCTGGCTGACCGGGGCAGAAGTCGAAGCAATCAAGGCATTTGACATCCCCTGTTCCTCGAGGCCGGCCTAGCCTTTCCGCCACGGCAAATACAAGCCACCTACCCCAAGCCTCGACACGGCGCCTCGGCAGCCTAAAAGAGGGGACGTTAAGTTATGGGCCGCAAACTGGGGAGCATGGTGCCGCCGCGGGCTCCCAGAGACGATGCGGTCGCTTGTCCTGCATCGAGGACGGTTGACCGGTGTCTCGTCTTCCAAACGCCATCTGCCGCTTCCCATGTCCTGCAGTACGTAGGGCTCGAGTCTCGTCTGCGTAGGAGCAGCGCTACCCCTTGCACATGCGGACTGGTCTCTTCGCAAAGTACGTAACAGAGTGGCGGCCAGATCGTGCATGAGGGTGTGGTCGCTTGGCGCCAGCATGCAGCACAGCCAGCGAAAAGACGGTCCTTGGCCCCCTCTGCGGAATGGGACGAAAGCGTGCTGGATGGTGTGTTACATATAATTTGACGACCAACGGCGGCCATGGCCAACTGGCAGAGCTGAGAAACCGCCGGTTGGCCACATCAGACCATTCAACGTCTGGTGTTGGCCCTGTCAATCTGTAAGCTTGCAGGAATAGGCCCGGGTGGTAGTTATTGGTCCCACCCACTCACTCGCTGTGCCCCTCTCCAGGTGGCTGGCCTGGGCCTGTCTGGTCGAGGCTTGGAATTGGGGCACGCATGCTGGGTTGATATACTGTGAGGAGCATTTGATCGGTACAGTACCTACCTTAAACTAACGGGACACCCAAGAATGAGTGAGGTGGCCAAGGTACCTTCGCTTCTAAAGTACCGATATTACCTTAAGTATCAGATGCACTCGAACAGTACCGGTTACATACAAGGCCCCCATGGTATTGCCCCCATATTCTCCTGGCTGCTGCCGTGCTGCTGCTGCCGCTGGTGCTGTCCTGTAAGGGGGGCTCCCTTCTCAGCGCGCATCGCAGCGGACAGGCCCTGCACCACAGCGCGCCCCCGCCCAGCGACCTGCAGTCTGCAGCTGCAAAATTGCGCCACACGTCGCCCGCACAATTTTCCTCTCCCCTTGTGCTGCATCTCATTCATCCCCGTCCAACAGCAACATCCGCCTCCTCTGCTGTTGACATGGCCATCGCCCTCTCCTGCATCAACCGCCGCCGCCTGACCCTGGCTCTCCCTCTCTCGACAGCGGCGCCCCCCCCCCATCTGATCTCATCTGATCCCCCATCCCCCCTGGCCCGGTCCACTTGCGGCCCCTCTCTCCATCTGCTGATCTCTCCGTTCAAGTCTCGACTTTTTTTTCCTCTCCTTGGCCCAGCCTAGGACTGACGGATTCTTCAAGGCGTCGACGATTGAGGGGGCTTTAAACGACAACATACCCAACCGCCGTCTGTTGGCGCGCTTGGTTCACCCCTCGTCGCCTGCGCGCCCCGTGAATCTTCGACGCCGTTTCGCCAGACCCCGCGCCTTGACTGTCGCCCACCTGGCGGCTTGGGGCTTCCCCCAACGAACCCGTGTGTCCGGATCCCGGAGTGACCAAAGCGTCAGCCAAGCATCTCCGACCCTCTGCCTCTGAACACCGCAACTCAGTCGCCACCGTTACGCCAGGGGACATCGTCCTCCTCCATAAGACGCCAGCTTCCCAAACACATTTCCTTAAGCTTCGCGGTCCGTCCCCGGAACGCAAGCGGCCGGGTGCCATCATGGCGTTGCACCCGACTCTCAAGGCGACGTACGCCTCGAGGGCTGAGACAGCCACTCACCCTCTGACTGCTCACCTCTTCAAGTTGATGGGTCTCAAGGCATCCAACCTCTGCCTCAGCGCCGACGTTCCGACCGCACGGGAGCTCCTCTACTTCGCCGACAAGATCGGACCCTCCATCGTCGTCCTGAAGACTCACCATGACATGGTCTCGAACTGGGACTTTCATCCGCAGACGGGCACCGGCGCAAGGCTTGCCTCCCTGGCTCGCAAACACGGCTTCCTCATATTCGAGGATCGCAAGTTTGGCGACATTGGCAACACGGTGGAGATGCAGTACACTGGCGGCTCGGCTCGCATCATCGAGTGGGCTCACATTGTCAATGTCAACATGGTCCCGGGCAAGGCGTCCGTCACCTCGCTTGCCAATGCCGCGTCACGTTGGTTCGAGCGATACCCCTACGAGGTCAGGACGTCGGTCACAGTGGGCACGCCCACGGCGGACGATTCCGATGATCCCGACTCCTCAACCCGAGGCGACGACGCCAACGACGACGTAAAGAATGTTCGCCGGATCGATGAGGGGCGCAAGGGTAGCATCGTGTCCGTCACCACCGTCACCCAGCAGTACGAGCCCGCCAACTCCCCCCGCCTGTCCAAGAACATGGCCGGGGGTGACGAGGTGCTGTTTGCCGGCATCGAGGAGGCGCCCCTCACCAGAGGCCTGCTCATCCTAGCGCAAATGTCGAGCCAGGGCAACTTCATGAACAAGGAGTACACGCAGGCTTGCGTGGAGGCGGCCAGAGAGCACAAAAGTTTTGTCATGGGCTTTGTCTCCCAGGAGAGCCTCAACTCGGAGCCCGACGACGACTTTATTCACATGACGCCGGGCTGCCAACTGCCGCCCGAGGATGAGGAGCGGAACGGCGGGGTGCACGGCGACGGCAAGGGCCAGCAGTACAACACGCCACAGAAGATCATTGGGGTCTGTGGCGCCGACATTGTCATTGTCGGACGGGGCATCCTCAAGGCCGGAGACCCCCAAGAAGAGGCCGAGAGGTACCGCTCCAAGGCCTGGAAGGCATACCTCGAGAGAGTGCGCTGACAGGGTCGCACCGCGATCCCGGCCGCTCGATGCTGGCGTCCAAGGGCAGCGGCCGTCCCTGTCTGCCCTGGTGGTGGCGCCTTGGTATTATTCTGGCGCCGGCTGCTCACTGCCGGGGGTGCTTCAAGCCTCGGTCACATGACGCATGCCAGGGCAGAAACCCACATCTGCAATACTTTAACACACCCACACACACACACAACACACACATGTTCATTGGGTACCCACGAGCCACGGAGTCACCGGTTAGGTTGGCGAATATCGTCGTATGTACGGAGTAGATCGATGCCTGTCGAAAATCCAGATAGCAAGCACAATCACATGAGCTAGATGCCTTGTGAATGAGGACGATTACAGACAAGAGTGGCCCGCCGGGCTTGCTCGGTCTACCAGGCGCTGCTGTTGCCCTGCCTGAGCGAGGCCATACGCCCACGCGCGTTTCTTGCTTGTCTTTTGTCTTTCCGAGCCTCGTTGCCGGGGTCCTCTCATGGGAGGACGACGACGATGGACGGGCCTCTCTGTCAAAGATGCAAACCCCGGTTTGGCGAGGACAGCAAGACGGCCGCAATTCTGGGGCTTAAGTTGAAGAAGGTGCTGGAAAGCGATGAAGATGCAAGTCTCCCGTATCTAACTAGTAGTCAGGCAGGTCGGTCAGTACACCAGGATCCAGTGCCGTTTATTGACATGTCGGTAGTCGCACGTGCGGCCTGCTTATTGCGGCCAGGCAGCTGTCAACTCGTCGTACAAGAATGACAACAGCCCCACTCGGCAAGCCCGACGTGCTGTGCCCATCAAGCCAGCCAGCTCAAATGGAGGTGAAACAAGTGGCCCGATCGGGGTTGCCAACGAACGACCTATCAAGATGCGTCTCGGGAAACTCACCCGCCGCTTGCGTCGATGGAGGTCAGCATCGCAGAGTTCGCGGGCTTGGGCAAAACGCCACGTTAAGCCTACTCCTTAACACCGTGCTTCTCGAGGGCGAATGGCTTCTAGCGGCTCAAGCATCGTCGGCGGCGGCGGCGGCGGCCACGAGGCAGTGCGGGCTCGGCCGTCTGAGCGGGCGGCTGCCGTGAGGAAGAGGAAGCGCGTTGTGGTGTCATGCATCGAATGCCACCGGCGGAAACAAAAGGTACGCGAGCAAGGATTACGAAAAGAAAAAAGTAAGACAGGAAAGGGGGGAGAAGAGGCTGTTTCCGAAGTCGGACTGACAAACACCACCCCAGTGCGATCGCGAACTGCCCTGCGCCAACTGCCGGGCCCGCAGCAAGGCGTCGTCGTGCCGGTACGAGCCCGGAGCGCCGACTGCTCGGCACCAAGACGAGCTGCGCACGGCCGGCCCTGCGGGCCGTGGCGACGGGCCGGACCGCCGAAACGACGAGCCGCTGTCGTCGACGGCGGCGACGTGGGGCTACGGCCAGACGGGCGGGCCGTCGACCATTGCCTTTCTCAAGACGATCGAGGCGGCCGACGCCGATGCGGGCGATGTCTGCACGCCCGAGCCCAAGCCGCATGGCTTCGCGGTGCGGGAAAAGTACAAGGGCCTGGCCAGGCAGCTCCCGGCCCCGTCCTACGCCACCAAGCTCATCGGCATGTTCCTGGCCGAGTTCAACTGGCAGTACGACTTTGTCCAGCCCGACGTCTTCCTCCGCCAGCTCGACGAGTGGAACAGGTTGCCGGCCGGCCTCCTCTCCTCCCAGGGCCCCGAGGGCCTGTCGCCCGACCTCCGCGCCTTCCCGGCCGCGCTATTCCAGGTCATGGCCATGGCGCTGCTGCTCGTCTCCGACGGCCAGTCCTCGGGGCTGAGTGGCGTCAAGTACGCCGAAGGCACGACGTTTGAGGAGCTGGCGTGCGAGTACAGCGAGGCTGGCGCTTCCATTGTGACTCTGCTCGGCAAGAAAAGCCTGTCCCTGACGACGGTCCAGGCCGAGTTTCTGCGGGCCTCGTTCTTGAAGTTTACCGCCAGCGTGGCCGAGTCGGTGCGTGGTTGAGATTGAGCGCGGCGAGACATGGATCCCATGGCATCTAACGAGCGCGTCGTTTACAGTGGCACATGATCAGCATCGCCATCCGAGACGCCCAAGAACTTGGGATGCACCGCGATGGCCTTGACCCGAAGCCCCAGGACGCCAGCCTCGAGGCAAACTTGGAGAATCAGTGGCTGATCCAAAGACGGAGGCAGTTGTACATGATGCTTGCGGTTTGGTGCGTCAAGAAGCTTGTACTCGGGGGCGAGAATAGGAGCACGCTGACCTGGCCCAGGGACATCAACATGTCCATCATACTGGGGCGGCCGGGCACCGTTGATAGGAGACAGCGCATGCCGTCCATTCCCGTCGACTATCTGCCTTGTCCAGACGGCAGCCTTGGGCCGATTGTCCCAAGGCGCGACAGCCAGGACCCGCCGACGCCCGTGACCCGAGCGCTCTGGCTGCAAGCGCTGTCGGAGCCGCTGCGGGAGATGTTGAACCTGGATCACGACGGGCCGGGCCCCAACGACTTCTCCAGGGTGGGCCAGCTCCACCAAAGGATCCTGGAGCTCGACGACAAGAAGCCGGCTTCCTTCCGCGTAAAGGACCCCGACAGGCGCTGGGACAGCTCTCCAGACACCTGCTGGGTACCGCAGACGAGACTCTACTTTGCACAGTTACACGAGTTTAGCCTGATGGCGCTTCATCGACCGTACGTCTTCCACCGGAGGGAGAGCCGGGTGGCGGCCATGAGGGCGAGCCTCGAGTTGCTCGAGCTGCAGCGCGTGATTTTCGAGGAGGCTCCACCCGAGGCATGGAGGAGGTGAGTCAAGCGCGCGAAAAAGAAAAGCCCAGGAACTGACTCTGGAGCTCGGGCAGCTTCGTCTTGTTCTTTGGCAGCTTCGACGCCATTGTGTTGATTTCGTCGGTGCTGATCTTGTTCCCTCTGGAGCAGCCGGAGCTCCGAGACAAGTGCACGGAAAAGGTGTACTGGGCGATTGAGCGGTTGGCGGCCATACAGGAGCGAAACCCGTTGGCCAAGTCGGCGCAGGGCGTGCTCAGGGCCATCCTGACCAAGCTGACGCGGGCCGTGGGCAGCCAGGGTGCGTGGCCAAGCGCGGCAGGCAGCATATCAGAAGCGGCGACATGTGCAGCTCGAGCTCCGGCGGGCGTCACGTCCACCAACAGCAGCAGCAACGACGGCGACGACCCATGGGGCGTTTTCTCGCATGGCACGGGTCCAGAGTCATCGGACTGGGGCGTGCCGCCGGCAGAGATGCTGGCGGCCATGGCGCCCGTGTTCCCAACGTCGGACCTGATCTACCACGACCTCACGGCGATGCAGGACGTGGGCGAAGCAGGGCCAACAACGGCAGCGCCGACGACGACGTTTGGTTGGCAGTTTGGAGGGGACCTTGGCGAGGACACGGTGTGGCAGATGTTGAACCAGTTCCAGCCGCGCGGGACGGCAGACGGCGGAGCGGCAGACGGCGGAGTGGCAGACGACGGAGGAGCCGAGGGCATCGCGACGATTGGCGGGGAGGCGGCGCCAGGGCGGCAGGGGTTTGCGTGGTGACGGACGATGTAACACCAGCTTGTTTTCGTTGCCGGCGCATGCACGCCTAGTCTCGGGTTCCTGATGATTGCCAGTAAGGTCTTGGTTTGGATAGATTGAGAGGGCGCCTATTGCCAGGAGGCAGCAAACCATGATTGGGCTGTTTGCCATGCACCTCCATGTACCCGGAACCCCCTAGCGTGACAAGCGCAACCCCTCCCCACAATCTGCAGCACTCAAAGACCCAGTCCCTTCATTCCAAGCGCCGTATTTGACGAGGGCAGGACTTGCGGAAAAAGTTAAAAATTAAAGTGCTGGGAAGCGGGACGACGGAAAATAGACAATGCATGTCGCCAGCCGCGAGCACCCGCACGGTAACTACTAACGACGCTCTAGACGTTCCATTACTGACAGCTCTTTGGTCTTGGGCAAGTCACTCGAGGTGAGGCGGCAGAACCTCGTCTCTCCCCCCCCCCTCTCGTCTCGTCCTCTTCCTCATTCTTTCTTTCTTTCTTTCTTCTTTCCTTTTTCTTTCTCCTTCTACTCCAAGCTCAAGGAGCTGCCCAGGGCCATCCTCGCCAGCGCATCCGCCCGTCTTCGCCACCGCCCTTGATCCCTCTCTTCCATCCATCCATCCTCCAGCGGTCTGTGCCCCGCCGGTTCGACTGCTAGGGCGGAAAAGTTAGAGCCAAGCACAAACCAGCACCAACACAGCAATCATGGCCCAGCAAGGGCATCATAGCATCGTCGACTTTGTGCAGCGCTTCCAGGAGCTGCAGCAGCACCGGGACTCCAATGACCATCTGATTCGGGTCTGTACAGCCTTTGACGCCTCTCCGTCGGCCGACTGACGCTTGGCACAGGATCTGCTCGTCTACTGCGACCGAGTCGAGAACAGTCTCCGCCTCCAGAACACCAAGCTCCTCGACGAGCTGCAGCTGTGCAAGCTCGACCTTTCCGATGCCACCAATTCTCGCCGCGACCTCCAGCAGCGCCTCCAGACGTGTGAGGCGCGCTCCGAATGGGTCGTCAAGGAGAATGAAGAGTTAAAGGTGCGGCACGGCCTTTCCCATCCCATGCCTTGGCACGCCCGGCCTTCATGCAGGCGTGCGGCTGCGTGTGGGCTTCTGTGCGTGCCTGGCATTGCGACTGCGTGTGCGTGGGCTTGCTTGCTAATGATACCTCTGCCTCGTTTCTAGAGTCGCAACTCATACCTTTTGGTCGTCATCGACGGCGACAGTTTGATTGTATGTCGTCTACTTCTCTCTTTCCTCCTCGGCGGCTATTGACGCTACCGTGTGGCAGTTTCGCGAACGCTGGATGCAGCAGGGCGTCGAGGGCGGCAAGCGCGCCGCCCTGGCTCTCCAGTCGGCCATTGCAGAGCACTGCGACAACCGCTCGGGTGATGTCGACATCGTGACAAAGGTCGTTGCCGACCTCGGTGGCCTGGCCAGGGCCTTTGGTCGCGAGGGGCGCCACGACGTGCTCGCCGACCTGAGGGACTTTGCGGCCGGCTTCAGCCAGGCCCAGGCGTCGTTTGATTTTGTCGATGTTGGCCACGAGAAAGACGCGGCAAGTTCAAAGCTAAAAGGTGTGTCCCATATACTCGTCGACATGGGGGCGGGGAGAGCTTGCTTACTGAAGCCGTGTGCGATGCAGATCTTACGAGGTGGCACTTGCGAAATCACAACTGTAGACACGTTTTGCTTGGCATCTCTCACGATGCAGAATACGCCCCGTTCTTGGAAGAGATGTTCGAAGACGAAAACACGCGGCAGTGCATCGCCGTCATCGAGGGCTCCCCCACGGCCAAGGAGCTCGTCGCCACCGGAGTCCATATTCTCGACATCGGCAAGGACCTCTTTCGCACCGAGCATTTTCCCAATCGTCATGCGGCACCCGCCTTGTCAGCGTGGAACCAAGGCACAGCAAGCCCGGCCACGAGCATCGATTCTGCCAACACGCCGGCGGCCTCGGCGACCATGTCCTACGCCAACGCAATCTCGAGTGGCAGCCCACCTCCGCAGCCCGGAGTCCCCGTCGCGCCTAGGCCCTTTGCAGCGGCGGTCACTCGGTCCAAGATACAGTATCAGCAGATCCCGCCTCAGCAGCTGGATTGGAACCCGGGCCCTCGCGGGTTGGACGAGCCCATCGTCGTCAGCATGCAGGCCCTGGAATGCATCAAGAAGCGTAAAGACAAGGAGAAGCTGTGCAACAATCACTTCCTGCGCGGGCCGTGCACAAAAGGCGATGCGTGCCACTTTTTTCACAATTACAAGCCAAGCGCGGATGAGATTAACGCGATATCCGTCCTGGCGAGGCAGAACCCATGCACTAACGGGCAGGATTGCGTGCAGGACGACTGTATATACGGCCATCATGTGTGAAAGGCTGGCCCGGAGTTTATTCAACAAGCAGGTGCCTAGGTGTTGTCTATCTAGAGCTAAGGAGGAAAAGAAGCTGAACTCGAGGCGTAGCCTCGAGTGCGAGCTTATATTGCCCTTCTCGGAATGTTCTCGCAGCTTCTGGGTCCGCGGAGCGGCCGGTGTTGCCACCGGAGCACGACCACCGGACCCGGTACAACCGGGTCCACCAGCCGGGCACAGCCCGTGACATTACCCCTTGTCCCCTCCGACCAGGTCGGCGTCTGCGGGGTTCTTGCGTTCCTGCCAGCGTCTCGTACCTCTCCCTAGGGCCATCATTGGTCTTGATTGGCCCGTACTTGTCCTCGAATGCCTTCATCGCAATTGTTCCTTGCAACCACTCAACTGGCTCCCAAGTCGGCTCTGCGTAGCCCGTCCATCGCACTAGTGCTTGCCTGAATTCCCCTCGTCCGCGCTTCTTCCATCTCGCGCAGAGGATCTCGTCGACATCCCACAGATCCGTGCCGGACTCATCTTGTACCGGTGGTGGCTGTGCGTCATCTACCTTTGGCCAGGAGCCGGATCTTGATGCGCCCGCCGCAAAGGTCAACATGAAATCGCGGGTAAATTGAGCCACGAACATCGAGCTCAACAACGTGCGAACTAATTACCTTCGTGACTGTGTACTTGTGATGCAGCCAGTCGAGCTTCTTGCACGGTCGTGGCGATCTGTAGTTTGCCATCGAGAGCCACACCTTGTCACCAACTTCAAATCGCTCCGCAGGCTGTCGCTTTGCGTTGGCAGCCTCTTCTTGTTGTTGCTGTGAGGAGGCCATCACTGCTTGCATGTACTCATTGACCTCCTGCAGGCGACTGAGTAGGCTATCAGCTCTGCTTTCCTCTCTATGCCTCGGTGGCTCTTCCGATTCCTCGACGCTGATGGGATCGACGTGGTAACCATGCTCAGCGAAAAGGGGCTGATCTTGGTCGCTGCGGATTCACGATTGTTGAGTGCCAGCTGCGCGGCAGGGAGCAGTTCTCCCCAGTCGTCCTGCACGTACGACACGTAGGCTCTCAGGTAGGCCTCGATCTCCTGGTTCATTCTCTCTGGCCCTCCGTCCGTCTGAGGATGATAGGCCGTGCTCAATTTCTGCGTGACACCTGCAAGACGGCAGAACCTCTTCCAGAACCTACTTAGCCAGTTGCTCCCGCGGTCGCTGACGATGGACCGTGGCATTCCGTGAAATCGGTAATGACACTGGAGAAAACGGTTTGCACACGGCTCAGCTTCCATGTTGTCCATCACCTCGAGGTCACAGCCTTTGTCAGTCTGTCCACAATCACCCACAGGTACCTTGCCTTGCTCGGTCCAGTAGGCGGCAGATCTGTGATGAAGTCCATGGACAAATGGCTTCGGGGTCGATCTGGAATCGGCAGAGGCTTGAGAAATCCCCTTTTCGACTGGCGCCAGATGTGTGCTCTGCCGCAGGTGTCGCAATTGGCTACGTACCGGCGAACCAGCTGGGACTGCCCAGGCCAGTAGAATCGCCGAGCCACAATAGCCAGCGTACCTTCCCTGCCGGGATGACCGGTCGCAACAGAGTCATGCGACTGCTGCACAATGCGGGTTCTCAACTGGTCTTTCTCAGCTTCCTCCTGGTTACCCTCCTCTCCGGATCCACCCGGCACCCAAATACGGTCTCTGAATGTCAGCCTTTTGCCTGCGTCGATCGCACATTCTGAAATCTGGATCTTCAGGCCCAGCGAGGGCGGGAAGGCACGCTCGCGATCGCGGACTGCCTTATAGGCTGCCCGGAATATCGAGTCCTTCGCCACCGTTTCGTCCCAGAGTTGCTGCAGGTCCGCTACCTCGAAGACCTTCATCTTCGGCAGGGTGGATGCCTCTGAACAGTCAGAACTCATCGCGTTGATACATGCTCTTGTCGATGATGGAATGGCACTATCCGGTATCAACTGTATCATTCTTCCTTGTTCCCGCTCGTCGTCAATGCCCTGTGGCTTGTCTTGTTCACGGCGGGACAACGCATCAGGCACGACAGCCTCGCTTCCCGGTCGATACTCGAGCTTGAAGTCGAACTGGGACAATTCGGCTGCCCAACGGCTCTGCCGTTCCGTGAGCTTCTGGCGTGTCATGAAATACTCCAGGTTGCGGTGATCGGTAAGGATTGTAAATGGGCCGCAGCTCCTAAGTTCGGCGTTCCAGTTGTCGAGACATCTCATGATGGCAAGCATCTCCTTGTCGTGAATGGGATAGTTGTACTCCGCTGGCGAAAGTCGCTTCGAGAAGAAGGCGCATGCGTGTCGACGTCCATCTGGGCCTTCCTGCGACAGGACGCCTCCCAATGCGTAGCCTGAGCAATCCGTCTCCAAAAAGGTCGGGAGGCTCGGGTCCCACTGCTTGAGCACCGGTGACTCGCAAAATCGTCGCTTCAGCTCCTGAAACGCCTCGTTCTCCGCTCGTCCCCAATGAAAGGCAGTTCCTTTCTTAAGCAGGGCATCCAGAGACTGCGTGATCTTGGCATAGTCGGGGATGAAGATCCGGTAATAGTTGGCGAAGCCCAGAAAGCTTCTGACACCCTTCACCGTGGTCGGGGCCTCCCATTCGCGGATGGCGCGCTGCTTTTCGGGGTCGCAGGCGATTCCTTTCCCTGCGTTGACGATGAACCCAAGGTATTTGACCTCTTGTACCGAAAACTCGCACTTCGCTGGGTCTAGGTGCAGCCCAGCGTCGGCGAGTGCTTGGAGAACTCGTCGCACCTTAGCCTCATGATCCGCCTTCGAACCGCTCGAGTAGATCAGTACATCATCCAGGTACGCTGTGACAAAGTCGTCCAGCCATTCGCGCAATACACTGTTCATGTATCGTTGGAATGATGCCGGGGCGCCGCTCAGGCCGAAAGGGCACACGAGCCACTCGTAGAGCCCAAACCTCGTGCGAAATGCAGTCTTTCCCTCATGTCCCGGAGCCATGCGGATCTTATGGAAAGCGGCCACCACGTCCAACTTGGTGAACCACTTAGCCTTGGCCAGATTCTGCAGGGTCTCCGCGATGAGGGCAGTGGGTATCGGTCGCGCTTGGTGATTGCATTCAGCGCTCGGTAGTCGCAACAAAATCGCAGCCCTCCATTCGGCTTCCGCACGAACAGCACCGGCGCGGCAGCCGCTGAGCTACTCGCTCGGATGAATCCTCTGTCCAGCAGGTCTTTCAGGGTCTTTCGCAAGACCAACAGCTCTTCTCGTGACATGTTGTAGAGTGGGCCCCACGGAAGGGGTGGCTCGTTGCCGTTCTTGTCAGGCTGCAGGTTGACTTCATGATCCACACCCGGTCGATGTGGCGGCAGCTTCATTGCCTCTCCTGGTGAGAATAGGTCGCGGAATTCTTTCAGCACTTCTGCCGGGACCTTCTCGCTCGGATCGACTGGCGGCTTCGGCTGAAGCGCCCTCTCTATATCCGACAAACTGATTGCATGAATCGAGATCGCGTTGCACTTCTTGCGTCTCTTTGCGCGTCGACACTCCGCCGTGAATACGGCTGCCGACACGAGTCTTGCGCTTCGAATCGCGCGTATCTTGGCGGGCTCTTCCTGCCCAATGAGGCGTATCGTCACACCTGCCCTCCCATGGTACATTCGCTGCTTGGCAGCATCGTACACGACGTGATTTCTCTCCATCCAAGGCCGGCCGAGGAACATGTCCTGGCCCAGGCTTGGGATCACGTATGCAAAGACACGTTCGTCAAATCCAGCTGTCTCGACCACAACAGCCACGACCCTGGGGATATGACACTCTTCGCTGACTCTGAGAATCCCCCAATTTCTCGTGGTTTCGAGTCGACGAAGGGTATCCGCAGCTTCCGAACAAGGGCTTCGTCGATCACGGCATAGCAGTCACATCCACAGTCGACAAGGGCGCGTATTCGATAGCCTCGGTTTACCCGCGCGTTGACTAATACAGTCCGACTATTCATTCGTGGCTTGAACGCTTCCCAGTCCCGGATGTCTGCCTTTGCAGGCCCCGGCGCCCGCTTTCGCCCGGGGCTAGTCTTTTCCCGCCGACTCGTCCTCACTGGATGCTGCGGTTGATTCCGAATCATCTGCGGCATCGGGCTTCTTCATGCGCGCAGCTTTAGGTCGCTGTTGCTTCCCTTCGCCAGGAAAGACCACCTGGGCTGGGCAGTCCACGATAAGATGATCCGTCCGACCACAGCGATAGCAGCGGCGCTCATCCTTCGGCTTCTTATCGACATGTCGACGACCCTTCGACTCGTGGCCAATACGGTTGATGTCCGTCATCTTAACATCTCCGTCGGGGTCCTCCGGTTCCTCCTTGGGTCGTTGCCTTGGTAGCTGTTGAGGCGTCCGCTCAGTCGACGTCGGCTGCCTACCGGGTTTCAGTCTCTCCAATCTGCCCGCAATTTCCTGAACTCTCGCAAGCCATCCCTGGTAGTCGTCGGGTAGGACGGCTGTGACCAAACTCTCTTGGAGGCGTGCATTTATTGCGTTCTCTAGAAATACGATCTTTGCACTGTCCGGCCAGTCTGCTCCCCCGGCTTCAGCTAATGCCTGTTCGAATCGGGAAACGATTTCCACTGTAGTAGTGTGCATCAAGGTCCAGCTTGTCTCGCATCTGCCTGGCCCAGGCGGAGTAGCTCTTCCGTGAGCCGTCATACTTGGGTGGGTTGGGCAACGGTTTCCGCATTCCAGTACCGCAGGTTTTGGGAGGGCGTGCCCAAGCCAGGCGTGCTCGCCCAATCCTCGTGCCACTGGCGGCGATTGCAAGTCGGCGCTCTGCGGCTGCGCTCGCCCGAGTTGCTCCATCAGCAAGGAAAGTTGGTCCTGTAGAGGGCTGAGAGTCGCATTGACCGCTTCTTGAATGCGTTGGTCAATCCATTGCTGCTGGAGACTTGGGCTCTCACTCTGCTGGTCCATCCTGACGAGCAGTCTGCAGCTTGCGGTATTTAGAAGGAGCTCTAGATATGTGAAAGGCTGGCCCGGAGTTTATTCAACAAGCAGGTGCCTAGGTGTTGTCTATCTAGAGCTAAGGAGGAAAAGAAGCTGAACTCGAGGCGTAGCCTCGAGTGCGAGCTTATATTGCCCTTCTCGGAATGTTCTCGCAGCTTCTGGGTCCGCGGAGCGGGGCCGGTGTTGCCACCGGAGCACGACCCACCGGACCCGGTACAACCGGGTCCACCAGCCGGGCACAGCCCGTGACATCATGTAAGTGCTTGGGCCCGCCTGCAATGCCAGATCTGGCCTTTATCTAACTACTTTCCTTCTTCACTGGCAGTGCCCCAGCATCAAGGACGGCATGTGCTGCCATCCGTTCTGCAAGTTTGCCGAGGATGCGCATCCTCCCGGGACAAGATTCAAAAACGCTCACATCCGCGCCAACTGAGGAAGCGGCGACATACATGCATCGGACACGGGCGACAACGGTTGGCGAGCTCTTTCTTATGTTTCTTCATCATTCACCACGGCGGTGATCAGGACTGGAACGCGGCGTTTGGGGGGCCTCATGGGATATCCAACGACAAATGTCCACGGCGTCTGTGCCGTGCAAGGAACACGAATCGACAGGGGGATTGCCTTGTTTTTTTAATCAAGGCTCGGTTCCCCGCCTTTTCTTCATTTCTTCTACTAAATGATTCTCTGCCGGGCTTGATATATAAGGGCGCGAGTAGCATGAACTGGGCGTGGCCGCAGCAGGCATGGCGAAGAGGGTGACGCGGGCACCTGCTTACACGGTCACGCTGGTCATCTGGAGACGCAAGGACAAGGTGTGCAGCTCGTCATCATCTCGGGCGGTTTTCCGTGGTCAGGTCAATAAATATATACACAGATCCAAATGCATGAAACGAGACTCGTCAAACTGTCTGTATCTCTTTCTTGTTAGCCGTTGATTGATTTGATGGTCATTATGCCTGACTTATGTAAGCGCCCAGGAAGGTCCCTGTAGCTCTCCCAAGCCCGCCGCGGGGAACATCCACCTCACCTCACCGACAGACCCACCTTGACCTGACTACCGCCGTCGTCGAAAATCCCCAAGAGCCTCGCCTTTAAACGCCATATCTGGTCCTGCCCAGCCGACACCCACCACGACTGTCTCCGATCTCCTCCAGACTCCACCCCGACACCCTCGAGCCTCGACAACGTCTTGCCCCGACGTCCTGTGCTGATCGAAGCGTGGACCTGCTCTGAGCTCGCTCTCGACGAACGACGAGCCAGCCTGCCAGCTAGGAGAGCCCGCTCGGCTTCACCAAGCATCAGAAACCATGTCCCACCCGCGCGTGGAGGAGGTCTCGGACAGCGACCCGGACGCCGGGGCGTCGTCGGACCCGGAGGAGGGCGACATTGACGACTTTGCCGACGCGGACATTATGCGCCGCATCCCCACCGGGAACAACAGCGGCGGCGGCGGCGGCAGCAGGAGCAGTGGTGGTGGTGGTGGTGGTGGTTTCGAGCCCTCGCCAGCGGCGCGGCCGCAGATGTTCGACCCTGCCGGCCTCGGCGGCGGCGATCCTACCCGCGTGTCCGACGCCGACCACGGCGTCTACAAGGGCTTCCAGAGCCTGTACCCCGTCTACTTCGACGCGACGCGCTCCCGCGCCGAGGGCCGCCGCGTCAGCGCCCGGCTGGCGGTGCGCAACCCGCTGGCGCGCGAGATTGCCCACGCCTGCTCGCGGCTGCGCCTGCAGACGCTGCTGGAGCCGGACAAGGTGCACCCCAAGGACTGGGCCAACCCGGGCCGCGTCAAGGTCGGGCTCAAAAAGGCCGGCGCCGGCGCCGCCGTCAAGAACAAGCACCACCTGTACCTGCTCGTCGCCCAGCACCTCGCCGCCAACCCCACCGCCGACGACAGCCCCGGCCTGCGCGTCCGCATCGGCGGCCAGCTGCAGCCGCCCGAGGGCGCGCCCTACCCGCGCCCCGCCGTGCCGCGCGGCTGGAAGATGGGCGAGCTGCTGCCCTACCTCAGCGCCGCCATGACCGGCGGCGGCGTCTCCGAGAACCTCTTCAAGGACATGATGAAGGAGATGCAGAGCGGCGGCGATCCCATGGCCGCCCTCATGGCTGGCCAGCAGCAGCAGCCTGGGCCTGGAGGCGGCGCTGCAGGCGGCGCTGCGGCGGACGAGGGGGCCGCTGGGAAGAAGAAGAAGGATAAAAAGGGCAAGGCGAGGGCGTGAGCGGGTTCGGCATGAGATCGCTGGCGGGGCGGCATTAGGACACCATGGACGCAGCACATGGTTTGCGCAGGACCGCGTGGCACTCGCGTTAAAAAAACGAGTAGCCCAGAGGCATAGTCAAAGAGTTTCCCTCATCACGGGGCAGACAAGCGGGCAAGCTGCTCAGGCTCACTTGCTACAAGCTGGGAACGACAACGAGAACAAAAACCTTGGGTCGCCCCTAGAAATATCGTAAAACGTAACATGAGCATCATAGGCGAGAGGAAAAGGAGAAACAGGCATCGTCAGCGCGAGCTCGGCGAGGGTATCTATCAAAGGCCACACACGCAGTCATTCCTGTACAGGATCCCCCTCGTTTCTCGCGGTGCCTTGCCCTGCCCTGCCCCTTTCACGCCGCTGCGACCCGATGATCCCCCTGCAGCGCCTCCCACTCTCGCGATCCCACGACCTGCACGCCGTCGCCCCCGAGACCCGTGCCAGCCATCGCCTTGCCGTCCGCGCCGGGCAGCCTAATCTGCAGCTGCGCCGCCGGGTTGCGCACCGCCGGGCCCCTATTGTGATGTTCTCCACCGCCGCCGCCGCGGCGCCGCAGCAGGGCCGACTTCTTGAGCACCGACTCCTGCCAGGCCGTCCAGGCCGCGTAGTCCTCCATCTGCCGCGCGGCGTGGTACTGCGCCGTCGACCGCGCAGGCCGCCACGCGAGCTTGTCCTTGGGCAGTGCGGCCAGGTCGAAGACGTTGGCCGATGACGCCATCTTGACCAGCTCACCCAGTACGTCCTTGGCCTCGGCGGCCACGAGGCCCTTGCGCTGCTCCGCGACGCTCGTCTGCTTCCTGAGCGGCTCGGCCAGCCAGTCGTGCTTCTGCTGCTCGTTGACGCGGGCGCGCCGGTTGTCCTCGCGCAGGTACCGCACCGCCGACTGCAGGCTCTCAATGTCCTTCTTGAGCGCCTCCATCTCCCGCGCCGTGGCCACCGCCCGCTCCTGGCCGGCTTTCATGCCAGCGGCATCGGCGCCGTCGGCATACGCTCGGCTGTCGCTGGCAATCTTCTTCCACTTGTCGCGCTCCGCCTCGAGGCTCTTGAGCTCCCGGTCTTGCTTCTCTATGTCCTCCTTGAGGCTGCCGACTTGCTCTCCCGCCGCCTCCAGCTGCTTCTGCAGGTGGGAGATGCGCTCGATGTTGGCTTGCGCATCCCGCATCCGAGACTCGAGCGTCTCGATCTTGAGCACGGCGGTGCTGAGATGCTCGTCTCTCTGCGCGATCGTGCGACGGGCCTCGTTGTGCTCTTCTTTGAGGCGCCGCAACTCCTCTTCTGCGTCAACCGGCACTGTCTTGAGGGCCTTGAGCTCCTGGGACCGGAGGAGCCAAGGCTGAGGGCTGACCTCAAACTCCTGCGTCTGGTCGAGGTCTGTGGCCAATGCAGCTAGGTCTGCTATCTGGCTGTTGACGGTGCGGAGCTTCGACATGTAGACTGAGAGAGGGTTCGAGTCGCCCGCACCGCCCGTCTCCGAGACGGCCTGGCGAATTGCAGTCTGCACCTCGCCAAAGGTGAATGGCTCCGCTCGTCCTTCGTCCTGGGTTAGAAGGCCATGAATGGCATTGCCGATCTTACGGGCCAGTTCTGCCGTCTCTTGGCTGCCAGCCTCACACTGCTCGAATGCCTCCTTTGTATCCGGCACGAGCGACAACGATCGAGTCTTGAGTTCTTCCAGAGCACGCACTGTCTTGCCGGCGATGACCTTGGTGCCCCTGGTCTGGGTGATGGCAAGGTCGAAAGCCTTGGCCAATTGTTGCGTCATGTCGCCGTCGCTGCCCTCGCTCTCCGGCGGGAGCGCACGCTGCAACATGATCCTCGTTGTGTTGAAGGACACGGCCGCCGATTCTAGCTGGCTCTGGATGACAAGCGACTTCATATGAATGTCGTCTGCAAAGCTGGAAAGGCCGGTCGAAAGGTGCACCTCTGCAAGGTGAGAGAGAAGCGCGACGGTGCGGTGCAGCTCGTCGGCGCACTTCTTCTCCTTGAGATCGTCGCGGCGTAGACCGTCGATCCACGCGTTCATGGCACGCTCGACCGGCTCGAGCTCGGCCAGGGCGTTGTGATACTTGGAGAATTGCTCAAGGGAGCAGTGACTGATGTCGTTGACGAACCGATCGCACATGGCCGATACCCAGACCAGCTTGTCGACGGCGTCGCAACCGGCAAATACATCGTCCTCTTGGCCAGGATGCGGCTGTCCGTTGACACGCTCTCTGATGAAGCCGTTGAGGAGGTTTGACTTGAAGGCTACTCTGCGGAATCTCAGCAGAGACAAGACCGAATTTTGATCTTCCCGGTAGCTGTCGGGCAAGAACAATTTGACAATCCCGAGGTGCTGTTCGGCTTCCTGGGCCTCCAGGTGACGGAGCTCCAGCTCGATCGTCTTGACCTGCGCCTTGGCTGCCGACATCTGGAGCTTCATGTTCAAATCCAGCATGGCCCGGGAGCGGTCATTGAGCTTCTCCGATTCGCCCTCAGTGACGGCTTGAGAAGCGCGCATGTCCTCCAAGTCGCCCTGCAGGCTCGTGACGAGTTCGCGGAATCGTGACAGTGTGTACTCCATGTCCTCAAATGCCTCCTCTTGCTGCGCGGCACGACGCGCCTGTTCTGCAACGACGCTGTCCTTGAAGTCGAGGTCCTCCTGCATCTCCCTTTCGTTTTGCACGTGGTTCGCCTCGAGCTCGTCGTTGATTTCCTTCAAATTCTCCAAGTCATCAATGACAGCCTTGAGCTCCTCGATCTGCTCCGACATGCTCATGTTACGTTCAGTTAAATCTTCAATCATATCCTCAGCTCCCAGCGCAGCGTCGAGTTGCTGGCGGAGATCGTCGACGGCGGCCTCGGACTGCGCGAGCTTCTCCTTTGTCGCCCCCCCGTCTTCCTTGACGGCGTTGAACTCCTTTAGGTCTTCTTCCAGTCCAGCGATTTGGTCCCGTAGTTCCTCCTCCTGCGCTTGCGTCATGTCGCGCAGTCTCAACAGTGCCTCCCGTAGTCGTTCGTTTGTCCGCTCCATTTGCAGCCATCCGGTGCTGGCGCGCTCTTCCGGCGACATGCCCCTGCCGTACTCGGCATTTTCTTCCCGAAGGATCTCCACCTCAAGCTCAAGCTCTTCCGATTTCTGCTTCAGGGTATCGAGTTCCATCTTCAGCACCTCAGCAGTCTCCTCTGCCATTTCTCGGTCGAGAGCGGCAAGCTCAAAGGCAGAGTCGTGCTCAGCTTGCATGGCTTCGATGGCCTCGAACCGTTCTTCCGCTTCTTTGAGCTGTTTCTTGAGGTCGCTGTTTTCCTGTTGTTGAGGTTGATACTTCTGCTGCAGTTTCTGAATAATGCCCTCGAACTTGTCTCGCTCCCCCTGGACCTTCTCGAGCTGCTTCAGCTTGTCGCGGTCTTCGACTCGTTTGCGCTCCAGAACCTTGAGCTTGGCTTTCAAGTCTTCGATTTCACGATTCGCGGCCGCATTACCGGTCGATCGTGACGCCGCGGCCCCTGCAGGTGTCCGTTTTGGAGCAGCGGCCGAGGGTGTAACCGACGAAGCCGCATCGGCGAGCTTCTCGAGATTCTTAGTCCGAGCCATGACCGGACTCGTGGGTTGCGGCGACAAGATCCCGGCATCACTCTTGGGAGGAGAGGCAGAGGTGGCATCGTCGGCGGAACCGCTGTCGCGTCCTGCCTGAGAATCGCCAGAAGGTCGCCGGCCGGACCCCGGCCGTGACAGTGTTCGCGCGCCCCCAAGTGGCGCCCGCGTGCCAGCCGTCCGAGCGGGAGCGGCACCAGGCTTCGAGGTGGCTGAAGATGCAGACGATTGCCTTGCGGTTCGAGTCGCGGGTCCGGCTGGAGGGCCCATCGACAGTCGCTGGCCGCCCACTGGGGCCCGGGTTTTGGCGCCCGTGGAAGTGGCGCGAGCATTCGACGGCGTGCCTGTGCGCGAGGCAGATGAACTCGGGGGGCCGCTGAGAAGCTGCTTGGTGGGAGACTTGACGGGAGACTTGATGGGAGACTTGATGGCCGGTTAGCGCTTGGGGGTAAGCAGACGGATCAGGGCGGCATCGCTTACTTTTACGAGGCTTGCGCGGCGGGACGTCCTAGGTCCCGGGCTAGGGCTCGGTGCGTTCATGCTCATCCGTTTGGTCAAGGCGACGTCTCCGCCGGGGGCGGGCCTCGTCATGCCGGGATGAAAGCTGCTGGGGCGGGCAGGCTTTCTGGCGGTCGGGGGCTTCGCGGACGAGGGCTGCGACAGGATGGTGACCATCATGGGCTTGACAAACATGCCGTAGCCCATGGGACAGTCAAAGTAGCGCTGTCCCTGGACGCTGCCGTCATTCTTGCCCGTCTTGTCGTCGAGCTCGACGCCGACCCATTCTCCGACCTGGAAGTGGGTTTGGCCGGCGAAGCGGACGATGCCCTTGCGGCCATCGCTGAGCTGGATGGTCTGGCCAGGCTTGAAATCGGGCATCATGGGCAGCGGCAAGGGCGCTGACGCATCGTGGCGCCGAGGTCGTTGGTGGTGTTGGCGTCAGGGGGGCGGATGAAGCTGAGCTGCGTCGAGGGTACGCAAGACAGTGCCTGTTATGGGTGTGGGTGGACGTGACAAGCGCGTTGTCGTGCAAATAGACGCGCCCAATCGGCACAGTGCGTCTAAGTCCCTGAGGGCCTAGCAAACATGGGGGCATACATGGCATGTACTCCGTACGAAGTGCAAGGTACCTGCCAGCAAGTGCCGAGGCAGGGCCTGTGTGTTTGGCTACTTGGAGGTACCTACCAAATGCTTGCGGTCTTGTCGACACAAGAGGTAGAGGGCCCGAACTTTCATGTCCTTGCGCATAGCTGCAGGCGCGGAGAGGTACTTTTGAATGCCAGTCAAGTACTCAAGACTTGGTGCTCTACTCCAAGCGGCAGTACCTGGCTATAAGCGAGTTATAAGCGAGGCTATAAGACTCCCCTTCTCGGAAGGTCCACGATACTTGATTCGTCCAGCCAAGGTATCGCCTCCCATTGTTCGTTTCCCGTGTCCCTCGACACACACTTGATTCTTTCATCCCGGTAGCACAACCGGTAGCGCAAGCAAAAAGACCCTCAACCCCTTTCCCCCGTCCCCTGTCTTTTTTAGCGAACCCAGTCTAGACAAGCTCGGACCTCCAGTCTCGAGGCAGAGGCTCCCGAAAAGATGCCTCCCTCATCCATTCCATCACCTCGAACGCCAGGCGCCGCTCCGTGGCCTCGTCGAGGCCCTTGCCCGCCGGCACCTTGACGACAATCAGCCCCATGCGCCGCGAGAGCTCAACCGTCCTACGCTCGTTATTCTCTTCCGCGTCGCTCGGCATCACATAGACAATCAGGTCCGGGCATACTGTCCCGCGCCACAGCGTCGCCATCCACTGCCAGTGATCGATAACCGAGTACGTGTCCGGGATGGGCAGCGCGCATGCGTGCCTGTCCGAGATTGTCAGGCTGAAGCCCTCGTTGGCCAATGCCACCGGCATCTTGGCCGGTGAAGCGTGTTCCTGCTCGTCATCTGGCGGAGTGCAGGCTTCCGTGGACTGAGCCTGAGCCACGACTCGCTCGCCGTCGGCCCTCTGCTCTTCCGCGCTCGACAGGAGCGCCCTCGTTCCCGTGATGTGGCGGCCGATTTGTTTCGACTTCTTTTGCCATGCCGAAATCGTCTTGAGATAGGGCTCGAAGTAGTCGCCAAACTTGCTGCCACCGCCTCGACCAGGAGGCAGCGCGTTCCCCTCGTCCCAGCCCGTCACCTCCTGGCCATCGCTGTCGTCCCGCCACACCTTGAGCAGGATCTCGCCGCACGCAACGAGCCCTTTCTCGATGGCAATGCCGGCTGACTGGCGCAGCATCATGTCTGGCCCCTCGACGGCGATGAAGGCTCCGCGAATCCCGTCAAAGTTGCTCTCCTTGGACAGAGGCGGGGCTGGTTGGCAGATGCTTGCGAGGACGGCGATTTTGCGCTTGAAAGAGATGGACATGACCATGTCTCTCAACGTCCCGGCCCGGCCAATGGCGTTGTCTCGAGTGGGAGTCATGACCAGCGCTGCCGTGGGCAGACTAACGGGCCGGGTGTCCATGCCCGAGTTGCGAGATGACGACGGTGAGAGCGATGTCTGAAGAGGCGGTAGGCGCAGGGACTCGTCAAAGCCGCTGTGTCGGCGGCCGTGGGGGTCCGTGTCGAGCCAGGGGGCCGAAGCCGTCGGTCGCAGCGGGGGAGGCATCGGGCCACTCTGTGATCTGGGCAGACCGCCCAGCTCGGGCAGAGTCGTTCGTGCAAATGGGGGCATCTGGCTGGGCGCGAGTCCCTCGGTCGGGGTGAGGGGAAAGTCGCCAAGCGGCTTGCCGCCGTAGCCTCCGAGAGGGCCGTTGATGGCGTGGTAGCCGCCGGCGCCGTCGGCTCGGCGCCTCTTCATCTCGGGCGACATTGGCTCGCTGCTTTCGACGTCTCTGACTGGAGGCAGCTTGGAGGGAAAGGGCAAAGTGCTGGTGGGCGAGTGCTCAAAGCTCGATCGGCGGGAGAGGGCCGTGTCCAGCCTCTGCAAGCTCGGGGGCCCTTGGGATGGCGTGCCCATCTTGCCAGCTGGCGACGTCGAGTAGGGAGTAGATGGCGTCTGCGGCGTGTTCATGGCTCTCCCGTTGCATTTTTGGCAGCGGCCTTGGTCTTCGGTCGGGGACGTGTTTGCCCAGCCGCTCTGGGACTTGTTGCCCCGTCGCGGCTGGTAGCGATAATTTGGGTACTGGTTCTGGTGGCGTTGCTTCTCTTCCTCTGCGAGCTTCTTCCAGTTCTTCTTGACCTCGTCGCCCTCGTTCTTCCACTTCTCGCCAATGATCTTGGAGATGTCAGGGTTGGACAACTTTGGGTTGTCGGCCGTGACCTGGGCCTGGTGATGCTGGCGATAGAGGATGAAGGCTGCGGCAGCTTGTCAGCCTATCAGGATCAGTCGAAAGGGGAGCGCCCGAGAGCTCGCACTGCGTTTGAGCACGCGTGTTTGGATACACAGGCAAGCGCACACTCAGCACGGGGCAGAAAAGAAGCGACGACTCACCGTTCCGCGGCCTGGGGATCTTGGGGGCCGGCGTGCACAGACAAATTATATCGCGGGAGCCATCCTGCAGATGGGAGCCAGGCGCGGTTGCTGGTGGCGAGTCGAACATGCCGTGGCCTGCATCAACGGCGCTGAGGGTGGAAGCTCTCTTTCTGAACGAGGTGTTGGTGGGCGGAGAGGGTGAGAGCCTTCGGTCTGCGGCCGGGGTGAAGGCTGGGCTGGCCTTCAACTGCTTGCCGAGGTCCACGTGACGGGGCAGAGGAGCTGCCACGGCATCCATCTGTCGAGCTGCCACGGCGAGCACCTGGGTCATTGTTGCCGGGTGCAGAGGGCGGTGTCAGCGTTGCTGGGCGGCCTGGAGAGGTGTGAAGCTTGCAAGCATCCATCCCCCCGGCATGGGGCTTACGGCGGACGACGAACAATGAGAGCAAGAGACGAGAGACAGAGAGAGAGAGAGAGAGAGAGAGAGAGAGAAGGAGGGAGAGGGGCAATGGGCAATGGGCAGGGGGCAAGAGGTTTCAAAAGGAGAAATGGGGAAAGTGAGCGAGAAGAGCGGATTGGAAGAATGGAAGAGAGGGCAGAGGATGGAGTGAAACGGGCTGGGGGCTGGGCTGGTGGTTGGTTGCCAGGTGGCCGCGTCCTTTGTGTGAAGGAGGAGCCGTCTGGCATTTGGCCCGTCGACTTTGCTGACTCCCAGATGCGTGGCTTGCACTGCACACACACACACGCACACACGACACAATAGCAGCGAGCGGCAGCGGACCCAGAGGCGGCGGCCGAGGAGGAGGAGGGGCGCGCGCCAGCCAGGCAGAACACACCGTCTTGGGACAAGCTCGTTTCTGCACCCATTATCTGCTTCTGGCATCGGGGCTTGGGGCCGGCGCCAAACTCCCCGCCCCAAACGGCAGGTAGCAAACTGCCCAACATCCATGGATGTCTCGGGAGACTTGGAGACTACCGGCGTCCCAAGGTTTGAGCCTCGAGCTTGCCGCCGTTGTCCTCAGCGGCGCCCCCGAGCCCGGGCGGCCTGGTATGGATGTATGCTGCTGCTTCCTTTTTGACGGAAGCGTGGTGCGCCCAGCGAGCGGGCGAGCTGCCAGGCATGAGCGAGAGCCACCAGGCATGGGCGAGCCAAGCACGAGCACAGAAAGCACGGAGCCGACGAGGAGAAAAAGAGAGACATGGCCGCCACGGCCATCCGTCCTCTGCCGGCCAACCCCCTTTTTCGCCCCTCGGCGGCGTCGTCGTCGTCGTCGTCGTCGTCGCCAAGGCCCTATTCTCCGGCTTCTGCGTCAATGAATGAAACGGGGCACCAGAGAGACATGCTTCTTCTTGGTCGACGACAATGGCGGCCCCCGCAGGAATGCACTCTGGAATGCTGCGCCGTCTGAGACAAAGGGCCAGGCCTGTCCCCCTCCCCGAACATGGCTAAAGCACATAGCACGTGATGCTGCTGTCTTTGACCATCGAGCTCCGCATGCGTGACTGCCTCTCTTTCTCTCTCCGCCGGTCTGGATCCCAATGCCTTGTCCATGGCCTCTTCTTCCTCGCCTCCCACACTTTCGCGGCATCCCCCTTCCCCGGCCCCTTTTCTCCCCCCTCCCCCCCCACACACCAACTTGGCTTTTGTTTTCTTCTCCTCCCAGTGGGCCTTATGTGGCTTGCTGAAGAGAAAAGAAGAAAGACTGGATGGAGAGGCCAGAGAATGGAGAGGAGAGGAGGGGGGGGGGGGGCAAAAAGGGATTGTGTGCGTCGCCATGCATCATGTATGTGATTGTCTTTGCGCCCCGTCCGCCGGCGTTGGTTCCCCCAGGTTCCTGGATGTCTCACGACGGGCGCTGAAGAAAAATAAAAATTAAGTCACAAAAAGGGTGTTGTGCATGCATTCATCGTGCAGGCCGAGTCTCCCAAAGCTAGGGGACATTGTGTGGGACTCGGTTCCCCCCTACCCCCCCCCCTTTGCCTCTGAAAATAAAATAAAAAGGGCAAAGCATGTTTGGCATTTCTCCCGCGGCGCCAGACCATCCGCGATAAACAAATTCCGTCCAAGATCCTCCCTGTCTGTCCTCTGCCTGTCACGCTCGTCGACCTCGCCCCGACGCGGCTCCTCGTGCCTAGCCCGCTCGTGCGCGTCCTCGGGTCCCCACTCAACTACGCAATGTAGCCCTTCCCAGCCTCCCCGCTGAGCAGCGACGCGCTCCGACGGGCGTCGAGGAACAGGTCCTCGCACTCAGCCACGTCCTCGACATCAATCTGGGAGCGGCCGTTGGCCTTCGCAAGGATACTGTCGAGACAAGTCTGAGTCAGTTACTATTCCCTTCTTGTTCCTGCTTTTCATACGTCTCGTCCTCGAAGCTGCCACTACCACTTACAAACCAGAAACAATAGAGGCGTTCGAGAACAAGAGTTCAAGGGCAAGGCTGAGGAACATGGGGCTAGTGAGCACACGGGGGAAACCTACCTCGCTGGCGTCAGCAACTGCAGGCAATACCGCAGGCTGATGCGGACTCCGTGGTCGGAAATCTTGTCAATGGCCGCATCGTTGATGGCAACGCCCTCAGTCGACGCCCGCACTCGCACAATCTTCTTGATCTCCTCGGCCTGGTAGGGCGCCGTCGGCACGATGAGCAGCCGGGCCAGGAAGTCGGTAGGAATGCCGTGCGCTGCGACAATGTCGTCGGTGCCTCTTATTGTACACATTCCGCGGTTCGACGCCAGCACCACTATTGGGGCTATCGGTGATTCCAGCGCTCGGTTGAGGTACGTGAAGCACTCCACGTCGAGCATGTGCGCCTGTCAAGCTCGCAATGTCAATCAATCGACCCGTGCCCTTTGCCAGAGACAGTGTTGCAAGTCCCTACCTCGTCGATGAACAAGACTCCCGGCACCAGCTCGGCCACGCCTTGGTCGATGTATTTGCTCACCACCTTGTTGATCTCGGTCCGCAGCTTCTCGGTAATCTCCGTCATCTTGGGCTTCATGAGCTGGCCCATCATGCTCATGATGTCCTGGCCGCCCTCGGGCCTCGCGTTGGCAACGTCCAGGTCGTGCAGCGTCACGTCCTGCACAATCTCCTTCTTCTTGTGCACCTCGCCCTTGGGGATGGGCACGTATTCCTCGGCCTCGAGGTCAAACTCGGTGGCGTAGGCGTCTGAGCGGCCGACTCGCTTGCACGCGCCCGTGTTGGCCTCGATGTAGATGACGTCGCCGACCGTCACGCGCTCCTTCTGGATCGCCTCGTAGATGCTGGGGTCCAGCCGGAGCTTCTTCTGGCCCTTGGCGCTCTTCAGCCCGATGAGGAGCGTGCTGATGGTCTTGCCGTAGCCGCCCAGCGGGTTCTCGGCCTCCTCTGGCGTCAGCTCCGTCACCTCGCCCTCGTACACCTCCTTGGTCTCCCGGACCTTGAGGCCAATGGCCCTCCGGAAGTTCTCCATCAGCATCTCTGTCTTCTTGACCTCTGTCGAGTAGATCTCGCTGCCGACGATAGGGCAAAAAGGTATCTTGGTGCCCAGCTCCTGGCTGATGGCGAGGGCGAGAGCAGTCTTGCCGGTTCCCGGTCCACCGGCCAGCAAGACGCCTCGGCCAGCCATCTTGTGCGCCCGAATGAGGTCGACGACGACGCCGCATGACTAGAGAGGAGCAAGTGTTAGCCGGGAACCGACAATAGCGGCCACGGGCCGTGGGGTGCTATACTTCTCGAGCGGGCGCCTGGCCGACAAAGCCACCAGCTTGCGTTTCTGCGTGTCCATTGGGCTTCAGGCCGAGGCCTTTGATGTGCGTGTGGGCGGCCGTCCGGTTGTCGCGCTTGTTGCCCTTGACCTCGCTGATCTGGACCATTTTGGCCGTCGGTTGAGGCGATGATGCCCGGTCGTCTATTCAATTCGTCGCGATTGGCAGTTATTCGCGGCTTGAACTCGGGAACGGGGGGTATTGAGGGAAATTTCACCACTTGCCGCGGTGTCGTCAATAGCAATCAGGACCGAGGTTTCGCAGCTTTTGCACCAAGATTTGCGATTGGATCCTAGCCTTGCGCCTACATACATACCCGCCCTGCAGGTAGTCCGTCCCAGATAAGATAAGGCCTATTACGACAGCCTCACAAGCATCACGTGAGCTTGCACTGTGCTCAACCTGGCTACCCTATATTCATGATTTGCGCGGCACTCAGGCATCAATCTTCGGACCTTCAAACCGTTCGCTTGCATCTGTATATGTACACAACGACTTTGACGGCCTTTTAGTTCACTCTCAAGTATTTTCAGGACTGCTTGTCAAGTACGTCTTCGAACAGTTTTCCCATTTCATGTCAGCTTGAAGCTAAACTGACGAATTTGTGGTTGACTGGAAAAGAATCGGAATTCTGTATAGATCAGCACCGACAACTCACGACTGACGGTATTGAAGACGAGGGTCCTTGCTACGACGTGCTCATTAGAAGGCTACCAAGGTGTCTGGTGCTGCCGTGTCAGAACCACACCTCATGGCTAGTATCTGTTCAGAGCCATCTGCTGGTGGTTAGACATGTCATAGCATCTGGTTTCCAAAGTCTCCATTCCGTCTTTATACAGCCATCGTTCGGTCTGGTACTGACAGTCCGTGTACAGCAAGTGGTTGAACATAGGGTTCGTATTAGAGGAAGACATCCCAAGGGAGCCAGAGCATCACCGTGTACATCTCGATCAAGCCATGACCCTGGCGGCAGATCACCACCGCATAGCCAGAGGTGAACTCAGAGGGCTGACTGGTACTTGACCAGATGAGATCGAGCCTGGCTCCTCATTTCGGTGATGCGGACGTCCCCGACCGGGTGCTCACCACCACCCTTTACAAGACTTGAGCTGTGCCATCGCCTTCAAGAACCAGACGTACGTGTAGCCGTGAGCATCGGGAATCGCTCAGCCTCGCCAGCCAAATTACTCTGCCGCTCGACATCCACCGCCTTGAGCAACGACGGCGGCTGCGGCGACGGCTTGGGCACCAACACAACGACGCCGACGGCACTGCCCAGGATCAAGGCACACCCCAGGAAGCTCGTGAGCCCCATGCGATGCCCGAGCACCCACCGGTCAAACGCCACCGCAAAGAGCATGTGCGTGTACACCATGGCGTTGGCGCGATTGGACGTGTCGGCCGCCAGCCCCGCCGTCAGCAGATACTGCATTGCAAAGCCCAAGGCTACGACGGCGAGCATCAGGAGCCACTGCCGCGTCGACGTGGGGTGGGTCCAGCGCAGCGAGGGCTGGTCGACGTCGAGGGCCGGCGCGAGGGCCAGCGCTGCGGCGCAGATGGTGGTGCAGCCCATGGCGAGGGCGTTGATGGAAGTGACGGGATGGACGCGTCGGCCGAGGGCGCGCAGCGTCGTGAAGGCCCCGGCGGAGCCGACGGCTCCCAGCAACGCGACGCAGACGCCGAGGAGCCGCCCCTGCGCCGTTGCTCCAGCGTGGACCGCGTTGGGCAGCTTCTTGCCCGACGGGGTCGGCTCCGGTGCTGCCGCCGCCGACGGGGAGAAGAGGGCGGCGGGCTGGGCGATGAGGACGACGCCCAGCAGCGCGATGACGGTGGCGAGCTGCTCCATGCGCGTAAACGGCTCGCGGAGCAGGACGCAGCATAGCAGGGCGGCAACCCCGGGCGCCAGGAAGGTGATGACGGTGGCATCAGCGAGCGGGAGGTGAAGCATCGAATACCACATGCAGAAGATGCCGAAGAAGCCCGAGATGCTCCTGGCCAGCAGAAGCCAGCTCACGTCCCCTCTGCCGAAGGGGTTGTCGGGCACGCACCCCCACCGCATGTACAGCAGACAGCAGACGGCCGTCAAGCCCTGCCGGACGAACAGGACCTGAACCGGGTGCATGCCCTCACCCTCGAGCTCGAGCAGCCGGGCGCACAGGTTCATGCAGGCGCCAAACAGCTGGGACAGGGCAACCAGCAGGGCCGGCCTGTTGAGGGCCCAGAAGCGCGTGCACCGAGATATCCTGCGCCACGCCGGGGACGAGCAACCATGCGGCGAGGATGGACGCTCCCCGGCTCCGGGGGCTCGGCTCGGGGACGGGGACGGTGACTCGCGGACTGGAGTTGCGTGCTGTGTCTTGCTGTCACTATGGCTGCCTGGGGATAGAGGGTGATAATGGGGAAGTGGCCGCGGCTGGCCGAAGCCCCTGAGCTGGTCCAGCTCCAGTGCTTCATGTCGTCCCATGCCGGGCCGAGGCCAAAGACGAGCCCGCAAAGTGACGCTGATTTTCACCTTGTCCAGTCAGTTCAGGGCAAACAAGAGTGTTGGCACCGCGGCACCGTACTTGGATAAACGGCCTCGTGCCGATTCTATCCACACTCAACGACACACGGCCAAGGTCTGTACTGGGATGGGACCAGTGCAAACTTCAGCGCCCAGCTCGCTTCTAGCACCGGCGCATGTCTGCCCGCGCGAGGAAGAGAGGAGATGGTGAGATGGAGACTATTTGACTCAACGGATCATACCGACGGCACTCAGAGAGCCCCCGACATGTCAAAGTCAAAATGGCCACTTTACTGCAGGGAGCATCCCCCTCCACCGAGAGCCACGGGCAGACCCTCCTTCTGCTCGTCTTTCCTCTACCCATCGTCGTCGTCTTACATACACGAGCTCGCTCTTGCTGGCGCTTGGCCCAACGGACCAGACGGACCGGCACACCGCAGATCGGGGATTCAGAGTTCGACGGCACTGGCCAGGACCCCATCGCGACGGATGCGGTATTCCTCGATGCCCGCGGAGCCCCAGTTTATTTCTGGGCAAGCCGTTCGTCAAGGGGGAGGACAGCTCCGGTATCGCATCCACAAGGTTGTCGGAAGCGGGCTCCGAGTGCTCCGGAGCATCGGCCGATCGAGCAAGTCGCCGCGCTCTCATGTCCACAAGTCCCGTACCCGCGCGCATGGAGCTGGGATTCCGGGCATGGCATCTGCTGCGGCGATCCGAGGCGTACCGTAACTTGGGTGGATGGTCGATGACCCGGCCTGTAGTCGAAGGACGATGCCGTGCTGCACGTTCGGCAGCATCACCCGACGACGGGCGATTGGCGAGCGAGCATCTGCCAGACGCAAACCGGCAGCCATGATTGAAGCTCCAAAGCCCTTATGGCCATCGTATATTAGCTGTGAAGCCTTCGCCAACCATTGAATCTCAGTTGCGGATCTGCCGCCATGCCTGTCATAGACACAGTCTGAGCAGCTCTGCCACCGCCCAAAGCCATGTGCCACTGCCCAAAGCCACGTATAGCCGTTGCAACTCCGTTTCGCCCGTGTGCATGCCGCGAGCGCATTATACCAATGGGAGAGAGAGATGACCCTCAAGCTCCCAGCCCATCCTACGTAAGAAATTCGTTATAATCATGTCGCTGGTCGGCGGCTCTGACCTCATCGCTTCTTGCCCAGGGCATCGGCCTCGGCATCGGCATCGTCGTCGGCCTCCCCAAGCTCCTCCTCGGCCCGGGCACGCGGCGGCCTCTCGTCGACCTTTTCCCTCCTCTTCTCCTCCTCGGCCGCGTCCTTCATGATCTCGTCCTCGCCGTCGCGGAGGATCTCGCGCGCCTTTTTGATCTCCTTTTGCTTCTCAAACACCTCCTGCACCTTGCCGAGGAAGGCCGGGTTCTTGCGAAAGGCAAACTCAAAGTCCTCATATTTGATCTTCTGGCGGCCCGAGTAGTGAGCGGCGCGCGTGGCCTCGAAGGCAATGGATTGCATAAAGTCGGTCAGGATCTCGTCGAGCACGCGCACCGTCTCCGGCAGCGGGTTCTTGACGTCGCCGTGCGCAAAGAGGAGCTGCGCCACTGCGACGGAGAGGGTTTCAGTCAAACAATGTCGCGCGGGCGCACTGGGGAAGCTAGAAACGCACGCTCGTTGTGGGAAAAGTTCATTTTGCCGACATTTTTGCCGGCTCTTGCTCGCGGCTCCATCTTGGGCGCACGCGGTAGAGGAAGGACCTCGAGTACTGGCAGAGTATAGGTGTGTTGGAGGCTCGGGCGCCGGATGTTGTGTGGTGAGGCGAGGGCCAGCCCCGTCCACAAGCGCAGAAGAGGAGCGTAGTCGAGCGAGGCTCGGTATGGATGATGAGCGTCAGATCGGGGGCTGAGAGCGCCGGTGATGAGGAGATGTTGAGGTTGGCTGGTGGAGGACACTATCGCGGAGCCGCACGCGGTGTTCGGCGAATCTTTTTTGCTGCTCCTGCTCCCCGCATCTACTGCACTGCCTGCACCTTGAAGGAAGAGAAAGCCACGGCCAGTCTTTTGTTTTATTTTTGTCATGATCGAAAAGAATGACGCCCAATGGCCGATGTACATTGATTCTTCGTCTTTCCGGTACGGCATCTGAGCGCCTCGATAGCGACGGCATCGCCATGGTCCGTCCGCAATCACAACGCTTCATGACCTGTCGCCTTGACCTCAACCCTTGGCCAAGCGAGCACTCGAAAGCGATGGGCCCAAGACGGATGCAAGATTCTTCGAGACCCCAAGAAAAGGCTCGTGCCGCCGGGAACCAGCCCCCATGGTTTCCCGGATGTCCGCGATCTGGTCCCTCGCCCCTATCCTTCGTACCTTGGGACCATTCAATAGAGTACCGTCACATCGATTATTGGGTCATTTGATGACTGCCATGCCATTGTCATGCCACGTGTGATTGCGGGACCGTCGGGCCGTCGACCATGTACGCATTTGTAACCATGGCCATCAGCATGATGTGCTCACGATGGTGGCGACGGGTCACGAGAGGAACAGCACCACATGACACGATTGCGCCGAGGTCTTGACCTTCCTCTCCGGCCATCTCCTGCTACACGTCACAGCCACAGGACGCAAACGCCCTTTTTCGCTCTCCTGGCTCGTCGTCCCCCTGCTGTGCATGAGCGTGCCCCTGGCACAGAGGTGCGCGCGACTCATGATGCAGCATGGGGCATGAGCGCGCAGCCCCGGCGAAGCAGCCTGCAGAACGTGATGGCGATTCAAAAAGGACGGGTTGCATCCATTGGCGTGCGCGACGCGGTCCTCGGTCCTCGGGGGGGACCTTTGTCCACAGTCCAACCAACTCTACCTTCTGACACCAGCCCCCCTTTTCCCCTTGGACAGGGCAAGAGTCAGCTTGTACAAAGGCAGTCAAACAATCAAGAGTTGCATATACCTCCCGGCCTTGTTTTTGCCGCCTCCGAGGCCCAAAATAAGCCCGAAATTTCAAAGCACACAGCCGCGGGCTGCCCTGACGTCAAAAACCGCTCGCCCCGGCGTTGGCCTCGTGCCGAATGCGCCAGGCCTACCGGATCCGCCGACGCCAAACGGCAACGACAAAGTTTGCCTTTTACAGTACATACGTACAGTAGCGAGATTGATCAGCCACTGCGAGTGTACAGCATGTACATGTATACGATCGATGTTGCCGAATTTGGACTGCTCTGGCGATATGCTTTGTACACGCCACATACTTGGCCAGGACGCCGGGCCGGCCAATCTTGACCATGTGCATGATCGGTAATGCCTCAGAGCAAAGGCGGAGGAGGCTTCCAGAAGAAGGCTGGAAGGATGCAGGCCAGGGGCCCCGATGCAACTGTAACACACACCCTTTCCCGGCTTTGTCGTGTGCTTGCTCGGCGTCACAGATGGTGCTGGGTGTGCTTCCAACACATACGACGCCAGGAGAGTCATTGGCCCAATGTCCGTGCCATTGATTGCGGCGCCGGCCGGAGGCACCGGAGGCTTGCCGCCGTACGGCCCGCAGCTTGGTTGTCGCTGCCTCTTCCCGTTGCTGGGTATGCACTAGCAACCGCATCCAGCCCTGTTTCCCACCCTCATTGCTCAAGTCAAAGCTCATGGTTTGTCGTTGGACCTTGGCGTAGGGATGCCTTACGCAAACTTTGCTGCAGGGCAGCTAAGTAGGCAGGAACCCAACAGGGGCATTTTGCTCTCTTGGACACGTGACCATGCTAACATGGAAATTGGCGCGCACTGCCGAGGTTGAGAGCTTGTAAAGAGAGGCACTTCTACCGGTTGATTGAAGAAGCTGCTGACAATGTGTGTAGGCGCTTTGTGCGAAGCCCCTTGTCTCTTTCCTTCGGGAGGTCTACACGTGATATATCAGGTGATCCTGCTTCCGTGGATCTGGCAAAGTGCCCGAGGATCGTGGAGGCTTCCTTTTTTACCAACGGTCTACGGCCTTATTCCGCATAACCTTCTATCCTCCTCGACCTCGTATTGGTACTTGAGCAAAAAGGAATCCTCCGTCCAGCGAAGCAGACACAAAGGGGAACAAGGCCATGGCCGATTGTGGCTTATCCAACCCCCAAGGTGTGGCGCTTGTACAGTACTTGTACCTGACCGCCACCAGTGGGCAACGAAGCCGATGAAGTGACATGGGAACCCGTCGGCTTATTTGCTACTGGGGGAGGCTGCTGCACGTCAGTTGGAGGCTGAGAGGCCATCCCTGCAGATTTTACGGAGTACCCGCAGCTTTCAGGTGTGGAGGTATCGCCGTGTACCTCTCGCTACCCGCTAAGGTAGGTAGCCTTGCTATTGCATCGATGCCACCCTTTGTTACACGATCCTTTTGACCAAGATGTAAGAGGTGTTGAACGAATCGGGGCCCCTCGTTCTCGCCGTGCTTGCGTTTTCTTTGGCGGCGCTTTCCTCTCCTCCTCTTCTTCCTTGATCAGCAGCCCGTCAGACTTGGCTGGCTGGCGGGCAGATGCAAGCACGGCCACCATGCTGCTTGCTCGTCTGCCGTGGTACGATGCCGGGGTAGAGCCTCTCGTCATTGAGACGAGGTTCGACGCTCTCAGAACGAGGTTACGAGGAAGCTACCTGGATCTCCGTGGCGTCCAGTGGACCCTCAAGTAGCGCCTCCGTTCCGCCCGATATACCTCCCCCTCCCGCATGCAGTACCGCATAGGCGAAGTACCGACACGGAGCGAGCACAGTAAAGTACGTACTAACCTGCATGGATGGACCGGCCCGCCGTTGAGCGCGGGTACATGCCTGCTCACCTACCGAGGTATCTTATTGCGAGGAAAACATAAGAAGAGATCAAAAGTTGGATCGAGGTCTATTATGTGTCACCCTTCTCCTCGCCCCAAACAAAGATGGTCCTTTTGTACCCTTCTCTGCCCCTACTGGCCCCTTCCTGCTGCGATGGTCCCTCCTGCTGCCGCACATCGTGTCCATGAGCTCCGCCGCGTTCCGACAGGTAGGTTAGGTAGGTAGGTAGGTAGGTTAGGTAGGTACCTAGGTAAGTAGGCAGGTAAGTAGGTAGGTAGGTATCCGTGGGTAGGTACCCAGATACCTTATTCGTACCTGCAGCCTATTATTAGCGTCCTCGGAAAAGGCGAGGCGGTCGGACCAGCCCGCGAGGCAGGGCACGCCATTTCCCACCGAAAGGGGGGCCGCTGACAGAGCCGACGACTGCATCTGCGACGGAGGTGAGGCCGTTCAAAATGGTGCTACGCGACTCGCCGCTGTGCTGCCCGTTGCAACCGAGAAGGGGGGGAGGGAGCCGGGGAGAGAGCCTCGCACAGGCTGCCTCACCCCGTCCGTTCTCGCACCGCCGACGACGACTCATGTTTGCTTTATCCACCACCCCCCGCGCCCGCAGCATAGTAGAGCATGCAACCGCATGGGGGGGGGATCCAGCCAGGCAGACTGACCACCAGATGGCCCTTGACGATACTCTACTGAAGCATGCGTATATGTATGTTGCGCGCCGGCGCCCGCACAAGCCCCGGCTCTATCCACCGCCCTCTGGCCCTGGCAAACCCAAGTGCAACGCCCTTTCGAGTCCGGTCTTGGCAATGGAATCAAAGCGACGATGTTGCGGTACGTGGTAGGCGCCAATGAAGCGCTTGTGGTTACTTTGTACGATAGGGCTCCAACAAAAGATGTTACGCATTGCGCGGCCAGGACGGAGCAGTTTTGAGTTCCCCTACTGCTGCTACCTTGCTCACCACCAAACGTTGGCCGCAGCTCTGACGATGCTGTTTGCAATCGTCTTATTGCCCGACTAGGTGGTAGTGCCAAGTACCAATTACGTTGCGAGGGCGGTCATCCGTGATATGCCTCTGCCCTGACCGCCAGCTCGAGGGTAGGAATAGTGCAAATGCGGTCCGCGGCACTTTGCATGCATCCATGCATGCATCGTCATCTTCCATCGCCGTCGTCACTGCCCCCACAAGCCCTGCGCTGCACAGAGGAGCCATCTACTGGCCAGTATTGGGGTGTACATTCAGCTTCGCATGCAGACACGCACACATGTTTGCGCGCGCTGAGAGGCTCAGCTTACGGACCGGCAACGACCACCAACAAGCCTAGTGGTTTAGGGTTCAGCTGGTGTGGCTGGCACTAAAAGGAAAAAAACACTTGAAGGGAAAATAGGAAAAGAACGTGGGGTCAGCAGATCTCCCGGCGTCGCTCGTCGTCGTGCGGCTGCAGCGGGTGCATAGTCACAGTAATGGTTCCGGTCCGGGAGGTCCCGCCGAGTCTCGAAGTGAAAAGGAAACGTCTAGGCAAAAGGAGTGTAGTAGCAGGATGGGAAGAAAGAAAAAACCGCCGTCTATCGTCGGTCGTTGAAGTTTGCGCCGCAGTGGGCGCTGACCAAGACCGACGATGGCTCGCCGATGGTGGCGCCTCGGTCGTTGGGCCGGCGCCCCGGATCGGGATTGAATGAATGGATGGATTAGGTTTTGAAGCTGCATCGTCGCCGATGGCTGTCGACGAACCAAAGCTTCGTCTGCAGGCGGCGGCGACCCTCCCCGGAGTTGCAACGGAGTGGATGGAAGCGTGGCATTGTGGCTGAGGCGCGGGCTGAATCCAACAACCACCAGCGAGCAACGCCGGCCGCTTCTCGAGAGGGGGCGGAGGGCAGACACTCGCAGACACTCGCAGACACTCGCAGGCCGCAGGAGGGTGTCGGAGAGACGTAA